ATTAGCAAACAAGTCTATAATGATGAGATGAGAGGAAAGGTGGGGGGGGGGGGGGAGGGATTTAAATACCTGAATACAGAACAGCTAGATTCCGCTCATCGCTCGCTTGGTTGATAAGATCGTTCACTGTGGCTGTGACGCTGAGCGTCTTGGAGAGTTTCTTACTCACGACCGTGAGTGCGCGATCCGCCTCTCCAGGCTCATTGACGCGTTCCTTAGGCCGTTCCGGGACGCCCGAGCCGGGCTCGCTCGCGCTGGGCTGCTGTTCCTGTTGTAGCTTGGCCAGGCGCACGGGTGAGATGGACCAGCTGTATAGCGGATCGTAGCGTAGCACGTCGAGGATCGTCATGATGCTGTACACTTCCTTGCGTAGGGCTTCGAGCGTGAACTCGCAGCAGCGTCGGAAGACGCCTTCGGTCTTGGTGATGCCCATTCCGTCGACGATGTCGCGGGTCAGGCGGAAGGGGACTAACTCGGGCACGGGGAGTACCCGGCCCATCTCAAAGGCGACGCCGAGATCGATGTGGACGACTTCGCCGCTGACGGAGTCGAGGAGGATGTTGTGGCCGTGTCGGTCGCCGAGACCCAGGACGTGGCCGAGAATGGAAATGGCGGCGGTGCTTCTAGTGTAGGCTAGTCTCTTCACAAACCATTCGTCGGGGTCGTCGAAGTTTTCTGTAAAGAAATATCGCATGACTGGATGGAAACGTGCAGTCACATCGCGGAACTTTTGGATCCTGATTTGGATAGACTGAGTCTGCACATCGCTGATCTCCTTGCGGCACTGGTTCCCCTTCAGGTCTTTAGGGTAGAACCGCTCATGAGCAGGCATGAGATACTCGTGGAGCGGAATTGTGTTAGCTACGAATTCGATGATCCCGGCGATTGAAGTCAGTGGCAGGACCTTATATGTCCTAATATTAAGGTTGCGCTGACGTGTTGCTCGATTCGTCTTAAGAAGCTCGTTGACTTGTTCAAAGACTTGTTCCATGATTGCGTCTTGACGCATGTCATCATTACCTCCTTTAACCTAGAGATTTGGTTCAGCTATATTCTAGAAGGACAATTTATCATATATGGCTTACCAGTTGTTTGAACTTCGCTCCATTACTAGCGATAGGAGTTATGACCTTTGGTGCACTCACACCAGACGCTATTGAAAATTCCGGTGCAAGCCTTATCATCACGGGTACTTTGGTGTAATCGAGATCCGAAGCAAGCCCAATCTGCATTGTCGGGGAAGGTATAGGGTACTTTGGTAGGATGCTACTCAAAGTCCTTAAAGCTGGTGATTCTTTGAGGGAGAATCGTTTGTTCGCTCTGTACCTATCGTCCTTTTCCGCTGCAAGTTGACAATACACTTTGTTAGTCGTAGCTATCGACATCCATACTTGATAAGCTTTCTGAACATTTACGAACTCTTTTGACAGTCTATTAGTTGCGGAGTGCCTTGATCTGGCTGCTTCATCCTTCGAATTGGGACGGCTGTTGGCGCCAGCGTAGATTTGATACATGCCATGGAAGGGATGGTCTGTACAGATGCGCAGGACAAGCGAGAAGAGGAGCCGCTGAAAATCAATCGTGGTATCTTGAAGTCGAGATGTAAGTTGATTCATCAAAGGAGCGAACTTGCGGCTCGGTACTCGACTCAGATATTTCGAAACCGCCTCGTTCGCCATACTTGCCTCCGAGTGTTCCAACCATAATGCTGTAAAACGTAGAGTGTTGTTATCATGATTGTCTGAGGCGGCTAATGCTAGGAGGTAATTTTCCAAACTCTGGCGTAAGAATTCATCTCGGTTTGAGATGTGGCGTTGGAGCTCCTCTTCGTCCAACCCTAGCCAGGTTTTCGCTTTGCTATGATACGCCTTATATTTTGCTCTCTCCGTAGAAGATTTGGCGTTGCCAATCATCCCCAGATAGAAGGCGACTTCATCTGCTTTCCTATCTCTCAGTTTTTTGAGGCGCTCAAGATCCTCTAAACTGTCCGCGTCTTGGAGTTGCTGGTCGCAAAATACTGCGAATTGATGGAAGACTTGGCCAGCTTCACCCCCTTCACTTTTTCCTCTCAGTTCCTCAAGAGCAGGCTTCAAGTAATTCTCAAGTATTTGATCAGGTTTCTCGAGGCGAGCAATAGAAACTTGATATCCAATTTTGGAAAGTAAGTCTGAACGGCCAACCGGAATAGTCTGTTTCTTCAAAGGTGGCCCTTTGTCCAGTGCCTGCAGCATACCTATGGAGGATGTCATCTCTCCTTGGTCCCATAGAGCGTTCGCAGCCTCCATGTGGACTGCAACGTCAACGTTCAAGCCAAGTTGACGACATGGGTCAATGAGATCTATGAGGGAGGTTGCGAGAGACAATGACTCTTGTAGGGCGTTATGAGACCTGTTCAGCGTCGATGTCAACAGTGCGGTCTGTACCTCAACCAGCCGAGTATCGACGGGTTTGACATCTATGATCTTATGCAGACGAGGTTGTTGGCTCAAAGTGCTGAATGTGGTGCCTCTACAGGACAATATCTGGCTGATATCATCAAAGCTAGGCATGTAAGCAAAGGTGCACAAAAGATACGATAGAAGCACTCACTTTCCAGTTTTCATCCAGTTTGCACGGCTCTCAAACCTTGATGTCAGTTCTTCAAATTCTTGAGAGCCTCGGGTGCTGAGAATTTCATCCATCTCAACCAAAGCTGTCAGAGTCTGCAGGGCACCGTGAAGCGCGCCTGCGCTAAGATCTTCTCGAATAAGGCTAGCCATGGTCGAATCAAAGCCTTGGTTAATCTCTCGGAGAATTGTGGCATGATCCGGGGCATTGTGAATTGCCTGAAACGCCTTATAGATGGTGACTGCATTATTGTTGGAAGTACTCGGAACAGGAATGTCCCACTGCTCAAGCTTTCGGGCTGTGAGAAACATCGATTCGAGTGATGTAGAGCTCATGCCCACAATTTGCTGCGACTGAAGAAGGGAGTGAGACAGACCACTCAAGCTAAGCGCATCGAGAGCTTTGACAATTGATTGTACATCCTGTGCCGACTCTGGATCATGTCTTCTGACATGGCTGTCATACTGAGCTCCTCGGAATGCTAGACTCTTGGGGCCGTCCTTCTCGTATTCCAAGCGTGCTAGGATAGTACTTAAGCTGGCACTTTGTGGGACCCCGTAATAAAGGTCTGGGTCATCAATATTTTGAAAAATGGTGAGCAAAAGCTCCGTTGGGAGTTCGGGGGTGTCATGTCTCATAGCGGACGATCGCCTGGAGGATTTTGAGAGCATAGGCTCTGAATAGAATTCTTCAGTAAAGAGCAGCGCCGTCCTGAACATTCCGCAATGTGTAGCGGCTATGGCAGCTTTCGTATAGTCAATATCCAGCCAGTGAGATCTATCCGCGGATGACTTCTCCTTTGGTAAAGGTTGCGTACGGAGGTAGAGGATAGAATTTATTAGCATTTTTAGGCTATTTTGGTTAATAGCTTGAGCAGCCCCAAACCACGCCGCGAAGGCAGTTGAAAGTTGCTTCTTAGCAAACTGCTGACTTTGAGACTGTGTTGAAAGGACGAGGTGGAGAATGAAGGGGAAGGTACGTTCAGCAAATCCAGTTACCTCTCTCAGAATCGGTACCAACGCAAGTAGCACGGGTTCATCTGGTACGAACTGGGCAATTATCACTGCCAAGTCACGTAGCCAATTTGGTCGCTGGATAGCATCAACAGTAAAGGGGTCGCTGAGACTCTCGATAAAGACTCTGTCGATTTTGGTCTCGGAAGGGGGTGGCTGATAAGGCGCCCATGTCGATGCAGCTAGGAGATGTGCTGAAAGTTGATGTCGACATGTCTGTGCAAGCAAATCATCAGACGTAGTAACAATGACACGCAATGCAGATTCGGCCAGGCCAATTGTCCGTTGATCGTGGCTCAAGGTTAGCGACTGCAACAAGCTTAACACACGTGCTCTTGAGCTATCTTGAGAATCTGGGGATATCGGCAGTTCTTTTATCTGCGATAGTGAAGATTCCTGAAGAAGTTCTTGATGTATGTGTCCAGAGGCAGAAAAGGCTCTGCCAAGAACCCTCCCAGCCCAAGACAGGTATTGCTTGCTGGCCGAGGCAACTCTGCAAGACTTCCAGACAACGGCAGCATTGGCAATAGCAAGTTCATCGCTTCCAAAGATATCTGTTCGGAATGATGTCGGACAGTCGAAGTCAGAGCACAGCATCTCCAAAGCAAACTCTCGCGCAGGTCGGCTCAACAAGCTCTCGTCTGCCTGTTCGTCTTGCAGAAGCCGAAATAGGAGGTCACTTTCGGGGCTGCCTATATTAGCATTACCGACCAACCCGATGTTGTAGGCAGACTGGACCAAAGCCCGGAAGTTTGCTTTCGATTTACTTTGTAATTTCGGAGATCTGTATTCGGAAACGTAGTTCTTCATCCACGCGTGGAAATTCTGGGCCCTAGACATAGTCGCTCTGTACTGGGTATCCTGCGTAGCTTCTTGGGATTGTAAAAAGACTCTCAATGATCCCAGAATGGATAGGGCGATGCCCGCAACGAAAGAAGGCGACTGTGAGAGGTGGTCAGAGCCGCGAACTAGCAAGTACTTCACAATGCCAATAGCATCGTCTGCACATTCAGGGTCCGTAATGAAGGCACAGACAGATTGCAGGAGCATTTCTAAGGGGTATCCATTGATCGCCGTATTTCCAGATAGTGATATCAGGATACGAAGCTTTCTCAGGACAGAGCAAGCATGTAAAGATCCCAGAGCTGGGTGAATAGTATTGAGGAGTTTTCGGGCGACCGAAGTCACTAACGCCGGCGTATATAAATCCTGCATTTCATACGGCGTCCGGGTGCACAAATGATGAATCCAGTGGATTAGGTATTTGGCTCTGAACGTTGGCTGCTGATTTGGAGGCAGTGCTACGTCAGACGAGTTCATTAGCTTGATCTCTTTCATGATCTGTCCTGCGTATACCAATTCTTCCTTCCTCATCAGATACTTCTCCACGTCACCCTGGTCAATCGTATTGAAAAAAAGAGCAATAATGTCCACAAAATACAGATTGACACATTCAAAGAACGACTCCTGGTTTAGGCACTTCTTCACTCGAGCCTCGCCGGTGACATGTCTTTGTGTCTTGTCAGGGGGTGGCGTGCTGATATCGTACGCAATGGTATAGGCCATAACCTTCGCGAAGCAATTTTGCAGAAGCTCGACTTTGGAGACACCAAGTACTTCGGCCAAATATTCAGTTGCTACGTCTTGACCACGCATAATCATCAGGCCAGCTGCTTCCTGCTGTGCATCCAATAGCAGGTCTTTCAAGCTCGAGAATCCGAATATTGAATAAGGTATATCTTCTATATTGTCGGATTCGAGCCACGTATAGAGAAGCTGCGGGGCAAACAGGGCGAACAACTCTCGAGGACTGTCCACTTTCAATGCAGAGGAAATATTGACTAGGCATCTAGTAGCATGCCCGACTGAGTCCGGGATCTTTCCAGGGATCTCAAAAATGTGATAGATACACCGGCGTAGCAGAGTTGACCATTTTGAAGCGAGTCTTGCTAGAACAAACAGACGGAACGAAATGCCCTCTATCCAGTCAGGGTCTGATGGTAGGTTCTCGAGTACATCGACAAATACAGCATCATGGTCTTTCAGTATAAAAAGCTCAAAGATCTCTGGTAATTGATTCCCGATGTAAAACTTGACCGACGCATTGCCCTTTTGAAGGACGTTGATCAGACTTGATCGAGAGGAGGGGAGTGAAGAACCAGGCCCGTTCATTGGCTCGATTCGGAGAAGCAGTACTTTTAGTAGTAACCTGGCAATCCCCTTCTTTACTTCTGGTGAAGCAATGTCCCCATCAAGAGCCACATCAATGAACCACTGATACAGATCCGAGGCGGGCTCAGCGAAATTGCTATCTGTAGACCATAGCTCCCCGAAGCCAACTAAAACATCCAGACAAAGACTCTGAGCAATTTCACACCGACTGAACTCACTGGAAGAGAGAATTTCTCCAATGTGATTGATAAGTCGAATTGCATCTGCAGCATCTACAACCAGGTCCGAGGCCATAATTTCCTGTAGCAGTTGGCGGCAAGCAAGAAACTCCTCAGCATCCAGAGAAAGCAACCGATCAACGAACGTGGAGGGTACAAATCCCGAGGAGTTGGGAGAATCATTGATAGTAGCGAGTAGCATCAAACGTTCAGTGCTAACGAGAGAAAATGCTACCGGGCTCGTTTCCAGCGCCGAACATTGTCGCGGTATGATGGAAAGCTGGCCCTCTGCTTTAGTCTGACTCTGCTGAGTAGAAAATTCGTCATCAAGATCCATTAGATCATCATCACCGCCATTATGGGAGATCATAAGCATATGTCGACGCCTGTCAAATTCCTCTGCCACTATAACGAAAAACTGTAGCAGATGAGGAGCTTTCTCTGGAAGCTGTCGAAAGGCATATGAGTCGCATGGAGTCAAATAAGGCTGTACAGCTTGAAGTAATGTTTCCATGAGCGCCTGATACGCCAGCCCCGAATCACGGAGAAAATGGATGAGCTGGAGTGTTAGGCTTTGTATATCTGCCTCAAAAGTTTGTAACTGCGGCAAGCCTGCGCTTGCAAAATGCGGCATCAGAAGTAGCATCGTAATGCAAGCGTTTATTGCGCGGCGATAAGTATCTGCCGAGACTGACGAAGAACGATCCGCTGCATAGCTGTTCCAACTTTGGAGGAGGTCGCTCAATTTTGGGAGAAGTAATTCTAAGATAAGTTTGCGGTTGGAAAGGAAATGGGACGTGTCCAAGGCGTATAAGATATCTTGAGAATCTGAATGCTTTGGACAAGAGAAGCAAGAACACGTGGACTTCGTTGTATCTAGCTCTTCAAGCAGCAAGATGTACCGTATAACGGCCTGGGTGTTAAGGTGCTGCTGCCAGGCTTGTGCAACAGCGCCACATGCCGTTGTACTGACTGAAGGCATAGTCATTCTATCCAATCCAAGAGTGGTTCGCAAGAGATCAAGGAGATAATGAGGCTGTACATGAACAGTCGAGAGTGCAGCAAGAGATCTGTCGGCTGTACTAATGTTAGCATCTTCCCTGCCCCAAAGGTTGATTTGATATCTTACCAGGATTCCACCGCGCAAACATCCAGCGAATGACATGTTGGCATGCAACCAGGCTCGCACCGGGTATCTCTGTCACTTGGACATGCAACAAGTGCATCATTAGGAAAAGCGCAGAATCGCACAAAGCCACTGGGCCACTGACATCTGCAGCCGTGATCATCGCATTGACATCTTCACCAATTTCTTGGTATTGTACAAGTCCCGCTGCAAGCATCGAGTGAAGCTGAACGGCAGCTGCACGACACGTTGCAGAAAAAGTTAGGGCTCTGGCACCAATATGCCAGAGCTGGATCCAGTCTACGGAGTCGTTCCGGGTAGCTGCCTTCTGTTTTGTGCAGCTGAAACATGAACGTCAGCCATTTCACTGTAACTTATGGGGGCCTTTTACCTTGCAATAGCCAACAACGCCCAAGATGCAATCTGGCCGGCTTTTTCGGCCGCACAAGTAGCTAGTTGGCTCAGCAGCTCTGCTAGAACAGGGGCGGCTAATTCGCAATCTTGAAGCACAAATGGCAAGGTTTGCAATCCACCTAGCCGCATTTTCTCATCCTTCGACTTGATAGGGCCAAGTAATCTATCTGAATCTTGAGTAGTTCGTTGGCGTTTTCGAGGATGTCTGCCGTCATCGTCGTCAAGCTCATTAGTCGGCAATCTCTTGCGTTCATCAGCTAGTCTCACGAGCCGCTGAAGGAGCCCTATGACCTGCAAATTGGCCCAATTACGTTCTGCTCGAGTGTTATGGGGTCTAAGTCGAAAAGCATGGAGACGAAAGGGTGATACATCGACTACCGCGGCGCCGAAATCAACCATATCTAAATCCTCCAAGTGAAGAGGATCACGATCAGATCGCCTTGCATATTCTGTCCTCATAACATCTAGGAGCTCCTCAAGTTTCGAAGTGAGATCAATAGATTTCGCGTCCATAACGCTCCGCTCCAAATGAAGATTTACGGTAAACAAAAAAATCAGCATTTCATCTCTTACAGAATTTAGCATCTCATCCTTAGCCAGAGTTTTGCCTTGCCAGAAACGAGATATAACCGGAATCATTTCCTCGGCAACGGATTGTAAGAGGGAGCTTCGGTCTTCGCGAATAAAAGACAAAACTGCATTGAGAATGGAGAAGGCTAGCTGATGCAGCATACTTACTGCAGAGCCCTGTGCATGTAGGAGCCGTACAATTCCCATTGTTATCTCCTGGGAGCTTTCAATAAGAGGTGCATTTGTGGCAGAAACAAGTGACAGTAAGGTCTTCAAGAGATCTTCGACAGTTTGCCTTGAAACAGAACCTGCCTTGCTGTGACCGCGACCATGAGCTACGGACTTAGCCAGAGATCCGGACGGATGGCTTGATTCGATGCCAGAAGAGCTGCGGGGCAGACCAGAAGCTTCCCGATCACCGTCATCCAAATATTGGTTGAGGCCTTCGAGACAAAACTCTACTACCTCTCTCCACACAGTTGCCTTTAGACGTTCAACATTTGCTCTGGGTTCAAAGACGTTGCATAATGCTTTAAAATAGTCCTGAGTAAGAGGTTCGCAGTACTCGCCATCGGCTTGAGGGAGTGTTTGTGTGATATGATCGACAACTGCTTCGACGGTTTTTGACTTCAACTTAGGTGCCCCTGCTTTGACAACCAGGCGAAAAACGTTGGCACAAGCTGTAAGCCGGGTGAGGGAGGGATTTCTCGTAGTTCTCTGCTTCGACGCTAGGAAGGACTGTTTCTCGGAGAGGGCAATTCTGAAGACAACTTCGTAGATTTTGTGATACGCTTTGTCAGAGAGAACGCTACTAGAGACAAGTTAGCCCGGAATTCGAATAGGTGTTGGATCATATTTACAGATTATCTGCTTTATTTGTTCTGTCAAAGATGGCCTTTAGCTCTGCCTATAGGTCAGCATCGAAGCAGGGCCGGGCAGAATTGATCTTCTACTTACGCTTGAGCCCATCTCCCCGTTGCGTCAAATTCCCCCGTTCGAGATCTTCTGCGCGATATTAGAAAACGGCCGTACGTGCTCGAGAGAATATAATGTACCTAGGACCTGATTGAGGCGAATCTCCTGGCCGTTATTGCTCGCCTGTCCCATCTTGAACAGCACTGGAGCGTCGAGGTGTGGTTGATGGGCATGCTGGGTCGAATCTTAAGGACGGCGAAGCTTTGGGGAGTGAAAGCCAAAGCTGTGAGGAATGGAAATAAGACTATCGGAGCCTTGAGTATTATTGACGTTGCTGGAAGATGCGGCCGAGTTGCTGGGATTCACTCGACGGCTAGAAAGGCCTTCCCCACATATGCAAGGCTTCGCGTGAGGACGCGAAAGTCAACATCGAATTCGCTTGTTCAGCCGTCAACTATTTCTTTTTTCGATAGCCTACGTTCTCACAGCATCCGCGGCCTCGATCTATGTGGTCTATACGATAAATTGCGTATCCTTTAGGATTGCTATCGTCTCATGCTGGACTCATCGCCTTAACACGTTCGTCTGCGCTCTCTGGCGCATCCGAATCAGCAATGTCGGAGCTGCACAGCTTGGAAAGCCTCGAGGCTCTTCATGCTGACCTGCTTGCCCTTTCGGAATCGCGATTATTGAATGTCGAAAGATTAGGGATACAGCTTGAGATTCATATCCAGGACTTCAGGGCTCTGTTGGACAAAAAGGCGCGGAACGAACAAAGTCGGAAGAGCTTGGAAACAGGTACTGGAGAGACAATGAATGAACCGTAAGGGCAGGAAGCTGATGTGAAGTACTAATAGGGAAGCTTGATCTGGATGGTGGCTACTCTATCAACGACGAATTTCAGCAAGGTGCAAAAAAGCTCGCCGACACTTTGGACCTCGATGAACTGGCTGCTGCGCAAATCTTCCTCGAGGCGCAGGGAGAATCTGAAGCTACAGGTCGATCACTGCTCACATGTTCGGTCGTTCGCTTTCACCAGCGGAGGAAAGTGTTACTTGAATGTCTACGCTTGATATTTCAACTGGCTGCGGACGTCGATCGTGATGAGATCGAGAGGGACGGGTTGCTACAATTGATTGACCAAGTGGTGAAGTCTCAAGGCGCCTCAAACGACTCGTCGAGGTATATTCGGAGATGCCTTGCCAGTATGGCTGACATAAGAAGTTGGCTTCAGAAGTTGGCAGAGATATTCAACACGGGTTCAGTCATAGGACAACAATCTGACGTTACTGAAACCATAGAATACCAACGAGTCAGTCTCGTGAAGCAACATGAGTTACTGGGAATCATTGTGTTTTATCTGGTAAAACAGAACTACACAATTGTGGCTGACTTTGAACTGGTTGTGGACACGCTGAGAAAGATGGACAAATTCGACAGTCTTTTAGGTGAGAAGAACCCCTTCACTTTTGTTTCAAGATAAAGTAGAAGCTATGTGAATTTTTTTGATTGCCTTCACTGACTAGCCCATAGTACACTACGTTCCTGCACTCTCCGCCTATATATCACGTTTTGGTGGTCAGGAATACGGGGCGTCGATCGTAGATGCAAGAGCGTTGAATGAGAAATTCCTTGGCCAAGCAGATCAAAATCCGTGGACTTTGACTTATGTTCATGCAGCCTTTCGAGCCTGGTGGCTCGCGGAATACAGCAGTTGGTATGGCGAACACTATGACGGATCTTTACCACAGAGTCAATTAGATGAAGGTCAGTCAGAAGAGAACTAAGCTTGGGATAAGATCACTTTTATACTAATTCGATACTTTAGAGAACAGACAACGTTCCAGGCAATTTACTGAAGCTCTGAAAGATGGTGCTTTCGACTTCATGTTATCTGTCTCGGCGGATGTCAAATCCTCTGATTGGCATGACCCGGCTCGCCATGGTTTACGCCAGTGGTTACAGCGAAAAGCACCACAGTTGCTTTCCGATTCGATCCCCTTTGCTGATTTCTTCCAAGTGGTGTTAATGGAGCAGCTGGAGTCGTTCATTGAAGGTTTTATTACGAACTTACCCGACGTCCTGAGAAAGCTGCGACTCGATGAGGATGAACAGAGACAACTTAACAATACGCATGACCATGATCTTGATCTAGAGAGATTTATAGTCACTATATCGTATACTTTTGAAGGTCGACCTAAAGCAGCTCTTGAAGCCTTCTGGGATGTCCCAGATGGTGCGCTGGCTGGATTTATGCAGTGGGCCTCAAGACGAGCATCCACACCGCTCGTGAGCGCGTTCTGCGAAATGCTCCAAGCCCTATCAGAGGATGAAGAGTGTGGAGCTGCAGCACATCAATTCCTCCTGGATGAAGGATCGCAATCATCCGGAAAGATGAGGAGGACTCACTCTCTGACCTGGAATCAGATTTTCAAAGAGCTCAACTTCTTCTCCGCAAAAATCCGTGATCGTCCCTCAGTACCGCAAACGTATGGTCCCGGGAAACCCAGTAGTGACCAGGCAGAATTGGAGCCAGAATCGTTTCTGATGCTGGAATGCTATCTGCGTCTCATTACCCGGTTGTGCACAGCGAGTGCGGCGGCGAGACAATTCCTGTTCCAACATCCATCTTTCCATCTAACGGAGCTACTCTTCCAACTTGCGAGTAGTTCCATTGAACCTCGCCTCAAGGCATGTGCTTTTGCCACCCTTCGGTCTCTGCTCACTCATAAGACCAAAGAAGTAGGGGAATACTTGTGGGCATCGTTAGACGTCTGGATATCTGGAGGCCATTCTCCTGGTTCAAATCTACCCAAAACCTCGACTGCTGTCTCGATATCGGCATCCTCAATTGAGCGCATACTCAGGGGGTTGGGAACTGGATTTGAGGAGCCTAATTCGTTCATACAATTGCTTCACGCCCTCGTGTTGCCTTATGAGGATGGAACTGGTCTACACGATGGCTTGCCCTTCCCTGAGAACCTAGGTGCATCGAGCCGTATGCCTGGCATTGACCCTTATGTTGACTTTGCCCTTGGTCAAGTTTTTGGAGCTCAGACCTCCGAGCTCAATGACATTGTACAAGTGAGGCTTCTGCAATTGACCTGCCTGGAATTCATTGCGACTTGCCTGGATACATTCAATGAGGACTTGGTGGTTTTTGCCAATCGGTCAAACATCACGGTTGATAATGCCATCCATGCATCGAATCTCCAAACATATGTGCTTCTACACCCATTTTCGAGGGTCATGGAGTGGATGTTTAACGAAAAAGTCATGAACGCTTTATTTGCAACCGTACACCAAGATATCGCCGACGTTGGAAGTGCAGCACCCGACTCGCCATTAATCCTTTGTCTTTTACGCGGGATCCATGTGCTCACATCCATCCTAGATCTTCAACCAACGTATCTGGACATTGTACGACCTCTCGTCAAACTGCAGTCAACTCATCGACGAGTTCCTGTCTCCAATGCCGCGTTTGCCTCCTTTGAAGATGGCATCCTTAATCATCTGGCTATAATTCCAGACTTGGGCCTGTACTGTGGAGCTGGCCACCCCGAGCTTGTCATAGTATCTTTAAGATTACTTGAGAAACTTTCAGCGTCGCCAAAGCTTGCATCCGCACCAAGTATAGGTCTAGGAAGGCGTCCAGATCGAAACAAGGCTATAGCAGCATTGGAGGCGAACGGAGATGCCGAAACGGTTTCGAAGACCCTACTTCAAGAGATGGTGTCGGATATTGATATAAACCAAGGGCCGGCATCTTCTACATATATCATCAAGCTTCAAATACTTGATTTTCTCGTTTCCTGTCTAAAAGCTTCTACAGGCCAACCTACGATAGGCCATCTTCTCCTCGGATTTCAATGCAATAACAATGTTTTAGATGTCGACCCCAACAGTTCTTTCAACCACGGAGTCTCACTGTTTCATACGGTCTTGGGGATAGTGCAGGAAACTCCCATCGGAGAGGAACCCGGTATCATATCATCATGGCTTGTATCTCTCAAGTACAAGGCTTTACAAGTCCTCCATCAGCTATGGCAGGCACCTCTATCATCTAATCTTACCATGATTGAGATGCGTGCAAGTCAATCACTATTCATCATGTTCAGCAACCACGACTTGATATTGCCGGAAGTGCTCTGGGACGGCAAAAGTCTTGCAGATCCCGACTTTCTGTTGTCTCCGGCCGCTTCTTGTTTGTCGGAATTTCTGAGTCAACGTGCTCTTATACTCCAATATGTATCTACGGAACTTCGTCAGGTCTCGCGCAGTCACTCACCATCTCTGAAGAAACGAATCTTTGAGACACTGTTGGGCTCAACGACGGCTGAAAATGGGGAACAGGTAGAAAATCCATCCGTGTTTGACCTGTTCGAGTTCGTAGAGCTCGAATACAACCGACCAGGCACCGTTCCTCAGCTCCCTTGGTTCCCAGACATGGATTTAGATGTCTGCCTTGACGTTGAGGATGACTCGTTGTCTACCTACAACATAGCAAGAGTTAGAGAGCTTCTCCTTCTTCGACGAGCTGAACTCGTGAACGAGAAAATACTAGAAAATCCACAGGATGCTGCTCTAGTAGATGCCCAAGCAGAAGAGCTCATCAATTTCTGCACAATAGACAACCAGGTCAAGCTTTTCTGGGCTTCGCGGCTCAGGTTGCTCCGGTCTTGGGTTCAATTGGTGCTGCTCATGATCGAGACAGGGGACTTTGAAGGGTCAGACAAGACTTCCTTTATTCTTCGAACGTTGCGCACCATACTGCCAAGTTTGGAGAACAAGCTTGAGAATACCGAGGAGTCTATGGAACTGGCCAAACTTGCAAGATCCCTTGTATTCAGCCTCGATTTCGACTCTGAGTCGTTCAGACAGGGTGACATGAGGGATCTGGTAAGTGACAGGCTGTTCCACCTCTTCCAGGTCTCGCTCAGAGCCATCACTTCCCTTGGTGCGAATCCACCTCTGAAGGAGATCTTCTACACTATCAGCTATCGCTATCTGACAGGCATGTCAGATGTCTCTGGTATTTCCGGAGTCTACCGACGGCACAGCACACAAACAATCAAAGCTGCTGGCGAGCGCTTCATTGATTTAGTTTGTGATGATGCGCATGCTGGCGAACCCGTGTGTAGAATTTCAGCCTTACTCCTTCTCAGTGCCTTGGTTAAAATGGCCAGACAAGACAACTCCAGATACATCATCGAATCTCTTGGTCGTTTGAACTTCATTGGCATTCTTGTCGATTCTATTCGAAATATGGCGAGCGATCTTCGTGAAACAAGTCGTGAAGGTATGGATGCTTGAGCAGGTATCCCAATGTTGGTGTTGACTTTCTAACTTTGCGTAGATGTTGGACTGCAACTGTCATATATCCATGCCAAGCTTGCACTTCTACTTCATATTTCACAAAGTCGCTTCGGGGCGACAGCTGTACTCAATGCTGGACTTTTCCATTCAATTAAGGTTTCAGGTCTATTTGTAATCGATCCCGATCTGGGCGTTGGTAGGTTCTATCCCATTATTCTCGTTGAACCACAGCTAATACCTCTCAAAGATATCGATGCACCAGATGCAGTTGAAAAGCACTACGAGCTACTGGGTGCTGTTATGAGAGTGATATGTACAGTCATCTTGAGTCGAGGTCCTCAGAATGAGCAGACACTTGAGCAAGGACGACGATTCCTCGCTGATAACCGGCTGTCCACCCTTGCCGTTCTCAAAAAGTCTGCGGGGCTGGGTATAGGAGCCGATGGTTCTACGAAAAGCATTGACGAACTTGCGGACTCATATATGCTACTCATGTCTGTCACAGGTTTCCTCGACGTAAGTGCCTCTCCCTTCCATGAGGGGCTGTAATTAACAGACTATAGTTCGAAGAGACTACCCAGACACAGCCAGCATTAAAAGCGTTCACTTGAGATTCCAGATACTGTATCATAGATATCAATGAAAACATGACACTTGATGTTGCTAAAGGAGATTCGAGGATGTATATATGCCATTTACCCCTGTGGATATTGTGACGGTACTTTAGAGAGAGCTTGAATTAGAATATAGGTGTAGGCTACTTAATCGTACAAGGCCCTAAGGATAGGTATCCCACTTCGTAGATCATATCACGTGCCTCGGCTTTAAGGGGCAGAAGGCTCCGATTATCACATCCTCTTGATCGTCATCCTTGGCCATCGATCAATGATAAACGAACTGAGAGCTTACAACGCCAGCTGAGGGTTAGGTTATGGCAGAACTCTGATACGCATATATAGACCTGCAGCTTTCTGCTTCCTCGGCGCATCTGAGTCGACTTCCGCAAATTCAACCGAAGCGCCTCCAATGTCCGTTGGAGCATATACGAAGGTCGATGCAGCCCTCGGAGAACTCGTCTGATGATAACGTTTCTGTTTCCCCGATACTTCCAAGAAAACGAGACATTTCCGGCCAGCAGATAAAGACCACCAGCTCGACAACGGCGCGACAACCCTCCCACGTTCCTGCACCGATTGGCTCCGGACAAGGAAGCGCGTCTGCGGCTTCGAAGAGACTGAAGACATCCCACTCCCCTGGGAATCTCCGAAAGCAACCAGAGATGAGTAAAAGCGTTGGGATGATATCACGACCTGGGGTGGTTGATTTGACGCGGCCGTCGAACTTCCAACCACATACTGGGGCCAAGAGATTGGTGATCAAGAACCTCAGAACCACATCTCGGAAGGATATCGATGAATACTACGAGAGGACCTGGGCCGACCTCGATGCGGCGCTGACATCCAACTTCAATAGAGAGCAACCTGCAACACCTTTGGAAGTCTTATGTCGTGGAGTAGAAGCAATATGCCGGCGGGGCAGGGCGGAACAGCTTGCCACGCATGTCAAAGAACGTAGCAAAGCGTATCTTGAGAAGCAACTCCGGCCAATGATCGAGAAAGAGGCAGGATCAAGCAATGTGGACACACTCCGAACCGTCTACAAATACTGGACGATATGGAACGAACAATCAGTGAGTCTCTGTATACGATCTCTTCCAGGCACGATAACTAATCCCTTCTCAGATAATTATGCGCTCCATCTTCTGCTACCTCGATCGATCATACCTCCTTACCTCGAAAGACTCCCTCCAATTAGAAGACCTAGGAATCGCGCAATTTCGACATACAGTTTTCCAAAAGAGCAAAGCAAAGGGAGGCAAATCATTGGGTTCACAGGTGGTGGCAGGCATGTGTGACCTTGTCGAATATGACCGGACAGGCCAGGAAGATCTTTTTGATGCCAGCCTGCTTCGAGATTCCATAGCGATGCTACATATATTTGGGATTTATGGCAAATCGTTTGAGCCTTTATTCCTGGATTTATCCAACGAATACTTCGAGAATTTTGCGCGTGAGCGGGCGAATTCGTCCATGAAGGATTACATAACTTCTTGCGACAAGTTGCTGGACAGAGAAGGTCTCCGCTGCGACACGTACAATTTTGATAGCACTACTAAGAGGAGTCTTCTGGACAAAGCATACTACAGTCTCATAGAACAACGTTCAGACGTTCTTCTCAATGCAGAAGGTCTTTCCAAACTTATCGATAACGGCATGATGTCCTCATTGAAGGCATTATACGGTCTGCTCAGCCTTTCGAAGATTCAAGAGAAACTTAAGACGCCTTGGGAAAGCTATATCAAGAATGAGGGGTCTAGAATAGTTAGAGATAAAGAGAGGGGTGAGGATATGGTCATTCGATTGCTTGAATTAAAGAGGAGTCTGGAGTTGATAATTCGGGACGCGTTCGACAAGGATGAGGCCTTTACCTATACTCTGAGGGAGGCTTTCAGCAGCTTCATCAACGACCGGAAGAACACAGCGGCATGGGGCACGAGTAATTCAAAGGTCGGAGAAATGATTGCAAAATACATTGATGCACTGCTCCGCGGTGGCTTGAAAGCCGTACCCCGCTCCTTGGTATTTGACGCGAAGGATCGAGATGCAGCTGAGAAGCAAGGGCAAGGAAGCACTGGTGACGAAGATGCTGAACTCGACCGGCAGCTGGAACAAGGTCTCGAGCTCTTCCGTTTCATCGAAGGGAAAGATGTCTTTGAAGCCTTCTACAAGAAGGATCTTGCGCGACGGCTCTTGATGGCTCGCAGTGCAAGCCAAGATGCCGAACGGAACATGCTGGCCAAATTGAAGGCCGAGTGTGGATTCAGCTTCACGCACAACCTGGAACAGATGTTCAAAGACCAAGAGCTTGCCCGAGATGAGATGGCGGCGTACAAGCAATCGCTCGGCAGTAGCAGCAAAACCGGTGTGGACCTTCAAGTCAGCGTCCTCTCTTCTGCAGCCTGGCCAACATATCCCGATATCGAGGTCAAACTCCCCGACGAAGTCGCCAAGCACATTGAGAGATACGACCGTCATTACAAGCACAAGCATTCCGGACGCAAGTTATCATGGAAGCACGCTCTCGCCCATAGCGTCGTGCGAGCGCAATTCAACAAAGGCACACGCGAACTCGTCGTGTCCGGCTTCCAAGCCATCGTCCTCGTGCTCTTCAACAACATCCCCGCCGACGGGAACCTCTCCTACACGGACATCTCGGCCGCCACCGGCCTCGTCGACGCCGAGCTCCAGCGCACGCTGCAATCGCTCGCATGCGCCAAGTTCCGCGTCCTGACCAAGCACCCCAAGGGCCGGGACGTCAACGCGACCGATACGTTCACCGTCAACGCGAACTTCTGGGATCCGAAATTCCGCATCAAGATCAACCAGATCCAGCTGAAAGAGACCAAGGAGGAGAACCAGGAGACGCACGAGCGCGTCTACCAAGATCGCCAGTACGAGACGCAGGCGGCTATCGTGCGGATCATGAAATCGAGAAAATCTATGACGCATCAGAATCTCGTCGCCGAGGTTATTAATGCGACGAAGGGTAGGGGCATGGTGGAGTTGGGGGAGATTAAGAAGAATATTGAGAGTATGTCTGTCCCTGGCGTCCGTCCCGATTTCGTTCCATCCATCCATCCATCCTTTCATACCATACCATAGACTTTCTGGCTTGTTCGCTTGGCTAACCTAACCCCCCTCCCTCTCCTTTACAGAACTGATCGAGAAAGAATACATCGAGCGTGAAGGCAGCTCTTATGTTTACTTGGCCTAGGTTCATTTATTTTTTTTTTTTTCCCAAGAGCTGTCCTTTTTTGGACAAACAAATGAAGAACGAAGATAAAGATCAATGAGCATGAAGCGCGAAGAAGATGGCAGGAATTGAATTGTTTTTTATGTAGAATACCTACCTTACCTTACCTTATCTATCTATGTAAGGTAATCAATCAATGATCAATCCGCAATCATCAACAAACCCCTCAGCCTCCCCACCAAATCCAACAAAGCCATCCTCGGAACCCGATCCAAACCACCATTAAGCACCAATTCCGGATCCAAAAAGCGCGCACACTGATCGATCAAGAAACATCTCAGTTCGCTCTGTTTCTCCGTGTTATCGTAGACCCAAGCCAGAATTTTCAGGATCCCTGAGATTCCATCTGCTTGGCTCGCTCGGAGGAGGAGTGCGATGCATTTTATACAATCGTCCATACACTTCTGGACTTGTAGCTTTTGGGCGAAGAGCCAGAGTCTTGCTAGGATAGAGATGTGATAAGCAACGCGCGAGCTGCCGCTGTCGGCGTGTAAATCCCATCCGCCAATACCGTTATATAACCATTCCACAAACATCCCAAACACATCCTCCTCTCGTCCTGCATCCATAATAATACCCCTCTGTAATTCAAACTGCCTCACTTCCCCCATCCCCATCCCAGGCAAGCACACACGGACTGGGATCTCAATCTTCCCATCTTCATCCCCGAATCCATTACCCTCCATCGTTTTGATATCGTTCTCGAATTCCCAGCGCCATTCGCGGCGTAGCATGCGTGAGCTGATAAGTGTGGGTATGAGAATCGGGGTGCGTGGGATGGGGATTAGGGATTGGAGGAAGAATGGGGTGTGGGAGTGCAGGAGTGAGAGATGGATGCTGAATTTTTGGGGGTGGGGATGGGGGTGCGGGTGCGGGTGGGATTGGGGGGAAGGAGAGGAGGGGCGTATGATGATGGTGATGCTGTTTTGAAATGTAAGATGTGGACTGAGGAGGATCGGTGATATATTGGTGCTGCCGCTGGAAGAACTGCTGGTTTTCTTCTCCTCCTGCTCCTCCTCCTTCTCCATGGTGTTCAACAGGTTGCAACCTGGCTTGCTTGCTTGCTTGCTTGCTGGCTGGCTGATTAGGAGGTAGGTTGTATGTGTGTGTATCGTATCGTCGTCTTGTCGTATCGTATCGTATTTGCTCTATACCACCCCTACTACCCCTCCTACTGAACTATCAATCAATCAATCAGTCAAGTCCAGTCTTGAATCTCCCTCCCCTCCCCCGCGCCCTTCATCTTTCCTTAACCAAAACCAAGCCGAAAGAAAGAAAGAAGTGTCGTTTGATAGATAGATAACTCGTCGGACAAAGAAGTAACACACAGAGAGAGGAGAGAGGGAGAGAGGGAGAGAGGGAGAGAGGGAGAGAGGGAGAGAGGGAGAGAGGGAGAGAGAGAGAGAGAGAGAGAGGAGGGAGAGAGAGAGAGAGGGAGAGAGGGAGGTGGCCAGAGGATTAGATTAGATTAAGGATTAAATTGGGTTATCTTACCGTATGTACGACAGAGATAGAGGAGAACTCCTTGCTTACAAGGAAGAAAGGAACTTTTTTGCGTTTCTGTTGCTGCGGGTTATGTTGGGTTGTGATGTGATATTGATCGTAGTGGAAAGGAAAGAGCGATCGATCATCTAGGAAATTTTGTGATTGAGGGAGAGGATGCTGTATCTACCTAGGTAATGTACAGCTTGTGGTGGGGAAGAAAAAGAAGAAGAAGGGGGTGGGATATTGTTCGCTGCTGATGAGATGCGACAGACAGTGAGTGAGTGAATTATCAACTTTGAGAGCCATCATCATTATTGTCTCTGCTGCCCCCCCCCCCACACCTTCACACTTCAATAGCAACGCTTGAAATCACTCCATAATACGCTCTAATACGCTGATACCTACCTACCTTACCCTTCAACAACTACCTACTGAACAACCCTTGAATAAAAGCAAAGCAAAGCAAACCATGAACATATCCCAAACCCTTCTAAGTATCCTCAGAGAAAGGCGAATGCTAATGCATAAGGCAGCAGGATGATCATGATCGATCTCGTCCAGCGGTTCTTGATTGCCGCGGGGACCCCACCGTTCTGGTGGTAGACGGTTTGGTTGGCCGTCTCGTTGTTCTTTTGGCTGAAGAAGTACGTGCTGGCTGCCGAGACGTTCCCATCATTCAAAAGGCTAGCAGGATCAGGTGCTGTGGTTTGGTCCGGGATTGCGCAGATGGCCTCCGCAGCCGCACCACCACCGGGGTCCTTGCAGCGGGAGGCCCAATCGGATTGACGCAGAGTATCGGAAGAATTGAAGTAGGCTTTGACATAGCTAACATTGATCACAGCTTCTGCGGAGGGCGGGCCAGAAGACCAGAGCGGATTGCCGTTGCTCCACTGAGTGAGTATCATATGGCCTGGCATAGTTGGCACCGCTGAGCCGTTGATCTTGGCGAGGGCGGAACCATCAGCGTAGAAGATGACAAGGCCTGGTAGAAAATCGAAGCGGTATTCATGAAAGCCATCTGTCGGGTCGAAGGGAAGGTTTGCCACAATGTAGTCTCCGGTGCCCGCCGCATTGTATCCTGCTCTGACCGACTGCGCTGACTGGAGGACGAGATTGACCGGGAAGGTATTGGTCTCGGGAACGAAGTCGGAAGAGAGAAATTCCATGTCGATCTCCTGGCTGTCATTGAAGTACTGCAGCAGGTCAGCTCTGATCTCCCGGCAGTGTAGACTGGAGAAGAGTCTGGACTTACCCAGAAAAAAGCAGAACAGGTACCAGGAGTCAAGGTCAACTTCATAGCAGCTCGATAGGTACCCCACAACAAGTCCTCGCGAGAAGAGTCCATCTCAGCCACCTGTACATAACCATTTGCCGGGATGCCACCGCCAACAGAAAGCTGGACACCAGGCTCGCCACCAAACTCACCAGGGCCAGTCCAATTGCTCGCATTGAGGATCGGGTTGGAGAGAACATTCCGAATCGTGTAGTTCATGCCATAGGGTCCGCGGCCATCGGGTGCTGTAACGTTGAACTCCTGTCGCTTCCAGTCCGTGTCCAAGGAGATGTCTCGAATGTGGAAGAAGTCCGATTCGATGAGATCCGTAAACACAGAAGGCGTAGTAGCATTGTTGATGAAAGAGCTATAACCGCACTCACACGCCGCGGTAGCGGTACCGATCAAGATACATGTCATGCCAAGGAGCATGATCGTGGCACACATAGCTGAGCGTAGCATCGCCGTAACCATCATGGAAGCGCTGCGAGAACCAGTCCACACGGCCGCAGCGCTTGCGCTTGCAGACCGAGCAGGGAGCCAGGAGGTAGGGGTCCACCAGACCGTTCTGGTCGTCGTCGGTAGGAGGATGGAGCTGGTTGCCATAGCATCGACAGGGAACGGGGTAGACCTGCTCCTCAACGCCGAGGCGGAGTTTGGTGATGTACAAGAGGGGGCCATAGGCTCTCTTGAAGGTGATTGTGTAGTGGAAGATTTGGAATTGCATTGCATTGAAGGTGAATGTCCGTGTGGCTGGGGAAAGAGGCGTGATATGAGACGAAAGGGGGCAGAACAGTAGCCGAGGTCAAGACCAGCGACGTTATTGACAAGGAGAAGAGTTGTAGATCTGAGGTTGGAAAAGAGTTGAAATGATGGAAAGGATGTAGGTGGAAGTGAAAGAAAATAGGTAATAAAGGAGAGAGAAGTCTATTTTGAACTCGAGATCTGCCTTGTTGATATTGAAACGAGGACAGGCCGTCGCCGCACGCATGCCTGGGGCCGTCGACGACATCATCAGTGAAGACGCACTTTGAACACGGGACGAAGATGTATCTTGAGAGCCTGCTATAAGATAGAGAGTACTAACCCCCACAAGAGCGGCGTGGACTCTCAAGTAAAAGGAGGGGCAGATCTCCCCCTTAACCCCCTTGTCTGCCCGCACAGGTAAACGGGGACATGCCAACTAGCCTTCCTTGATCCTTCAAGTGGAACATGATCGACTCCATACTCATTCCCAACACTGCTGTCGTCTGAAAAGACGTCACGAGACTTGTCCGGACAGACCCTTTGACGCGCTCTCACGTGCGTGAACTCCCAAACTGAATTGAGGAGGGCGTAGGACTTACAGGTTTGCACCACGCCAGGTCCCTATTAGCAATCCAAGCACTAATTCTACAGGTTTACCGTTTCAAGTCATTTCAACAATCATAATATTCAGCCAGGAAGCAGGTATGGAGATATAATATAAATTGATATAAAGATGACCCGAGATACTGACTATCTATACACACACGTGCCCAGTATTGCCTGCCACCCCTCCATCGGTAGCAATCCACCTTTTGTATCCTGCACTGCCTTTGTCTCAACCAGGAAAGCCAAATGGAAAAAAACAAACTCGCGAGACAATCAAGTACGCAAAGCAAAACCAAGAGATGAAAAGCAAATGTATATCGAACAAGGTATCGAGGGTTAGAGAACACGATTAAATAAAGATAATCTCGGTAAAAGGACAGGGCAGAAACAACAAGTGGGCCAGCCAAGATGATGTGTGTAGAGATTAGGAACACGCACTTTTTGAGCGCGGGAGATGGTATATGAGAGATGGAGAGAATGCCCAGTATGCCCGACCAAGCCAACCCCGTATTGTTGCCCGTGACCTTTGAAGGAAATGCCAAACGCTATATGCAGTAACATAAAGGAAAATGCATTAACCAGGACAAAAACCAGATAGGAGATGAGATGAGAGGGATATCAGATGAGTCTAGTTTAAGGAGAGTGGGAAAGGAAATCATGGAGATCGTTAAGCACAGTCTTAGTACACGCTGTCCTCGTTGTCATCAGCGCCTTGTGAGATCATCGAGGGCGTGGATACGTCGGAAGCTTCGATGTCGTCCTCGTAGCCAACGAGGGCTTGGGCGTGGAGTCGGAAGGAGTCTCCCATGATCCTCGTGATACTATAGATCGTTAGTGATACTCGGCGAGAGGATGGGTGGGAAATCATGACTTACCCCCAGACGACGACTTCATCGAGCATACCGCCCCAAAGGCGGGCAACGGTTGAGCTGACCTTGGATTCATATACATCAACGGAATCGTCCTCAAAGAGATTCCGGATCTTGTTGTACATGATATGCTCTTCCTCAGTGGGAAGCTCTTCGTCATGTTCCAGACGATAGAGCCACAGACTGAGGATGACCATAAGATCCAAGCCGCAAAGGGGGTGCTCGATACTCCAGTTGGTGGCATGTGTCCTAGCCACCCAGCGGATACCTTGCAGCGCCGCGGTCTCAATGCAGTTGTAGCATTCCTGGATGACCTTGATCATCTCGCTGGATCGCTTGACCTTGTCTCTCGCATTTGACATTGCTGCAGCAACCTCGAAGGAATCGTGGTACCTCAGCGCTTCCTGGATCGATTTGAGGTCAACTTCGAGACGGGCGCGAGCGTTGCGGAACATTGCCATGGCGTTAAAGATCAAGGGATGGCCTTTATGGGGTGCGCTGAGAGGAACAGTGGCTGGCTCAGGCTCACAGAGGTCCAGGGATTTCTCCCAGGTCTCCAGAGCGAGGCGGAGCTTGTATTCCGTGACAACGTCCTGCAGGGCCTCGGGACTGCGCTTGTGGTACCAGACCTCGAGGAAGAGGGCGTTGATCATCACACGCGTGGCAAATGCGCTGTATCGTAGAGATTCGCCCTGGAAGAGATTGTCGTGGGCTTCCATGAAGGTGACGGGTTGCGACGCCTTGAGGTGCTCGGCCCAAGCAGCGTCATCAACAGTATCCTCCAAGTTCCACATGGCCTCGGTCGACGGGAGAGGCAGGTCTTCGAACTCGTTGAAGCTAATCGCAGGCGTATGGTTGTAGGTCAAGGTCAACAGGCCAAAGAAGATATACACGGCGTAGTACGTGCGCCTGCACCCCTCATCCTCAACCCACTCGGTGCGGGTGGGCTGTTCGGATCCACGAGCTTCGATCCGGAGCTTCAGCTCATACCGGTTCCCGGCGACCATGTTGGCGAGCAGACTCTTGATAGAGCACGCCCATTCCAATCCCTTGGGATCCCCACTCCAGCTTGCGAGGACCATGTTCAGCAGCGAGCTCTGCATGGTCCACAGGGGGCACTTGCGCGAGCTGAAATTCTCCTTGTTCTGCAAGAACTGGTTGACGAGCACCTTGGAGCCAATGTGACACATGTACGCCTGCTCTTGGTCGAACGCGTACAAGGCGCCAATCGACAAGACGGCGAGGAGCAGCGGCGGCGAGACCTTGGTCGGCTTGAACGAGGCAGGGTGCAAGAATGGCAAGTGATGATGGAACAAGCTGAAGTACGTCGAGAGGTACCTGTTTATTGATGCCAATCCCGGCAGGCGGAAACTACCAGGAATTGCACGCTCACTGTCGTGGCTGCGGATATTGTCGAGGATGATGTTGCGTTCCTCGTCGCTGAGAACCTGCGGGGGTTTCAGTGCGGGGGCCAGGGATGGCGAGGGCGGCTGCTGCCTGGGGGACTGCTGCGCGGGTGTGGTGGACCCGGATGGGGGCAATGAGTTGATCATTGATTGCAAGGCCGGGACCAGTCCGTTATAGCTGGACGACGCGTATTTGGTGATGGGCGGCAGCTGGTTGGGGTGCTGCTGAGGCGTGCTCACGCTGGTGAAGGAGGTCTGCGAGTCTTGAGACGTCGAGGCGGTCGAAGCAATGGAGTGCGACTTGGGTTCCGTCACCGACTGCGGCATGAAGGAGTCCCACTGCACCTGGGGGAGGGAGACAGCTCCCGAAGGATAGGTGACAGATGGCTCCATGAGCGCGGCACCCTGCGAGTAAGCCATTCCAGGTCTTTCCTCGTAGGGGTCGACGCCCGCGTTGCGCATGGCGGCGGTCGCCTTGTGATGGAGGTCGGTCATCAACATCGCGGCAGTCTCGAGATCAACCATACCGTCGCTGCTTGCCTCGATCTGCTCGAGAGCCGAGGTATCGATGGCAATGGCAGACTTGGACGGCCCAGACATAGTGGTGGCCTTGGGTCCCGCCCGTCGCTTGACGTCGCTGTGAAGAGGGATCCCTCCATCTTTGGCGTGTACCGTTCGGTCGTGTCGAAGCAGCAGATCGCGTCGCACGAAGGTACTCCTACACTTCATGCACTTGAAAGGGCGCTCCTTGGTATCTGCGAGGGCTCATTAGCATACGTAGAATGATTGCATGATGGATAATGAAGGGGGGTGGTGGGAAAGGGAAATGAAAAGGAGATTTGTTCGCCATGCGAGCGAGTCCTTGCACGCGACCCGGAAAGGAGGAGGGTGGGGGGGGGAACCACGGCAACAAACTGCAACTTACGTGATCTCTCGTGTCGACTCCGGTGCTCACTCCTGCTGAAAGCCCGATTACAGAACTGGCATTTGTATTTCTTCTCTGGGGCGAGGGATGATTTTCGAACCGTGGACGATGATGCCGCGGTGGGCAGAACAGACACGCTTGCGACAGGCATGTTGACTTTTAGGGGGGGGAGGGAGGGGGGTAGTGGAGGTTGTCGAGGGATCCAGGGGCTTCTCCTCTTCACAGATCGATGGTTGAAATCGTCTGGCTCGCGAGCGTGGGCGTAGGGCTTAAAGTGTGTCTTGATGGCTTGGATATGTGGTGTTCATTTGTTTGTCTCTTTCTGTCATCGAAGGGGGTGTTGGGTTGTATGCGTGGCCGTGGCCAGAGTCGCGAGGGCAACGGGGGATTCTCGCCTGCGCAAGAACGGGTTGCCGTCGCGTTCGACGAGGGGGTGTGGGTGGTGGTCTGGTGGGATGGAGGCGAGGGATGGGAAGTCTCGAGACAATGGCGAGAGGTCGAGGAGCGGTTGATGAAGGTGATGATGGGTAGAGATGGACGTTCGCCGAGGGCGGGATTAAGGAGTGATGGGTGAGGGTGGAAGGTGAAGGTGAAGGTGAAGATGAGGTGGAAGGGTGATGAGGTAGGTGGATGAGGGGTGAAGAAAAAGAGAGGGGAAACGAAAGAATAAGGGAAGGGGAAGGGATGTGGAAAAGAGGGACGGGGAGAGGAGCGAGGAGCGAGAGAAGTGGGCTGGCTGGCCGGCCAAGGGGTGCGCGAGGGGGGGGAGGGGTGTGCGCAGCAGGCGGAGGGGGGGGGTTAGGGAGGGATTAGGAGGGATTAGGAGGGGTGGGGGGTGGTTGGCGGGGGGGTGTGCGTAGAGCAAAGTGGGCAGACGGAGCAGTGGGAGGGGCTTCCGGGAGCCTTAGTCAGCGCGAACAGAGTCGTAGTCGCGCCCGCGGGCAGAGTCGCTTGTCCCGTTCTAGTCGCGCTGTCAGTGCTACACTATGCTACCGCGCTGCTCCTTGATACTTTCGTAGGCGTAGTCGGTGGACACGCGTTGGCCAGGGCCGGGCAAAGCGTCAAAAGAAGTGTCCAGGATGTATACGGTAGTAACAGTACATACGACACCGCACAGTGGAGAGCCACGGTGGATGAGCGTGGATGTACTGGTACACTACTGGGAGTACTACTGGCAGTCTGGGACGGCGTCGGTGCTGGGATGTACAGAGTGCTGGGATGTACTTGGTGGAGCCCTGATCCCTCGTCAGTGGATGCTGGGACCGACGGCGTCGAGAATAAAAGCGGCGGCGCGCATCCGGGCCAATCGGGACGCGGCACTGGGCGACGGCGGCGCCTGACTAAGACGGCTGGGCGAGTCCCGTGCTGGCCGCTGTAGGGGACGGAGTCGTGTAGGGAGAGGACCGAGGGGCCAGGCGCTGGGGGATGGGGGATGGGAGAGCGTGACGAGCTGAGCTTCATGCCGGTTGCTCCGTGAAGGGGGGTTTTGAGTTCTTGGATCGAAGCATTCGTGTACGGAAATCGTCGTGGGATACAGCTATGAGAGACAGACAGATGGACAGACAGAGACAAACACACAGACAGACACAACAATCCTCCGTACGAATAACAATACACGGTACGACGACTACTCGGCGGGAACGGGCAGTGCAAGGTACCTTGCCTTACCAAGGTTGCTGGAGTCGGTCGGTAGGATGTGCACACTACCGCCCCCCCCGCCCCAATACCGAGGTATCCCATGTAGCATCTACTCCGCACATCCTATTGTTGCTGCTGCTACGGCTACAGCTGCTCTGCTCTGCTCTGCTACAGCTGCTGGGACTATTATTACTATTCCTACTCTCCCACGATCACCACGACTATTATTCCCCCAGTAACTATTACCATTGTTACCATTATCACTGCCCCCCCTTAACTACTTCTCAAGTAGGTACAGTATACTACTAACTACAGTCTACTGCTACACCAAGTAGTATATACTTCAGTAGTCCGTCCCCCCATCCCGTACTACCGTCCGATAGTGCAGTCGTGCCACTTGGTGTCCGATCAACCCAGATCCAACAACACGCCTCTCTCTCTTCGCCCCGCGGAAAGGCTTTGCCTCGACACCAATGAACCCCCCTCCCTCACGCGCGACTCGCTGGCATCTCGTCATTGATTCAGGTTCAGGAGGGGTATCATTGCCCCCCCCAAACTTTCCAAGCAAACAAGTTAAACAACTTGAGAATCCTCCGCCCTGCCAAGATCACTTCGCTATAATGATTTGACTCGGGTCACGATGGGCGGGCACGCGCTCATTGACAGCGATAATGCGCCAACTCAGCACTCTCGTTTCTATCTGTCAATGAGAAGGGAGCGCGGGGGGTGCGTGGTTACTTGGAGGCCTGGGAAAAAAAGAAAAGAAAAGAAAAGAAGATGTTCGTTGTACACGTCTGTTTGTCTGTCTGTTCGTTGTCTATAGACTATACATACATGTACATTGCCTATACATATACCTACATATACATCCATCATCCATGTACCGCGTCTGTCTGTACACAGCCCCGAGAGATCAAATCTCCTGCAGGCGCAGCAGCACATCTGGATCAGACGGAGATTTTGAATTTGGATTATTGGAAAATCTCAGGCGCATCGTCATATTTCATTCAGGTCTTGTCTTACTTTTCTAGAATAGATAGATACCCCCTTATTGTGCCTTTACCCCTCCTGGATTCTCACTCCCCCTTTCTTTTCTTGCTTCTGTCCTTCTTCTTCTTCTTCTTCTTCTCTCCCCCTCTCTCTGCCCCCCTCTCTCCCGCCCCCCTCTCTAAGGTACCTCCCCCTCTCAACGCAGCCATCATACCGTATCTATCTATCATGTGAAGAGCGGGGCCGAGCAATCAATCACCCCTCACATAACATCCGTCCCTCCCTCCCTACCTCCCTCCCTACCTACATATCCAACTTACCTTACCTTACCTTACATACAAATCACACCGCCAAGTCACATGCCCTGTATACACATTCATTCCCCCCTCACCGCACACCACACCACACTACACACTACACACTACACCGCACAATCCAATCCAATCCAACCCAAACCCCAACCGACTAACTAACTACTGCTGTATACCGCCTCTCTCCCGCCCTCCCGCAAGTTCGCAGCTGTCTTACGCAAGGCCCCGCCGGCGGCTTGGGATCCCGTGCTGCCGCCGGGAACGTCCTGCTGTAGCTGCCGCGTGGGGGCTTTTTTCGCATTTCGCATTTCGCATTTCGCATTATTCGCATCTAGATTGTTTTGTTTGTCCCTTTTGTTTCTTTCTTTCTTTTCTTTTTCTCATCCCATTCCACTTCCACCCTATCTACCTTATCTATTCGCCCCTCCAAACACAAAAAATACCCCTCAGAAAAATTGATATCTTTCGTAAATGATTAAACAAATCAATCAAATCTATCTATCCCTTCTTCCCGATCCTATCTACAAAGAACCTCCCTCCCTCCCTCTTCTCTGATCAGCGCGCGCAGCAGGTAGGTCAAAGCCAAGCTAAAGCCAGGTACCTTACCTTACCTTACCTTACCTTACGGTAACGCCCCACCCAAGGCTCAAGGTAGCGCGCGTCGCGGGTGCTAGGGTAACGGTTCCCCGAGTCTGCCGCTGCATTTGCATTTGCATTTGCATGTGCATTGTCCATCGGGTATCGAATCGAATCGAATTGGGGATCTATGGTATAGCGTGGTGTAGTGTAGTGTAGTGTGAAGATGATATAGATTGTATAGATTGTATAGATAGATGATGGATGGTATGGATGGATGGTATGGAAAACGGGTGGGAGATGGGATAAGGGGGGAGATGGGATAGGGGGGAGGGGCAGTCAGTGTGCGTGGTGAGAAAATGTATGATAGGATGGGATGATAAGTGTAAGAGTAAGAGTAAGGTAAGAGGGGGATGGGATGGGAGTGAAGGGAGAGGATGGAATGACTCGTGATAGATAGATATCTTTTTTTTTTGCTTTTGCTTTTTCTGTTTCGTTTTGTTTTGTTTCGTTTTGTTTAAAGGGATGCGATGCGATCGATAGGATATGATATGATATGTTTGATATGTACCTAAGGTAAGGTTTCCATCCCTAGGTAAGGTAGATTCCAGCTACCATGCCATGCCATGCTATGCCATTGACCAAATTTCCATCCCTCAGGTACCTTACCTTACCTTACCTTACCTTACCTATCCGCAGCCCCTCACAGACTGGACTCCCCTCCATGATCCCATCCATCCATCCATCCATCCATCCATCACTCAATCCAATCCAATCCATCACTCCCTCAAAAAAATACGATGATCCATCAGCCTATCTATCACCCTACCAACCCGAGTCAGTACTCAGTAGTCCCCGTCCCCCGGTACCTATCCGCGGCGCGCAACCAAATTTCCAAGCTCCATAAATACCTATGGCTGGCCCCCCCCCCCCTTACCCTAGCTACCTTAGTCGCCCGAGACATTGGGATTCAGAATACTACTCGTCATATTTTCCAGCTTTTCGTTTTTTTTTTCGTTTGTGTGGTACCGGGGATTCGGATAGATTGATAGATAGATAGATAGGTACCTTGCTATGAGCCGGAAGGTAAGGTAGGTAGCTATGGAAGTGTTTGGTTTTTTTTTTTTTTAGTTTCGTGTTTGTGTGTATGTGGATGTGGGATGCGTGGGGGGGGGGGGCTTTTTAAAAGCATGAAGAGAGAGAGAAGAGAAGAGAGCACACGTGGGCATTATCTGATATCTGATATGTATGTACCTTGCATAAGGTACATACATACTCTGTACAGAATAAGGTACGTATTGTTGTAGCTAGCCAGCCAGCCAGCGTACAGCAGCAGCCTCTCCTCTCCTCTCCTCCCGTCTTCATGAATCAAGCAAACAAGCACAAGTTCATACCTTACCTTACCTTACATATCCCATCCCTCCCTCCCTCCCTCCCTCCCTCCCTCCCTCCCTAGCTACCTTACCTTACCTTACCTTACCTAGCGCTACTACAACATCACATACCTACCAAAATGCGAGATCCGATCCTCCCCCCCTCCCCAAAAAAACGAGATTCCAATCCCAAGAGCCGGGCCTTGGGGGATTAGCTTTTTCTTTTCCTTGGGACATCGCGTCGCGCTCCGGGTTCCGCGGGGAGGGGGGGGGCGCCCATCGGTAGTGTCTCTGACTCTCTCTGTTCTTCTTTTTCCCTTTCCTGTTCCTGAACCTAGCTTAGTAGTTTTCGCTATGGGCTGGCTAGGTACTTATGGAGGGGAGGGGTGGTAATATAGGTAGGTAGGGGAGTTTCGTGTGATTGATTCGTGGGATCTTCTTGGCACGCACGCACACGCGTTTGGACTACTGGACAGGTAACGGGACGGACGGGGGCCGCGGGATGGGATGGGATGGGATGGGTGGGGTGGGGGGGTCGGTCATGTGATCTCGGGTAGCTGACGGGAGTGAGGTGTGTGTGCGGGTCCTGTTGTATCCGGCTGCGAACTGTTTTGTTGTTTGTGCTTTTACTCTCTGTCTGTCTGTCTGTAGGTACCTGATGATGAGGTGTTTAGACAGTCAGTTGCTTGGATCCCTCCTTTCCTTTCCTTTCCTTGCCTCCCTACCTATCTATATAGACAGATAATAACATCATTCTTCACAAAGAACCAAAGAACCTCTTCATTCATCGACTCGTCTCGGCCTCCGGATTCCACCACACGAGTGGGACGGGCCTGTCCTTCCACGCCTTCGGTAACACCGCACCACACAGCTTCGGGCATGGCGCGCACGTTGTTGGAGCGATCGGCGGCTGTGCAGGGATCGCCTCGCTCTGCATAAGGTAAGAAGGAAGGGCCAGGGATTTTGATGGAAATGATGGATCATGGATGGATGGATCATGGATGTGTGGATGTGGATGTGGATGTGGACATGAGCAACTTTTTCTTACGAGGGAGTGAGTAGTAGTGTGTATAGATTCCGGTCGGTTGGGAGTTATGTATAGGTACAATAGGTACGGGATGATTAAATCGAACGAGGTACGATAGATAGAGAGCTTGGATGTGGATAGATACCTAGGAAGCTTCTATGGCGACGTATCTGAATGACACAGTGGTATATATACACACCTTACTTACAGTATGTACAGATGCACACATGAAATGAGCATAATCCGATTCGCATCTCGATGATCGCGCAAGGTACCGTTCCGTACCTGACCTTACACTCCCCTCCAAAGCCAAGCCAAGCCGAACTCAAAACTCGGGTCGGGTCGGATTCCGTCTCTTATCTAGGGCCCGAGGCGAACAAGGCCCCACCACCAAAGAGGCAGCTCGGTCGACGGCTCCTAATCTCCTGTCCTGTCCCTGCCCTGCTTTCAGGGGTTTCCGGAACACGAAGAGAGAGAGAGAGAGAGAGAGAGATTTCGGATTATGGAGTTTGGGGGATGTGCGAGAGGAGGGGGGGGAGGATGATGGAGGGGAATATTTTGAAGAATTTGATGGAATTGAATTGAATTGAATAGGATGGGATGGGATGGGATGGGAAAGAAATATGGAAGGCAAGGAAGGAATTAAAAAAAAGAGCAAAACCACTCACTCACTCACTCGTTCATCTATCTCTCAACCCCTCCCTCCCTCTCAAGATACCTTACTCAACTCTTAAAAGCCAGCCACACAGTGCGCACACGCATCTATCCACATGCCACATGCCACCCACAATCTCTACTACTTACTACCTTACTATCTCTTATTTACCTAGTACCAAGTTACAACTTACGACCAACCGTTAATAATCCGCCTCATCAAATTCTAACGACGCTTCATATCATGTCTTACATTTCTGAGCCTCCCTGTCCTGCCACATGGCTGGCTCGCTCACCGCGACGACGGAATATCAATCCGGCTACCTACTTGCGTTCGTTCCATTATTAGTGACCGCCTCTTTTACCTCCCCGCCAAGTTGCCAACCAACCTATCATATCCTAACTATTAAATACTACAGTGCTACACCGTTTGTTATTACAAGGCTTCTTGAACTGAGGTACCTGCCACGGCTTCTTTCCTCTCTATAGTGAGTGGAGTATCATGATCCGGCAAGCGAACACCGTGATAACGAAAAGAAAACGGGTGATGGATAAGGGTAAGGTAAGGTAAAGTAAGGTAAGGTAAGGTAATAGCTTTATTGTTGATTAGGATAAGGAGCTGAGGTGATGACTGGATATCTATCGTCTTGTGAGTAACTGTAAGTAAGGTAAGTAAGTGTAACGAAAGAGTGTTTGAGATTTTTTGGACCTGGCCTGCCTGGAGGCATGTGATGGGGAGGAGAGTGATTTTTTCTTTCTAGTTAGTTAGGGGGGGGGGGGAGGGGGTTATGGACCTACTGATGATGATGATGATGATGATGATGATGATATTATGATCTATGGTACAGTAGAAGTAGAATCAGAAGATCAATCAATCAACCATGAATGACTCTAGAAAGCAGACATACCCCCCCCTCCCCTAAACAAGCTCAGTAAAAGAAAAAGTAAAGTAAGAATCTCGCAGAATCCCAAATCCCAACTATAGCACATGAATACCTAAATCCCATCCTATCCTTCTAAGTGTGAGATCTTTCTTAAATATACCTTAAGAAGGGGCAGATACCTTAATTGTAGAATAGGATAGGAGAGGAGAGTAAAGGTCGGGGTTGGTTAATGGGATGTTCTGTTATTTGTAACTTTAGGTAAGGTAAAGTGAGGTAGGTAGGATCAAAATCTGGAGATAGAGATACAGAGGCTGGGAATAGCTTCATTAATAACCAGAACTCTATACCTATCTATCTATCTATCTATCTATCTATCTACTATCCCACGAATACCCCCTCTCTCCCGAGCGAAACGAGTATCTCGTCGCGCCTCCTTCCCTACGAATCCTGCGTGTTCCAGGCACAGCCCATCCATCCATCCATCCCGAGAGAGCTCGCTCGCTCGCTCGGCTGTCTCGAAACACCTCCCTCCCATCCCGCCCCCTAGTCAATATGCCATGCCATTTTTTTTCGCATGCCCTACTGTACCGTGCCGCTCCGACCGTTACACAGAAGATGCATGGATGATGGTAGGGCGCTGTCGTCCGGCCGGAGATACTTGATCTTTTTCCTGAAGATCCCCCCTGGGCTACCTAGCCGTGCCGTGCTGGCGAGCCGAGGAGGGTGGGACACGTGATCTGGCATAGATCGAGAGGCGCGGGGTCTTCCATTGGTAAGGTACAGTAAGGTAAGGTAAGGTACGGTGAGGTGAGGTGAGGTGAGGTGAGGTGAGGTGCTCATGCAGATGGAGAGCCTGGAGGGACGAGGAGGGAGGATGTTACGATGGGGGAGAGAGCCTAGAGGAGTGCGTTGGGCCGTTGGCAGATCTCTAACGGTGGGCAGATCTCTAACGGTGGGCGAGGGACCTGCTGTATAGGTACAGGAGAGGCAGATGCTCGGAGACTGGAGCGTTTCCGGGGTGGGATGTGCTCAAGACTCTCCGGTTGAGATGGAGGAGACAGTCCAACACATTCGTACTTCGCATGAACGGATCGCCTCCAACCACTCGCACCCGGAGCTCATGTCGGCGAGATTAATATATAAATATATTAATATTGGCAGACAGCATTTGCCATTCATACGGAAGCTGTCCGGCAAGGGGCCTAGAAAGGGGTCGGGGGCTCAGTGCACGCCCTACGGATCTACAATCTAGACAATGGAGGCTTCCAACGTCCACGCTTGGCCGTCTCCTTTCCCCGTACCGTACGCTTCTGTCTCTACTCCAGAATCCACCGTGACAGAATTGGGATGCTGGTCGCGTGTATGGCCTCGAGTGAGGCGGTGGGATACGTGCCCTACAACATCCGTGGAGCAGAAATTCCCGACTCGCTGCAGACCTGCCATGGCATCTGCAGCTGCCAGGCGCAAGCGAAGGCTTTTTGTGGCTTGGGGACGAAAACGTTCGCTCGACATCGCTTCGTCCGCCCTGTGTGCTGAGGTGATGAGACCTTGCGCGGAAGAGGCTACGTTACCGCACGTATAGATATCTTGCAAGGAGTGCGGATCCGTGTGTGTGTGCACTGTGTGGATCGATTGACAATTTGACATCTTCCCTATTTCCTCTCTGGCCGTCGGAGGCTCCTGGAGATCCAAGACCCCCTTTCCTCTTCCTGGCTCTCCCCTCTGGTTCCAGGAGCCGGACTGGCCGCTGCTTGACCACTTATCCTGCAAGACATATGTAACTCGAGCAAAACGACTGTCAACTGAGTCAATGAGCGGCCATGCCCTCTCGCCGGCCTCTTGGGTGCCCCTCTTGCCTCAGCTTCCCCGGCACAGCCTGGCAGACGTCGCTCAGCTGCGCACAGAGGGCTCTGAGGTCGCACATAATAAGGGTATCTGATCCCGACGTGACCATGAGTGTGAGGGAATCTGCTGCCTGAGAATCATCACTTCGCCTTCGTTGTGTTCGCTCGTGCATGCCCAGCTTACCTACCCTATACCCCGCAGTGCTCACGAGAGCGCCGGACCCTCGAGATAGATAGGTAGATGTCCCATATATACACATCCAGGTCCAGATCCGTATACATGTATATGTATATGTGCAGGCGCATGTATTTGCATCGGTGCAGCCGTAGACTCTGCGACTCAGATATCGTATGTCCAGCGTCCACCTCTCTGTCCGCTGTCAACAATCCACCGCACGGAGGTCTTGTCGACAAATCCTCGCCTAGAGCGTTTGCGGCATAGCGGGGTTTCCCAGAGGCCCTCCCTCCGCCAATCTCTTCCCCGACCGCGATAACTGCTCGAGGGTCGAGCGGTGATACTCCCACATTTCTCCCCCCAGCCCGTCCCTTTTGTCGTCGTCGTCGTCGTTGTCGTCGTCGTCGTCTGCTATTATTCGAACCCCCCCCCCCCCCGGTCGAGATCCCGTTGGATTCTATAGCGGTGCTACAGCCTACCGAAGACCAGTCCAGTCGCTGCTCGCTCGCCCCTCGCGTCGCTCCAAATCGCCAATCAGCCGGTTGAAACTTGGGGCCCAAACTTATCACCCCTCGGCCTCACCTCCTGAATGCGAGTCTGCTGTCCCCGACCCCCGCGGCTCGATCAACCAAACCTGTGCTCTGCCCCGTATAGTGACGACGGATTGTCTGTCAGCAAGACTGACTTATTATTCGTCTCGGCCCCGTGGTGGCAGACAAACCCAGCGAATTGGATGCTTACATACCCGCCGAAAGCGTAGGAACCGACCACTCACGTCGCGATCCCCAGAAATCCCCCAGTATAGCAGAAGAGGACTCCTCCTCCTTCCTTCCTGCCCCTCGTCCCAGATTCTGAGATTCGGTGAGGAGGCCCCCCCCCCCCGGATACACGCGCGCCGGCTTCACGACCACATCCACGCATTACACAACGGGAGGAGCGGGTCTGACGATGACTGATTGATCCCTCCACGCCGCATCGACCCAACATCACGATGATTATGACACTCCGCAGCAACGGCATATTCCCTGACCAGCAAAACTCGCAAGATTTCAGCAACTACTCGACCAAGTCAGGTCAGATCGCCGAGACTGTTGTTCAGTACGACGAGGAGGAAGTGTCACCACGCGATCGCCTAGGCAGCCGATCTGGTTCAACATCATCTAACGGGTTCCCCTTGGAGTCGCAGAATTCGAGAGCCGCAAAGGCTCAGAGATCACCGCCTCTGATGAACGGATTGTTGGGAAATGCGCCGCAGCCGGTGATGTACGTGCGGGCGCTCTACGACTACGAGGCGGATGATAGGACGAGTTTGAGTTTCCACGAGGGGGATATAATACAGGTTATCACACAGCTGGAGAGCGGCTGGTGGGATGGGGTCATCAATGGTGTCCGCGGCTGGTTCCCGAGCAATTACTGTCAGGTCATCACGAATCCCGAAGATGGCCTGGACGGAAATCAAGATGGAGCCAGAGGGGATATTGATGACGACGCTGATGAAGAGGAGGATGAACAGGATGAATACGAGGATCAGTACGAAGATGAGGCAGAGTCGGAGCGGGAAGACAGGACGCAATTACAGATGGACAGAATGAGCAGTAGTGAACGGACCAGGGCCGATTTCTGGATACCGCAGGCCACCCCAGATGGGCGGCTGTTCTACTTCAATACCGAGACTGGAGAGAGCAGTATGGAACTACTCCTAGAATCGCCATCGTCGCCTACGGAGACTGGACCTCGGAATCGAATGAATGTCAATATCCCAGAGAAGACGAGGCCGCCGACGGAAATGATGGCCCGAGGCTATATGCAAGATGAGGACGATGAGTCTGACGGGAATTCTGCATCTTAAATGGAAGGAGAATCTATCCTGCTGGCCTCGCAAAGTTCCTATGTGGTAAGTCTAGGCTTCCCCGCATTACCATTTTTGTGTTGCTTAAAGCTAACCCCAAAAGCGCCAGTCAATGCTCTCGGACGGGATATCCCCTGCAACATCCATGGATTCGATGAACAATGGAATGTCCCCTACCAGGCGACAACGCGGCGATACTTTCTCGCACCCGACTCTTTCCATGGGAAGCACGTTGCCCACCACTGGAACTTCTCTCACCTCCTTTACAAACCCCTCACTCGGCCCGCCACATGCCGCAACGCTGCCTCGGTCCTTTTTTGATGATGGAATAGCTGCCCCCTTAACATGGAACAGACTTGTAGCCAATATGAAGAGAGCCGTGGATCTGTACAAGGAAGCGATCAATAACAATGATCGATCAGAATATGTACCCCGGGCCGAAGATATATCGGACCATCTTCGGTTACTACTTGCAGCCGGCTCAGGCACAACAGACAACCATTCTGGCCAACCGTCTATTATATCTACAAACAAGGCGCTATATCCACATTTCCGGGATATGATGTCGAAGTTTTCAAAACTTGTCATTTCTTCACATATAGCCGCGGCAGACTGGCCTGGCGCGGATTCATATCAAAAGTGTTTACAAGAAGCCGATGGTGTATTATTAGGAGTCTACAGTTACGTCGAGGTTGCCAGACAACAACGCGGGGAAGAGATCCCTAGACTGCTACCAGGATTCGTTATTGGGAGCACTACCGGTGGAAGCTGGCAAAACAACGGGCTTGGTCCCCAAGATCCAATGACATCCAATTATCTGGACGAGGATGAAAATCACATAGAGCCGACTGCGATCCTGGATGCTAAATTGATGGAACGGTTGGATGACCTGAAGCGAATGCTAATCTCAAGTATCAGAAAGCTGGAGGAGCACCTCACAGTTTCAGACAAGATCATTACCCCTTACCGACATGAGATTATTGGCAACAATGTCTGTACAGCAGCGCGAAAGGTCTTGGAAATGTTCAAGCCGTGGGTATCTGCGATCGAGTCAATCAATCTGTCGTCTCTTGGAAACACCTTCCAAAACCCTCAGTTGCTCGACTTTGCTTCGTACAAGCAAGGTTTGTACGACAACGTATCGGATCTAATCATGGGGTGCCAGGCAGTTTCAGCACCTCTGGGTGACGAGTGGGCAGAAGTACGAGGGGAATCACTCGAGGCTCGGCTCAACAACGTCCGACAATGTGCAAAGTCGCTCGAGGCAAATTCGTCTCATGTCGCCTTTTCACTACAACTGTTGGGCGAGCAAGTGGAAATGATGCTGCAGCAGGAAAGCAAAATATCGCCCCCTCGAGAAGATAGCCGCGCACGCGATCCAAGAAGAGGTGATAGCTTGCCGGCTGAGCAACGTCCCGGTCACAAACCCACATACTCCCGTGGCAACATCAATAACATCCTACGGCCAGGGTTGGCTGGCATTGGTCAATCAGTGTCATATTCTGAGGGCGATCCAGCTCCTCCTTACCGCAAGGGTGAGAATTCGAAAGTTAGGAAGTTCTTCGGGGAAGAGCCTGGCAGGAATCAGCAAGATGACACACCCGACTGCTTAAAATTAGACCATGAAGACGATATCTCATACGACACGAAGGTCCAGCCTCCCGTGCTAAAGGGTGGAACGCTCTTGGCATTGGTTGAACAGCTGACTCGTCATGACAAGTTGGATTCGAGCTTTAACAACACCTTCCTGTTGACCTATCGCTCATTCACTACTGCTCGGGAGTTGTTCGAGTATCTGGTAATGCGGTTTCAGATCCAGCCGCCGGAAGGCCTGGCTCCAGGTGACTACGAGATCTGGCGAGACCGCAAGCAGAAGCCCATTCGTTTCCGAGTTGTCAATATCTTGAAGAGCTGGTTTGACAACTTCTGGATGGAAGATCAAAGCGAAGAGACGAAGGCTCTCATACGCGACGTGTATACGTTTGCGAGAGATACCGTCAAGACGACCGAGACTCCTGGTTCTGGTCCGCTGATGACAGTGCTGGAGCAACGGTTACGGGGACAAGATACTACCGCAAAGCGGTTAGTGCTGACACTGAATCAATCGACACCCCAGCCTATCATGCCAAAGAACATGAAGAAGCTCAAGTTCCTGGATATCGACGTCACAGAGTTCGCTCGACAATTGACCATTGTCGAGTCAAAACTCTATGGCAAGATCAAACCCACGGAGTGCCTGAACAAGACCTGGCAGAAGAAAGTGGCCGAAGGTGATCCAGAGCCCGCACCGAATGTCAAGGCGCTGATTCTCCATTCGAATCAACTGACCAACTGGGTGGCGGAAATGATATTGACGCAGCTGGATGTCAAGAAGCGCGTTGTTGTCATCAAGCATTTTGTTCTTGTAGCTGATGTAAGTTCTATATCCTTCTCCTGATATTCCGGTCTGACCATGATAGAAATGCCGCGCCCTCAATAATTATTCGACACTCACATCCATCATCTCTGCGCTCGGTACAGCACCGATCCACCGATTGAAGCGCACTTGGGACCAGGTCCCTGCGAAGACTTTAGCGGTGTTGGAGTCCATGCGCCGTCTTATGGGCAGTACGAAGAACTTTGGTGAATACAGAGAGAGTTTGCATCTCGCCAATCCACCTTGCATTCCCTTCTTTGGTACGTCCCCCCCCTATCTTGTGGATGAATCGCAGCTTACATAATCAGGGGTGTACCTGACCGATCTCACCTTCATCGAAGATGGTATCCCTTCTGTCATCAAGAAGACGGAATTGATCAATTTTGCCAAACGTGCCAAGACGGCTGAAGTGATTCGCGATATCCAACAATACCAGAACGTACCTTATCCCTTACAGCCCGTCTCAGAGCTGCAAGAGTATATATTGAGCAATATGCAAGCTGCCGGGGATGTGCACGAGATGTATGAGAAGAGTTTGGCAGTTGAGCCGCGTGAACGAGAGGATGAAAAAATAGTGAGGTACGTTAGGTAGACTGACTGCTTTATTCCCAGGCGGCTTCCTCTTAGAGGAGCCACGAGGAGATGTGAAGCTCGCAATTCCTGAAGCGCTAGCAAAGTGTGGAAGAAATGCGCTTACACAGTGGTGGAAATAGGGTTTTGGCCGAATCCGGCTTTCTCTGATCAATACCACCAATGCAAACCTTACAGCACGATATACGGATACCCTTCTTTGCCCATCAAACGCTCGAAGACGACGATACGAAACATTTCTCACGCCACCACCGTACCACAACGGTACCATCACCTATAGGACGCCTCCAAAAGTTCACCATCATTTACATCCATCCATACCCCACATCATCTCACAATCGCATCTCGACATCCCGAACATATATAACCCCATTTTCCCAGGCCCCGCGCATCACACCACATAGAAAAGGACAAGGGCCCCCCTTACAAATCTCAGTCACCAGATAGCGGGCGCGGAGTTTCCCTTCCTTTTTTTTTTCTTTAAAATCCCCAGGTCTGCACATAGCGGTATTTTCCATATTCATCCCATCGTGGGGGGAAGGAAGGTGTAAGGATTTCGTGTATAGCGGGGCATATATTCAACGCACAGGCGCTTTTTTTTCTCTGTCCTGGTCTATTATCTAGGTATACCAATTAGAGAGAAATGTTTGAAAAGGGTGTCTTTTTTTTTCAACTCGTCGTGCAGTTGTGTGTGATGTATCGTGGTTGTGATTTGACCCGTAGGAATCTATCTTGATGCGGAGAACGCATAGTAAGGTAAAACATAAACCTCGTCGCTCTTTCACTGAAGTATTTACTACTACTTGCTTATTATCTATCTACTCCTTTAATTCGTGTGGCTTAAGGAAGTGAAAGGAGGGCTGGGTTGTTATTAGTTTTGAAAAAAAAATGACTTGTTGATTGAGAAAGTAAGTAAGTAAGCTTTGGACCGATTCAAGTAAGAAGAATAATTAGGCGACTTTTTAATATAAGTGGTACTTTACTTCTAAGAAGTACCTACATAACTCTATCACCCTCTCAACTCCCTCCTCACTTCCTCCTCTTCGCCGCTCTCTTCTCCGCCCTAACATCCTTCTTCAACCTCGCATCCACAATCTTATATTTCCCCTTCACACCTCTCGGTCTCCCGGAAATCCCTCTATTGCCACCGCGAGCAACGACCACTTTCACTTCCTTTCTCGGTTTCTTCTTAGCCGCGCGACTCATCAGCTTCGCGATGCTCTGCGCCTTCTCCTTCTCCGTCATGCCCTCCTCGTCCGCTAGGAGCGCCGATTTCTTGCGCAGCTTCTCGAGCCGCTGCGCGGCGTGGAATTTCTTCCGGTCTTTGGCCTCGCGCACTTTCTTGATCGGGCGCGCGTTTAGCGCGCGCTGTTTTTCTTTGAGTGCGGCGGCCGCGGCGGCGGTTATGGGCCGGTGCGGCTTGTCGTGCCGCGCTTCGTCGTCGAGAAACCATTCCGGCAGCCCGTCGCGGTCTTTGAAACTGTGCTTGGTGAAGGAGGCGTCGATGAGATCGTGCTTGGAGCGTTCGCCAGAGGCGAGTTGTTGCGCGAGCGTCATGGCTTCGGCGGTGATGATCTCGATGTCTGGGGGGTGGGGGTTAGTTTTTTATTTCTTTTTGTGTTGGGAGGGGAGAAATAGGGGGGAAGTACCGAGTTTTCCATCCTTGCGAGGCTCGTCCTCATCTTCCCATTGGGTTTCAGATTTGCGTTTCACGACCTCGAAACCATCTTCTGAGTCGCTGGCGGAAGACGGCTCTGCTTCGGCCGCGGCAGGTATGTCGGATTCCGAGTCCTCCTCCGTGACCTTGTTCGGCCGCAGCGAAGCCAGCTGGTCGAGATGCGCGTCGATCTCGGCTTCGTCGTCGTCGGGGAGCTCTTCAGACTCAGGCTCGGCTGGGATGCCGCCGATGTCTTTGAAGATGTCTTGATCGAAGAACTGGGCCGCGCGCTTGGAGAGGCCGCCGGCCTTCTTCTCGCTCCGGTCTAGATCGGTCAGGAGTGGGCGTCTTGAAGGACCCTCCTCATCATCTGAAGAGTCACTGCTGTCCTCCTCAAGCTCATCCTCGTCGCTAGAACGGTTGTCTGCTGAGAAGCCCTCCCAGTCCCCGTCTTCATGCTCCTTGCGTGCTTTCTTCGCCCGGTACTTCGCGTCGACTTCTGATTTCCGTTCCTGGTACTGCTCGTACATGGAATCAAGCTCTCGGTCAAGCTGGTCCGCTTCGGAATCGCTCTCCTCGTCTGTCTCTGCGTCGTCAAACCCGCTGTCAAAATCTTTTCGAGCCTCCGCCTCTGTCAGGATAGCCATCTTCCCCTTGGCAATCTTGTTTACGGCGCCCTCCTTATCAATAGGTTTCAGTGCAAACATTGCTCCGTCGCCTGTAGGCCCTGCTTGCTCTAGACCGATCTCGGTCGGTGCCGTCATGTGTAACTGCATTCGGATTATCTCCTTCTGCTTCTTCTCGTTCTCCCTTCGTCGCTCTCGCTTCTTCCGTGCATTCTCCTTGTCGCGCAGTGCCTGTAGCTCCTCCTGGATCTTCAGCTCTTCATCCATGGGCTCCACTTCCGCGACCTCCTCTCCCGCAGCTTCCTTGGTAGTCTTCTTCGTGGCGAAGCCGAACTTCTCTCGAACCTTCAATCGCCATCTCAGCAGGTTACGGAATTCTTTCCTTCCAAGCACCCTGAGATCGGCACAGCAGTCACGGATCTCTTGTGTGGTTTCTGGCAATTTGTCCAGAGCAGCGAGCGCGACGTCGCCATTAGGAGGTTGCTCAAAGCTCAAACGGTTTAGACTTCCCAGGATGGCGATAGGATCAGTGGTCTGGATGAACTCGCTGGCCGGGACTTCCTTAAACTGCGTATAATTCCCCTCCTCATAACCATCTCTCTTGCGCTTCTTGATTTCCGGGTTGAAAACCTTCGCTTCATTGTTTGGCGTAGGATCTGATAGCTCCGCAAAGACAGAGCGGGGATCCAAGAACCTAGGATCAATTCGTTTCGGTGCCTTGAAACCCTGACACACCACGAAAATTTCGGCAGACACATTTCTGGACGAAGGGGGCTTCGTAGCTTCAACTTTCGTGAATAGCTGGTTGAAGACCCAAAGAAGACTGTTGTAATCCTTTGATCTGAACACCTTCGTGACAAAAGTTCCTCCTTCCACAAGAAATTCAGTGGCAAGTTTCATGGACTGGAGAGCCAATTCCGCTTGATTGAAAGAATCCTGAACCCACGCAGTACCAACATTCGGCGCTCCATCGTGCAGAACTGTATCGGCTTTCCATGTTTTCAAATGCTGGCGGATCGTAGCTCGACATTTCTCGGTCGTGATATCGCTCTGGAAAGAAATAACTCTGGGTATAGGCTTTATAGGAGCGAGATCCACTCCAACGATGAGACTGCCAACTGGCATGGTCTCTGCTGCAACTTGACACCATGACTAAAATATATTAGAATAATATCTCTAAGATAATATGACAACACATACTCCAGGCGCAGCGCAGAGATCCAGCAGGACCTTGCTTCTCTCCAAAAACCCATACTTCTTATTTAGCTGAATTAACTTGAATGCAGCTCTGGCCCGGTACCCCTTCTCCTTGGCCAATTTATACCATTTATCGAGACGACCCTTTCCATGCTTCTTCTGGATACCCATCGCGTCGAATCAGGGCCCGTCCGCCGTGTGGTCGAATATTAAGAACTGGATGCTAAATTCCAGATGTCCAGCCCGCATTTAAATTTTCGGGGTCGGAATTTCTTCAAGACGCTAAGATAAGAACTTGGCGACGCTGTATCGGGACTAGCGGCGATGCGACCACGTCGGAGACGCGACTGGGTTTGGCGTTTGGCGTTTGGCGTTTGGCGAAGCGCGAGGTGGTCGTGCTCACTTTTCATATTCGTCTTGCCTCCAGCAACTGTGCCGTCCAAAGTGATTTGGTATTGAGTATCGAGAGCCATTGTCTGTCTATCATCATGTCTTCAAGCAGCCCCCCAGGCAGGAGAACACCCCCAATCGGTGAAGAGCTCCCACTATCAAACCAACACTCATCTCCGCCTCAGAATCCACCAACCTACGGACGAGGCGGTAAGAGAGAGAGACGAAACCCTTCCATAACGCCCAGGAAATTCAATCGATTCTTTACTCCACGCTCCCTCAGATCATCCAATGTGTCCTCTTTCCGGCAGGCACTACACGAAATCAGCGGTCCAGCCAACAGTCGAAACGCACCACAATCGAGTCCGAGTCAACCCTTCAAAAGCATATCTGGCCAAGAGAACACCCCGACCGCCTTCCCCAGGGACCTGAAGCGCAGAAAGCTATATCAGACCCCGGAATCCTCCCCCGAACATAAATACTTAGAGGACAAGCAGCAGGAGGTTGGTTTCATGGTCATGCAAGATGGAGAATCGAGAGGAGATCCACAGAATATCCCTTCATCACCATGTGAGCGGATACCACGAAGCTCAAAAAACATTCAGGAGGAAGAGTCTCCAGAGCCTTTGAAGCGGATAGTTCAGATGGAGGACCGTGGGATCAGCGCTCGGTTGTTGCAATTGAGTATTGGTGCTCCAACCAGGGCACGTCAACATCTGTATTATCCTGTCAATGGTATGTTTCTCTACCTCCCAATATAAGACCAAGCTGATAATCCTCTAGATTGGCAAAATGAGACTGCATCATTCTGTAGTAGACCGGAAGATGTTCACTTGACCACCGGCATTGAAGGTCCTCATCGTGTAATCCCATTTTGTGCTACCAGCTGTAATAGTAAGTCGAGTACGATAGTCTTTTTATTACTGAACAATACTAACTGCAATTCAGCCAATTCTCTTGTTGCAATAGGCGATGAGGAGGGCCGGATACGCCTTCTGGAGTCTGATAAAGATTCGAAACCATCCTTCTCAGATGTTTACCTTGCCTTCCGGGTTCACACTAATGCCATTATCGATATGGTCTTTTCTGAGGACGATAGTCTTCTCGCAACAGCATCAGGCGACCAAACGGCAAGGGTAGTTGATATGGCTACTCAGACGACTTTTTCTGTACTTGCACATCACTCAGCCTCCTTGAAACAAGTGCGTTTCATGCCTGGAAGCAACAGTATTCTTGCTACCTCTAGTAGAGATGGCGGCGTTAAGATATGGGATCTCAGATGCAAGGGGGATGATGGTCCCAGACATCACTTCTATGCACATGTTCCAAATGGTCCTATCACTACGCATGCGGCAGCCAGACAGCCGTCATGGGGACGTCCCATCAACAGTATAGTTGACGCTCACCGGTATTCGTCTTACAGTCGTCTGGGCCGAACCGATCCTAGCAATGATTTACCTTCTCGCGGTGAAGCTCCGGGAAGGACAGGCGACATGTCAGTCACCGCAATCCAATTTCTACCGCAAGGCCAAGAACATCTTCTACTCACAGCTTCGGAAGGAGATGCTTCCGTCAAGCTATGGGATATCCGCTCTATACACAATAAACGTAAGGAACATATCGCCCTCTCGCAGACCAAGCAACCTCAAAGCCACAGCCAATGGCGACATTTTGGAATCAGCTCTATAAACCTCAACGGCACCGGAACGCGATTATATACCCTCTGCAAAGACAACACCGTCTACGCATACTCCACAGCCCATCTGATCCTCGGAAGCGCTCCTGAGCTATCTCTTGACAACCCCGGCCGTCGCCTTGCACCCCGAGAAACAAAAGAGGGATTAGGCCCCATGTACGGCTTCCGCCATCCGCAATTCCACGCCACATCCTTCTACGTGAAATCCGCGATGCGCAGAGCTAAAGATGGCCAGAGTGAGCTACTAGCCGTCGGCAGCAGTGACGGATGCGCCGTCCTATTCCCCACCGACGAGCGCTACCATCTCCCGCTGCGCCAACCGCGCTCCCGAGCCGACAACGACGAAGCAGCAGCAGCCGCCCCTCCTCGACCCCCCATAAGAAGCGTACCGAGGAGAGCCATCAGTGCACGAGGAACAGCAATCGAGAACGACATCCCCATGTCGACGAACGGCACCCCGCTCATCCGGGGCCATGACCGAGAGGTCGGTAACCTGTGCTGGACGCACGGCGGCGGCCTGATCACCGTCGGCGACGATTATCTGGTCAGATGCTGGCGCGAAGACGCGGATGAGGCCCGCGATCTACGCGTGGCTGGTGAGTCTGGCGGGAGGAGATGGGCTTGTGGATGGGCGGATGTAGAGCCTGGGTTCGATGAGGATGATGATTGATTAGAATTATTAATAGATTTTTGAGTGTGAGAGCGAGTAGTTATTATGTTGCATTTGGCATTTGTTTCTTTATACCTATATAGCGTTGGAGTAGTGATAGATAGATGGATGGTCTTATGACGATGATTATGATGATGATGATCAAAGTTTAATAATAAAAGTACCATTTGATCTGATTTGATTTGAATTCACCATCAGTACAAATGTTGAGTTTATGGTGAATTTTCCAATTTGATTATCCATACAGGCCATACTAGCTTTATTCATGTTCATATCCATATCATCCTACCTATATATATATTTATATTTACAAATGGAAGGAGGAGGAGGAAGATGCTCAATCAATAAGCAACCAAACTCGTCAAGCCATCCAGCTCCCGCTGGAAGTTCCGATGCTGCGAAATACTATACGCATAAGCGTCCAGGAAGTGCTTAGCGCCCTTCATCATCTTGAGGCCCTCCTTAAGGCTCTCCGGCTTGCCGACTCCAGCCGCCGTCACGACACCGTAGGAATCGAGCACGTCGCCGGTGCTGTATACCATGCCGTCGATATTACAGGCTGTTTGCACGAGCTTGACGGCGTCGCCGGTGGCGCCGATGGCTTTGCAGTGGCCGAAGGCTTCGCGCACCCAGTGGACAACGCGGCCTTGCTTTTGGAGCGTGGAGACGTGCTCGCCGCCGGGGATGTAGACTGAGTCGAAGAGGGTACTACGCGCGCCTTCGAAGTGGTGGTCGGGGGTGACGCCCTTGCCGCCGCTGGAGGGAATCACGGGCTGGCGCCTGGGACCAATGGTTACGGGAAAGGCCCCGGCAGCGGAGAGGGCGGTTTTCACAGCCTCGTACTCGACGAGGTTGAAGCCGTCGGCGATGATGATGGCGACGGTGCGGGTAGCGATGGTGGGTGGCAGACGTTGGGCTTCGCGGCTAAAGTCAAATTGGGAGAGGCCTTTGACTTTGCGGTTGTGGTTGGGGGTGGTGGCTTTGGTAGGCTTTGGGGCGCCGGTCTTCTCGGCGACGGCTTGGGCGAGGTCGAGAGAGATGTCGCAGAGACGTTGAGCCATGTTGTTGTAGACGATGGGGTCGTCGCAGTGGTCAAGTTCGAAGGAGAGGGCGGCGGTAAGGTGGGCTTTCTCAATGTCGGAGAGGGAGTTGTAGAACAGCTGTGGTTGCTTGAAGTGCTCGGAGAACTTGGCCGAGTGCATACGTTTCTTCATAGCTACAACCTTCTCAGGGAAGTCGATGTAGCCGCCCTCGGAGGCTTTGGCGGGAGGGAAGACGGAGGCGCGGTTGGGCCAATAGTTGAACTTCCCTTTCTGGATGGCGTGCCGTTTCTGACCATCACGGTGGTGGTTCATGACGGGGCAGACGGGCCGGTTAATGGGGATCTCCTGCCAGTTTACGCCGAGGCGAGAGAGTTGAGTGTCGAAATAGGAGAAGTTGCGGCCTTGAAGAAGAGGGTCGTCGGAGAAGCCGATACCTGGAACAAGATGGGCAGTGCAGAAGGCTACTTGCTCTGTCTGAGTGAAGAACTCGTCGACATTTCTGTTGAGTTCCAGTTCTCCAATGTATCTGACGGGGAGGAGATCTTCGGGCCAGACTTTAGTAGCATCTAGGATATCGAAATCGAAATCGTCCTGTTTGCTCTCTGGGCAGACCTGAATGCCGAATTTCCACTTTGGATAAGCACCCTTCTCAATGGCGTTGTAGAGGTCCTTCCTGTGGAAGTCGGGGTCTTGACCAGAAATCTTCAGGGCTTCGTCCCATACAAGGGAATGAACACCAAGGGTTGGCGTGAAGTGGAACTTGACAAAAGATCGGACGCCCTGAGCGTTGACAAGGGTAAAGGTATTGACACCGAACCCTTGCATCATGCGCAGAGACCTTGGGATACCACGGTCGCTCATAGCCCACATGAACATGTGTGTGGATTCGGAGTGTAAGAACTGGAAATCCCAGAAGTTGTTATGGGCCGATTGAGCCTGTGGAATCTCAGTATCCGGCTCAGGTTCTGTAGCTAGATTAGCCGTGCCCTTGTATTTTCCTCGCCCGAAATCACTTACTCCCCGCATGGATGACATCCGGGAACTTTATTGCGTCCTGGATAAAGAACACAGGAATGTCGTTACCGACAATATCCCAGTTTCCCTCGTCGGTGTAGAATTTGATGGCAAAACCTCTAACATCTCGAACGGTATCAGAGCTACCTCGAGACCCAAGAACAGTTGAGAATCGCATGAAGACGGGCGTGGTCCGCGAGGTATCTGTCAGAACACCAGCACTGGTGACATCTTCCGCACTCTCGTATAACTTGAAGGTACCAAAGGCACCAACACCGCGCGCGTGTACTACTCGTTCTGGAATACGCTCATGGTCGAATTTCATGACCTAGTCAAGCATTAGGGCCTGATATATTTGCTTAGATGGCTATCAAGCTCACCTTCTCCCTGGCCAAGTTATCTTCCAGCAACGCCGGACCCTTTCGGTCCTCAGTAGTGGCAGAAAGCCAGTTGTCATGCGTTGGGTTCTTGACCCCAAAGTCACTGGTCAGGAGAGCGCCATCCTTTGGGTTGCGGTAGTCATGCTTGATCTCCGCGATCTTTTTGTTGGACTCCATTGCGCCAGAAATAGCTACTTCTGCTTTGTGAGCAATATCTCCAATGGCTGATTGCATGCCGCGGAGGTTAAAGGAACCTTATATATTCTGCGGCGCAGATGGGATGAAATTGAATGGTGGAATAGCGGATGAGAGGAGGCGGTGAAAGGTCGAGATAGATAGAACGAAACTGCGGTTTTGTTCCTTTGCATTTCTTTTCGCCTCCACGTATATATACATAGCATATGAACCTACCAGAGAGCAGAGATTATGATGATATGACGTTTCTGAGAAACTGTCGAGGACGTGACGTCTGTATGAGCATCCCTTATCATTAGAGGGAGAGCAGCAGGACGAGCTGCATCCAATGAAAGAATCCACATTACGAGGACATACCGTATGCCATGCAATAGCATTCGATTGCTGGGACTTCCAGCATAGGATAGACAGGGGCTGATAGAGGGTGATGAGGGGTTGCCAGTGGAATGTCTGGCGGTTTGGGAGGCTCTCACAGGTCCCTTTCGCAACGCTAGGAAATATGAAGAGGGGAGATCTCAGGGCATGATGCAAGAACTCGAACCCCGCCCTTTGCACAGTAATGGTCGGTCAACCCACATTACGTCGTTGGATCTTCACAGAAAGGCGGGGCGGGCAAGGCATGCGTATCATACATATACGTTGTATGCCTCATACGAATGTTTCGTACGGGCCGCCGGGAATCTGATTTGCTGCCGCCGCATAACGAATGATAACTGCCGCGCAACACTCGGTGCGCGGAAGAGGAGCAGGGGAATTTCGGCGGGTCGTGCAAAGGAAGAGGGGGGAACAGGAGATACCAAGTAACGAGACGTGAGGTGCGAGTAAACATTGGATGATGGACGATTGACGATTGACGGTGGATGATGAATGATGGATGGATGATGTACGGATGAAGTCAGCGGTGCACGGGCCAGCCGTTTCGGTTCGCCTCGCTCGGCACGACATACCGAAGCGCAAGTAAGCCGATGCCGATCGAAGATCAGATGCGCTCACAGGAGAAACGATATCAAAGTAGAGATATAAAAGCAAGATAGTAATCAAGCCTCTCCAAAAGAGACTGTAAATGCTTCTAGACGTCAAGATCGATGGGGTACGTTAACTCATTAAAAAAAGTCGCTCATTCCTGACTCCAGTATACGGAATCACTAGTCTTTCCGACATCAGCTTCACTCCTCGTTACTCGTGATCTTTACTCCGTTAAATAATAAGTACTCAGCCTGTTCCCCGCCCCGCAATACTCCAAATCATCCCCTGGACACAAGAACGAGCAATCCGACTCCGTTGCATTCGTACTTCCGGCATTAAGACTGTTCCCGCAGTAGCATTCGCCCCCATATTCCACTCCCCAGTAGGCATACCCACCACAGTCCGATGCGCACATCTCGAGCGTCATGGAGGTGTAATTGTAGTATGATGCTTCGTTCAACGCCCGGATATTTGTGGCCTCGGTTTGGCATCCGTAATACGCGTACTTCCCGATACTTGGCTTGATTGTGGCCCCGGTTTGGGTGGCCGCTGCAGTAGCAGAAGTCGCAGTACTGCTACTTCCGGGCGAGCTTGGTATTGAAGATATCTGAGACGAGGATGCTGGTATCGAGCCGGCAGAGCCTCCTGCAAAGGTGCCATTCATTATGTACACACTCAACCGATTCCCAGCTCCACAATACTCATACTGGTTGCCAGTACAGACCATGGAGCAGTCGGAATCTGGAGCTGGAGCGGAGCCAGCTCCGAAAGAGTTACCACACCAACATTCTCGTCCATACTCAGCACCAGCGTACAAGTAAGGCGAGCAGGCGGCAACGCAATCTTCGATTGTGTTGGTGTCGCTCGGGTAAAATGCAGCACCTAAGGCCCGATCCCCGTCGCCTTCGGTGTAGCAACCATAATAGTTGTAGAGACCAGCCGACGGGACTATGTGGAGTGTCTGAGTAGCTGCCGCACTGGATGAGGTCAGTACCGAGGTTGATGGGCTAGTAACTGGGCTAGACGTTAAACTGGTGGGTGGGGTGCTGCTGCTGGAGCTTGTAGAAACAATGCTTGAATCGCTCAACATACTCGATATACTACTCCCGGTTGACGAAATGCTGCTGGGACTCGAAGCAAGAGATGAGAGCAGGTACATCTCAAGCCTGTTCCCAGCTCCACAGTATTCATAACTGTTTCCTGGGCATACGAAGCTGCAGTCTCCTTGGTTAGTTGCCAAAACAGACCCTGTGTTTAGGGAGTTGCCGCAATAGCCTGCATTTGGTCAGTAAACATAATGTTAAGGGGATCATAGATGACAAACATTCTCCGCCATACTCAACACCCCAGTACGAAAACCCAACGCACTCGGTCGCGCATTGTTCAAGTGTCATTCCGGTGTAGTTGAAGAACGAGGCTCCAGTGAGGGCACGTGTGCTATCTGCTTCTGTGTAACATCCCTGAAAGGAGTAGGCTCCAATTGTCTGCTTAATCCCAAGTGTTGGACTTGCTATGGCCGACGTCGAGATACTAGTCACTGATAAGGAGCTGGAGGAGACAGGTGTGCTACTGATTGGAACAATGGGGCTGGAAGAGACAGGTGTGCTGCTAGTTGAAACAATGGGGCTGGAAGAAACAGATGTGCTGCTGGTTGAAACAATGGAGCTGGAGGTGCTGCTAGGTTCACTGACATTAAGGGATCCGCAGGTAGTTCCAAGATCTGAAGCGTCTTTGAATGTGTCGGAAAATGAGCCACTTGCAACACCATACTTGGTTCCTGCAACAGAGGCAATGGAGTAACTAGCACTGTAGATGTTATAAGGGCCAATGGTATCTCCTTGTACCATATCCAAGGTTGTAGAGACCAGGGAAGGCACAGGAGACGGCGTGGGCGATCCGGCCTTCCTAGGAACTTTCTCGGTAACGGTCATGTTTACTGGAGTTGTAACACTACTTCGGACCTATACAAGAGTAAGTAAATGCAGCTAAACCCTCTGAGCGGCAAGGAAACCCACAGCAGCCACCACAGTCAAATCACCATTGTTCACACAGCTTTGGGGAGTTTGAACAATGACCGAATCGGAGATGGGAAAACCACCACCATTATTGTCGTATGTCTCAGTTGTACCATCGGTGCCGGTGATAAGCACCGTAAAAGAGGAAATCGAGGTGGTTACAGGAAGATCCACGCTAAAGGAATAGAACTGGGGAAATATTAGCAAGGGCGCAAGGGCTGATGAGAAGAACGTTGAAGAACATACTGAGAAGCTATCGTCGAATCCACTGGCCGTCCCTGCCACTACAGTATCAATTGGAGTTGAGACACTGGCACCATTGCGGTCCGTGTACAAAAGTTGCACACTGGAAATTTGTGCAGCACTGCGAACAGTGGTCCTAACTCGGATGTCACCCGAAAAAGTAAGCTGGGTACCTCCTGAAAGCAATGTAAGTTGCAATCCAGCTGGCTTGACCTCATATGGTTCAATCACAGCTGAAAGCGTAACAGTTGGTGGTACTGTCTCAATCATTCTCTGCAGAATAGATATGCACATGCTGTTGAATACTGCTGGAACGGTCATTGCTTGCAATGTGGCATTATTGTCAGCGCTGAACACCTGAAAATCAGAGTTCCTTCCTGAAGCAGTTGATATGCCAATAGACAATGCATCGGTATCAGGACCATTGATGTATCGTGTAGCAATATTATTATCAAACTCTAATGTGTCATCGAAAAGTTGGAAATCGTTCGGTGCGGTTCCCGGTGCCACAATGTTGGTGAAATCTTCAGCATGAACTCCGCCGAGTGTATGTCCGCAAGCCGTCATCGCTATCATATCGGTCACATTAAAACCCATCCTGGCGAACTGGTTCGTAAACTGCCCTATTCCATTCTGTGGCTGTGGAACTCCCAACGGGCCTGCAGCGGTGGCGTCTATCCTTCCACCTCGCATGGGTATAACAGGCCCGCTGCATGCACGTACAGATGCGTAGACTCCCAAAGCAATCAAATCAGCCACAGGTAATCGAGAGTTGAAGAAGTTGGCGTATACGAGCAAGGTGCTGTTAAATCCTGCGCCAATGTCTTCCCCATCGTTCAGTTCGAAAGCCAGAGACGCGTCGATTCCTCCATGCACAATGCCTTTGTTCGCATAGTAAATGTCTGTCGTTGCCATATCATGGAACCCCGCTCGAAGCCATTCGGCGGCAGTTTGACGCCCAGGCCCATCGGGGGAGGCAGAACATGGCGTTACAAATGAGTGAAAGCCTCTACTTCTGTAACCCGACCCAAGAAACATAACATCTTCCAGCTCGTCAATTGAAGACGGCCATGTCGGTTGAGCTGCCCCATCGCTCGAAAAGACCGCAATCCATGTGAGGACCGTGAGGATCGTAGAGTAGGGGGGCTTCATAGTTAATAGATATTATATATACGATAGAGACATGAAAGTATCGAAGAACGAGTGACTATGACTGCACTGGCAGAAAGAGAGACAAAAGCAAGGCAACACACGGAGGGGGAGATGGCCAACACATATTGCTTATGCGTGATACTCCTGAACAGACCGATGGCAGCTGTGTGTTTATTATTATTTCTTGCAGTGCGGGTGCAGTGTGCAGGGCTCGATGCCTCGTATCCAGACCAAACAAGACAAGGGCCATGATGGGGTGGGGCAAGTCAACAAGATATTAGACCACCCATACAACCAGAGCCTGTCTGTGTTCAGCCACTTTTGATACTTGACCGTAATGCAGCTCTGGATACGGATGGTACGTAGCAGTCGTCGCTACACACTCCAGCTCATGTATTCATAGTGCTGTTGACGGGCTCGTGGGAGCGGTAGTAGTGGCGTCGTTTGGACGGTTATGGTAAGGTGAAGTGGTGAGCTGAACAAGTGTGCCGTTCCTATGCGGTTCTGGGGCCTGGGCATTGTCATGGCGAGACCCCAAAGGCCTAGGACCCCTAGGTACAGGAGAAAACTCGTCCGAATCAGGGGACCTACCGCAACCTTCCATTGATAACAGCGCCGAGTATCACTAGCCCTGCCAGCTGGCAATACGAGCCAAGAGAGCCTTATCAATAACAGTAATTCTGTTGGAAGAGAAGCTGCTGACTGCAGTGCAGTTGAGCAAGGCTCGTTCGCAGGGCTGCGAGGCGGGACGGGGAGAGATAAATACAGAGCAGGGGATGGAGGATCAATCACTCGGTGGTAAGGTAAGTTGAAGATCGCGAAGGTCTAGCCGCAAATGGGGGTTTACCGAATGCACGGCATAACATTGTCCATTTTATGCAGGAGCCTCGTACTCTCTTTATTTTTATCCCACGGTACGAGGAGCCATGATACAGTATCAATCAATAAGTAGTAACTGGACACGATAAGCAAAGTAATTATGACCCTCTGGTTGGCTTGTAAGTGTAATCCAATACACGTTGAAAGCATGGACATTTCCCCACATTGCCTAGAACCCTACTCCCGTGGCCTTTCCTCTCTATCCCCAGTTTTTTAACGTCATCATAACCCTAATACAGCTGCCCCCAGGCAATCAGGACTCGTAATTGACTTTGACAAGTTCCCTATCTGAACCATGGATGAGGCTCAAACTCTATTAGACCCTCTCGCAGAGCTAGTAACTACATACCATGAGTTGAATGGCTCAATCATCCCAGAGCTCTCGGAATGTCCCTCCGCCTTAGAATTTATGCGGCATGTCGCCCGCAACAGACCTTTTGTTGTCCGCGGCGGGGCTGCGGGGTGGAAGGCTACCAAGACTTGGAATGTAGCTGCATTGAAAGACTTGCTGACGGGTCAGAGTGTCAACGTTGCGGTTACGCCTGAAGGGTGAGTACTTCATCTTTCCTTTTTCGGGCCAGAGCTGATGAGTTAGAAATGCGGATTCTCCGACCAGAAATGAAGAGGGGGAATTGATGTTTGTAAAACCGTGGGAAGAACAACAGTCTTTTGAAGAGTTCGTTGATTTTGTCTCCAAGCAAGAACTCAGCAAAGTCCCTGTAGAATCTGTGACAGAAGTCAGATATGCCCAAACTCGTGAGTTCCACGTGCTGGATCCTCTCCCCTATCTAAAGGCTCCCTAGAATGCTAATCGAACTCTTGCCTAGAAAATGACAATCTCCGCAATGAGTATGCTACCTTATTCTCGCATGTTGAAAGAGACATACCCTGGGCACGCATAGCTCTGCAACAAGCTCCTGAAGCTATCAACCTCTGGATCGGCAACTCTCTTTCCACAACTGCACTTCACAAGGATAATTACGAGAATATATATGTCCAGATAATTGGGCAAAAGCATTTTGTTTTATTACCTCCTCTGGCTTATGCTTGCGTCAACGAACGACAATTGTCTCCAGCTTCATACAGGCGGAGTGAAGGTGGAGGATTGAAGATGGTGAAGGAGGATGGTGAGAAGGTCCCCTTTGCTACGTGGGATCCTGATCAGGAGGGAAATGAGACAAGTTATTCAAAGCTTGCGAAACCGATGAGGGTTACGCTGAATCCGGGTGATATGTTGTATTTGCCTGCTCTTTGGTAAGTCTTCCGTGAGGCAACTAGATGAGAAGAGTGGCTCATGATAGCAAAAGGTATCACAAAGTGTCACAGTCCTGTTCCGAGGAAGGTATCTGTTGTGCTGTTAATTACTGGTGAGTCTTGTCAAGGTCGTTTGATCAAAAGATGGGTGTTAATGAAATCAGGTTTGATATGGAGTTTGGAGGCAGCTTCTATCCGCTTTGCAACTTTGCTCGGAGTTCTGCGCTGGCAGCACTCAAGACTTGAAGCTTCTAAAGATTGAAAGAATCCCGAGGCTACGTTCATGCGTCGAGGATTGCAAGGATACTGGATACGTTGTGTAAGTCCTCCAGAGGGTATACATCAAGTAGAAGAAGGATCCTCTCGCTACAGATCCCGAACGAGAGGAATTTGGACAGAATCACGGGGCTACTCATTGTGCCAACAAAATTGTGACCCATTTGTGTGATAGAATGGATTGCGGTGCAGAGTGCTTCGTCCACCAGGAGCGCAAGGAACTTAGGATGCAGAATGGTATTTTCCAAAGAGGATCGCGATTGCTGAGAAAAGTCCCTGCTGTATAAATAAAATACCTTGCAAAGCATTCTTATACATTCCCAGGGCATGATTTCACGTCATGTTTCACCACATACAGCTGATAGTTTGCAGGCGCTAATCGGGGTTTGTCAAATTTCTATCTATTAGTACAATTGTTATACAAAGAGTCGTTGACCAGTAACAGAAACCTCTTATTTTGATTTCGTTTCGTTTTCAACTTCCCTTGCCTCCCCTCGTTCTTGAGCTCGCAACTTCTCTATGCTCTCATCAATTAAGGCAATCTCTACGTTGACTCGTAGAAGCTTCTCCTGTAGCATGTTCTCGTACTCGCTGTCTGTAAGGACTTTCATCGGGCTCCATTTCGAGTTCAACCATGAACTCTTTTTGCTCTCTGAAGCCTGAGGCTCCGCATTTCGAGCATCTGCTCTGTTATATAAAGTTTGTCCCGCTGCTCCACACAGCGCAAACATGATGGCGCCGGGTATTATGTTCTTTGGACCCCCTAAAGGACAGATTAGATAGCATATTGACGTGGAGACGGGAAACTTACGCAAAAGCCCACCGGCTGTTCCACCAACGCCTCCAGCTATCGCGCTTGCCGATACCTTATCCCGCGGCGTGACCTTGTCTTTACCCCAGGCCTGGAGAACCACTTCCCTTGAGGCTGTAAATGCGCTTCCCAGAGTGAACCATTGAATTCCTGATGCCAATGCAAACAACGCGGGGGTAGTGGTCGATCGAAGTATCCCAGCAAACGTTCCAACAAGTATTCCAGACATTCCTACCATTAAAATCAGTACTGCTTCGCTACCAAGAATCCCATGATCACGTGCAAAGCGTTGGAGGGGGGAGAAATGAGGCGCTTGAAAGAATGCGGGATAGTATTGAGGTGATAGAGCATACCAGAGAGACCACCAACTTGGAGGGCGGGCCATACAATGTCTAGAATTTCAGGAGGTAGACCATTCTGAGATCGGCGAGGATCCTTTTCTCCGTTTGCTCCGTCTCCTGTCATATCGGCCGCCACCTTTCGAACCGCACAAGCGTTTGGTTGCATGTCTTTCGAGGACAGGTCGATTTCCCGGAGCGAGTCACAGGCGGGAGAGCACAATCATGAATGAATTGTGATTCCTCCCTCAATCAGTCCAGTAGATATACCTAGAACTGACGCAGATTGGTGAACATTGATTGACACTCGTATCTGAATTTAAGCCGCAAGTGTTGTTCCCAGAACTAGCCGCCGTAGTCCGCATTCGGTAAAGCGCACAAACCCCTGTCAAAATTCAACCTAAAGGAATTATCGCACTTTCAAAACTCAGACCGCAGAACTTTATCGACCGCACACAATCAAGTTCACTGAACTTGATCCGACAACCTACGAACCACCGACGACGTAATTGAGGGATACTCTATCCTTCAATCTTCCCGAAAGGACAAGGCGCAAGACCTAGGGCTCTCGCGCAGTGTCCCAGAAAAACCGCAATCATGGGTATGTGCTCTCTGCAAACATTTTCGATCTACCTTCGATCTACCACGTCGGACCCAATCAACCCCTTCGCGGCCATCCATTGTACTATGAGCATTAGCTAATTCGACTGTCGCATAGCTCCAAAGAAGAAGGAGCAGCAGAAGATGTCCCTCGGGGCTTTTCTGACTGACGAGAGTAAGCTCCGATCTAGCAGCCTTAACCCCGTGGACGAATACTAATCCCTTGCAGAGATGGGCTCTTGGGCTGATGAGATGGAGGATATGCCAGTCTGTAAGTGTGCATTGCTACGCCCTGCAGATACCCTTACTAACAGCTCTCTTTGCAGCCGGTATGCATCTGACGAATGCAGATCTCCAAACGGAAACATTCGAAGCTAACTGTAGCAGACTCTCGGCCGACTGGTTATGGATCGAGTGAGCGCCGCACCTACAGCTCTACCACGGGCACGTATGGGACCAGCAGCATGGGAGGTCAGTTGTTCTCTCGCCTCATTACCTCCATTGGTGCTGATTGTTCACGCAGGTTACTCTGTCCGTGAGGAACTTCCATTGCCCGACAAACCACCTTATACCGTCCATCTGGGTAATCTATCCTTCGACGCCACCATTGGAGATGTCACGGACTTCTTCGCTGGATGCGAATGTACCAATGTCCGAATTATCGAGGATAAATTGGAGATGAAGCCCAAGGGGTTCGGTTATGCAGAATTCGCCACGCTGGATGGCTTGAAGCAGGCTTTGACCCTTAATGGCAGCCAATTTCAAGGCCGTAACATTAGAATCAGTGTCGCCGATCCACGTACGTCTTTCGTACCTCCTCTTGCATACCTGACTAACATTTCCTCTTTCCAGCCAAGGACCGAGACCGCCCAGACGCAAGAGAGTTCGGTGACTGGAGCAGAAAAGGACCCTTGCCAGACCTTCCAACCCGTGGCGATCGTCGTGGAGAACGGGGAGGCTTTGGATCCGACTTTGGCGGCCGTCGGGAGTACGCAGAAGGAGATGGTAAAATTCGAGATTTCGGGAACTGGGAGCGCAAGGGTCCTCTTTCCCCTCTTCCTCAACAAGAGCGAGGACTAAGAGATGGGGGTCGCCCACGAACCATTGATGGTCCAAGGGGTGATGGTTTCAGAGATCGGAGAGCATCCCCCGCACAATGGGGCGAGGGTCGCGCACAAGGATCGCAGGATGGAGGTTCAAGACCACCAAGACGTGAATTCCAAGAACGACCGCTTGTTGAACGTACTCCTACGGCTGCTGAACAGGATAATCAATGGCGTGCAAAGATGAGACCCGACCCGCCTTCTGTGAAGTCTCCTGGTCCATCTCGAGATGGCAGTGAAGCCCCTTCCTCTCCTGCGGTGTCAGCTGCCACACCGACAACCCGACCGAAGCTGAATCTTGCCAAGCGCACGGTCTCCGAAGCCCCCGAGCAACCATCTCCAGCATCGGTATCTGGTGACGCTAAGGCTAGCCCATTTGGTGCAGCACGACCCATTGACACCGCTGCCAAGGAGAGAGAAATTGAAGAGAAGCGTTTGGCTGCACTGAAGGAAAAGAGAGAAGCTGAGGAGAAGGCCAAGGAGGAAAGGAGAGAGGCTGCCAGAGCCGCAAAGGCTGCCGAGGCTGCGGCATCTGAGAAGCAAGAAGGCGCCGTGGGAGATAAGAAAGTAGAGGTCTCTCAAAAAGCCGAGGGCGAAGACGCAGCTACCGGAGAGGCGGCGGCTGAGAAGGAAAATCAAAATGGCTCGGTCGTTGATGACCAGGCCGCGAAGCCTAAGGAGACTGTCCGATCAAAGGCATTAGAATCTGGTGCTTGGAGACGACCATCTGGACAGGGTCCTCCATCGGCACCGCGTGGTGATGATATTCCCAGAGGCCCCAGAGGTGGTCGAGGCGGCCGAGGAGTTGGACGCGGCCCACGACATTACGATGAAGGTCGCGGAGGGAGACAGGTCTCAAACGGCAGACCAGCCGCTGCGGCCACCCAAGCTCCCCCGGCAGCTGCTGCTGACCCTGAAGCTGCGGCTCTCGAGGAAGATGGCTGGAGCACTGTTTCTAAGCCGAAGAAGAATAACCGTGGTGGCAATCAAGGTGCCCGTGCTATTGCTTCGTAAGTATTGACGACTTGCGGAGCCTTTTCTTTCGAAATCGATTAGCGACGAATCTGGGCGAGCCTTTGGCATCCTGTAATGATTGGGCTTCCGAATCTTATTACGACTTTTGTGGGATCTCAATCGATACCTGACTGCGGTCCTTCAAAATTCCATCTCTCCTCTACTTGTCGACGACTTTCCTTTGGCGTTTGGATCTTCCAAATAACATGTCTAGTTCTTCGGGCTCGTACCTGGGCTCATCAAAATGGCCTTGGACACCGCGCACATTACAGAACCTGGACGTATGTCACTTAGAAGCATATGGGTGGCCTTTGCACAAACAACCTTTTCCTCACTTGATCTCATCTCGGCATGTTTCCAGCCATGTCCCCTACCTACGAGCATGCCATCACACGTCTCTTTTCGGCTCGCATTGTCACCTCACCCTGTGTTTTTCGCATCATTCATCTTCGTGACGACTCCGTCGGTTGGGCTTGAGGATGGTCAAAAAAGTAACTTGCACTGATCACGGGATGCGATTGCAGGCACAGGCACGGACGGCTTCCTTTCTGCGGCGGCTGGCTGATTGGTCTCTGGTGCATAGAAAGTAAAATGGATGATTAATTTGCCTGCGTGCGTGCGTGCGTGCTTTTGTTTTGTACTTTAAAATGCTTTCAGTAGTGGCAATAGCACTCTTGACAATAACTCTTGACTACATTTTGACTGTGAACAGCGCTCAACGGTAAATCTCCTTTCCTGGCCCAGCATCCCGTTTTGGTCAGGTGGGTAGAACTATTTGAGCAGTCTCGTATCGTATGCTTTGGTCTGCCTAAATACCTTATGAAGTCTGAAGGAACAAGTATCATGGATTGAGAGCATCCATTAGTAGTAGTAAACAACTTTTCACAAGATAGTTGAATAGCTAATCACTACCCGGGACAACTTTTATGGCTCCTTAACTCCATCTATACAGGACAATGAAAACCCCTCTAAAGATTGTGGTAAGATCAAGACACCATTTCTTCACTCCTCGTCATTACCGCCATCGGCTTCCTTCTTCTGGGCCGCGGCTCTAACCCACTCCTCCGCCTTCGCCTTGACCTTCTCCTTGGTCTTCTCATCCCCATTCTCAGCCTCCCACTCACTCCATCTCTTGAACCAAGCCTTGGCACCCTTTGGCTTCAATCCCTTAACTTTAACAACCCTCTCGAAAAGCCCTCTCACAATATCCTTGTCACCTTGCTTGATCTCCAGATCCAACAACTGGTTCCAGATATCCAGTCGCTTAGGGAAGCTGGACAGGAGGCCTTCGAAGATCGTTCTTCCTCGTTCTGGCGAGCCGTTGGGCGATTTGAACTCTAGCGCGGCGAATTTTAGGGTGAGCGGTAGGTGGGTGTGAGTGGGAAGAGATTGGACGGCACGGGGTAGCAGAGCGCGGGCCCGATCCGGGGCGGACTGCGTTCGGTGGAGGAAGTCGGCGTAGTTGTACCACACTGAGGGTGACTGGGAGAATTTCTTGACGAGAACTTGGAAAAGATCATCCGCTTTCTATTTCTTATTCAGTAACCTGATTTCGTGGACGGCAAATGAGGTAGCACTTACACTGTATTTCTCAGACTGGATGTAGATGCTGATCAAATTCTCGTGAACTTCCTGCGCATCGTTGTATTGGCATGCTCGCTTGAAGACCCCTTCGACTGTTTCATCATTGCCATATTCAACCTCAAGGTTGAGCCATGCGGACCAGACGTTGAATTTCTCCGTCTCCTCGCGGATATTGATGGTTTTTATGGCACGCTCAGCTATTTCTCTTGCTTTGCCGAGCTCGCTGAGTTGCATCTGGAACGCCATGTACGAGACCCAAAGCTCGGCCGAATCAGGCTGTCCGAGAAGTAATCGTTCGAAATCACTTACAGACTGCGGACCGTTGGCATCGAGTTCTCCGGTCCGGTCGATCTTGATCTCGGCCTTACGCTTCTTCTTCTTTTTCGGTTTCTCGTCTGTGCTACCAACGGATCCTGCATCTGATTGCTCGCCTTGATCGAGAATATCCGCCGACCAGTCGAATCCGCCTACTTTGAGTGCAGCGACGTCTTTGTCATCAACGTCCTCCATCTCTTGGTCCGAATCACCATTTTGCTCTCCCGCGTTGCTAATATTCTGGACGTCATCCAGATCGATTCCACCACCCTCATCATCACTATCAGAGTCGTCTTCCCCATCTTCCTCATCGCTGGATTCGCCTAATTTGACGCCCTCCATAGCGTCCACATCATCGTCATCACTCTCTTCCTCTGATTCTGCCCCATCTTCGAAGTACGAAGCCTTGAGACCGAAACTGATACGCTTCTTCTCCGGATCGACTTTCAAAACAATGGCTTTGACGGAGTCGCCTTCATCATACAGCTTTTTCACATCGTGTACGCGCTTCTCTGCCATCTCACTCTGGTGACACAAACCACTGACGTTGGTCGAATTATCAATGACAATAAACACGCCGAAATCCTCGACCTTCCGAATTTTGCCAGTAACGATCTGACCAACTTTGATATCATTAAACGTCAGAGGAGGAACGTAATTCTCGTCTAGGACTGAAGCCTTCAAGCTCATTTGAATATGGTTCAGATTTTCGTCCAGAGAGATGATTTTGCCCTTCACAAGCTGGTCCACTTGGAAGCTGGACTTCCAGTCTTTGATGTATAAATCCGATAGGTCAGAGACCCGAATATAAGCTTTCAGATTGCCGCCGATATTGACAAATAAGCCTTTGTCGGAAATATCCTTCACAAATCCGCGTATCACATCGTTGACCTTCAATTGAGAGATAGATGATATCTCAGGATCCTGAACAGGTAGTGAGGAGTTCAGGACCCTTGAAGGTCTTGTAGATAGACTAATTCTCTTGTTAGGGGCGTCGATATCAGTGACACAGACTCGAATAATGTCATTCTTCGAATACTTTGTAGGATCCGCTTCAGAGAAATCGTCAGAAAGGTCCGTGAGGTTGACTGGGCCAGAAACGCTGTCGCTGAGTTGTACCATTATCTGTCTTTCGTTGACCCGGGTGACCTTTCCAGGAACCACCATACCCTTACTCAGATTCTTGAACGTCAAGGCCTCTGATGTCTGTGCTGACCGGGCAGAAAGGTCCAATCGATTGTTCTTCACATCCACAGATGAAACATGAACCTTGATAGCAGATCCGACAGGGAAATTAGATTCGATGTCTCTCAACAAGGAGACGTCATCAGAGAGATCCAAGTTGCGAATACGGCCACGAACGTTTGGAGAAAGGTTCACCCATACGCAATCGGACCCAATATTGTTAACAAAGGCAATCCAAGAAGACCCAACTTTGACTTTGTTCAGAGTGAGGGGTTCTGATGCCGTTTCTTCTTGGTCGCTGGATTTGGCTGATAGTTCAAAAACGAGTGTCTTTCCAGTTCTGTGGGTAATTGGTAGGAAGCGGTGGTTACGAGCATCGTGAATTCCTAGAACACGGACAGGTATAACAGAATTCTTGGAAGCGAAATTTTTCAGGGGTCGCTTGCGATCCTTGATTTGTTCCCATGAATCGAACACCTGAGAGACGTCAATACGTCCCTGGATATTATCTGCAAGTTGGACATTGATCTGTGTCTCCTTGATAGATACGACCTTTGCTTTGGTCAATTTTCCGAGAGTAAAATCGTCAATCGAGGTGATTGATTCGTCAACTGGATTTACAACTGTCTGATCGACACCGACTGATGGCGCTGCAGGCTCCGGAATGAGATTCTCATTGCCCAAATTAGTCATAGAGAGGACAAATCTTTGCAGACCCTGGTCGACAGAGACGATTTTGGCCTCAATAGATTGGAACTTCCTCATACCAAAATCAGGCAGGCGAGCAGCTTCTTCTGGTAATTTGCTCTTCGGCAGTATACCCGTAAGGCCTCCGCCGAACTGAACAAAGACAGCAGTTTGGGCCACGTTTTTAACAAAGCCTTGCACAAGTTTGTTCTCCTTGACATCGTCAAAGCCTCTCAGGAGAGTGCGGTCCTTTGCAGCTTTCACCAGACTTGGCTTGTTTGTCAAAATGACGAGGCGCTTCTGCTCTAGCTTCTCAAGCATCACCAGGTCTGTCAAAACTTGGCCGACTCGGATTTTCTTCAGCGCAGACAGATTTTTCGCATCAGAGCCGTCCGTAAGATGGCCAACTGGGAGAATCGCTCGTAATCCAAGGCCCTGTAGCTCTACAGAGATATCATCATTGGATTTCTCTGTGACGGTTGCAGATAATACCTCGCCAACTTTGAGCTTCTTCAATGCATTTTGTTGTGCAAGACCAAAAACTGACGGATCCTTGCAAGATACAGTCAATTTCTTCTCAGCCTGATCAACATTCAACACGTGAACGTTGACAACCTGCCCAACTCGAAAGTGCTGGCTCGGGTCCTGGATAAACGCCTCACTCATTTCATACACTGGTAAAAATCCTCGTATTGTGCCATAGAACTGGACAACGGCTCCATTTGGGAGGATGTTGACAATGGTACCAGGGCTTTGCATCCCGGCACTGATCTTATCGTATGAAATGAAGGGAGTTGCTTCTGAATTGACCAAACTTTTCTTGAGGGTAAGTCGTATTTGTCGTCTTCTCGGATCCGTTGATAGTACGCGTGCTGTTACAGTCATTCCTTCTCTGAACTTCTTTTCCGGATGAAGAAGCTGAACGTCAGCCATGTGCATCTCTGGCACAAGCCCCGAGATTCCTTCAGCCAGGTTGACTAGCACGCCACCCACACCCGCCGCGTTCACAATGATCTTCTCGATCTTCCCCTTGACCACTTCACCAATCTTCAAATCCTCAATTCGTAGAAATGGCTGTTCCAAGACACTCTGCTCCAGAGAAACGAGATAGATGCCATCTAACGAGTTATATCCTATCACCCTCCCGCGATGAGTGGAGCCTACTTTGTATGGCCCAGTGGATTCCGATAGCGTCTCAATCTTGCCATCTTTGACCCTTGAAATGTGTACAAATCCAGGTACACCCTTGACCCCTAGGTCAACAAACAGACCGACGCCTGATTCGACCTTTTGAACGGTTACGGATTCAACAATCGTAGACAAGGGCAAAATGTCGACGGGTGCTTGTCTGTTGCCATCCTTGGTGGCCTGCTGTGGAGCCAGGGACATGACATGGTCCAGTAATGAGATGCCAAGTTTAGGAGGGTCAGCAGTTGGGAAAGTGCATATAATCCTCCCCTTGACCTTTGATCCGACTTTGTACTTCTTCTCGAGGTCCTTGCCGCTTGCCCCTGCCCCTGAATGCATCAAATCTGCAGTCACATCGACCATACCCATGACCTTTCCGGCAATACCCTTTGGCGTGACGTCGGCAACCAACACTTCGACTGCAGTACCAGGAAGAAAAGCATCAACTGTTGGAGCGTCGCTAAGATATGACGGTTTCTTCAAATTTCCAATCTTCTGAGTATCCGCAGACAACTTTACAATCTTCCCATTAGAGCTGAGACCAGTAACCGCACAGAGGAAGACTGCTCCTTCTTGTATACTGGATAACTCCACCCCATGCCCGATTTCCTTTGAAGACATGAATCCTCGGACATCAGATCCTGGAAGACCTAGATCCATAATAAGGCCATGATCCTCAACGCTGACCACGGATGCCATAAGTGTGCCATTGGGGACGATATTCTGTGGGGTAAGCTCATTATTTGACTGCTGCGGTCGAAGAGATAATTCTATTCGTCTCTTGGCTTTCCCGGAAGTTGCATCGTCGCTCGTAGAAACAACAAATGCTCGAAGATATTGCCCGATCGTAAAGAGCTTAGTCAAGTCGACATCATCATCTTCCTCTCTCTCCTCTCCTCCGTCTTCAGGTTCATTCTCTTCAGCATTGGCGATTGCTTCAATCCGCTGCGTTATTTTGTCCGAAATCGACGTAATAGGAACGTATCCCGTGAGATTATTCGGCAGGGAGAGAGCCACATCGTGGTCATTTATCTGTGAGACTTGACCAAGAACTAAGGATCCTGTGACTATTCTCTATTTTTTTATTGATCAGCTATGGAGAAATTTCAAGGACCATTGCACTGAGCATACCTTATAACTTAACCCCTCGATCTTGATAGCTTTTTCTTCCGGATCTGCTACCTCTGTTCCGTTTTTCGCTTTTTTCTTCGATTTCGATTTTTTTGCCGGTCGTGCAACCTCTTCATTCTCCCCGTCTGTCTCTGCCTTCTTGGTCTTGGCGCCTTGCTGCTCGAACAGGACATCTCGTGTAGCTTCGATTTGAATTTGCTTGTGTTCCAAGGGAGTCAAAACACTTGCGCCTCCTCTTGGAAATGGGGCCTCTTCTTCGCGGAGTTTCGTGATTTTCGCAGGCCGTTCATTCTCAGAATCGACAGGCCGATTCTTTCTCTTCATCTCAGTCATTGGCGCCATTGTGGATGGCAGAGAAAGGTGGAGAATATTTCAAATGTGTTTCCCCGCGAGCAGTCGAGATCTTAACTTTTTTTTCGGGGCCTTGCTTAGTCATTCAGATCTTATCTTGGTTCCCGATTACCCACCTCCAAGGTCAATCAACCCTGGCGAGCCTGTGCTTTCGGCGTTGCTTGTGACATCAGTCAGGCTACCAATTCAACAATATCCATCCGCATGCTGGGAATTACGTGTTGTCGATAGCAACAAAATATCCAGAATTGCAACTTAAATGGGATCCTCACGGAAACGACCTAGAACCAAACCTCCCAGCGTGGAAGAGTCTCCCAACAACACCCAACCGGCCGACGATAGCCCGCCCTCGACCCAAGTGGCGGGTAAATCTAGCAGGGCCACCAAGGCAGAGGAATCTGCCTCCACTCCTTTAGAGAAGATCCGGCCTGAGGGAGACTCGAGTAAGGAGGTAAGTCTGGCGTATGGGGTCGTACCATCGTGGTCAACTTGGCTGCCTCAGCATTGCCTGCTAACGCAGGCCTGCATCTAGATCAAGTCGAAGAGCAGCTGGTATGGCACTTGGCCTCGAAAGTCGACCGCTTCGACCCAGGTAGCCAGGGAGACGATTCTAGCAGACAAGCCGAGTAATGGAACCGCTTCGGCAGATTTGAGTGCCTTTACGCCCAAACGACCTCCAGCAACCGTGGGGGACGGGAGGCCTCCTTCGATGTATCTCGGGAAGAGCAAGGAGACCTCCGATGTCAGTATGGGTGGGACACTAGAAGAAGAAATTGATACGGATAAGGAGAGAAAGACAAACAACTCGTCGTCTGCTGGAGAAACCCCTAAAACCGAGACGTCTGACAAGGCTGAGGAGACGTCTGGCCAAAAGCCGACCCACCCGGAACCAGATCCTGTACAGAAGCCAGCAATATCTTCTGGCTGGTTAGGAGGCTGGCTAGGCAGGCCTGCTGTCCCGCCTTCACCCGCGCCAGATGCATCCATCTCAGTCACAAAACCCGCAGAAGAGTCGCCCGCGGCAGTTCAAGACGAGCCACAGCCAGAACAAACTGCCGCATTGGCTCCGGCAGAAGAGTTGCCAAAGACAGCCAAGACACCTACAGCTTCAACGTCATGGTTTGGCCTGTGGTCTACAGCTGCACCTTCTACTGCAAAGGAAGCGTCAAAGGAAGCGCCAAAGGAAGCTCCAAAGGAACAGATTCCTGTCAAAATAGACCAGAACGACGGTGATACTGTCATGGAAGATGCACCTTCAAAGCCTAATACCGAACCGACAGCTGGGTCTAGCTGGGCATTCTGGTCTACAGATACGAGTAAAAAGACCGCAAAAACCCCAGGAAAATCTAAAGAAGTAGGTCAGCTTGCGGTCGCTGGCGAGGTATCCCAAAACCAACCAGAACCCGCAAAGGCCCCACCTGTTAAAGAAGAGAAGAAAACCCGGCCAAGTAAAAGGGGAAGAACAGTGTCCGTCGAGGTAGACGAAACCTCGAAAAGCACGGCACAACCAGAAGCAGCTTTAACAAAAGTCCCTTCGACGCAAACCCCAGTTCCTTTAAAAGTCGCTCCTCCTAATCTCATCATACCATCGGTGAGAAACACATATCGGCTGATGGAGAATCCGTCAATTCTTCAACAAATTGCACGTTTGATTCTTCACGGCCAGCAAAAACCTGTGAAACATGTTTTCTTGGCTAAGGAATTACCGAAAATCAAAAAGGCCATCGCCATTGGCATTCATGGTCTCTTCCCAGCACCTCTGCTACGCACAGTTATTGGCCAACCCACAGGTACCTCAGTTCGCTTTGCGAACCATGCCGCAGCTGCCATAAGGCGGTGGGCCGATCAGCATGGCTGTTTCGATTGCGAGATAGAGAAAGTTGCGCTTGAAGGCGAAGGTAAAATCGCTGAACGTGTTGACAATCTTTGGAAGCTGCTTTTGAATTGGATTGAACATGTCCGCAAGGCCGACTTCATTCTGGTTGCTTGCCATTCACAGGGCGTGCCTGTGGCTGTGATGCTGGTAGCAAAGCTTATCGAGTTCGGTGTCGTGTCAACAAGCCGGATTGGTGTATGTGCAATGGGTAAGTTTTCAGAGACAACATAAGCTGGTTGAAAATGTTCGGATATTGTAGCTGACTTGTGGGTTCAGCTGGCGTTTCCCTGGGGCCATTTGCAGACTACAAGTCCAGACTTTTCAGCGGTTCCGCTGGAGAGCTCTTTGACTTTGCAGACCCAGAAAGTGCGGTGTCCAAGAAATACGAAGATGCCCTCCGAATTTCAATGAAATACGGAGTGAGGGTCACATATTGCGGTTCAATTGATGACCAATTGGTCTCTATGGAGGTTCGTCTATCACGAGACTATTCGACGTCAGTCACTGATATCGTTGCTTCACAGTCCTCCATCTTCTCCCCTGCTAGCCACCCTTATATCTATAGAGCCGTTTTTGTTGATGGCCGCATCCATGCTCCAAATTTCTTATCACATTTAATAGGTTTCGCTTTGAAGTTGCGCAATCTCGGCGTCTCTGACCACGGCCTCATCCGTGAGTTATCAGCGCCTCTGGCGGGCAGTTTATACACAGGTGAAGGCCACTCGAGATTGTACGACGATGAAAGAGTTTATGAGTACGTGGAACCCCCTCGTCTACCCAGTGCCATCTAATGATCATAGTCTCGCCGTCGAGTATGCTTTAGAGACGACTTCGGTGGGAGACGTACCTCTTGAAATCAAGAAGTACCAGATACCTACGAATAACAATCCGTATGTCCTCCCATGGATTATGCGGGGGTTGCTGGAGGAGGACTTCGTCAAGACGGAGCTCGACACGGAAGTCACGGAACTACTAAAGCAATTCGATGAATGGAAGCCGGCTACAAAGGTGTTGAAAGACGTGAAGTACCGGCTGGAGGCTGTTAGGTCCAAGCTATGAGACTTGAGGAAGGGAACGGCGTAGGTATAATACACATTTGGGAAAGCGGGTGCCTCGGCGTTAAATGATATTTAATAGAAGCGCCTCGAGCGAGGAAGGATACCCGCAAGCGGTAGAGAACAGACAAAATTTCAAGTCCCTGCATACTACTACTGTATATTGAACGCGCGTGTATGCGACCAGCACTGCAGAGATGGGGTCTGCAGACTCCAGAGAGTCAGACGCGGTTTAATTATGGGCCCCCTTTAAAGAGATTAGTTCCGCTCTAGGACAACAGTTGGGTTGGTCAACTTGGTCTGCCCCATTTCTGGGCTCGGGCGAATAATCACTAGGTGCTGGGATGCTGGGACGGCAGCACCCTATGTGCAACCGCTGTGTGAGCCGGACGGGAGTGGTCGGGAATGAGCAGTCCTCGGATATAACAATAATAATAGCAAAGAAAGTAAACAGCATAGATGAATGGATGGTGCCAGCTTTCGTGACCCTACATCTGCGCATCTCAAGGGATTATTGAGAAGTAGTTGATTGACGTTGGGTTGGGAAAGCAGAAAGGGGACGTGCTGTGGGCGGCGCAGCCTTGGGACGAATGCAGCCTTGGCGCTTACATAAGGGAGCATGGGAAAAGCCATATAGAAGGGAAGATGACCAGGTTCTCTCGGGGAGAGACAGCCGCGGCGGGGGCGTCTGGCTTTGTAGGTACGGCTGCATTACTCCGTAAGCACAGGATGACGAGTTCGGAGCTGCAGACAGCTAACAGTTATTTTAAGCGTGGCTTGAATTGTTTCTCCTATTCAGGACGTCTTCGGTTGCCAGGAGTTGGGACAGGAGGGGCATCCTCTACTCGACGGGGGTCCTTTGATAACAGGAGGTACTGGCCATGGGAGTCTCGAGGCCAGGTCGTTGATGGGATTCAACTTTCAAGCAATTCTGCAAGGATCCCAGGGGTTCTCACTCCGTACTGTTGCTGCTGTGCATCACTGCATCTATACAGACAAGCTTTCAGTCCAGTCCAGTCTACAGTCTAGGTACCGAGTTCAGCCTATGTACACAATGGCATGGGAGAGGAGGATGTACATCAAGTTACCAACGCTTTTCATCACACTACTGCCCGGCCCTGTCTAGCCAGTACTAATGTCCCGACTCCCAAGACAACCATGACATATCCATATCTTTGCCCTTCCCAAAGTTCCCAGCATTGTCGCCTCAGCCCGTCTTAATCAGCACGCCGCTGGTGATAACCATAACCGCAGTTGAAGTACCTCTCTATCTCTCTCCCCTAGACCTTCTTCGCCACAAGCGTCAACGCCGTCGACGCAACAATCCGTCCCTTTCTAGTTGTGACGCCAGCGATCTTGCCTACAACCTACTAATAAAAGCGTCCCGCTGTACCGAGCACAACCGAAACCAACAGACAGTACTGTCACTCTGCTCCCCGGTCCTGTGCCGTATACTGATGCTCTATTCCCTTCTGCAGATCTGTTTAGAAGTCGCGCTCCCTCATTTGCTTTGGAGCATGGTGATTCACAACTTTCCTTGTGCGCGTATCCAGTACAGCTGGGTTTGAGAGCACTGTTTACGAAACGACACGACCAGAGAAGCTGTCGCATGACGAATGCTAAAAAAAAAGTGAAGGGAAAAGAACGACGCGACCAGCAGCAAATGGCAGCTCTGTCAACGGACCCCGCAATCGATTTCTAGGTCGCCTTGAAGAGCTTTTGTCCTTGTTGTCACGGCCCACGACAAAAAAGAGACGCTGCGAATGGCGTTGATCGACAAAACTCCATGGCGCTCCTAAACCCGACCTTCATCTTCGGGGTCCTCGTCCTCCTGTACCTGTCTTCGTTCATCTTCTTCGCTATCCTTCGGATCCTGACGGGAATCTCCATTCAGCGCATTGGCTACTTCTCGCTCAAGAGGCTCGCATACACTCCGAAAGATGGCACGAAAATAGAGATAAGAGGCTTGGGCCTGAATCTACATCGCCCGACCTTTGCACAACCGACATGGATAAGTGTGGTTCTGACCGAACTCGCGATCACGATCGATTTGAAGGCTGCAGATAAGACTGGGGATACGGGGGAGGATGGCAATGGCACGGCTGAGGAGGCTGCGGGCCGGGACCGCGAAGACGAGCCCAAGGGAAAGCCACCGCGGAGTGCCAGCGTCAAGCCCCAGCGCAGCAAGAGCTGGGAGCATCTCACGAGCATAAAGGAACGAATCAAGCGCCTGCATCGGAATATCAATTGGATACGAATGTTGGATGTGGTGGCTATAAACACATCGGTTACGGTGGCAGATGTAGGCCAGGTACAAGTTGGAAGCTTCACCTTGGCTGTGGACACGCGGCGCAAGATGGTTGATAGGGCCAGGATGTTCTCCCACGTCAAATCGCCCATCAAAGATCAACGGCCAGCGGAATGGATGCTCACGGTTCGTAGCGTCCTCTTCACTCCGGAGGGTCGAGAATCGCTGGAAGTGCTCGATCAAGCAACGCTCAACGTCCACGGTTTACTATTCAAAGAACTTGATGGCCTTCGGGATGCAGCTATTTCTCTCAAGTTGGGGCGGATACATATACCATACGATGATATAACCACATGCATAAAGCGATTCAAGGAGTGCCGACCCGTTCAGCCTCAAGTGGGCGGAAAGCCAAAGTTTGACGAGATCGCAGTGACGGATCTCTTGGAAGAGCTCGATCAGCCTGGTAGCCAAGATGAGAAACTTGTTCAGACAGTGTCGGACTCGAAGGAATTCGTGGGCTCAGTGCTTCGAGGTATTAAAGAGGTGCAGTTTGCTGTTAGCTACGTTGGATTTACGAAGAAGATCACATCTATTCAACCTCACGGCGCGCCCCTTTACCTCAATGCATCTATGAAGGAGGTCGGTGTAGACTTGCATCGCCTTGACCCCAAGTCACCCGCACATCGGATGTACTTCTCACCTAAAGACATTGCTCATCAAGCCTTAGTTGCAGCACTCTCGATTGCCGTGGGCGTTGCTGATGGCCAGGGCAAGTCAGATAGACTCATTTATGTCCCAATGGCCACCACAACAGTCCGGACAACATTGCCCTCGAAGACGGTTGAATTCGGAGAGGACAACAGCGCAGACGAGCGGAATGCTAACATGTTGTTCGCAAACGTGGTCATCACATCCCCCTCTGTCGACCTGGATCCTAAGCATCTTCCTCTTGTGCTAGCCTTGTTACACCCAAAGCCAAAATCGAAAAAGGAGCCAGCATCTGGGCGGCATCTTCTCTTGTCACGCCTTCTGCCAAAAGCCAATGTTAAATTCTCCATGCATGAACCAGTCATGCGAATCGCTCTCCCTCCGGTCGAGAGTACCGCAGATGAAGGCGACTTTGATCTTATCATATCCTCCATATCCTCCGTCTCCCTGGATATCGAATCCTCACATTCTGCCGTCGGGCAATTGCACTACGCCCTTGCATCAAGTCTGAGACTACAGTCACATGATTTCTATTATCAGACATCTTCAGGGGCGCGCTACGATTTGCTAGAGATAGAGTCTTTGGAACTGAAAGTTCACTTGAACGCCAATCCCGAAGTATATGTTGTCGCTACATGTAATCTACAGACCTTTTCCATTCACATGATCCGTCCAGAGATCAGTAAGGGTGTTCGACAAATAGTCCGTCAGTTACGGCTTAATGTCGAACCAGAGAACAAGCCGCGTAGAGCATCCCGGGATCCAAATTTCATCAGAGCCATGCCTCCTTGGCTACTACATTTCCAATTTCAAGGCTCGGACTTCAACGCAGAAGTTGCCGGTATTGATGAGGATATATCTCCTGCCACACGGGGTGTTGCATTGCAGTTTGAGTCATGGACAGCCGAGTATCGTGCCCAGAAAGCTGATGCCGTCGAACGGCGACCATCACGGCGCCGAACAAACAGCCGGTCCCTGACACCAGATCCAGATCTGTTCTTAAAAATGCCGCAATCACCAAAGAAGAGAAAACAGCAACGTCCTACCGATGGCAGGCGCTTGGCCATTCATGTTCGTAATCTTGAAGCATTTGTCGTCGAATCCTGTGAGAGATGGGAGTCTGAACCATTTGTCTCCATGCCACGGTTCGAGGTCGCACTATCCACCTCAAGTGATAACCAAGGCCCCATTTTCCACGTTAACTCTGTCGTCAAGACCCTCCTGATCCAGTATTCGCTATATCGGCACTATTCCTGCGGCATTGCGATAACAGTGCTAAAGAAAGCTTTTGTCAAGACGAAGGCTGACGAGGAGGAAGCCGAGAAGGTCCTAGCAGCTAAGTTGCAGTCAGATATAGCTGACCGCCTATCGCCATCAAGATCTCCTGATGAGTTATCTGCCAAAGATTCATCTGAATACTTTCCGGGAGGCCGACAGTTTGTTACGGTAGATTTCAGGTCAACTTTAATACAAATCAAAGCAAGCATGCCTTCCGATCCGCCGATGATGCTCCAAATTTATGGCCTGGAAGCGGGCCGTCATAGATGGAATGCACCGTTTCTTCACGCCAAATTGACTCGTCTATACGCCGAGGCTCCAAAGATGGAGCGGATATGGGCGAGAATGGTTAGTATCAAATCCGCCCGAGTCGACCTCCGCGAAACTAGGCGGAAGCAACCTTCAGGAGAAATGCATGATGAAAAGATGATCGACGTGCATACGGAAGCCATACGGCTGGCGGTCCCTCATCAACTAATTTTACACAAGGTGTTTGATAATTTTATCAATACCCTCAAGTCCGTACAGCAGCTCCATCATCGCTTTGCCACTGGGACAAACGAATACATACTTGAAAAGCATCCCGAGGGCCCAAAGCATATACCAAAAATCTCAGTCCGTAGCAAAGCGCTGCTATTCGAGCTGGAGGATGGCGCATTTGAATGGAAGCTTGGCATGATCTATCGGACTGGTCTAATTGAGCAACAGCAGCGCATTGCTCGCGAGGAAGCCTTTAAGGTGAAAGCCAAGAAAATGGAAGACGAGGAGCTGCGAAAGGATTCCTCCAGATTTCGCAATCGGTCAGCACATCCACGTGGTCGGAGTACGCAAAATGATCAATCTCGGCAGCGAAGCAAGAGTGAAGATTCCGATAGCAGACATCGTTCGCGATCCCGTCGTGGACGTAGGATGCGGTACGACCCCGAAGGAACTTGCGGAATCAGTGGAAGCTCTAAGATTTCGGTCTCGGAAGCTCACGAGAAACTGCTGCGACACAATGCGCAGAGTTGGAAGAAGCGGATTGATACTGTTTTTGGTCAGGCGAGAAACAGCATGAAAGATCTTCGAGGGGTCTTCTGGGGCCCAGATGAACTTCCTGAAGATATGGAGGATGAGGAAGACATCCTCCAAGTACCCCAGCGTCCCGGATTGATGGCCACTTTAATCAGCGACCTTCACATTACCCTCGACAAACCGTCGTTCCCCATGAATCAGTTACCCCTGTTCCTTCACCGGATTGGGAAAGGCATGCCTCACGATACTCAGTACACGCTCTTGATACCTATGCATGTCCAAATCGATATGGGAGAGGCTCGTATGACATTGAGAGATTACCCACTACCTCTCCTGCACATCCCTGCAATCAAACCTGGGCAGTCGCCTAGATTACCTGCCTGGTCTCTCAAGACAGATTTCGTCATTGCTGAGGAATTTCAAGGGATCGAATCTACGCGACATGTCAAGGTTGATATCGTACCGCCTGCACATCTAGACCCGGGGAAATCGAACGTAGGTGGATTCGCTATCGATGTGCGAAGGACAGTATCTCCTGTGAAGACTTACTCCGACATAAAAATCGACATCAATACTGGCTTGCCTACCCGCATCACATGGGGAGCATCATATCAACCTACAATTCAGGATATGATGATGGTTATCGAGACTTTCACTAAACCCCAGGTAGACCCATCAGATAGGACAGGTTTCTGGGACAAGATCCGTCTCAGTTTCCACTCCCGCGTCAGCGTTGCGTGGAAGGGTGATGGAGATGTCCATCTGATGTTGAAGGGAACTCGTGATCCTTATGTGGTTACTGGGAATGGTGCAGGTCTCCTCATGTGTTGGCAGAATGATGTTAGATGGAACATCTGTCAAGATGAGGATCCGCGCAAATTCATGACTGTGGACAGTGGTGAATACATTCTTGCAATACCGGACTACAGCCACCAGGCTCGTGGTTCAGATCTGCAGGGACGGGATCGTGATGATGATAGTGTAAGGAGCATTGGTAGCTTCAAACGCGGGGCTGCATTTAAAAAGGTTATTATGAAGCTCTCTGGCAATGTTCAGTGGCGCGCCGGTTTAATGTTTGAGAGAAACGCGGGTGGAGGAAAGCGCTCATTTGAGTTTGAGCCTCATTATAAGGTCGTCCTGAAGGAGCCGCAGTATGCAAAAGCACCTCCCGGACAAGAATACGACGCTTTCAGGGGCTTCAGAAGTCACCACATCCACATGTCAATCGCTGTCAAAGCCCCGGTCGAGCGCGAGTGGAATTTTTCCAATACCGAACAATCAAAAAGCTACAACACGGTGCATCTGACACCGCGCTTCTTTACCCATTTCTTCGCTTGGTGGTCGATGTTCAGTGGAACGATGTCACTTCCCATACGTCAAGGGACACTGTGGCCGGGAATTGAAAAGTCAAGCAAGAAGTTTGGCAGACATCTTGCCACTATCAAATATAGCCTCTTGCTTGCCCCACTGTTCCTCAGTCACGTCTACAAGCACAAGGATGCCGAGGACTATGCAGAGGATGTCGTCTCTGCCACTGGGCTCAAAATGAGGCTGGATAGCTTTATGCTCGACGTACACCAGCGGCGAGAAGAATTTCATACTCAAGACAGAGGGAAGAAGACTCAGGGCAAGACAAGTTCAATGAAGATGCACCAGGCTCAATTGGACTTGCTGTCAGCTGATATCCGGGCGATATCGGCGAGTATTGCTGGGACTACGCCAGAAGATCTTCGAAAGGCTTCAGCTGCTAGCACACTTATTTCACAGCAAGAGCTAGTACCCACGGATCTCTCCCAATTCGAAATACCCGATAATGATTTTACTTGGATTGATATGGACGATTTCGTTGAATTGGACTGGATTCTTCCATCCGAAGCAAACCCCGAGACGAAAATTATACCTCTTGCATACGCACCTCGCTTCACATACTTCCGTCAAACAGAACATGGCGATACAATTAGTGGTGATCCAGATAGAACTAGTCCTTTCGGACATGAGCCAACCCACTTTTGCATCATGAGCAAGGATGATGACCCTCGACGTGTGCAAGCTGAGCTGATCCAACGTCGGTTAGATCAACTTGAAGAACACATGGAGACTCATACTCGGAACTTAGGAAATGTCGAACTCAGTCATCTCCAGGACGAACATAATCCCGCTCTGAAGGCGGAGTTGGAGCAGATGAGCAGGCATCACCAGGTTTTGAAAGACAAGAAAGCTTTCCTTGAAAGCATGCTGCGCCGGATGGCTGCGCGTGTGCAGACTAAGAATAAACGCCCGGTCCCTGACCCTGACAGTGACGAGGAAAGTTCACCGAAGGAGTATAACACGACTTCATCGGAAGGCCTGGACGGCGATCCTTCAGCGGACTTCGTTAGTGACTTCGACAACCGTTTTGTCATCCACAACATGCATATGAAATGGAACAACCAGTTGAGAAACATCATCCTCCGCTACATTCATCAAGTCAGCCAGCGACGAGGGTTTGTGTACTATCTTTCGAGACGAGCTGTCAAGTTCATTCTTGATATCGTGGAGGAACAGAACAAGGCGAAAGCGGCGAAACCCAACGCACCCCAAGCTAACGGAGTCAACATCCCGAAGCCAGCAAGCTCTCCTGTCGATAGTGAAGCTTCGCGGGAAGTGGAAGACCGCATCAAGGAGCTTCTCGCCGATGGGAAGAACTTCGTCGATGCGGAGGATTCACAAAGCCAAGAACCCAGGCCAGGACGCTCGAGTGATGGTATTGATTCAAACATCTCCGAAGGTTTCATACCTCAGAATACTTACCATCTCCGTCTAATTGCACCGCAAATCCAGCTTCAGAGTGACAAGAATCCCAAAGCTGCAGCCTTGGTCACTGCAAAGGGAATGGAGTTGAAGGTTGTCGAGATCATGGATAAAGAACGCATATACGATGATGTCAGTGGTCTTGTACAGCATCGGTTCTCGGTAGAGATGGACAGCACCCAATTCTTTGTCACCCACCAGAAATTCTTCTCTTCTCAGTTGCTATCGTTGTACTCCGGCAGTCATTACGGTACCCCTGCTGGGTCTTTCTGGCCTCCTTGGGTCCCAATGGAGGTAATGTTTGATTTCCAGATTGATCCATTCGGGTTTAAGCGCATTGTGCAAAAGACTTCGGCCAGTTTGAGGTACGACAAATATAACACTCTGCGCCTCAAATATAGCGACGAAATCAATCGCGATGGAACACATGCGGCGGGCCCAGAGAACGTCGAGAGTAGGATGGATCATCTCTGGGTGGAGTTCCCCCAAGTCCGGGCGATATGCGACTCATCACAATACTACGCGTTGTATATCATTGTCCTCGATCTACTTATGTACAGCGAGCCTCTAGAGAAGACCAGAAGTGAAAGATTGGAGAAGATCATGCTTGCTTCGGACTTCAGCGACCTACGTGGTGCTCCGGAGATGGTCATCCGCCTGCAAGAACGGATCAGACAGCTAGATGAGATCAAGACCCAATTCCAGATCAACTCCAAATATCTCGACCAGAAGGGATGGGAAGATAGGCTTATGCTTGACAAGGATCTTACGAGCTGCGAGGATGAGCTCTTCTTCATGATGAAGGCCATTACGACCTCTCAGCGCAAGCATGATGGAACACAGAGCAGCGGTCTCCTCAGATGGAACATCTCGGCTTCGCAGATCGTTTGGCATCTGATCCGTGACAACAACGAACCACTTGCGGAATTCCAACTTGAGAATGCCGAATATGATCGTACTGATAATTCTGACGGTTCTCATCTCAATCTCATGTCGATTGGGAAGATCGTCGGGCTTAATCTACTCTCAGATGCTGTCTACCCCGAGATGTTTGCGCCTTATTCGGACGGTGAACGTGGAACGTTCCCTGAGGGTGGTAATCAACAGATGCTGAGAGTTTATTGGTACATGCTCGAGGCAATTGCTGGAATCCCCGTGATGGACCATTTCGAAATCAATCTCTTTCCGATGAAGATCCAACTTGAGCGCGAGATCGGTAAAAAGCTTTTCGAGTATATCTTCCCGGGTTCCGGTGAGGAGAAACCTGGGCCTGGAAAGAACAAAAACCCTTCTATGCTGAAGAAAATGTTGCCCGTTGACGATGTAGATGAGGAAGATGATGACACGACTACCGCGCTCGAATCTAGCTCCATAAACGCCAAGAATAAAAGTCTTGCTCCTCCAGACAGTGCGCCAGGCACAGCGGCAAGGTCAGGCTCTCTGGAGCTCCGCCTGAAACCAACAATGACCTCCGAACAACGCCCCAGCACTTCCGCAACTCTAACTCTCAGGTCGAAGGCTGGAAGTCAGCTTTCGGGTAACGAAGGCCATCATTTCAAGTTCTTCCATTCAAATACCATGAATTCATTAGGCTCTTGGTCGGTTTCATCCAAGACAAAGAACGCTTCAACTGATAGCTTGCCATCAAGCCAACTATCGCGTCCAACACTTGGCCGAGCGACAACCTCCTCATCAAACGTCGAATCGATTTCCAGTGGTCCGAAGCGTTTCCCTCTTGGACGGAATGCTAAGTCGAAGGAGAAGCCGTCTGATGATTTGTCCAAGATGATGGATCGTGCATCTAATTACATGACGCTCGCATATGTCAAGATTCCCAGCGTGGTCCTCTGCCTCAGTTACAAAGGTAAAGGCGAACGAAATATCACGGATGTGCATAATTTTGTCTTCCGCCTTCCCATGATCGAGTATCGCAACAAGACGTGGTCGAATCTCGATTTGGCACTCGCCCTCAAGAAAGATGTTATCCGCGCCTTGATATCTCACACGGGTGCTATCATCGGCAACAAGTTCAGCAAGCATCGTCCTAATGCTACGCAGCAGCATCGGTTGCGGGAGCTTGCTAACAGCAGCACGTTACTGGCGCCTTCAAACTATGACTACGACAGTAGCGATGCCAGCACGTTTGGAACGAGCATAGCAGAGTCAGGTCCCTCTGAACCACGAGGCTCCTTCGCTTCCAGCGGTAACCGTCCCAGCACCGCTTCCAACAGCATCGCATCCCAGCGTTCGAACGGCCGCAGCAATCGTCCCAGCACCGCCTCCAACAGCATCGCCTCGCACTATTCCGGGCGCGCGCAAACCTTCCCCCTATCCATGACGGCCCCCGGGAACAAAGAAGAATCCATCGCAAGCAGCGACATGAACAGCGCGTCCAGTGTCAAAACGGGGCCTGACGAAGACCGGCACGGCTTTATGGCGAACACCTTGCACCGGCTCAAGAAGATGAAGAGCGAGCCGCAATCGTTACCGTCTCCAGGAGATCAGGACGATAGCGAGGACGCGCACTCGACGAAGCGAAAGACGAAACTCTTGCTTGGGAAGAAGACTCTGAGTCCATGGAGTGATCGTTGATGTCTTTGTCTTATTTCCTGGCGAAATATTTACCTTTTAAAAATTCTACCCGACCATCCATCCGACCATCCTCGCCCGCTATTTCATTTCCTCTTCATCTTCTTCTTCTTCTTCATTATCACACACCTACCTTACCATACATGCATATACCTTATATCTTATATTTTTCATTCCATAGACCCCATTCCTCCTTTCTCTTCCCTTCCTTCCTCCTCCCCACACCCCCTTCTCCCATACCACATACCCCACCTACCCACCCACCCACCATCTCCCTACCTCTCACACACTCATCAACCAACCAAGGAACGGGAAAGGAAAGGAGAAGATTCGCGATTCATTCACAATCAAACGAAAAACGAGCGAGGTCCGGCGTTATTCGGAGGCGGCTTACGGTGTCAGGGACCCGTTCTTTTTTTTTTCTATATATCTTTTTATTATCTTATGGAATGTCATTATGTAATGTTAGCAAGCAAGCAAGCAAGCATGTGTGAGGAATGTGATGTGTGTGTTGTGTATGTTTAGATGAGAAGAAGAGGAGGAGATTCTTTGTTTCTTTTTGTTATTTTTTACTTTTTTGTTGGCTTTTTTGTGTATGTATGTATGTATGTTAGATAAAGAGGGATGTTTTGAATGATGAGTATAGTGTTTTAGAGTTGTTGTGTGTGTTCTTCTGTGATTTTTTTTTTGGGTTTGTCAAAGGTGTTGTGATAGTGATAGTGAAGTGAAGTTATGTAATGTGAAGTTGATGTGAAGATGATATAACTTGATGTATTACAAAAAAAAACAATAAGGTAAGGTAAGTAAGTAAATAAGTTTTAATCTAATATCTACTATAATTATTATAATAATACCATGATATATATGATGGAATCCTAACACCTCATCATCATCTTCATACAAATAAATCTTTAGGTAGGTAGGTAGATCCGAGCTTCAAAGATCTGAGTATTCTGCGTTTCTGTCCAAAATCACTTCCCCCAACCCCCAAGCTCCCCCTCTTTCTTTTACCTCAATCATTTATTTAACCTTCCTAACTTTAATCCCCCCCAAGACGCCCACACTCCTCCACACACTCTCACTAACCCTAATCGGTAACTTTCTCCCCTTGAGCCTCTGATCCACCAACCACGTGCCGACCACAAACTCCTCTTTCCCGAGGGCACCCGTCCTCTTGCGATCCACCAGCTCGTAGACTTCTTCCAGCACTTCGGCCGGGAGGCGGCTGCGGTTCCAGACGTCGCGGACGATGAGCGAGCTGACCGCGTCCGGGTCCGCGCTGTAGAGCCCGCGGTTCGAGGCCCAGACGGCTTCGTAGCGCTTGCGCTCGCGCTCCGTGAGCGCGTCGCGCCACCGCTTGCGGTCGCCTTCGTGGTGCTTGTGCGGGTGCTTCTTGACGAGGTGCGGACGGGCGCGCAGGCGCCGCTCGTGCTCGTCGGGTTCTTGGTCCTGGCGCGGTTTGCGCATGGTGGCGCGGAGTTGGGGACCGGCGGGGCTGGGGGTGCGCGAGGTTTCTTTGTTGGAGGGGTGGTGGTGGTGGTGGAAGATGTGGGCGCGGGAACTGCGGCGGCGGCGTGGAGGTGGGAGGGGTGGGGGGTTGGAGAGGGAGGTTGAGGGGGAGGCGGCGCGGGAGGAGGCTAGGGAGGAGGCTACGATGGCGTTGGCGAGGGAGTCGACTCGGGCGACGGAGGGGGATACGAAGGAGCGGTTTGGGGTTGGGCCGGTACGTGAGGAGGGGAGGCGTTCGGACGCGGAGACAAAGGAGTCGTCTGAGGAGGCGAGGGTCTCTTCTGATTTTGTGGTGGATTGGGATAGAGTTTTGGAGGGGATGGGTATCGGTTTGGTAGCTGGTATGGAGGAGCTTTGTGTTTCTGGGGGAGCTTTAGCCGGTTTAGTTGATGCCGGTTTAGTTGCTGTAGAAGTGTTCCTCGCGGGAGGCGGTTTGGGAGGCTCGACTGGCTTGGTAGCAGTAATAGGAGGTATCTGTGAGGTCGGAAGAGGCTTCGGCTCGGTTGCTTTGGGTTCAGCTGGCAGAGCCACTGGCAGTATAGGTTTTGGTGATTTTATTTCGGGTTTTTGTTTTCGAGGTTTGACATCAGGAGACGGGACACGGCCCTTCATCGTCAAAGGGGGTGTCGAAGATTCTGAAGATGGAGACGGTTTTCGAGTAGCTGAAGTAGCCGATGCCCCAACATATGGTATTTCCTCCACGTTCTTCGGCTTACTCGCCGGCTTAGGAGGACCTTTGACCAGCAAAGGGGGTTTCTGAGGTTCAGGAGATGGAGGTTGTCTTTCAATAGCAGGTGTGGCCGATGCCCCATCATAAGGTATTTCCTTTAATTCCTTCACAATTCTCGCCTTACTCGCCGGCTTAGGAGCACCTTTGACCGGCAAAGGTGATTTCCGAGGCTCAGGAGATGGAGATCGTTTTTGAATAGCTGGTGCAGCCGATTCCCCAACATATGGCACTTCGCTCCCAATCTTCTGTTTATTCGGCGGCTCTGGAGAAGGACCTTTGACCCGCAAAGGCGATATCCGCTTCTCAGGAGACATCTCCCTTCCTTGTGCAAGCCTCCTCCTACTCCCCTCATTCCCAACTTCCAATCCCTTGCCTTCCCACCTCCCAACCAACGCCTTCGTCGGCGCAATGGGCGTCGTATCCAACCCCGCCCCCCACTCCGCACTCCCCCTCGAACTCACGCTCCCGCCTCTCCCGCCCCTCCTCCCCATCTGGCTCCCGGGCGTCCCCGACCTCGACGCCGCCAACGTCGCCGCGATGAACGCCGCGTCCGCTCTCCCTCCCCCGTTCCCATTGGAATTGGAAGTCATGCTCTCGGCGCGCGAGCCCGCGGAGCTGCTCCCCACACTAGGCCTGCGGCCCAGCTTCCCAAACGCCAGCGACGCGCCCTGCACAGCGGCGCCGGGGCCGCTGGGTGGGGAGTGCATGGGGAGGCGCCGACGCGGGGCGGGAGGGCATGGATAATACCGCGCTCTGGATTATTCGCTATGTGGCTGGCTTTTCTTGATGCGTGCTGTATTCTTCTTCTCTGTCGTGGGGTGGATGCTGGTGTGGTGTGGTGAGGACGCGACGGCGTGTAAGCTCGATGTTGGGATGGCGATGAGATGCAACAGAGGTCGGCATCCAGGCTTCTGAGGTTAACGGGAGGTTCGAGACGAGGCTGAGGGGCACGTGATTTACGGCTCCTTTTCTCGCAGCGGGGGATTCTCTTCAAGGGAGCTATATTATCTCGTCAATCGGATTGGATTGATCTACATTTAGAAGAGAAGAAAAAGACACTCCCACTATCTTGTGTGTTTCAACTCTGTAGGTAGTTCTCAGGAGAGATCTGAATACAGAGTGCGGCTCCTGTTATGTCATCTTATATCTACTCCGCGCTGCCGAGACGGGCCGCCCAAGGCTGAGAAAGTCCAAAACTACGGAGTATTAGACTGCGTTATATTGGTCGCTTTTTCCCCTACGGAGTATTCGTACGCAGTTTCATACCTCCGTAGATATATCTAGAACTGAGACTTCACGCAGTATATGTATAGCTCACTGGTCAGCTGTTCCAGCGGATCTGTCGGGTGGATTTACTGCGTGACCACTGTCTTGCTTATGATTCTTCAGCGAAACTGGGGATGTGGGATGAATGCATGAGACGGCATCGAGCAAACATTAAAGTAGTTCAGCATCACCTTCACGCCTTCAAGACACCTCCAGTTCATGTGATTAGATCAATTTCCTTGTGGTAAGTCTATAAATACATCCCAATCCGTTGAGCGCCGTATCCCATCCATCGTGGTCCATAGCCCGCTCTTATGCCACGTACTTTGTCGATGCAAAAAGTAGGGCCAAATGCAATAATAATACTCAAGCGCCGTTAACCCTCTCCCTTTCCTGGGTTCAAAATCCTCAACTCCTCAACTGTGCTATGCATATTCATAACATAGGGACTCGGAATGGATTCCCGTCTCGAAGTGCGGTGGGGTTGATATCCACGCACAAGCAGGCTTTCTAACCCGCTCATATAGTAAGCGTCCGACGTGGCAAGGACGCAGACCCATGAATTAATTAAAATGATTCCAACGAGAATTGAGAGTTGCATAAAAAAAATGCTGCCTGTGAATGCCCCCGGGACATTATTCGATGAATCGAGGGAGAAGTCGGTAATAACAAGGGATACCCCATTCGACCATTCAACCACGTAAGAGATTCATGGGACCCTCGCTCAAGGGCTACACTGCAGAAAGTCCCCCTGGGTCCTGACGATCTCATCAAATCCCAGTGCAGCGTCTCGGGTCAACGCCTCAACCAGTTAACTCTCAGGACCCTGATTCTCGGTAATTTCCTTTTTCCTTTTTCTTTTTTTCTTTTTCACCCTTTTCCCTCGTACTGGCTTTGAACCGGGGAATAATTGCTCCCGCCATGATATATCCGTGTGTCATGAGCGGGTCTCTCCGAGGGTCCGCGGATGAAAAGTGGGGTGCGCATGAAATAGACGGATAAATCATAACGAGGCGATTTCGCAGGGTCTTCGTGTAAATCGTCCAAGTGGGTCAGATCGCCTTCCAGAAGCTTACGAAGCGAAAATTGCTCCTTCTTCCCGAGGATCGGCGCGGGTGTCGATGTCAGCGGCGGTCCCCTGGGATCGAGATTCGAGGTTCGAAAATCGTGATAGAATCGTATGCGTGGTAGGGGATGGGTGATGTCGTGGAAACCCCCAAAGAGCGAATCTGCGCGACATGAGTGGTTTTCAGTAATGCGTAATAGCCACCCATCGCACTGGGACCCCGTTCTCTCCAATCTCGTAAGGCTTGGTCGAAGGTTGTCTCGGGGGGAGTGCCCATCGAGCCCTCCCGGGTTTCTGGTCGTCCAGCTTGCCGTTCCTTCGCATTGCCATTTCCATGACTGCAATCCTGATAAAATCACTGTTCTCGCGCATGTCTCTCTGGCGTGCAAGCGGGCCCACCGCTGCATCACCAAAGACTTCTTCGGGAGTCGTCTGTGTACGCCGACTGATCACGCTGGGCGATGTGCTTTTGGCAGACCGAGAAACTTTGTATGTCTGCATCTGGATTGACGCTGTACACTTGGTTGCGCTCATGGTCTGCATAAGTGAGGAGGCAGGAACGTGAGCATCAATGGGAGCATTGGTGGTAGGGTTTAGGTATCGCCGAAGGGCTGGCGTGGGTGTATCCTCCAACCGTGGAGGCATGCGCTCGTCGGTAAAAGGGACTTGCGGATCTATGGATATAATTGATCTTGTGAGAAAGTCATCTGGCGGTATCATCGGTGCCGTGAGGCTTGAAAAGGACTTGGCCGCGGATCTCAACGCTTTTAAAGAAGCCGTCAGATTCGACTTGAAGGCCGATTTGCGCTTCGTTGTCACAACCGTATTAATATCTTGCTTCTTCTCCTCAATATCTTCCGGACGCTGGAAGACTCTGAAATCTAAAGTATCTATGTCGAGTTCTACACTCGACAACGGATCCTCGAATGTAGCACTCTCGCCCGGTGGGGATGACAGTGGTTGCATCCGGCGCGTAGGCAGTGACTTCTTCCCCCGAGATCCCGGTGTCAGGAGCGAGGTATAAGAGGGCGATGGACTGATTGAACTATCGTCTAGAGACGGTATAGATCCACTGGAAAGCGTTTGACTCGACATAACTGACTCTTGCCCCGTCTGGCTCCCCAAAGCGTCATCCTCCTCTATTTCGTCGGGAGGACTGAGGAGAAAATCTAGCGGACCCTTCCCCAGTGACAAGTTGAACTCTTTCTCCGACACGGCAGTATGTTCTAAGATCGAATCCACCGTCAACCTCTGACCCGCGCCAGCTCCCCTCCGTATGCTATTCGATTTCGGCGGCGGGATAGACGTGATGGCAAGGAGGGCGGCGACTGACGGGGGGATCGCATCAGGAGAGTGTACAGAGCGCGCGCGCCGCTCGGAACGTTCTGACAGCTTCCTCCCACCCGGACGTGTCCTCAGGTCGGGCCTCTGGTTCTGAGAGACATCCCGCTTTCCTCGCATGGGGATTACGACAGGGGAGGATGGTGTTGTCGGCCTCGACTCGGTTTTGGTAGTAGTGATGGTTGACATGGCCTGATTGTCTTGCTTCGCAGGGAATCGGCTGCCCTGTTTGCTGGCAACAGCGTCATGCTTTGGTTTTCGTGGAGGAGAAGAATCTTGGTGGGAGGACTTCTGGCGCGAAAATAGGTAGGATCTCGGGGCCAACATCGTCACTAACCGGCGCCGAGGTCGCGTGCCGGTGGGACGGTGGTCCGACGGGAAGCGTTTACCAGTCTATTTCCTGATAACCGGGGAAGCGCGCCTTTTGCCAGAACAATAGGACTTTAGACCTGATAACAGTTGAGAAAAAGGCGAGGCGTTGGAACGGCTCATCCAAGGCCCGCAGAGCGTCAGAGAGGCCTTATCGGAGAGAAACTCGAGTTGTGGCCAGGAGTTCGTTGCACAGGTCGGTTTGGTGGGTTTGGTGAGGCATGTCAGGCTGCGGAGCAAGGCAGAGTTCAAAGGGATGACATGAGGAGTTGGAATTTAAGAAAGAAAGAGGAAGAGGAAGAGGAGGAGGAGGAGAGGGAAGAAGAGTGGAGTGGTGTTGTGAGGGAAGAGATGATAGATATGTAGATAGTGGATAGATAGGTGTGTACAGAGTAGGTAGGTAAGCAAGACTCATTACTCCCAGTATCGTCTCGATAAGAGGTGGCCGGTCGCCGAACACACTACACACGATAAATGGTCGGGAGAGGCCCTGACTTTATTCAATCACCTCTATTTCATACCTCTATTATTCCTATTCCTTTTTCCCTTGGCCCCTTTCCGCTTCTCCTATCCTGCGAGATGGACAACTCTTGGCGCGTGCTCTGCGTGGGATCACTGTCTCTGAACTGGCACCGATCATCCGCCTCAGCGTACTCACACAGGAGGCGCAAGTGCTCTGTGGTAGGATGGGATAGCTACATCATCACGATCAGACGGGACATGGACTGACATATTACAGGAGGGTTAACGCGGGGGTCCTTTGCTCTGGAGCCAGATATACCAGCGACACATACACAACCTACAGGCTACAGCCAACTGCTCCGTATACGTCCTCAAATCCCGGCCAAAGATCAGATTAATAATGGCCTAATTCGACTGTCTTCCCCCGGGACGTCGGGCCCAGCCTAATCCTGGGAGTGGCGAGCCACTCAGATGCTCGACTTTCCAATCCGCCTTACTCCGTGCTCCGCAGCCATGTCATCGACAATCCCGACCCCCAATCTGACGGTCACATCGTGCTCCCATCTTCCTACTGTACGATGACATTGCACGACGACCAAGGATGAACTTCTTCTGCAGGATACCTATTGTATGTACCCTCCCGTCGACTGGATATTGATTGATGCGGCCAAAAGCCTAAAGCTTATTGACAAAAGGCTTGAGCCCTCAACTCTCAGGGTCCTTCCACAATCCACAACTATTCCGTACTTGGGCACGAACACTCCCCGCACCCCGCTCCGCTCAGGTCCGAAGGAAATGTTGCCCCTGCCGGCCCTGCAGCACTTGCTTCCAAGTCCGCAGGCGTCTGCATCATCTGCCATTGCTTCTGGCATCGAAATCTTTTCGTGGACCGTGGACGGGGTTCCGTAGTCGGGAGGCGGTAGGCCACGTCGACTTGCAGTTGCGGGGACTATTGAAATTACAGACGGAGAATTTGGAAATTGAGCGTGGGAGACTGAGAGAGAGCGCGAGCGTGGGAGTACAGTAAGAATGGGAGGCTGGGAGCACACCGCTCGGTCGCGTGCCCCGTCGGCGAACTCCTCGTGCCCGTGGGGGATATCAAAGATCAAAGATCGTATTCAATGACCAGTTTCTATCGACAACCTTCCGTGTTCTCTCGGACCTGGGCTGTAGAGCTAGTTGTAGAGCCCCCGTACTCGTAGAGCCACGTTACAATGCCCAAAGAGAGTAAAGCGGTAGTCGCATTGAGGAAGGAGATCAAAGGGTCGGAAGGATCAGCTTAGCAGGGCCTAGCATCAACCACGATTCATGAAGAATTATTCGAAGGCACAGAACAGAGTTGAACATCGAACGAGCAACAACCGCCAAGATCCCAAGCCTTCCAGTTGAAGATCCCTTCCATTATCCCCCACGGAACACGTCACGCGACATCACGTGCTGGCACCAGTGCCCCCTTTCATATGTATCTACAGTACCTGGGAACGAAGATTGATCAGTTCTCAGACGCCTTCCTATAGATCTCAGCTGCACGTCGATCAATATGGCGCATCGTTATCAGCGGGTGTACCGTGTGTGTATTCGATTTGGGATGTTTCATTCCGTCAAGCCTTATTCAGGCCTTAGATGTTTGGCATGTTCTTGATACTAGGGTCACACCCCAAAATACTATATAAACGTACCCTTGTACTCTTAGAGTTAGCGACCTCGGCTCCCAACGTCACGAGCTTTGGAGTCCCCTACGCGCCACAGGTCTCAGGCAACCGCGTTCTCCTAGGCTCAACGTCCTTCAGATCAACTTCAGATGCGGAGATGTTCTTCGGCACGAATGCTCTCCACCATCTCATCTCCAAGATACATACTTGAATCCACAAGCTTGTAGGTCAGTAAAGATGGCCTACAGCCAGAAGCAGCCCGATGCTGCGGCCGTCGAGGAAGACGAGCGCCAGTATGGCAGTGGTCCATTAAGCAGAGAAGAACTGGATGCTAAGTAGGCTTTTTCATACTTCTGGCATGACGATGGCTAAGTTGCAAGGTATCCCCACCGTCCCCACAATCATTCCCAGACCTTTCCATTCCATGAACTTTTCAAGTCTCTCTTCAATCCTCTGAACGACATCAAGAAACGTCCAACGGGGCCGACAGTGGCTCGTGCCAAGCAAGGACCCCATGGGCCAAATAACCCTTCTCCCCATGAAATGCGTCGCAACATTATCCAACGCTTCATGTCGAGATGGCGCAGCGAGGTAGGAGACGATTTCTACCCCGCTATGCGGCTCATTGTTCCTGAGAAGGATCGAGATAGACCGATGTATGGTCTCAAGGAGAAAGCTATTGGCAAATTGCTGGTAAAGCTTATGAAGATCAGCCCCGATTCAGAAGATGGGTACAATCTTATCAACTGGAAGCTGCCCGGTCAGAGCACCACGACTCGTATGGCTGGGGACTTCGCTGGAAGGTGTTTTGACGTGCTGTCCAAGAGGACCATGCGGTCGACCGTTGGCAACATGCGGATTGCGGAGGTCAACGAGTTGCTGGACAAGCTTGCGGCCGCTCAAGGGGAATCGCAGCAGTTGCCAATTTTCGAAACTTTCTATGAGAACATGAATGCAGAGGAGCTGATGTGGCTTATCCGTATCATTCTTCGACAGATGAAGCTAGGGGCCTCTGAGAAAACCATCCTGGACGTGAGTACCCCATCACATCTTTCTTCATTATCTTACGTCTTCTAGCTTTGGCATCCGGATGCAGAGGCTCTATTCAATGTGTCTTCCAACCTTCGACGGGTGTGTTGGGAATTGACAGATCCCACTCAACGTCTAGATGATGAAGAAGGCGGGATAGGTCTCATGTCATGCTTTCAGCCGCAACTGGCTCAGTTTTCTATGTTCTCTTTCCAGAAGATGGTTGATCGCATGGGTGTCACCGAAGACGACCCGGAATTTTGGATTGAGGAAAAATTAGATGGCGAGAGAATGCAGTTGCACATGGTAGAAGATGACAGCGTTGCTGGCGGGAAACGCTTTGCTTTTTGGTCCCGAAAAGCGAAAGATTACACCTACTTGTATGGGAATGGTTTCGAGGACGATAACTCGGCGCTGACGAGGCATCTCAAGGATGCCTTTGACCCAAGAGTGAGAAACATCATCCTGGACGGTGAGATGATAACGTGGGATCCGGAATCAGATCTGATGGTACCATTTGGGACATTGAAGACGGCAGCACTCGAGCAGCAGAAGAACCCCTTCAGTACGGGAATACGACCGCTGTTTCGCGTCTTCGACTGCTTGTATATCAATGACCAAGATATTACCAAGTTCACACTCCGAGACAGATATAAAGCTCTCACCCAGTCTGTGAGAGACGTCCACCGTCGCATGGAGATTCATAGCCATGTGGTTGCCAAATCAGTTGACGAGATCGAGCCACTCTTGCGCAAGGTTGTAGCCGAAGCTTCGGAAGGGCTGGTGCTGAAGAATCCACGGTCTATGTATCGACTGAATAGTCGTAACGATGATTGGATGAAGGTCAAGCCAGAGTACATGACTGAGTTTGGAGAATCTCTGGATTGTTTGATCATCGGTGGGTACTACGGTTCAGGTCACAAGGGCGGGCGACTGTCCTCGTTCTTATGCGGTTTGCGGGTGACTAAGAATATAATCGACTCTCAAGGTGAGAATTGTCATGTTACATACCAGCGCACGATATTGATCTGTAACGCAGGTGCAAATCCTATGAAATTCTACTCGTTTTTTAAGGTCGGTGGTGGATTTAGAGCTGAAGATTACGACAAGGTCATGTATCTCACAGCTGGCAAATGGGTCACCTGGGACCGTAAGAACCCTCCCACCGAGTACATCGAGCTAGGGGGCCCGGATGGTCAGTACGAACGTCCAGATGTATGGATCAAACCCAGCGATTCGGTGGTCGTAGAAGTCAGAGCAGCGTCGGTCGGCAGCAGCGACTCGTTCAAGACGAAATTCACACTCCGTTTCCCTCGTTTCAAGAGAATACGAACTGATAAAGACTGGCAAAGCACGCTCTCCATCGATGATTTCATCAATCTGAAAGCCAAGGCAGAAGCCGATAGAGAGAAAGAGATGAAAGTCGACAGCAGCCGGAAAAGGATGACGAAGAGAAGAAAGAAAGAACTTGTCATAGCAGGCAATGACAGCAAAATCAAGACCCCGTATGGTGGGCCCCAAACGAAGATCCTTGAAGGACTCAACTTTTGCGTCTTGAGCGAGATGCTTCAGCCGGTGAAGAAGAGCAAAGCAGAAATTGAGGAGATCATCAAGAGCAATGGCGGTAGTATCTTCCAGTCTCCTACAGCCAAAGAGCATATTCTTTGTATTGGCGACAAGAAAGTCGTCAAGGTCGCAAGTCTGATAAAGAGGGGACACACCAATGTGATCAAGCCTTCGTGGATCCTCGATGCCTTGAAACAGGCGGAGATAGATGGGCCTGGGAAAGAGAGATTTCTGGTCCCTTTTGAACCAAATCATATGCTTCACGTGGCGCCCGAGTCAAGAGAGGCTATTGCAAGGAATGTGGACCAGTATGGGGATAGCTACGCGCGGGATCTCAATCCCCAGGAGCTCAAGGGGGTCCTGGAAGATATGATGCCGATCAAGAATTCCACGTTCTCGCCCACAGCCTTCCTCTCCGAGCTCGAGCAGCGTGGCAAAGGACTGGGGGAGTTGCGAGGCTCCTTGTTCCGGGGCTGCGTGGCCTATCTCGCCCCCAGCGATGGGAAACAGAACTCGGCTACAGAATTGGAAAGGAAGGTAGCGAGGCTCCGGTTCCTCTTCGCGGCCGGTGCTATCGCAGAGGATCTGCACGCGGAGGTCACGCATGTCGTCGTCACGAATGAGGATAGGGGACAGGTGCGTGCTCTAAGGCAACAGATTGCTGAGAGTGGGAGACGAAAGATCCCGCGGGTGGTGGGCTGGGATTGGGTGACGGAGAGTTGGAGCGAGGGGACGTTGCTAGATGAGGAGAGGTTTGCTGTTGTGTAGGTGCGGGATCTTGTGCGTGTGGATGCAACCGGGAGGTATTCCCGTGAGATGAAGTGTATCTCTGCTTGGATACTGCCGTGTATTGAATGAAAGCTGGTAGATACAATGAATAATGTAATATAATATAATATGATCGATATAACACAGTTCGATTTCTACCTTGTGTGTTAACCCTCAGGGAAGTCAGAATCAAAAACTCTTTCTAGATAGAATATTTGAAACGTAGACGGGTACTTAGAGCTTAGCATCTACCTACCTAGTTGCTCTGCTCTTGTCGCGCCTTGAAAGGTAAAGCTTGAACTGTAACAGTAACAGTAACAGTAACTTAAATTTCTTTCTTTGATTCTTAAGTCTACAAGCTGGAGCTGGTTTCTGTAATGCGCTTTGTGTTGTTTATTCTTTCTGGTAGTGGTTTTTAACACTTGGTTGTCCTCCTATGATAGACCCCCCCCCCCCCCCCCCCCCCAAAAAAAAAGAGAAGAAAATAGAGGGGTTTAGAAAGACTTTACGTGTGTCTCGAGAGAGAGGGAGTGATTGTAAATTATGAGGATAATAATATATGTTCCTTCGTGTACGATAACTCACTTATAAGACGAGTAGGTGATAGGTAGGAATTATAGGGAGGTTAATAATTAACGTTTAGCTAGTGTTCGTAAAGCACTTCAAAAACTAATGCCACCTTAGTTATCAAATTAGAACTAGAAACTTATAATGTTTATTTAACCCCTTTATACTTGTAAGTTAGAACTTTGATGCATGATTTACTTGACCACAGTGTCTATAAAATGGCTGGATTTCAAAATGTGTTTTTCTATTAGCTCTTGGTGGAGGAACGCTATGTAGAAGTGTGCTGTATGGATTAGATATACTGCGCTGGGCACGGCAGAGACGCAAGAGCTTATTAACCTGACAAGGTCATATGGGCAGAGCACAATCATCGCAACTGTCATCCTGCTTCTCAACTGAATTCCCCCTCTCCAGCAATATCGTCAGCGCTCGATTCGTAAGAGTCAGGAATGCTGCCGCGGCGTTGCTCCGTCGATTAGTGACAGTGACAGTGACAGCGACAGCGACAGCGACAGCGACAGCGACAGCGACAGCGACAGCGACAGCGACAGCGACAGCGACAGCGACAGCGACAGCGACAGCGACAGCGACAGCGACAGCGACAGTGACAGCGACAGCGACAGTGACAGCGACAGTGACGAGGCTGTCCGCTCCCTCATGTCATCTGAAGATTGACCCGACGGACTGCCCGGTCTCTTGGTATTATCAGGCCCCACGATCTCCTTTGCCGCCTGGATCAACATCTCTATTGCTTGGCATATTTCGGTGAGATCCATCCGGGGTATGTTAGCACGCAACCAGTCCAGCATGGAGGAACCAGGACCAGGTCTCTCGCGTTGCAGTTGTCGGCTCAATTCCTCTTTCTTCTGCTTCACCAATCGCTTGCGAGCTTGATTTCTTCTGAACCGGTCTTCCAAGCTGTCTTGAATCATTTTTGGAGCTACCCTGGCCCGTTGGGATCTGCTAGATGCGGCCCCTGGACTAATATCCCTGCCGTTTCCGTTGGCATCTATATTCTTGGGAGAGAGAATGTCTGCTAAATCTGCTGGGATATTTAGAGAGTGTCCTGGCTTCTCTGCAGTGTCCTGTCTTCTCTGCAGTGTCCTTTGGTATCTCCAGCGCAGGGGCAGGATCAGCCTTCCCCTAGAGCAGCTGGGTATCACATTCCATCTGTAAGTCATTAGCATTTCAACACACAGGTGCAGAAAGGATCTTACTAACCGTGTTGAACCTTTCGTCCCTTACAAAAGGAGTCTCCAGGGTTGGTGCGCCAGGTCGGGAAACATCGAACTTGGCCCAAGGCCTCACCTTACCCGGCAGTCGGATATAGACAACATACTTATATAAACAGGCCCCTCAAACGCGGAGAGCCTCCCGCAGCGTTTAAATTAGGAAGCATTGAGAAGTTTAACTTCTCTCCATGGACCAATATGCCAGCTGGAAGTTCAGCGGAATATCTTCTCGTAGCAGTTATTCGATACATGACGGATTCCAAGAAAGCTGGATAGTCGGATTTTATCTGTGATTGTCGAATTTTATCTGTGATTGTCGAATTTTATTTGTGATTGTCGAATTTTATCTGTGATTGTCGAATTTTGGCTGTGATTGTCATATTTCTTTACACGGTTATCGTTTCTTCGGATGATTTTGGGAAGTACTTACTCACTAAAGCCCACATCATTGCCTGAGATTGTCAGGACAGCAATCTGCGGCTTTCTAATAGGAGTAGATGGCAAGTTAGGATTCGGGACTCCTTGCTTTAACTGCGATCAGATCCAACCGGTTGATCAACCACTGACTGAAACGAAATTGTGATGTGAAATTGGCACCGTCGAGTTCAAGCACTCCCTATGAGAAATAGTTAGGTCATTTAGTTCACAGTCTGCGGACCTCGAGTCTATATCTAGAAGGAATCCGTACCTTCAGATCTATCACATTGTCTTTTGGGATTTTCTTGTTCGGGAGCCTTCTTCTATCCATCACTTCCAGGCATGACTTGATGGCAGAGAACAAATCAGGATCGGTCCTTGTACAGTCGCGATCAAAGATAGACCGGATCTTTGGAATGTTGTGAATGCATTGCATAATTGTCGTGAAGAGTGTGCATCCTGATACTTGGTAGAAATTACTCCGATATACTTCCTTTGTCTCGGGATTCCATAATTCAATACCAGATGGGCTGGCCTTCGAGGATGTAGAATCATGTAGCTCTTTCTCTTGGAGAGATGGCGCTGGTCCTCGACTTTCTGGGTTCATTTATTAGTTATTATTGTCTGTTTTGTGAGGTATAAACGAACCTAGAATGGCTTTACATAAGCGGCTAAAGAAGCTGAAGATAATGCGGATGCTACTAGGCGGGAGATGACTTGACTCTTTCACTCCGTAGTAATACACCTGACACTAGGGGCCAATACCAGGAGGCTGTGGCAGCGGCATAGAGCCTGTATACGGCGGGAATCTAAGACTAGACTGGATCCGCTGATTCCATTGCTGCAGAGTATTCATAACACTCTGATAAGTCTGCAGGTTCCTGCCACCATTATGCGCGGCGATATAAGGGACTGCCGTAGCAACGATAGCCTGATCAGCCTAATTCTGAGCGAATTGTTCGATCTGGGACAAGAAATCGCTGGTAAATGCGTCCTACCAAGCCTGAAGACCTCCCTGGCCCGTGGCTACCTGGATAAGGCCGAGCTGGAAGCGGATCTGGGTGCGGACGGCATTGAAGCGCGTGGCAACATCAGGAGAGTTCAGATACTCTAGATCGGAAGTTATAGTTGAGCTTGCCCGAGGCACAAGGCCCGCAGTGCCTCTTAAGAGGACTGTAATAAGACCGCTGCGCAGTAAGAAATACATTAGAATAAGATGTATAGAAGGTATCGAACGTAAAATATTGAGCGGATGAGAAATTAGGAGAAATCCTAGAGTTCTTTCTTCCGTGCCAGGCGAAACGGGAGACCACTCTGGAAGGCCCGCTCTCTGGACACCTCCTCTGAGACGTATGGCTCCGGATGAAAATCGGGATCCATTGTGATGGAGGTGTTGGTGGTGATGCTTTTGTTGATGGAAGTTAGGTGGGGAGGGGGTCGGTTTCAAGACGCGGGAGATATATCAGGTACGCGTTGCGAAAGCAGATCGAACGATGCGGTAACCGAGTCCAAAGTGAATTCACGTACCTCACATGACGGTGGGTCAGGTTAACAGTAGACCTTTTTCCTTTTCTTCTGGATTCAATCCACTACCCAAAAATGCAAGCTCATAAAGCGAGAGAGAGATAGGAGAAAGGTGCGTTACAACAATAACCAACTCCAGCTCAGGAATTAAGAATTAGGAAAAGAAGAAATAGGGGTGGGTTACTATTCCGGCCTACCCTTAAAGGGGCGATATGATGAATGCCTTGCTATCTTGATGCTACTCTCAACATCTTTCATAACACCAACATCCAATATTGATTGTAAGGGGGGGGTTGTCTATGGACTGGCATCCACACTCTGACACTGCTATAGAAGGATTATTCGACCAGTTTCTCTGTACAGTGTGAAAGTGTGTACTGTAATTTGTAGAAATCTAAAGATCAAACTCTTCCTTCCAGCAGTTAGCGGGATAAATATTGGTCGGCTCCCAAGTAATGATCCGTGACAGACTTGATCGAGCGAGGAGCGAGCGCAGCGAGCCCTTGCTCGATCTGCCACACAGTCAATCAGTCGCGGCTGTGTCTATTGGCAAGAAATAAGTCAGGCCCAAATAAGGCAAAATGGAACAGAAAGCAAAGAAACAAAAATTAACAGAAAAAGAAGATGGGTTTCGACAGTAGTAAGGCGGAAATGGTGTATGGATCTGTTGATCGCGAGCCCTAAGATCCGTTTGATACCTGAGGCATGAACAGCGTTGAAAAAGCCCTACAGACTGTGTCTTATATTATATAATAATGAGAGCCCTTCAACAAACACTCGAAAGAGCGCGGGTTCGCCCTTATAGCTCAATGGTAGAGCGCGTCACTAGTACTACTAGTAAATGACGAGGTTGCCGGTTCGATTCCGTCTAAGGGCATTATAAGCCTCAACATATCTTTTTGCATTTTTAAGCTTTTATATCATTTTTACCTTTTGCTCCCCAGGAAAGCGCGCCATCGCATGGAAAGAAAGCAGGTGCGACGGCCAAGCCGCGAAGCGGCTTGCCCAAACGAATACCCCCAAAATTTTTTTTGCAGACACATAGAATATCGAATCTCACGGAATCGAACACGGCAACACTCGTCCTTTACTAGTAGTACTAGTGACGCGCTCTACCATTGAGCTATAAGGGCGAACCCGCGCTCTTTCGAGTGTTTGTTGAAGGCGGCGCGCGAGCTTCGCTCGCGGCACCACTGCGCGAGCCCACGGTGATGGTGAGGGTGGTGGTGCATCTGCTGCTGTAGGTAAATCGAGCAATATCTGGGTATGGGATGATGATGATGATGTTGGCAATTTGTTTACCGTCTACGTTCCAGGCAGAAACCGTGCGGTAGAGAAATTGATGTCATTTGATATCTTGCCAATTTTTTGAGAGTGCTCCTGTCCTTTTTCTCCTATCTATAACTCTATTTCACGTTTTCCCGTTTTCTCGTTCTGATGTGAGAAGATTCGGTGGTCCTGTATGAGTATACAGATGGTGGAGGCTAGCACATATAACCACAGACTGAGGAGAACTGGGCTGTCTGCCATCTCTTTTCATGTTTCGAGATTTTGAAATCAGGTTTAGGTGACGGTGTATCACGTTTTGCCAATCTCTGATGCAAATGCATTCCTGTTGCTGCTCTTGAAAAGTCTAGCTCTAAGTTGTGAACTCCTTACGCCACTTTTGACATTCGAATCCATGTTTCCAGTTTGTGATATCCCACGTTTGAGCCTCTACTTCCAAACTCAAAATTCTCAGGCTGTGCTACACAGAGATCCTAGGTGATATGTAGCTGCACACACATCCAGTTACGAATTCTACTCGCTATCCACTGTCTTAACATGAGAAACAACAATCTATCTGCTTCTCGGCAGGGACGTAGCCAAGTAAGCCTCCATCATCGGACGGTCCGGGGATTCCAGCCACCAGTCTTGCAGGTGGCGGATCCTTTCGTATCCCTGCTTGTCCAGCTCAGCGTCCCGTATATGAACTGAATGTAGTCATTCTCATGCTCCCCGGTGACATGAATAGGCTGGGGCAGCGGCCTTGAATGATTGTATTACTTATACACGCAGCAAAGTCTCCGCGCAGTCATCTAGTACTGCATTTCCTACTGTGGCACTGGCCAGCAGTGTTATGTTGTACGTGATATAGACAGCAACTGTGTGGGTTGCGTTGGTGTTGGTGTTGGTGTTGGCAGTCCGTAAGTCGAAACTGGCCGTCGCGCAGAATTATATAACCTGCCACAACCCCAAACTCTGTCACCGTCAATATCAAGCAAGCACCAGAAATGATTATGACTATTTTGAGTCGCGCTCTGCTAGCAATCAACTTGATCAGCTGTTCAGACGCTATAACTATACCCCTTTGCACTCGCAACAGATACTGCATAGCACAGCGTATCACAAGAACGTCGACGCTTTAATCATGACTGAGGCGCACCAACAGGTCCCTGGCGACAATCCAGCATACTTCTGTGGCCCGACTCCGCCCAACCAGCAGCTTTTCGAAATCGAGGAATTCATTATTGCACCAAATCCTCCAGAGATGTATGTTATCTCAACCTATCTTCCGCATTCATATATCTTGAAGTTCTAATAGGAGTGGTAGCGATCACCGTTTTTTTGGGTACCTACGTGGTATTGCGCCCGACGTGCCAAACCTAAACGACACTTCTCTTCGAATAAGTATTCAGAAAGGTGATGAAGAAACTCGAGATTACGAGGATAAGCTTGTGAAGTGGCACCAAATCATTATAAGACATAATAGTCAGTATGGCCACGAGTTGAAACCTGGTCAGATAGAGATACTCGCCGACTATGTCATTTTTGGATGGTTTGTGGAGACCGACAACTATACCTTTACTGCAGAAGCAAAGCTTCCTGATGGGCGTGTCTTGTTCTGTTTTCAATCAAGTATATTTCTAAAGGGAGAGAATTAGGGCTCCGATATAGGTACTGTCCCAAGTCTTGATGTGTTTTAGCTGTACAGGACTTCGCCTCACCACTTCATTTCTCTCACGATTCCGCTGATCTGCTGTGAGGGGCAATCCTTGATCGTTGTGTTAAGTCTGTGGATTGATCAAGTTGCCAGACGTTACTATTTACATGATATAGGGCACATGGCGTCTGCCCACCTTCCGCTCAGCCTCAATACTTTCCCTCTTCTCAGCTGTTTCCACTTCACATCAAGTCCCCGCCTATCAGAAGTCATATGTGTGATGGCGGACAAAATCGAATTCTCACCTGCGATCCCTTTGCCTGCAGTGTTTGATGTCCAAGAGCGCATCCAACAACTCCGTGGCTAGCTTGACCCAAAAATCCTGACTATCAACCCGAACAACAGCATGCCAATATCAAGGCCGCCATTAAGCTCTATAAGGACGGGCAAATCGATGGATCGCAGGAAGTCTACATTAAGGGAGGCGAAATTGTCACTGAACAAGAAGTGTTCAGAGGAACCGGTTGGGCTTGGTTTGAAGTACATTCTTTTAAATTCCTTTTCTATAAGAACCCATCTAACGAATGACTGAAATTACAGGGAGTTGGTAATCAGTTCTAATGGTCATGGGCCTTTTAGTAATAACGAAGCCAGTTAACGACAAGAAGAACAATAGCGACAGCGACAGCGATAGTAATGGTCACAGCGACAGTAATAGTCACAGCGACAGTAATAGTCACAGCGACAGTAATAGTCACAGCGACAATAATAGCCACAGCGACAGTAATAGCCACAGTACCTTCTGATTTCTCTCCATACTTATACTCAAGCTCGCCCATTATCTTTGTCGCCCGAATCTTGCGATTCTCTTTGTCTGCTTGGCTATACGGGATCTCGTAGCGTTTATCATCGCGAAGTTCTCGATCTAGATGGATCCTCGCAGAATCCTGACATTGAAAAATAAGAAAAATAAGGTGATGAGATTTGTGACAAACTAGTGATCTTGTATCACTAGTGAATCGTGATGAAGGAAAGGACACCCAGACTGCTCTGCTGGTTTTTACTTAAAAGAAACGAAAATGAGACTCGACCCGTTCTTCATGAACGGTCATCAGCTTCAATGGGGAACTAAACATGATGATATGAGATTGAATCGATCTGGCAGCACAACCAATCGTCCTAGGTCGCCGATTTGTGGGGGCGGGGAGAGTAGGAGTTCAATTGATAGAACGGTTGTATTCTCTAAGTCTAAGCTGAGGAAATCACAAAGTGGCCTTATACTGCATGACGCCAAGGCAGAATTGCTGAGCACGATCGACGCGAGGTAAAAGCAGCTTTCAGAAAACCGGAAACGGGGTTGCAGACGTTTGGAGAGGGAGCGACTAGAGCACACAGAGAACTGGGCATCACTTGTATGTTTCTTTTATTGGATTTTTGATATTTCTTTTCTGTGCTTTTGTCTATCCGTGTACATAGATAAGTTCAAATAACTTAAAACCAATCACATACGACCACAGACTGAAGAAAATAGGGCATCCCGTCCGCTCTGCCATACTCAAGCTTCAGATCGGCAGATTAGTAGTTGGGTGGGTGACCACCAGCGAATACCTGCTGTTGTATGTTTTTCTTTTTCCTTTTCTTTTTTTGTTCCTCTTGATAAAATCAGCTGTTTAGGGGTTGATCCGAGTCTGCCTCCTGGAAAGATCCTCCCTAGGAGAAGAAGTATTTTGCCATGGAGTGTATGCATCGCCGCTATATTTAAAGTATCATGGTAGGATTGCAGCAAGTGCTCTGTCCATATGTTATTATACTTTCCGGCGGCTAGTTGCCAATAAGCTTTGCCAGTTCTACAGTTCAAGTGACAAGAGCACAACCTGAATAGTTCCTTCAAGATCTTGAAACTCGATTCCTCTTATTAGTGAGTGCTCTGTGTCCTCAAAGAAACATGGTATACCCCTACGATGACTACTTTTCCTGTTCCTACTCCTATTCCTTCTCCACCACCGTCTTCTACAACCAGCCTATATTCATTATCAGAACGAAGTAGGATGGCCTCGAACCCTGCCTACCTGAGCTGACAAAATGCAGTCAACATTGCCACACGCTCTACCCACAGTCAATTAAACAGACTAGTACGTCTGCGCCTCTGCTTGGCCCTCCCTCCCTATAGTCCGGACCCTTCCACCTACATCTCCGGTCTCCTGCACATTGCGCCCATCTATACAACCTTCGAGTCCATATGGCAATCAATCCTCGATGCGCCGTACCTGCCCCTGACCCTTAAAGAAAGTCCTGTCCACAATGCCTCCAAGCCCGATTATCCATCTACAGATTCCAGGAGCATACATCGCCTACCCACCCGGAACATCCCACCAGCCGGTGACGCAGGGAGTGTCTGCTCGCGAACCCGAACCCTCCTCTCCTACCTCAGACTGCCTGGTCTCCTCCGCTCGGGAAGACTGCGAGCCGATATCCGCATACTGACCGGCGCGCCTGAACATCAGATCGACGAGGGATTAGAGGCCGTTGCGCAAAATGGCGAGTTGGCGGCGTTCATCACTCATATGAAGCAGTCGGCTGAGAAGAATCCCCACGTGTTGGTAGCGTATGCTTGGGTTCTATACATGGCTCTGTTCTCCGGCGGGAGACATATTCGAGCCTCGTTGCAAGTAGCCGGTGGATTGGGAGGGGATTTCTGGACCATCGATCCCTGGCCCACCCAGGTCTCGCGAGACGCAACTTCCAGACCAGATATCCCATCCAGCTTCAGCCATCACCGCCCAAGACAACGTCAATCCCGGTCCCACTCAACAAGTTGCTCGGACGGCCAGGTCTCCACGCTAGTTCCCGGCTTGCAATTCTTTACTTTCCTAGGCGATGAAGACGGCGAGGATCTCAAGCTGGAATTCCAGCAGCGCCTCGCCAAAGCAGAGACCCTGCTCACCGACCCCGAGAAAGAAGACATCATCCAGGAAGCGCAAGGAATCTTCGACTCCATGATCCGGATGGTGTACGAGCTGGATAGAGTAATGGGCACCAATGAAGATGATCTCGCGACCGCGCGACTCCAACTCCAACACAAGACCCTGGCGAGCAGCCGCGATAGCGTAATCCTCGCCCAGGAACGCCTCTCTAAGAAGACTCGCGCTCGCACGCTAAGGGAAAACTCAAGCCAGGAGCGTAGTAGCAAAGGCGGCTGGCTTGATAGCTTCGCGGGCCCGGTGACTAGGACCCTAGATGCGCTGACGAGACCGCGACTCAAACGCAGTCTTTCGACAGAGGGATCGCAAGCGCATGTCTCGTTCAACCCGGTGGTGGAAGAGAGAGATATCTGAGGAGTGTGGAATGGCTTGTTTTCTTGGGGTCGTGTCTGCTGTGGATGGGACTTACCTAGAGGCTGTGGATAATGTGTGATGAATGAATGGTGACTTTCTCACATAACAGCTACGCGGGGATTTGGACATGAGAAAACTTCAGTAGGTAGTATTGGAGAGAATTTCTCCTAAGATTCAAGAACAAGCAGTCTGTAAAGAGCAGACAGTCTGTAAATGACCATAGCCCACATACCTTAGGTAGACAGGGATTCGGGAAACGAAACAAAGAAGAAAAACCGAAGAATGAAATCAATCCGAGGTCCTGAGAACTCACACCCTTTTCTTTCTATTTCTGCTTTTTTCGCGAACAGACAGGCAGTGAAGAAGAATATTCTATGTGATCGTGACAAAAACGTTCATTCGTTCATTCATTCAAATTCTAACATTCTTGAAATCAGGCTTGCTCGCCGTCCAGCCCTGCGTCTTGGATCTGGATCATATCCTCCTTTTCCCGCGTACCCCATCATAGTATTCCTGGAAACGGACGTGATCTAGGTGATCACGGATCGGGGATGGGTTCAGTATCGTGAATCGTGACAGTCTAGCTATCTATACGTGGAATAAATAGCTCCTGCACCGAAAACCCGCAGGCGCGCTGATATCTCTCAAATCCCGTGACGCGAATTCGCTATCGCTATCTGTAAAGAAGAGGCCAGCCTCGCGGATATAGGTCATTGGTGCATTCTAGAGGGCTCGTCTTCGTCACGTGTCTCATGGTTGATGAATAGGAAGGATAGGAGGACGATCAAGGCGCCTACCCAGTATAGAGCGCTGGAATATTGGGAGCTCAGGACGATCTGGCCGATCAGGGAGAGGGGGATGGTCATTGAGAGCCCGACGGTTATGACTAAGGGGGAGGTGAGGAGCATGGCGTAGGCCCAGCAGTAATCACTGATGAAGGATGATGCTGAGTTTAACTATATGTTTTGTTAGATGATTCAAAGAAGAGATTCCTGTATCACTTACTAGGACGATGGTCCAGATCTTGCCTGTGGGAGGGAGGGCGAATGTCTCGACGCCCGTGAAGTGTAGGATCAGGAAGCCGGGCCATAGGAAGATAACGTTGAAGAACCCGACTAGGCCGAAGAACAAAGGCATATCGACACGGTCCTCGTTCCCAATGCGTTTCTTCATGACCACGGCGTAGACGCCGTACATGATCGCGCTTCCAAAGGCCATGGCATCACCGAGAGCAATCTGCCCCTGAGATTTGTGCGGGAAGTTCCCACGGTTCTCATCATTGTCTTTTCCTGTAAGGTCAATGGTCGAGACTAGGATGATACCGGCTAGGGAGGCTAGAACTCCAATAAGCTTCTTGTAAGAGAAGTGTTCTACGTGCACCAGAGCACCGAAGACCAGGGTCCAGATACTGCTAGTCGAAGTCAAGATCGTGGAGCTGGCCACACTTGTGTATTCTAAACATGCTGCCACGAGGTAATTGGCGATAAACCAGAGGAGGCAGAATTCGAGACTGATCTTGGCTGTTTCTGGTACGCTTAGAACACCATCCGGGACCTCAGGGTCACCAGCCACATTGAATTCTTCCTCTGATCGCTCATCATCGTCCAGTAATCTGGTTTGGGAAGCAGATAACGCATCCTCTGGATCTTCTCCTCTTGCCGACTTTCCACGCCTTCTGTAATGCTTCACTAGATCTCGCCAGCTTTCGGCCAAAAACGTCCGTACATCTGAAACGCCATTCTGACGTGAGATTCGCACAAAAATAGGGACCAGCGATATAGCAAAGAACGAAGTATTGATATAGGTAACAAAATATGGTTTCGAGTACGAGTTATCAGCGAAGATATACTACTCATATTAGCATTTACCCCACCATACCTCTCCGGGATCAACATACACTGGCCAAGAAATTCGAGGCAGTCCACAAAAATACCGTAACGAGCAGGAGAAAAATCCCCAGGGTCCGCCGGGCCACATGCCCCAACCCAACGCCGGCTCTGAAGCGGTGCGGTTCTTTCAACTTCAACGAGGTCGGTCTTGACGAGGACGTGGACTGACGTTCGCGGAGTTCTCCTGGCGTTCCGCGCGCCATCGTGAACTCGTCCACGTTCATGGGCGGCACCGCCGGCTCCTGTGCACTCATTGTGTGTTTCGAAAATCGTGTCTGACGTGCTTATCGTGGATTTTATCGGGCCATTGAGGTGGGATGAAGAGGGTCCTGGTTTGGAATACGGCGGAGTAGGACAATTTAAGGATAGACGCCGCAAAACGATCGATCTGGCCACAATCCTGAGAGCGAGGGTCTATTGGTATTGTAGGCTGCACATGTTGAGGCTTTTTGTTCATCGTTAGAAAGTCTTGCGTGAGCAGGCCGTGTTGGGGACGGAGTAATTATTATCCATGAACCACTAAGTTGATAAGCAACTGGACCCTCCGACTTGTCTCAGATAGGAATGCTGTGCCGATATCAACCCAGGATCACGGGTGCCTATCAGGTGACTAGGTATCTTACCTAGGATTGCCTCGTACATAGTCTACCTTAGATACGTACATCCAGAAGTGTATTATTACAAGGATTACTAGACTGCCTCATGTACATCGTACAGAGCGAGCCGTCCAGAAGTGTATTGTTACAAGCATCAATAGGCCATGAAATCTCTCTGAAAGCATTATGCATTCTGTATAGACAAGGAGACGCAGACACCAGAGCGCCATGAATGATCCTCAACTACATACACATGATTGCTACTGCCTGGCATAAACAAGCCCAAGACGTCCAAAGAAGAGTGTAACAAAAAGCCTGGACGAAGGACCCCAAGAACGAAGAAAAAACATTCCATACTCTCCCTAGTCTAGCAGGCACATCCAGGGTCGTTCTCGATGTGAATGTTGATCGGATCTGAGAAATCCCCGCTGAACTCTTCTGATTCTTCTTGAGCTAGGGCATTTCTCGCAATGACTGGGGAATTATTCAATCATCAGCAGGAGTCCCCATAATCCACATAACACGAGATGCTACTGACCTTCAAATGCTTGTTCCACGTTGATAGCCTCCTTGGCACTCGTCTCGAAGTATGGAATCCCGCCCTTAGATTGGCAAAAGGTCATGGCACGTTTTGATGAAATCTGAAGTATCTTGTGAGTATTGCGTTCTCTTTAGAACTGGTCGTGTGACCTACCACTCTCTTGTTCTCCTCCACATCAATCTTATTTCCAAGGACAACCTAACTCGGTCTTAGCCTCTGGCCCACAAAAATACCATAAATAACTCACAAATGGGAAACTGTCCGGGTCTCGAGGTGATGCCTGGATCAAGAACTCGTCCCGCCAGCTATCGAGAGTATCGAAACTCTTGGAGTTATTGACGTCGTAAACCAGTACACAACAGTCTGCACCTCTGTAAAAGGCCACCCCTAATGATTGAAACCTCTCCTGTCCCGCAGTGTCCCAAAGCTGTAAACCCATCAGCCTCCGGTGTCTGAGTGTATTGGCGCAGCATAACGGCGTACCTGCATAGTCACTAAACGATCATCAACCAACACCTCCTTCGTCAAGAAATCCGCGCCAATCGTGGCCTTGTAGCTCGCACTAAACTTCTTGTTGACCTGCCCAGATATCAGCCTCTAGTTCTAGTATGTCGACTGTCGGAGTAGGTTGCGCGGCGTGTAGTAAGCAGTCATTGGACATACATATTGGTTCATCAAACTTGTTTTGCCAACACCGCTGTCGCCCAAGATGATAACCTGATCGACCATATTTAGTATACCACTCACGTAGCTTCCAGGTTCGAGAGGATATAAGCTGGGCGCACCTTGAGCAGGACCTTCTTCCTAGTAGACATCGTGTTGGCAAGCTACCGAGGCTGGGACGGTCGCGCGATAACTCTGCGTGCTCACACAGGGTGAAGGAAGGGCCTCGGAATGTATCGTTTTGGAGAACAATACAGGAAGAAGTTAATAACTCAAAGACTGAATCCCGTTCGGTGGTGTTTGCGTATGAAGCGATATTGTGTTGATGTCTATCGCTTGGAGCGCTTGTAATGGTGGAGCTCCAGCTTGCTTGGACGACGTCTGAAATCCCGCGCTAAGGCCGCTGAGCTTCGCCCTATCAAACCCCTTCCTCACACTGCATTACATCGCTGTGACTTCTAGGCCTCTGTGCCAAACACTACACCTTCACGAGTCGATCCAGCAATGCGGCTTCTCAAACTTATACATTGCAGGATCCAAAAATGAGTTCTTGGCGGGAGGAATACATCAAATCCCTCAACGAACGAGACGAGCGAGAGAAGGCCAGCTACGAGCGCTTCAGCCCCGAATTTATAGAAGCATGTAAATAGCATCCTAACCCGCTCTAGCACCCCATAAGCTAATATCCAGAAGACACGAAGCTTCTCGACCGAACTGCTGCCCTCGAAGCTGAAAAGGCTGCCAGTACACCCAGTTCGGAACCCGTATCCAGAGACCCCGCACTGCCCATACCTGCCAACGATGGGACGGCCCAGATCCGGCGAGATCTCGCTGAAGCGCTGCGTGCGAACGGACAGCTGAAATCACGAATCGCAGCCGCGGAGAAGGAGCTGGTGGCACTCAGAGCGAAGGCCAAAACGGACACGAAACTCGTTCAAGACCTTACCAAAGAGCGCGCTGTGCTCGCGCAGAAGGTTAGGGATAGAGATGAGGAGTTAAAGGGCAAGGCAAAGTTCCTAGTGGTATGCCCCCCTTTTGTCTCTATGCTGGTTTCCGGGTTTGCTTATTATGTCTAGGATTCGCAAGACGAGATCAGTGTGCTCAATTTGCAGCTTGATTCTTTTGAGAAACAGGTCAAGAAGCTCAAGGCGGATAACCAGCAGCTTATCGATCGATGGATGGCTAGTAAGGGTCTTGAAGCCGATGAGATGAACAAGGCACTAGGGGGGTGAACGACCTCTTGTCACAACATGTCATGGCAAGGAGGCCAACTTTAAGATGTCATGTGTGAGTATTCTTTATTTATCGTCACTATCATCTATTCATACTACAGTCATGCTATTCCAGACAGTCATGTTCAAACCCCAACTAATCAAAGCTCTAACCTAGCTTCAACTCAATTAGCCCAAATGTTCAAACTCCTTAAGCCTCCGATCATTCTTCGTGGAAATGTAGTAGTTCCCCGACTCGAACTTCCAGCTCACCCAATTCTCGAAGTACTGCTTCTCTATCCGGTCAAAGAGGTTAACAGGATCGTTGAGGGTCCGTGACTTCATCTTATCGTCCGACCCGACAAAAGGCTGTAGATGGACAACCTTGCACCCGTCCTTGACATCCAAGAAGAGATGGATCAGATCCCTATTAAGCATTGATCCGAAAACCTCATTGTTGACAAGAATCACATCCGCGCGCCTCATTGCCTCATGGATGGCGGTATTTTGCATGAAATCGCCTCGTACTAACCGGACATCCCCAGTCCGGATACCCCAGAGTCGACAGCGCGCCGCGAACTCCTTTTCCTGGGCGTCGGCAAGATCGCATGCATTCGGCATCATCTCACATCCCCAGCCCTCGCAACCGATCTCCAATGCCGCCTGCAAAACTACATTACCAACACCGGATCCTAAATCTACAAACACCTGATCCGATTTCAGGTGCGTCTCCTCAAAAATTTTGGACACAAAAGGTGGGAGGAGTTCGCCATATGTGTTTTCTTTGTTTTCTTTCTTGTTTTTAAGGGTGTCGACCTGTGGCGAAACCACGCGATCATAAACCTGTCGGAGAATCAAACGAACCATATCATAAGGTAGATAGTGCATGCTGTCGAGGTTCTTGGCAAGACTTCCGTTCTTAAGAGGGACCTCGAGTGCCTTGTTGTAGACATCCACGGCGTCTTTGAATCCGTTTAGTAACTCCTTGTTTCTGCTATCCCTTGAAAGCAGGTTCTTCGCTCTCACCAGCTTCCGTATAATGCCGGAATTTGGATCTGTGAATGGAAGTGCCTCCTCCTCTGTCAGATATATACTGGTGACTATTTCCGCGACATCGCAAATCTCTTGTGCTGGATCGATTTGTTCCTTCCCGAAGACGAGATCGTATCTAGGTGAACAAAGGTCAGCTCCATAGCTGAAGACCGGATACTGGGATATTGGCATACCTTTCCCGCTGCGACGCACTTGGATACCTCAGCTCGACAGTAACATTCTTCTCCTCTACCGCAGTGACAAGTTTTGATTTCCTGCTCGTAGAAGCGATATCCGCAGCATGGATCATGGGGAAGACAACGCCATCTTCCTCGGAGAAGGCCTTCTCTGAGCGAAGCTTTCGGTTCAGGTCCGGAGGCCTGTCAGACTTGTGTCTCTTAATTGGTTCATCAAAGGACGCCGGACTGTCCACGTCGTCATCGTCGCTGTCCGACTCGATCCTTTGTTGCACGGGCGATTTCTGTCTCACAGCCTTGCGCTTGCGCGGCTCAAGCCTGTCTGGTGTCGCAGTGGCAGATCTGGACTTTGCAGGCGATGTGCGAGTAGGAACTTGAGGTCGCTGAACTGTTTTCGAAGCGATTTTAGAGGGGAGCGGCTGGGGTTTCTTTGCTGGAGGCGCTTTCTCGACCCTGATCTTTGGAGGAACGACTGCGATTTTCGGGTTGGGCTTTGCTCCAAAATTGAACATGGTAACGAATGCGGATGCGAATCCAAAAGCAAAACCAAATGATAGTGAAACCGACAACGCAAATACCCAACGGAATGCAAAGAAAGGATGCGGGTTGGCGGTTGAGAGGGAGGGTGGTGGGCGGAAAGACTGTTTTGCCTTCAGAGTTTCGGGGTTTCGCGACGGAAGCTTTGGTCAGCCTTTCCCTTCGGCTTCCCCTTCGGCCGCAAGGGGTATGGTCACGTGAGACCGCCGCCACATACGAAAACCCACGAGGCTGAAGTTCCAGGAGGTCAAGGGCTGCTTTCACCACCAACCATCTACGAGTAGGTATCGACCCAGAGATGGACCATCCACCTTATTCGCTCGCGCTCGCTCTTTGTATGCGCTATCCGGTTCTCCATGTCCATTTTGTGGGCCAACTCCAATTGCAAGACCACAGAAGAGTCGTGACATAACCATCGAACGTCATTGCAAGATGCTGGGATTCTACAGGCCCCGCGCCCTCTCATAGGTTTAAGTCTTCGCCTCCTCCTCATCTTCACTTTATGTCTCCCTCTCTATAACATCTTGACTTCTACCGCGTGTGTACTGTCACCATGGCTGAACAAGAAATATATGGCTCTCACATTGGACTAGAGCCAGGCAGAGCGTCTGCGGCATTCAAGTCACTCGATTTTAGCCACAGCCCGGGCGCAGAGCAGGAACGTTATGCTTCCCACTTTGGCTTGAGAAGAGGAGCGGACTTGGACAAGCCGGTAGAGCCTACACCAAGCTCTGTACCACCGCCTGTTGTTGCTCCTCCTCCTCCTATTGCTTCTCCCAGCTTCACGCTGCCAGGCCCAGAGGTCAATACAACGGCCGTTGGTATCCTTAAATCGACCCTTCTACCCTCACTTGGTCTCCATTCTGGCCTCTCCCTCGTTGCCTACACGGGTGCCCGTGTAGCGGACCGCGTCGAAGCGAAAGATTGGCTATGGCCTTCTGGACAAGTCATCAACGCATGGTGGAGTGCAATTGGGACTCGCATTGTGAACGAGAATATCACACTCTCCGATGCCTTCTCGACGCTCAGCTACTCGGAAAAGCTGCTTCTCGGGGCTGTTACCGCCTGGGGTGGACGACTGTTCTACCGCATCGCGTCGCGAGGGATTGAAAGAGGTCGTGACGACCCACGGTATGAAGTCGTGAAGGATGAGCATGGGTTTTGGAACAAAGCATTCTTCACGACATTCTTACCTGAAGCATTTTTCCAAACTCTTATCACGCTACCATTCACACTGCCATTCCGGGAGCCTCAAGCCAGTACTAATACTACCTTGGACCTACCAGCGTATGCTGGATTAGCACATGGTCTTGCTGTATTCCTCTTCAGCTCTGGTTTTGGGCTCGAGGTGTTGGCAGATGTACAGCTTGGTAGGCACAAGGATAGCAACAGTTTAAACACGGACGGCGTGTGGAGCGTAGTCCGACATCCAAAGTAAGCCTCGTCAATGTCTTCAGTGATTGAGAGACGCTAATAATATGCCAAAAGCTACCTTGGCGACGCTCTCGTTCATGCCTCATTCCCTCTATTAGTTTACAGCTCTGGATTCGTCCACCCACTTGTTCTCCTCGGACCTATTGCCAACTACGTCTTCTTACGCTACGTTGGCGGGGACAGGGAGAACGAAGCACATCAAGAGCAGCGTTACTTTAAGGAGAAATTGCCGAAATACCAACAACTGCAGGAGTACAAGAGCCAGAAGAACAGTTTCTGGCCGAAGCTGAGCGAGGTACAGAACCCTTGGTACTGGACTATTGTGGCTCTGGGTGTAGGTGGTGTGGTCCTTGAGCGGGGTCTCCGGGACTTCCTAAGAGGTTGAAGGTCATGACTCGTAAATGTATTTACGCATCTGATTTTGGAAGCCCAAATGAGATATGCATTGAACAAATGCCAAGATCCCCCTCCTCCTTTGGTACCAAGGTGAAAGTGAGTATTTTGCGATGGTGATAAGTTGTAGGTAATACCAATATCAATCTTCAGACGACGTTGTTCAATTCATAACATTCTTCATAAGTCAAGCTCTTTCATTTTCATTTTCAGCTTCATTTTCAGCTTCATTTTCAGCTTCATTTTCATCTTCATTGTCAGTTAATAATCTCTCTATATATACAATTGAAAAGAGTTTTCCCATGTTAACCCTAAACGCCATCGCTCATGATATATAACCCCCCCCCCCGCCTTTACAGCGGCGGCAGATTCTCACGACAGATAGGACACTGCAAGCGGAACCGCATCCAGCCTTCAAGACACGCGCTATGGAAGACATGGCGACACGGCGTGACCATGTAGAGGCGACGACCCAGCATACCGACGACGCCGCCCGCGGCCGAGGCGTCGGTGCCAGCGGCCACGACGGGGACTTCGAGGACTTGCATGCAGATGGCGCAGTCGACGGTGCGGATGTTGCGAGCGGGGCCGTCGGACTTCTTGCCCTCGTCGCCGGTGCGCACGCGCTCGAGGGTCGGCGAGCCGGGGGCGCGGACCAGCCCGATGGGGAGCCCGCCCGCTTCGACGTTGTCTTCGCGGAGGATCGGGTGGTAGTCCCAGCCCTCTTCGGTCCAGCCCTTGGGGATGCCCCAGCGGGGACCGAGGATCTCCTGCGCGGCGAGTACCCAGATCTGAATCCAGACCCAGCCGGCCAATGCGGTGAAGGCTTTCCAGTCAGGCTCGGAAAAGAGGACGTTTTCTTCTCGTAGGTAGAAGTAGGCAAAAGGTAGCAGGCGCAGGATGGATTGGCCGATGATGAACTTCCAGAGCAGAGCTTTGCGACAGTTGCGGATTATGTTGCGGCGGATTTGGGGGACCCAGAAGGAGAGGTAGGCTACGGAGAGGAAGTGGATGTAAAAAGTGCGGAATGTGACGGGCCACGAGAGGGCAGACAGGGAGACAAAGAGGATGAAGGTCAGGGCGAGGACAAATTGGACGTAGACAGCCCCGAAATTGGAGGCTCGTGGTACCTGTTGAGTAGGTGTTGTAGCTCCTTGATTCGTGGTTGGAAGCGTTGGACGGGGAACTGCTGAGGCTGCGTTGGCAACTTCGGCGATTTCAGCGTCGATGTCCTGGTCAGAAGGGATAATGATAGGGGTATTGTTGGCAGTAGCCTGGGCGGTTGGGGCCGAAGCTGTTCCAGGCGGGGGAGCTGTGTCGGCCCCTGCAGCAGTGATTATAGGTGCAGACGATGGAGTCGGTGCAGGGCTAGGTTGAGGGGTGTTTGCTGCTTGAGCTGCCAGCTGAACCCGCAACCTTTCTCTCCGTTCCGGCTCTTGAACATTGTAAACAGCCGTGATAAATCGCACCCCGAGTGCCACTGACATCAATGCTGCGAAGGACGCCAGGAGAGCCGAAGGGAAAATATTCGGGGCTGTTGCACTCAACAGAGACAAACTCGAGAAGAGCAAGGCATCAGCCATGAGCATCATTGCAATCGTATAAATACTGATCCGCCCAACCGTGGAAGGTGTTGAGGCTTCCTTTGACTGCATCTTCAGAAGGAGCACCTGTCCAAAGATAACTGCAGCATAGACAAGTAGCCAGCTTTGGACTTGATGTAAGAATACTTCCTGCTTCCTGCCTACAAGATGATCTCCATCTTCGGAGGGAAAGGCAGGAGGCCCTTTGGACTCCAACATAAATCCACAATCGGGAGAGAATATGACCGTAGACATTCGCATCTTCGGTGCTGGTGGAGTGGGAGCCCCATTTGGAAATCGAAGCTCTTGCTCGATTTGCTGTACGATGCTGGCTGTATCCATATAATCGTCGTTTAGGGCCAGACCCAGGTCCAGTGGATACACTTGCACATAGACCACATACTCGCAATGCGGCGTTGACAAAGCAGAATCGCCCTGGCCATCTGAGCTTGATGACCAGGGGTTGTTCACCTCGGTCCAATAGGCCTTCTCCATCTTTTCGACCGTCTTCTCCAAAGTCTTGTTGAGCAGCATCTTACTCGAGGTGAAGTGATTCATATCCATGGTCAGATGCGGTAAGCCAAAGAGGCCAGCGAATTTGTCGCTCGTCGTGGTCATGAGCATGACGCCTTGTCTCGGCCAATGAACCCCATGAATCCTCATATCCCAGCCATCACCACTACTACTCTCGTCCTGGATGGTCATAGTGGCGGCGACCTCTCTGACCCAGCCTGAACCTAGGCTCAAGCCCTCGACATCCACAGCCTCCACATCCCTCTCATCGACCCTCAGCATAAGTTTTCCCTCCGTCCCCGTAATATTCCTATCCCACAGCTCCTCATTCCCCGACCACTCGACCTCCGGCGTAACCTGACTCAGATTATACCGCCTATGCCTCTCCTCTCCCCCCTCCAAGTCTCCCGTATACCGCACCCACCGCCCCACCACGATACCCGTGACATTCTCATACACCTCTCCCAACACCCCCGCCCTCAACTGGGTCTCGCGATCCAACCTCCACTTCCCGCCCGCCTCATCCGTGAACAGCGCGGCCCTCTCCCGGAACGCGCCCAAGCGGTCCCAGAGCAGGTCGTCCTCGGCGCGGAATCCCGTCAGGTTCAGGAACCGCGGCTCGTCGGCGGCGCGGGGCGCGAAATCCTCCCACTGCGTCGTGTTCAGCACGTCGAGATTCCGGCGCTGCCGCGCCACCTTCGCGGCGGCGTAGTCGCGGGGCGAGCCTGCGAAGCCCGGCGGGGGCCCGTTGTCTGAGGACGAGGACAGGAAGAAGAGCAGGATGACGACGAGCACGAAGCGGGCGTATTCTTGGGCGGCGGGAGCTTGCGGTGGCATGGTGAGCGATGGGTGGTGTCGTGCGATGGGCGAAGCTTCATCTTAGTTATCCTTAGGCCAGGGAGGGAAGCTCATGGCTGGATGGGAAAGTGGCAGTACTGATGGAGAGATATACTGGTGTGTTTGAATGGTATGGAAGTGCTGAGATGGAGAGCTGGGGGAGCTCGCGTGAGTGTCGACTTTGTTCGGTCGTCCGTCGGGCAAGGCTGCAAGGATCCACTTGCCTCAGCCGTGCAGCCCGCTCACTTATCTAAGGTAAATAACAAGAAGCCAGGAACACACGGATTCTGGCACCGTGCCAAAGGGAAGCCCTGCATTTCTTCGCGCCGTGCAATTGTCAATCGTCGAGGCCTTATCTATCTGTTGGAGCTGCGCATCGTCTCTGATACCATGGCATCGAGCCCATCCTCCAGCGCGCTGAACAACAGTCAGCAATCGGCGGATTCAGTTCGTCCCCCTCCGGCTCTCTTCTCTCCCCTTTCCACAGAGAGAGACTACCAAGACGCTTCTACTAACAACTTTGCCCTGTGCTAGGTAACATCAGACGCCGCTGCTCCCGCCGAGCTGTCCGCTGTCGTCGACGAGCTCTTGAATTCCCTGTCGAATAAATTTGCCAGCGTGTCTAAAGAGATCTTCTCAAAGAGTACGTCTTTCTGCTTCCCGATCTATGGTTTTGTTGATTAGGCTCATCGGGACTCTAGTGGACGATATGTCAAGACGGCTAGATAATCTTGAGGCTGCATTGCAAAGCAGCGGCACAGAGACAAGAGAGGGGGCGGGGAGCCCTGCGAGCAAGTGATCACGAATGTTTGACGAGATAAAGAGTGACGAGAGATGGCTGAGAGTATGATACATAGGATATACAAGGCGTTGTAAAGGGCGTTAAGAGGGCACCTAAATATAATACAAGTCAAAATGGACTACAGTATCAAAAACAAATCCATTCAGTATTGCACAAGACACCAAGCCCCAAGGTCAATTTCCTGATTCCTCGGTGCCACGCATATTCTTCGATCTCTACAGCTCATCCTTTCCAGACCCAGCAAGGAATCTCCTCAAGATGTTCGTCTTGCTGGTGAACTCATCAAGCTTCTCCGGCACCAAACCTCCCTTCTGGAGGATCTTGTCCAATCTCGCCAACTCCTTGGCAGCATAAGTCTCACTCTTGCTCAGCTTGTCAATGACCTTGATATAGTAATCGGCATACTTTTGTTGCGCGCCGGACTTGAAATCCGCAGCGGCCTTCGTAGCCTCAGCAGCAACCTCAGAGATGCTGGTGCCTCCGTTAAGCTTAGCAACAATTGTGTCCAAAGCCTCGATGGTACCGCCGTTCGCATCAAGTCTGCCACCAGGAGCGCGGTGTGTTCCAGCCTTCTCGTTGATGAACTTGACGAAGTCGGCCTCCGTGCGGCCACCAGTGTAAGCCTCGGGCTCCTTGCTGCCCTTGGGGAAGAACTTGATGGTTGGGTAGCTGGAAACGCCTTGCTCCTGGGCTGTAGCCTTCGCATTCTCGGCTTCAGCGTCAACCTTGGCAATGACAACGTTGGGCTCGTTGGCAAAGTCTTTGGCGACAGTTTCCCAGACTGGTGCGAGGTTCTTGCAGTCTAATTTGTGTTAGAAAGGGTTGTGGATAGGCAGTGGGTGAAGTGTTCTACTTACGGCCACACCATGGTGCAGTAAATGCAACGAGGACATTCTTATCACCGCCAATTTGCTCCTTGAAGGATTTGTCGTTGAGCATCTCAACCTTGCTGGGCTCAACCGCCTTCTTCTTTGGCACAAGGCCAGTCTTCTTCGTCAAGAACTGCGAGAGACTCTCCAAATCTCTCCCTCCATTGTAGTCCTCCGGCGTCTCACTCTTCCCATCGAAATACTTGATAGTTGGGAATCCCTGAATACCAAATCGCTTTCCCAGACTCTTTTCCCTATCCGCATCGACCTTGGCGATTGTGAGCTTGTCGTTCTTGGCAAATGCGAACTCCTGCGCGAGCTGCTCATACACCGGAGCTAAGTTTTTGCAGTGCCCGCACCACGGTGCAAAGAATTCAACGAGAGCTGGTTTTCCGGACAACACGATCTTGTCGAAGTTCGAGGGGATTAGATCAATGACCTCTGACTTCTCGTAGGGCGGGGCTGAACCGGGGCCGGCAGCCAGCGAGAGCGTAGCACTCAGGCCGGCGAGGAAGAGGTTCCTAATGAGAACCATTATGAAATATGTGTGTTTATTGAAATCCCTATCAAATGTTGGATAGTGAAAGGGGGTTTCCAATGGATGTTGCTTTTGTAGGAGACGCGGATTTCTAATCGCTGATATGGACACTTTTCAGATCTCGGATATCAGCCACAAGCTGTGGCTACCGTGGCGCAGCCTTAAAGTTGTACCTTAGGTATATTTGGCTGGCACTGATGCAAGTCACGGATTTGTTATTCTTGCGTTGGAAAGAAGTCATATAATTCTTCACTTGATAAGCATCAAAAAAGAAAGATACCTTACCTTACCTTAGTTACCTAGGTACCTTAGTATGAAGCTTCGTAAATCCCACATCCATCAAAAACTTGGGACTGACCCGGGACCTGTCCGGTGCCTACCTTAGCGGAGCAAAGAGATCCTGAACTATAGTGTAGATACGGTAAGCGAGAGTAAACGGTATTTTTACGGTGTAGGAGATTTAGACAGTAGTACTATAGTAAGCGAAAGATTTATGACTAAGCTCCCGAACGCCGAACGAAAACCGTCGGTAGAATTCTAGTAGCCTTGTACTTAAGGCACAAATTATACTCGGAAGTCTGTGATTTGATAGAGCCCGACGTTTAAAATAATTAGACGTAAGAATCGCTCGATTTAGCGAAAAGTGATGCGCGCGTAGTGTGCGGGCAGTAATTAGGGTAGTGGTTATAGTAGTGGTCCCGTAAGGTAAGCCTAGTAAGGGGCCTGGCTATTTGCTAAGCCCGCGTCGCGTACGGCTATACTAGAAATTAAGCGAATACCGTGTAGTATTCGCTTACCGTGTGGTGACGGGCCAAAGCTCTCACACCGTTTATTTCTCCCACACCGTAAAAATACCGTAGTTCGGGAGCACGTTGCTCCGCTAAGGTACCTATCCGGTGCCTATCCGGTGCCTATCGCATACGCAGAGGGCCTGCAGAAAATGCGATGTGCAACAAAAGTTTGAGCAAAAGTCCCAAGCATCCGATTGGTGCAATGGAACAGCAAGATTCGGGTGGCAGATCACGTGAACCAGCACTTCATGGCTTCTCACAACGTAGAACGTACCTACTAGGATCGGGAACGAGACGATGTTCAACCTTTGTTTCTCTGTCTTCTACCTTTCGCAATTGTCCTTCCTCCAGTAGTGTCCTTTCTCTAAACAAGCCTTGCTCTATCGTCTTCTCGGGATTTGAGGGGTGGTGCGCAGGGAATGTTGCCATATATGCTTTCCTAGTTGCCTCTGTCTAGAAGGGTTAACGAAGTCATAATCGTTACATTCCTTCTCTCAGAAAAGCCCTGCACCAATTCCACTCAGATTTCACTTGCCCTGCCTCAAGCTTGACTCCTGGTCTCACTGGGCCTTGTACCATCCGTTCCTGAGAAATTCGCCCTTGAGGTTGAGCTGCCTGTCCTTGATGCCCACGCTTTTGATTTGAGTGATGATAAGATTGGCAAACTCTCTAGTCCGTAGCTAGTAGTACTAGTGATCCTATCCGGACTGATATTCGCAGTTATCTCGACATGGTTGAACATTTCCCCGTCTTTTCTAAAGCGTTGGGCATACGTTCTATAAGGAGGCGTCGACAGATGCTGCAGATCCAGGTGCTATCTGACGCAGCTCAAGGATCGTGGCCAGTGAGGTTGAGGATACCTACTAGAGAATGACATTTCATAGTCACAATGACCAGGTCTCATGCCACTTGTGATGTCTCAACTCTCATTCTTTGGCTCAGAATTTCTGTGAAAGATGACACGCCCAACACATCCAGGTTGCCCTTGTGAAATTCCCAGAATCATATCCCACCTCGCTCTTAATTATCTTGTAATTCCATTTCCTCGATCATATCAGTACGATAGTCAGAACATCTTCGGGTCGTCGGATGTTCTGACCCGAGGGTTTTCTTGAAGCCATTCCAAGCTCTGTTGTAGAGAACAATGGCCATGTCGTACTTGCCTTGATCATGTAGTACTAAAGCGAGGTTATATACAGTCGCTAACGTATTAAGGTGCTCTAGCCCTAGTACCTCCTCGTATCCTGCTAACGCTCGCCGATTCATCGTCTCTGCCTCGTCGTACTTGCCTTGACCATATAGCACTACAGCTATTAACCTTGTACTACTCAAGATGCTCAAATGACCATCGACAAGACGCTGTTCTTGAATAGCTAGAGATTCTTGGATCTCCTCTTGAGCAATAACATAGCGGCCCTGGCGATGGCTATACCAAGCCATGTTGTACAAAAGATACGCGCGTGTGAGAAGATACTGCTCAGATGTCAACCCACACCTCAACACCTCGCGAGCATGAGGCGACAAGGCCTCACATGTCTTCCAGTTGTCATATTCTCCGGTCGGAAAAGCTTCTGACAGCGCATTTATTGCCTCTCCTTGCCACTTCTCAGTTTCTTCATCCTTCTCTAGCCACTTCCTCGTCGCGAGTTGCACAAGCCGGTGCATCTCAAAACTCTTGCCTCCTTTCTCTGTCGTGATCAAAGAAAATTCATGTAGAGGGGCTAGAGCCTCCTCAAGATCAAGTGGATCAGGATATTTAACACCGAGCAGGAATTCTGGAATGCCTTGACGATCAAGCATAGCCATGAAAGACAAGAGCTCGGCAGCTCTTGGCTGACTCCGCTTGATCTGATCAAATGAGATTTGCCAGGTCCTGATCACGGAGTTGGGAACACCGGGATTCCGTCTTAGATCCCCATGTTCTTCGTTTAATAGTCGGTATTGACTTCTTTCGTCTTGTTGATATAGGGTCAAGTACCTCCTCACGGTCATCCGTGTTACTCTGGCACTAATATACGCAGCGGCTTGAGTGATCGCAAGTGGGAGGCAGTCTAGCTCCTTTACAAGCTCGGTTCGCTCCGAGTGGTCAGAGATTCCATCTGGGATCTTATTACGAAGTAATAGTTCGGCATCGTCCGGCTTCATCAGATCGACTGTGATAGCGCTCGGGTCTCCAGTGCTGAGCCAAGACGCAGTTCTTCGGTCTCGTGTAGTGAGGAGGACAGATCCAGTTGCAGTCTGCGGGATATAGCTCGACAGTGGAGCAGCATTTTGAGTGTTGTCTCTGTCTTCAGATCTATGTTGTCTCTGGAAAAACACGTCGATATCGTCTGCATTATCTAGTATCATAAGCCAACGACCATTGTCGACATCACCAAGCCATCTCGAAACCAGGCCCAAGACGTCGGTCTTCGGATCGTCGCAGCCGGGTAGCTCGAGTTTAGTAGCAATGGATTTGTAGGCCTGTTCAAATTTCTCGGCGGTAGCCGCGTGAACCCAGAACACCCATATCTGAGGGTCTTTAGCCCTGAGCCGGTATGAGTATTCAATGGCGATCTGTGATTTACTAGGCCCTTGTTAGAAACGACGCAAAAAGGGCAGACAGAGACGTACCCGACTCCCCCCAATCCTACAAGTACTACTCGATTGTGAGAGTCTGCCTGGGAGAAGTGTGATTCCAGATCTTTAAGAATATCTTGTCTTCCGACAAACTTCCTGTCTCTATCAAATGGAACGGTAGATGTAGGTGGTCTCTTCCTCCGGGCAGGTGCTTGTAAAGGTCATCTCAGTTAGCTTTCAATTTCAAATTAGGTAAGAGACGAGATGGGAAGTTGCCGAAAGGCCATTTAGAATGCCAAAAGAAACTTGTAGCTTCAAGCCAAATTGACATCAGTCTCGCACCCGATACTGAGTTACGTACAAAATCGATCTGAAACAATTCTTCTAGCATCTTGCTCAAACTGCTTCAGATATCCCGCCGCCGTCTTATATGCTTCGGCGTTGCGACTATCAAACTTGACAATCTGAGAATGATCTGCGTTGACCGGGATCTTGACTTCAACGCTGTCCGGAAGGTCGAGAAGAGCCGAGCCAGAATCGATAGCTGTCATGTACGACCCTGTTCGACCCCATAATCCTGTCTCGGGGTCCTAACAGGCTGTGTTAACCAATTTTCCACTGTCAACACTAGAGCTTACAGAAACACCCTACCAGGTTCAATCGCCGTGTCTGCTGCGTCTCGTAAAAGCTGACAATCTTCCGATCACGGATCAGATTCTTAAAGTCCGCAAGCTGATATATCAAGAGATCAGACTTAGATTTGATCTGCTCAAGGAGCTCCGCCCTCGGATGATCGTCCTTTCTCATTATCATACGCTGGATATCATCGATCACAAGGCCCTTGTGCGGGGCGCCAAAAAATAAGATGCCGTAGGTCGCCTTGTGCAAAGCTGCGATTGTCGCATGGCCGCTTTCATCCGTCTGCACCGCTTTCACGAGGCACTAAGAACATTAGTCTTCCTGTATGTATGCCAGTCCCTAGCCATTAGCTGGTCAGACTTACATGAGCTAATATGATCCCCCCAAAGCTATGTGCGACGAAAAAGAGCGGTCGCTCCCTGAGCTAGCAGACGCCTTTATCAGAAAAGCTACTGACCAAAGCCAACCGTTTCTTCCTACCTCTTTCGTATACCTGACCCTCTTGATCCCTTCTAAGAATTCCCGCCCATAATCCATGATCGTGTCGATGCCGTGGCTGGATAGCTTCGAGTTATACCCGTAGATCATTGTTCGAGATCTTTCGAGAGGAAGTCACGAAGCCACATTCGCCCAAGGTTGCCCTTTCCCCGCCACGAGCCATACGCATGTCCGTCCAGGCCCGTGATGGCGATGATGCTGCAGTCAGGTAGGTTAGCATGAGGTTTGCACACGTCGACAGGAACTATAAGTACTCAGCAGTGATCGGCTGATCAGGAGCCGTGGGTGCAGCTGGGTAAAGCCGAAGAAATGGCGATCAAAGTTGATATCCTCATCTCCCATCTCGATCTGCCAATCGCCGAGAGGATTGACGTCGAGCTGCGATAGGAACTTGGGAGTGCCGCCTTTGAATTCCAGCAGCGCAGTCGAGGTCTGGTTGCTGTCACATGAAGGGACGCAGGCAATAGTCAACCCGAATCGCTGTCGCTCATCCTCCGTCAAGAGATCGCGGATCGTCTCGGATAGTGTCGTCTTGATGTCGAGCTCAGACTTGTCGAGAGGGAGGCCAGTCACCCGAAAGACTGTTGATCGAGGGCTGCTAGCCATGGCTAAGGAACCATGCAGTTCGTGTATTAAAAACCCCTTAGGCCACAGATCTATCGTCGTTCAGGTGAAATATTCCTGCTTATGAGGCTGATTTGTTGCTCGAAGGCGTCAGATGACTTCAGCCGCAGAAATGAGGTTCGCAGTGGGGGCCATTTGTGCCGCAGATAGCCTTTCACTTGATAAAGCCTGAATACGAGGAGGGGCTTTGGAGAGCCATCATAGAAGGATCAGTCTCTAATGGTTTGGGCAGGCTCAAATAATCGATGTAATTTCTGATCATTCCTTCATGGCCCTACAGATAGGTAGACGTCCAATCTTCTTATCGATGGGGTCACGGCACGAGCCGACGCGCGAAGGTTGTGGAGAAGTCTTCACTAGGACTTGCGCAAGCGATCATATCTAACTCACATATTGAGGGTCTGCAGATCTACTTGTCCGTCACAAGATTCGCGTGATCTCGGCGATCGATATGCCACCAATAAGGCTGAGGATTCCAGACGATTGTCTCAGCCATTTCGTGACGTTGACAACCTGAGATCTCAATGATTCTTTGGCCTATAGAACTAAAACCACCCTTTTCTCGATGCTAAAACCACCCTTTTCTCGACCCGTCCCTCTGCCTTCACCATCACAAATCACAACTGATAATGAAACTCCACGCAATACGCTAACTACCTCGATTCCTCACATCCTGCCCGCAGCCGTGCGTTGCGGCAATACTCTCGTACGAACAAAGGACGAACAAGATGCGTATTATACAAAGGAGCTTCGAACTGAGCGCCTTGATGAGATCCAGACATACCTGTGGTTAGCTGGCCTTCCCGGCTGCGCGAGAGCTCTGCATCGACAACTGCTTTTGGGCCGCGAAATCCTCATAACTGAGGATGTTAACGAGCACCTTGTTTGGTACGAGACACGCATCTTTGTAAAACCATTCCCGACTTTCTTGTTCAATCTCGACTGCTGGGAACAGAAGCTATGCAAGACCCAGCAACTGTTCGAGGCTGCTTGTAGCTTCCTGCTCTCGTATGCATGGCTTGTTAGACATGAGAGCGACCTCCGCATCGCACATGAGAAGGGGCTGCTGCCGCATATTATCGACTGGGCGACGTGGACAGAATTTACGGGCGATTTCCTCGACCACATGGATTTGCAGTCTTTGCGTGGCATCTCGCCGAGATTCCAGTATGGCGAGTTGCGGCTATCCCGGTTGGATAAGATTTATCGTCTCACCCGATTCAACTGGCGAGACTTTGTTCGAGGATATATGACAATATCGACGTGGTATCAGGACTTCTTTGCCCGGAATTTTGCTTGGTTGCTGGCAGTCTTTGCTGTAATATCTGTGGCTCTATCAGCGATGCAGGTAGTTGTCGCTGTGGCAAGAGGTGGCCGAGCTTTTGAGAACGCTTCTTATGGTTTCTCTGTAGCCTCGTTGTTCCTGGCAGCTGGGATGGTCCTGCTTGTGCTGCTTGTGTGGGTGATTCTCTTTGTGTATCATCTGGTCAGTACCCAGATGAATGATCGAAGAGTCATGAGCGAGAGAAGAAGCTTTGCGGCTGTTAAAGGAGACGTCGGGTGTTAAGATTTTGGAACCAGGTGGCCTGCCCTGTGCAATCTTGAGAGGCATGATGGCACTGCCTTGATAGGCTCTTTCATATGCAAAGTGGCTCCTGTGAGTCTCATTGCTTCGACGATAGCGGGAAGAAGCTTTATTTCCATTACCAATCCCTTGGACGTCCCAAGTCAAGGGACGGCAGTGAGCTCCTCCGACCCCCCGCAAGAGAGTGAAGAGATTCCAATCCGTGTATTCCTTACACTAAAATCTCCCAGTCGAGAACAGCATACCACCACCAGCCGTGTTCGCGAGAACGAGCTATGAGCAGGTCCGGCAGGACGTTGAATTCAGTTGCTGTACTGCTCTAAGATATTCTGGTACAAAATCAATGTCCGCATTTTGGCGCTTGTATCATGTTATAAGTTATTTTCACCGTACGAGAAGCGCAAGGCATAGAATTTAGTTCCTGGTAAAGTGGATTTAGTTCAAAGGATACTTGTTACCCTCCAGAGGTTACTACCAAATTTAGGTAAGATACCTTAGGTAGGTAGCTGTTTACTTTAGACTGGGAGGTTTACTGAATAACAGTAATCTAGAAACAGAACACGCATGCCTACGTTACGTTATGAGTGTGACCCTTGATAGATTCCCTGATTTTCGTCGTGCGGTTCAAGTGCTTGCCCTTCTTTCAAAACTAACATAGCAGCACGAGTAATAAATACAAGGGAGAACACTGTAATAAGCTGGATCATGGGAGCCCAAAATATATATGTCTTGCAAACGTCTTCCGGATACGTCAAATACTGGGGCAATGTAGATAGTTAATTCATCACCACTTTGGGTTTGGAGGGCAGCAGTTGGCCTCTTCATCCACCATGAAAACGAACGGTGCCATGTTTATTTTCGGGCTCAATCTAGAAATTGGATCGAACGCTAGAACGAGTAGAAGGTTTGGAGGGAAGTGTCCGTGCAGACTTGGGTAGCTGGGTAGCTGGGTAGCTCAGGGTATCTGATGCTGTTGGTTATAACTTATACTACACTATAGTTTTCCGATCCTCCTCCGAATATGTCGCGGAAGGTCGATACGTACAACCCAACGATTACTCGAAACCATGGTGGGGTTGGTGGGCGCTCATGTGAAGCTGATGAAAATCCCCCGCGCTTGACCTTACCGCGAAGGATGAAGGATGGGCGGCCCCGTGACAGCAGTGCTGGGGGGCACGAGATGCGATAATTGGAGATGGAGACTTGCGATTGTTCCTCCAGGATGACGGTGTGCAAGGACTGAAGTAGCCGGGTATCCAACTCGATGACATCGATGCCGTAAAACTCGGAATCATTGCATTATTCGCCAGCAAAATACCAGCCACCCACCAAGCCGAGGCAGAAATCAGAATCCGACGCCATTCAGGTACGCGGATACATGAAGAAAGGCCACAGGGGTTGTTTCGGCACACCCAACCAGAGAGCGTGGGCGCAGCAAGCACATCGACGTCAAACAACTACAACATACATACAACATACACACATACAAACCTGATCCTCCCGTTGCCTCCGACTATTCGTTCACGATTTCTCCTCATTCATCTCTGCACACCAGCTTGCGTCGGAACCGAGCCGAATTGTTCGCGCGGCTTCACAACGCCCCATCACCAGCCTCCGGAAACGAAACACAAGACACTACGACACTACGACACTACTCTACAACAACAAAGAAACTGGCTGGCAGTGGGCAGTCTCATAACCACAACACCCGAGCAAATGTCTACTACCACAGTGACTCTGACAATGGCCCAAGCCGACCAAGCAGAGTGTACCTGTCCCAGCTGTGGCATCAGTCTGCCCAGCCCCTCCATTGCTCTCGACGCCCAGAAGCAGATCGAGGACCTCCAAGCGCAAGTCCGGCTTCTAACGCAAAAGGCCACCGCAGCTGGTAAGCTCCTCTCCTCTCTCTCCCAAAACTCCAGCCCCAGCTACTAACACCAAGCACAGTGGACAAATGGGCCGACTACGAAGACGAGATCGCCCAGCTGCGCGCCCAGAACAGCCAGCTCCAACCCGAAGGCCGTCCCGAGTCCGCCATAAGCAGCGTGCCCTTCGACGAGCGCTCGCCCTCTCCCACGCGAAACTCCAATTCCTCATCGACCCCCAGCGGGGGGCTCTCGAACCGACTCTCGGCCTTCCTCTCATCGCGCAAATCGACGCCGAATCTCAAATCGCACCCCTTCCCGCCGCCCGTCACGCCCCCCTCCACGACCGACCTCGTGGCCGCGCTGAACCGCGAGCAGAGCCTGCGCGAGGGCGCCGAGCGCAAGCTGAGCGAGGCGTCCGGCGAGCTGGAGGAGCTCAGCGCCCAGCTCTTCATGCAGGCTAATGAGATGGTGGCCGCGGAGCGCAAGGCGCGCGCCAAGCTCGAGGAGCGCGTCGAGGTCCTGGAGCGCCGCGACGGCGAGAAGCGCAAGCGGCTGGAGCGGCTCGAGGGCGCGGTCCAGCGCATCGAGAGGGTGAGAGGCTTGCTGGCTCCCGGCATGCCGCGCTGAGGAGCTTGCGTCAGCGCTGCGAGCGATAGCTGCCGAGTATGTATCATGAAGCGTGTGATACACACCTCATATACATACACATACGTCAATCTCCACCCTACCTACCTACCCAAAAAATCCCACACACCAAGAACCTCACCAGCATCACCAACATCAGCTCTCACCCCCGCCCTACCACAAAACCCCCCTTATTACCTACAAACACAACACAACCTCTCCACCCCAAGTACCGAGCCCCGCCCGCCCGCTATCACAATCTTGCAATTTTGCGGTGGGGTTGAGAGAGGAGGGGGTTGAATGGCAGATTTGAATTTGGATTTATTGGTGGTGATGGAGGGATGGATTGGTGGATTGCAAGAATGATGAAATTAATGATATATGGCATAATGGAATGGAATGGATGGAATGGATGGAATAAAATGGGAGGGAGGGAGGGGCGGGGGGGAAAATACCCCATCCGAATACTGACCCACGCTTGATTTGAGAATCTTGATTGATTGAGAGGGAGGAAGTATTACTTACCTTACTTACTTACTGTGGCTATTATAGGTAGTAGTAGTTGATAGTAGTAATAAGAAGAGGATAAGGTAGATAGGTATCTTAGGGGATTATGGATATGAATTGAATGAGTGGATGAATTTTGATCATGCTGCTTTTTTAAGTTTATTTTATTTCATTTTGCTTTCATTTTGTTTTGTTTAGATAATTCCTAGATAGATATATGAAAATCTATATCTAATATCTAGGTAACGTAACGTAACGTAACGTACAGGCACAGAAAGAAGCAATCAGTCAGTCAGATCCCCCATTACCCATCCATCCATCCATCCAGCTATTATTTCCCAATCGTCAAGAACAAGCGATCCCCTACATCGCCCAGGCCGGGTCTAATCATGCCCTTCGCATCAACCTGCTCATCGACGCCAGCGACCCAGATCTCAGTGCCCTCGGGCCACTCCTCAGCGGCCTTCAGGACGCCGGGCAGGGCGCCCAGGACGGCGATCACGAGGATCCGCTGCACGCCCCACTCCTTCAGGGTCTGGATGGCGGCGGCGCAGGTGCCGCCGGTGGCGATGATGGGGTCGAGGAGGATGGCGAGGGAGGAGGCGGGGGAGGCGCCCGGGGAGGAGGGCCGGTGGTAGGGCAGGTTGTTGTAGTACTCGACGGGTTGGAGGGTGGAGGGTTCGCGGAAGAGTCCGAGGTGGTGGATGGGGACGGGGGCGGGGAGGAGGGTTTCTATGGCTGTTCGGGGGGGTTAGTATGGTTCTCTTTTTGAGGGGGTTCGGAACAGAAGAGGGGGGAGGAGAGAGACGTACCACCGACCATACCGAGTCCCGATCGTAGAATGGGAACGAGGGAGATGGTGGAGGGCGAGATGGTAGTGGTGGTGTATTCATAGCCGAGGGGGGATTTGGCCTGCGCGGATAGGGGATCAGTTGGGTGGATATTATTGAGAAGAGAAGAGGGGGAGGTACGTACGGGAGGACCGCTCTTGGTGGTGAGGCTGGCGGCGAGGGCTTCACAGCCTATGATGAGGGAGATCTCGTGGATGAGGGCCTTGGTCTCTCGTGAATTGGCGGTGCTGTCCCGCAGCTGCGAGAGCTTGGCTTGGAGACAGGGATGCGAGGAGACGTGGACGTTTGAGGGGAGTGATTGGGACATTGTGAGTGAGTGAGTGAGGATTAGGTGATGATCGAGAGAGGGAGAGGAAGAGACGGTGAGAGAGAGGGGGAGAATGGAGGGGAAGGGAAAGAAGGGAGTGGTTGTTGTTGGGTATACGTTAATATGTGCAGGAAGTGAGGGAGACGAAGAAGGGAGATATAAATATAAAAGTCCCGGGAGGCAGAGAATGGGAACGAGGACCTGCTCTCAGATGGGACGGTGAGGGAGGACTGATTGATTGGTGCAAGAGTGGATGGTTGATGTGGTCGACGATGCGCAGCTCACCTCCGGCAAATCGATAAGACTTCCTTATCGCGGACTATCGATAATCCGGCCGTCGCCCCTCGCCCGGAATGTGGAGGAGGAGAAAGCATTACATGAGAAGAATTGCATGTATCAGAGAGAGATCAGAGGCCACCGACAACTGCTTCTTTCTCCCCGGAAGGACTATGGCTTGAAGAGGCCCTAAGCAGAATGGAAGACGACGGCATCGGCGTGTCGTGCATTTTGGCTTTGCGGGCATATTGCATTGGATATTGGGCAGAAGGGGAGGGGTCCTGGAGGATCAACAAGCGTATAGCACGTGCCATGTAAGCAGCGGTCATTGTGAATAGGAGGTTGTTAGAGATGTCTGGGGAGAATAGAGAACGAACAACTGGATGGAAACTCTTTACCGTATGCACGGCTTACTGTGGCATTAGTCCCCATACGACACAATACAAGAACATACCAATACAGAATACAGTATTGCACAGTATTGCGCAGCTCTCCCCCCATGCGGCAGCTCGAATCCAAACCAGGGGCGGCGGCTGGCGGCTCTGCACCCCGTCACCATCTATGTCAGCCGTCCGGGCCCCTATGGGCCTACGCCATGGGCCTACGGCCCTACGGGAAGACCGAGTCCCATGGCCAGACGCGGTATTTATTCTCGTTCACCCACCCATCTGCGTCTTCGAGACTCGTGGGCCAGCGACTCTGGTGTTGATCACTCGTGATGATCGATGCTCTGTTCCAATGCTGAGATGCTGTAGGTAGGTAAGGGAAGGTACCTGGTAGGTAGGCAAGGCAAAAACCCTTGAAAGACCGGAAATGCGACGCGAGAGGCTAGGAATTACATAATCAGGTACGGTCCAGCTACCCCAGCCGACCGCCTTCCCATCTGGGACTCGCTCCCTTTCTGCCCGCTCCAGGGGCCGTCCAATCGCATCGTCCCGCAACAGCAAGGGGCGATAATTAAGGTACGCTGATACGATAAATACGATAACGCTCTCTCTCTCATTTAACCACAAATCTTCTGTCCCGCCCTCACAGACCGCCTCGAACCGGGGGAAGAGGTTGAATGGGGTAGGTGGTTAACATTCCATGTGCGACAACTACCACGTCCTTACATGGCCCTGCCATCCGGTCGACGGCGTAGTCTTGTCCAAACCAGGAGGTTGGAATCGTTGAAAAGGTTGGGGTCTCCTCTCTTTGCTGGTATTTCCTGTCCCCCATCCCTCTTTCACGCTCTCTCATTCTCTCTCCCTTTCTCTCTTGGCCAATTGACCTTGTTGGACAATGGGCATCATGAGGTTTTCCATCTTTTCCGCCCTCTCGCTGCTCGTTGCCAGTGCGACGGCCGAGAATCAGTTCCTGCATCTCGGACGCTTGCTCCCGCCCGTCGAAGAGGGGTCCTCGCTCCCCGCCGCAGGAGTCGCCTCCAATACTACCGGCTCTGGCTTCTTTACGCAGTTACTAGACCATGAGAACCCGAGTGCGGGAACCTTCCAGCAGAGGTTCTTCTGGAATTCAGAGTATTGGGGCGGCCCGGGCTCACCTGTGAGCCTCCCAGCCACCGTCATTGGAGATTGGAACTGATCGAACAGGTTGTGTTCTTTACACCGGGCGAGATTTCCGCGTCGGGTTATGGTGATTATTTGACCAATGTCACCATCACCGGTCTCTATGCGCAAGAGATCAAGGGCGCGGTCGTTATGGTAGAGCGTGGGTTTCCCCGCCCCGTTGGGCGAGGGTTCGTTTACTGATAACAATGTAGACCGATACTGGGGCGAGTCTTCTCCATACGACGACCTGAATGCCGAGACTCTCCAATATTTGACTTTGAGCAATGCCATTGCCGACTTCGTCAACATCGCAAAGACCATTGACCTGCCGTTCGACACTAATCACAGCAGCAATGCGGACAAGGCACCGTGGGTTCTCTCGGGCGGATCCTATTCGGGTGCGATCGCAGCTTGGACGGAATCTACATCCCCTGGTACTTTCTGGGCATACCATGCTTCCAGTGCACCAGTGGAGGCCATCTATGACTACGTGAGCCATCCCAGTCCCTCTGGAAAACCATCACCTAACGTACGTACAGTGGCAATACTTTGTTCCAATCCAGCAAGGCATGCCCGTCAACTGCTCCAGAGACGTTACCCTTGTGATCGATTATATAGACAATATCTTGATGCATGGCACGCCCTCCCAGATCTCCTCATTGAAAGCTATGTTTGGAATGGAAGCTGTCGAACACAATGACGATTTTGCTGTGTATGTGCCAAACGACGTGGTTCTCAGACTCAAGCTGACCTATTGTGCAGTGTACTTGCCAACGGCCCATACCTATGGCAATCGAACAGCTTCTACACAGGCTACTCTGGCTTCTTCCAGTTCTGTGATGCCATCGAGGTGAATTCCTTGCCTTTCCTTCAGTGGGATCCTACTGACCATATTCCATAGGGCGTCCAACCCGGACAGGCCGATACACCTGATGAAAATGGTGTGGGTTTGGAGAAGGCTCTTGCTAACTACGCCAATTATGTCAATACCACTATCCTCCCCGGCTACTGCCAGGGCTATGGCTACGAGTCTCCAACGGACCTATCATGTCTGAATAGCTACGATCCGTCCAACTACATCTTCAGCCACACGCACATCAACGACACCGCCGCTATCTCCGCCGACAGACAATGGAACTGGATGCTTTGCAACGAGCCGTTTGCCTACTGGCAGGATGGAGCACCAAGGAGCACACCGACCATTGTCTCCCGTCTTGTTACAGCGGAATACTACCAACGCCAATGCTCCCTCTACTTTCCAACCGTAAACGGATATACATACGGCAGCGCCATCAACCCGAACAACAACGTTCACCAAGTTAACAAGCACACCCAGGGCTGGCGATTAGAAGACACCACCCGTCTCATCTGGACCAACGGGGAATTCGACCCTTGGCGCACATCCGGCGTATCATCCGAGTTCCGCCCCGGCGGCCCTCTCCAATCGACGGCTCAACACCCGGTCCAGATCATTCCTGGCGGGTTCCACTGCTCAGATCTGAGGCTGAAGAACGGGCAGGTCAACGCGGGTGTTCAAACAGTGATCGATAATGAAGTTGCGCAGATCGTGGCATGGGTTCAGGAATATTATGCTCAGTGATGATGATAAGATGACGAAAACGATATACCTTAGATGATATTTAGATTTAGATCTATTAGTAATGTTCATTGTAGATAATTCGAATTGAGAGTACATATACTTACTATACTGCTGTATGCGCCACCGGATGAATGTACATATTGAAGGTCTAGAAAGCGCTCGAGATGGACAAACAAACAAGAATTGAGCATGAAGCATACATCCCCCCCCCCCCCCCCCCCCCCAAGAAAAAACCAGAATAATCTAATAAATCAACGTCTTGAAAAAACCTAGACTGAGTGAGTGAGTGCTGTGCGAGAGAAGAATAGAAGAAAGGAGGAAGAAAGAAGGCTTGTTTACCGAGGGGAGGAATTGTAGTTATGAGAAAGGGGGGGTTGGTTGAAGAAAGGGGTGAAAAGGGGAGGGGTAGGTTCTGGGTAAATAAACAAAACAAAATATATGCGACCAGTCTCTCAATACTGGCACCAACTTCACTCTTACCTATTAAACAGTAAATAATCCAAAAACCACACTTTCACTCACTCACACACTCACTCACTCACTCACTCACTCACTCACTCACTCACTCACTCACTCACTCACTCACAATCCTAAAACCACTGACTACCTAACCGACGACGACAAGATTCTTGACTTTCATTTCTCTACCTACCTAAGGTACCTAACACAACACACAACAAACATACAAGTATCGATCGTATCATTAAACGCCGTGATACATTACCTCCTACCTATCCCTTGCGATTGCGATCCACCTTATAACTCCGAACAATCAATATTTCCATGCCTGCCTCCCAAACGGCTTAGGAAGGAAAACCAAAAAAAAAAAGAAGCAAAAGCAACCAGACCAGACCAGACCAGACCATAATGCTGGTATTCCTTCATCAAACGCTAGAAAGGAATAGGGTAATCGAACAAGCAAGCAGAGTCTCCCACGCTGGAAAAGAGAAGAATTAAGAGGAAGCCGCTGGGAATGCGCCAAGAGGACAGGCCGATGACGAGTCGGATAACGCTGAACAAGTTCAAGGACGCCGAATGAAAATCATCTGAACGTCGTGATATCCAGATCGCCGTTATTCGTCAGAAGCATCAGTCATGACAGTCGTATCTATCCTGATAGATCAGACCCGGAAAGCATACAAAAAACAACTCAGAACGCATCCTCGTCAGTCCATTCACTGCCCGAGACGATACGATTGCCCTCGGCATCGGTGACTCCGTGAGCAGGATGTCCGTACGGTGGGATTCCTCTCTGCTTTTTGTTCATGGCTCCTCGCGCGTAAGCATCGTCAGGGCTGAATCGCTTTCCGCGAGCGGCACGAAGTTTTTCGTAATAAGCATCAGATGCATCTGGCTCGGGTTCAGATATCTCTGAATACGTCTCCCAATTCTCGCTTCCCGAGACGGTTGCTGTAGAATTGGATGTATTTGAGATTTGGCGGCTCGCCGGTGCTGTTGAATACGAAGTTGACTGCGTGAATCGCTCGTTCTGACGCATCGAGGATTGAAGCTCGTAAGGTTGTGGTCGACTCTGATGTTGCTCTGCATACCTATCATCATAGACATCCTCAGGGCTCACATGTCGCACACTGCCGCTGGATAAAACGCTATCAGCGCGGAAACGGGAAACTGGTGTTGGCGCTTCTGGAGGAACAAAAAGATCTCTCATCTTTGGTGGTGGAGCTCTCGCTGGCGGTAACATCTTTCCACGAACCGTGCTCATGTCATATCTTGGGGCTGGAGGTGGAGGACGTCGCTCTGCCGAATTGTTTCCGTTGTTGAGATTCGATAGGGGTGCTCGCGCAGGAATCCGTGAAGGCGATGCTTTCACGGATGCGGATAACGAACTGGCAAATTGACTGCGTTGAATCGTCCCCCCGGTTACCGTTCCTCCAGCGGTGGGAGTCTTGGCGCCAGTCCGAGGAGGCGGGGCCTTCATCACACTATTTGGACGGCTCTGCGGTGCTGCCTTCTGGGTCTTAGCAGCGGATGGTGGAGGCCCTGCTGGTGTCTTTGATCTTGGTCCTGGAACGGGTCTGGCTTCAGGCCCTGCGGGTGTCTTTGATCGTGGTCCCGGAGCCGGTTTGGCTTCGGACGCTTCAAGCTCATCAAGATATCGCTCCCCGTGAACTAGGAATGGCCTGGCATATTCATCCTCCCATTTTTCCAATACTTTTCTCAATTGCTGTGCTACCTTTGGTAGTTCTTTTGCAACTCTCTTTCTCATCTTCTCCTCTCTTAGTAGACGCGTTGGATCACGCTTCTCTCCTTTCTGGCCACGCATCATCAGACGAGACGCATCCTGGCTGGAAGCTTGAAGATCATCGCGCTCCTTTACGAGTGCTCGATGTTGATCGATAAGAGCCAGGGTTGGCGCACGCTGCTCTCTAAGAGCCTCCAGACGACTGATCTCCTGTTCGTGTGCCTCCAACAAAGCATCACTATAAACATCGGAGAAAGCAGGTGTGAAGTCCAGCATCTCTTCTTCAGAAAAGTAAAGTCCGTCCCAGAGCTCTTGCAGCTTGTACCGTGCATCCTCAACAAATAGATGGAGGTTTTGTCTCTTGAGTTCGTTCAGTCTCGCCAATTCATCCTCGAATTCATTGATTTGTCGGACTCCGCATCCTCGATTTCCATTCAGGAATTTCTTTCTCTCGTGTTCCTCCACACCCAAGCGTTCCCATAATGCCTCCACCATAGACTTGAGATCTTTCAGACGCTTCTCGCGCGCCTTCTTCTCATCTCCTAGCTTATCGCGCTTTGCTCTCAACCTGGCAATATCTTCCTCATGAAGACCCAGCTGTTCGGGGGAGTCTCGATAATGCTTTACTATCATCCCGTCGGTTTGCGCCTGCGGCGTGCCGAGCTCTGCCCATAGCTGGATGATATTCTCTGATAAAGCCTTCACTGTGGCTATTCGACGTGTGTATTCTTCGTATACACGTGTAAACTCGTCATCGAGGGCTTCCACGTAGCTGTTTGAAAGGTCGAACGTAGGCGGAATGTTCGAGTTGTTTGAAGTTGGCGGTAGTGCAATTTTGATAAAGGAGGGCTCGAGATGAGATGAATAGGATTCAAGAGCTTGTACCAGTTCTGCAGAGTTGTTAGCACATGTAATGCGGGATATTGTCAATTACTAACTCTTGACTTGATCGAATCGATCTTTGTGTATTCTGGATATCTGTAGGTGCTTCTCCTTCAGTGCTTGCAAGCACGGAATCAATGGGGTAGTAATCTTCAGGTCCTCATCCTCAGGCTCATATTCATGGCGATCTCTGGGGCCATTGATCGATATTTCCATCTGCTTGATCGTAGTAATGATACGCTGTGCCTCCTCGGTCATCTCATTCTTCTCGGCGGCGACCTGTCGTACTTGATTATGAAGGGTCTCGGAGAGCGCAGCGAACAGCTTTATAAGTTCAGGTTTAGCTAGATTATATGGTGATGGGTTGTGTGTAACTCACCTCGGACTCTCGCGACTCTCGTTCATGGGCGGGAACTCCGATCTCATCGAATAGACCGTGGAGCTGCCCGATAATGGTCGAGACCTGCGAAGACAGGTAGCTGGTGTCCATGACGAGCGGGCGCGTCGCGCGTTGGGCTCAAAGGGAGCTTCGCGATAATTCGCAATGTTTGGTGGAGAATCACGGGGGACGAAGGGTACGGAGTAGACTGATAGTTTGATAAGAACGGTCCAAAAATTAGGTTTGATATAGCTCAGCAGTGGTCAAGACGTGGTCGCAACTGCGAAATCATTAAAGGAGGCTCGGAATAGCTTCATCAATGAGGGTCTGAATGAATGGAGATTCACGCGCTCTGCTGTGTACTGGTAGATCTCTTTGGATCTGTGCCGCTTGGGACGGTGAAAGTTCAAACACTGTTTGTGTTCGGTTTTCGCCTCTGTTGGCAAGGCAACCCGCTTCCTATCTCTAGATTCTAGAGAGCTTCTAGGTTCACACCGCGACGCCATTCCAAATCGGGACCCGGAATTACTTGACCCCGCGCAAGGCTGCCTCAAAACCACAGCGACGATTTCGACTGGGATAACTGCAACACCCTTCCCACAGCATCCTCCAATCCACAAATCCGATACGAAGGGCCATCCACAATCATGGATACCGCCCTCAAGTCATGGGGTATGTGCGATTTGGTCCTTTAGCTAGTCGCTCTAGCTCCAACACCAGCTAACTTATCGATAACAGAGCTCGACAACAACATCCAGCTAGTCGACCCTCACCGCGACGCCCTCTACACCTACGATATAGCCGAACAAAAGGCTATCAACGATGCCAAACCCTGGAAAACCGACCCTCATCACTTCAAGAATGTACGGATCTCCGCCGTTGCTCTTCTTAAGATGGTGATGCACGCTCGCTCCGGCGGCTCCATTGAGGTCATGGGCTTGATGCAGGGTAAGATCGCCGGCGACACTATCATCGTGACCGACGCATTCCGACTCCCCGTCGAAGGAACGGAAACACGAGTTAACGCCCAAGACGAGGCGAACGAATACATGGTCGGTTATCTACAGGCTTGTCGTGAGCAAGGCAAGCTTGAGAACGCGGTTGGTTGGTATCATTCTCATCCGGGTTACGGATGCTGGTTGAGTGGTATCGATGTCAGCACACAGGCAACGCAGCAAACCTTCTCGGATCCTTTTTTGGCTGTAGTCATTGACCCTGACCGCACGATCTCAGCTGGTAAGGTCGAGATTGGCGCTTTCAGAACTTACCCCGAGAATTATAAGCCTGTGGATGCGGGAGCCGGCGATGGATATCAGACAATCCCATTGGCGAAGATTGAGGATTTTGGCGCACACAGCAGTCGTTACTATTCATTGGAAGTCTCCCACTTTAAGAGCTCGCTCGATACGCATCTGCTGGAGCTGCTATGGAATAAATACTGGGTGCAGACGCTGAGCCAGAGCCCGCTATTTACGAATAGAGAGTATAGTAGCAAGCAGATGCTAGATCTAAGCTCGAAGATCAGACAGGCCAGCTCGGCGATCCAGCGTACGGGTAGAGCACCCATGGGAAATGGTGTACATAAGACGACGGATCAGCAGTTGGACAAGGTGCTCAAGGATAGCAATAAGATTGCAGGGGAGGAGATGACAGGTTTGATGGCTGGGGAAGTGAAGGCGAAGCTCTTCAATGGTCTTGGCGATGCGGGGAAAGGCCAGAGCAGTACTCCCGCCGGCCCTGTGGAATCATGAATGCAGGAGAAATTATGTTGGGACGGCGTCATAGAATCGAAGCAACGAGAGGACCTTTCAAGTACCCAGAGCATTGCTTGGCGTAACGAACATGGTGGCGTTCAGGTCAGGAAACATTATGAAAACGGCATAATAGCCCATAAATACAGAGCAGAATGGCCCCTATCATACACTACAGCTGACTCTTGTCTGATATCTATTCTTACAACCCTGCCTCAACCCCGTCCTTCGCAACCACGCTCTCCTCCTCCTCCCTTGCAAGTAAGACCTTCCCAGCAGCATCCAATCTCCGGAGGCACTCCTGCCGGCCCAATATCCTCATTATCTCCGATCCATCAGGGCCTGGCCTTCCCGCCATAATTGCCCAGCGAATATACCCATGCACTAACTTTGCCCACGCTTTCTTGACCAGGGCCTCCAACTCCTCTGACCCCTTCTCCTCCTTCCTGAGTTCCCCTATACTCATCATACTCCCCTGATCCACAATACTCGTGATCCAACTCTTGAGCACCGCTTTATTCCAATCCTGCTCCGGGATCTCGCCGATATTTTGGAAGAAGAGCAGGAAGCTGGAGGATGGGATGGTGTGTGTTAGGTCGGATGGCACATTGTGTAGTTTTATATGGTGTGCGTTGCTGGCGAGCTCTTCGGCCGTGGGTGAGACGAAGAAATAGTTGTTGCGAGATATGAACTCCTCGGGATCCGTATAATTTTGGGCATCAGCCCAGACAATTGAACGTACGAAATTGAACCGAGCTTCCCCTTCAGGGAGAGCATTGTAGAATGGGAAGCGGTCGGGTTGGTGGGAAGCGCTGTTATCTAAGAACTTGAGGATTGGCTTCACAGCCAGTTCTTCGAGATCATGAGATGGGTTGGAAGGTTTGGGGGGTTGGAGGGATGCGTAGCGGGCAGCATGGCGTTTTTGGAGGAACCATAGCTTTTCAAGGGACACTACTGTGTCGCCTTTTGTGAATTTTAGGCTGGCCTGTTGAAGATATCAGCTGTTGTCTCATAAGGGAGGGCAGGCTAAGTAGTAATACATTTTTGATCAGGTCCTCCATACTCATGACATCGCTACGAACGTTATGGGACCATCCAAGGAGAGCCACGAAATTAGTTAGGGTTTCTGGGAAGATCCCTTTTTTGTCTCGTAATTCTGTCATGCTCATCGATTCGAGTCTCTTGCTGAGTTTCTGCCTATCTTTGTCCAAGAGGAGGCCGACGTGGGCAAATTGAGGTGGAGTCCAGCCAAACGCTTCATACATTGCAAGGTGTTTGTGTGTTGATGACATCCATTCCTTGATACCCAAGTAAGTAGCAGTCCCTTACAAATCATGAGATACGTACTGAGCCACGAATGACATGAGTAATGTTCATCATATGGTCATCCACCACATTAGCAAGATGGTAAGTAGGGAAGCCATCCGTTTTTAGTAGAATTGGGTCATCAAATGATTGATCCTTTGGCCTCGTTGTGAAGTCTTTCCGTTGCCGGACAAGTCCATAGACAAGATCCTTGAAAACAGGATACTTATCAGGCGTAAGGAGTCGGATCACATGAGCGTCTCCCTTTGCTGCCCGGTCATCAGATTCCTCCTTGGGAATATGTGCACATTTCCTATCATAATCTGGTGGTAGTCCAAGAGCAGCTCGATGCTTTGCGCGATTGTTCAAATCTTCTGGGCTGCAGAAACATCGGTATGCATGGCCGGAGTGAAGTAAATGCCATGCGTGCTCTCTGTACAATGCTGTCCGTTCAGACTGAAATTGATTAGACGGGAGATCAATGTTGAGGTGAAGAATGGGGCTGGCATACTTGTTTGTATGGCCCGTACGGACCCCCTATGTTCGGACCTAAGAGGAGTGAGCGAATGAAAGCAATTTGATTTTGAAGAGACTCCAAACCTTCATCCCATTCAATACCAGCCCATTCTAAATCTTGATACAGTCTCTCTTCGGCATCAGGTACTGTCCTTTTCTTCGCGGGTCAGCAGCGCCCTTCGAAAGGGGAAATCAAACTCCGGTCACCTGATCTGTGTCCTCTATCCGCAAGAGAAATTGACCCCCAGTTGCCCTTGCTACCAGGTAATTGAATAGAGCCGTTCTCAATGAGCCTAGGTGAAGGTACCCTGTTGGTGAAGGAGCGAAGCGTGTCCTCGCCGGTCCATCTGTTCGAAGCTGCTGCGCGGCGGTTGATAGGGGAGCAGAAGTCGAGGCGTATTTGATGCCACGGCCACGACACGAACGACAAATCCACAGAGATGAACCTGTCGGCCTCGCGGCAGACAATAATAACTTCATCGCTTCTACGAGCTTCACTGTGATTGCAAACGCATTGCGAATAGGTTTCCCGAATGTCCTTTGTAGTCCCAATTAATCGGCTTCAAGTAATTAATTTATTTGTTGTCGTTTTGTAGTTCTGCGTTCGCCCGAGCGCGCCTCTCTCTCACGACGCTAAGATAAAATTCCCCAGCAGCTTCTTTTAATCAGCCCTACAGGACAACTGATCCGGTACTTGATCTGCCTCGCCCTCCAGAACTATCCGCTCGCCTTCTCTGGCACCTCTAGGGATGTAGATCTCTAAAACCTTCTTCTCCGACGTTGTTCGTTTCCCTTTGCACTTCTTGCACCTATCCTTCTCCTTAAAGACTTTGCCAGTTCCCGAGCAAGGATCGCAGATCATTCTCTCCTGGGTGACAAGTCCAGGGCCAACAGATCGAAGTCCAACAGTGACACCCTGGCCCTTACACCTCTGACACGTCTCTGGCTTCGCTTTCTCCTTCCCTCCAGTGCCCTTGCAGTGATTGCAGATGATGTTCTTCGTGCTAGCGAATTTCACCGTCTTGCCTTTGTAAAGCTCTTCCAACGTAACTTCGTACTTCTGCTCTTCATCCCGTCCTTTCCGCGGCTTCCTTGGTGGTCCCTCTCCAAATCCAGGTGGCATACCTCCCATACCCATACCAAACATTTGTTGTAAGACGTCGTCCAGATCTACCCCGCCTGCCATACCAGGTGAACCCCTACTTCCGTCGAAGGCAGCCATGCCATGGGTGTCGTAAAGATGTCTTTTATCTTCATCGTAAAGGATTTCATATGCCCGGCTCACATCTTTGAACTTGATGTCTGCCGCTTCTCTCTGATCTTCAGGAACCTTATCGGGATGGTGTTGTAACGCTGCCTTGGAACCAATTAACGAATAGCTTACAAGGCTGACGAGAGACAAACCTTGTGATATGCTTTTTTAATCTCCGATTTAGTGGCAGACCTGGAGATCCCTAGAACCTCTGTATGGAGTCAGTTCTGCTGCCTTTGCTTCATGGTCGTGTTACTCACCGTAGAGGTCCACTTCCTCGGCCTCCATGATAGCGGGTTGCCGGGAAGACGGGGGTTTTGTGAGGTGCTAGAATCCTGTACTGTATTGATATAGTCCCGGCACACGTAGTGTCAGTGATTGATCAGGATCTAGTACGTGGGCAAAGGGAGCCCAAGATTTGAGCTGGGAGAGGATGGCAAGATATCCCTGGAGATATCGTCTTTACGCTTGTGGAGGAAGAACATGAGGTTTTCCAACGAGCTGGTGATGATCTGTCGGCTGAACTAAAAATCACTCTGGCCGAGGCTCTCACCGGCTTCTCGAGGGTAGTTTTGAAGCATCTTGATGGCCGTGGTATTCACATCGACCATCCCAAAGGCAAAGTCCTAACACCCGGCCAAATACTTAAAGTCGCTGGTGAAGGAATGCCTCTCAAGAGAAGCGACGCGAAGGGCGATTTGTTCTTGGTGGTCAAGATTGAGTTCCCAAAAAGTGGCTGGACTCAGGATGATGCTTCATTTGAAAGTCTAAAGAAGATTCTTCCAGGACCTGATCCTCCAATCGAAGCGACTGAGGTTGATGAAGTTGAGTACAACTCTGATGCTGATATTGAAGAGGTAAGTCCCTAATTTTGATTGTTTTGAGGCTGTTCTAACAGGACTAGTTCGGGGCAAACTCTGGAGATCCTCGCGCTGGCGGCGGATGGGAAGATGAAGATGAAGATGAGGGCGGAGCACAGTGTGCACAACAATAAAGGGATTTTAAGATATCTCGGAAGACATCTCCGACGGATAGTATTGAGCTCATCATGCAAGCGTTTTGATAACGACCTGCGGCACGTTACAGGGGAACGGATTCGCTTTGGCACATAGACAGGCAGGATGCGGTCATTGCTACCGCGCTATTGAATACAATTTCCCCAGGCTTTATGGTACAATGCAGACAGCTCCGTGAATCTACCTACCTAGCTACCTAACGTAGCTATCCTTATGTATCTGGGAGGTACCCAAGGTAAGATAAGGTACCTACCTAGGTAAATATCTCACCTTCCAACTCGTTAGATCCCTCGCACGTGAATTCGTCGACTGCTCGGCTTAGTCATCAATAATCGCGGCCTGGTTGCTGTTGCCTTGTTGCCTTGGTGCCTTGGGGAACGAGAGGTTTAAAACCCTAGCCGCGAAAATTGGAAAGTGCAGAGCCTCATTCTCGGCAAGCGAGGCGTTCTGAAAAGTTAAAGATTGTGAGGGCCATCATTCGTCTTCAATCGACAACTCCACGACAAAACCGACGACAAGGTACGATTGATTCTCCAGAGAAGTATTTGGATAATATAGTGTCGGAGAGTGGTCGTCTGACAGTTTTTTTCCTAGATGGTTTCCGCAAAGAAGCACGTCCCGATCGTCAAGAAGCGTACGTTAAGTTCCCACCCTTCCGTCGACCTCGATTCTTCGCGCGCCCGGATCTCTGAAAACTAGAGAATGCGATACCGAGATGGAGAATTGTTCGCGTGAATTTCGGTGGACTGGCGTTGACATATTCATACAGGCACCAAGCGTTTCAACAGACATCAGAGTGACACCTTCAAATGTGTCGACCCATCATGGAGAAAGCCCAAGGGTATTGACAACCGTGTCCGAAGACGATTCAAGGGTACCATTGCTATGCCATCGGTACGTGGAAGACATCCCTGAGGTTGATGGTGGCACAAGAAGGCCGATCTTCCAAACATGGACCTCGAAGCCATCCCCAACTTTTGTGAATCAACATCAAGGACAATTTCTGATACCGTTACAGATTGGTTACGGATCCAACAAGAAGACCCGCCACATGATGCCCTCCGGCCACAAGGCCTTCCTCGTCAACAACGTCCGAGATGTTGACCTCCTCCTCATGCACAACAGAACCTTCGCCGCAGAGTATGTTCGATCTATGGAAAAAGGGCGATTAGACTCCGTCGACTAACGTGACATAGGATCGCACACGCAGTTTCATCAAGAAAGAGAGTTGAGATTATTGCCCGTGCTAAGGAATTGGGAGTCAAGGTCACAAACCCCAAGGCGAAGCTTACCGTTGAAGTTTAAGGTGCTGGATTTCGTTTGGGGGCTTTGCATGGGAAAGGAATTGCTTGTTATCATGAGCGCGAGCAGTGCAGAAATGTAGCTTATGCTCTACGATCAATGAAATTTGAGCAAGTACTTTGTGCCGTGTCAGCTATTTGTGAGAGGTGATATACCTGTGCCCCACTTGACGACAGACCAGTCTTGTGGATACCTACTCAACAAGATTATATCAATCGCGCCTTATGGTGAGAAATTCAAAGTCTAATTTCTTTGCGGTAGATTTCTTCTACGCTGACTAGGTAGATTAGACTGTCTACTCATATCGTCTATAGGCTTGCCTCAGGGTGAGCATCTCAAGGGCACACGGGACCGACACGATTATCAATCTTGCAAAAGCAGAAATCTACTGAAACCCAGCGATTCTTAGGGCTAGTCCTTGGAACACTTAAGTCGTTTTGTTGTGAGTGGCAGGCCAATATACCAAGGTACTGTTGGATCCTCAGAGCACCCTATTGCCATCTGGACTGGTTAGCATGACCTATCCCAAGGGCTATAGAAGATTCAAGCCTTTGTGCCTGGTCTTTGGGGCGTCACCTACCTACGGCAAGAGCTATGGAAGTATCTAACCCTCTTGGTTTTTTATTTCCCTCCTGCTGGCAAGTGCGCAGAAACAATCTTGCTCTCATAGCGGCTACGCAGACTGTAAGGCGCCCCGAGACCTTTCTAGACTCGACCTGTGTGGCTCGTTGCATTGGCACCCTCTTTCTTCCCATCGATGGTAAGTTAACCTTTGCTTCAACTCTGGTTCTCGGGTATAATAAAGTTCAAAGGTCTTCCGGTGACATATGCGTTTTGGGGCTTTCTCAGTCCATTCTCCAATCTGCACCAAACTCGAGACCAGCAAGGTAGCACCTTTACAGCTACCATGATGTATATAAAATCCTGCTCTTCTGCCCAGTTTCTTGCTTCTTCTTCCTCTTCGCTTAACATCCAACATCAAGCTCTCTGCGTTTCAATCCATCAGATTTCAACTCTTTGTTTTCTATTCTCTCAACCATCAAACTTTATTCGACACTCATCCAAAGAACTCCAAACCTTATTTGAAGCTCGACCTTGAACTTGTCGAACTCTATTACAAACTTTAATTGCCAATTTGATCATTGCGCCTTCCTCATCATGTCGCCAAATCTCTTCCTTTGTCTCAAGTCGGTCGGGGATTGGATTCCCGAAAAGCCTTTCGATGAACGCTACGAATTTCATTATCAGTCAGAGCCAGTTCCAGGTATCTACTTGATTCTACCAACAACCCGCTACCTTATCGCCGTCAAGCCTCAGGGCGCGAACGACGGCGGCTGTCTTTTCAAGAACCGTATAGGCCTCACTGAGCCAGAGAGACGAATCTATAAGCCGCAAAATTCTATGGAGAGGTCACCAATAGACTACACATGTAAGCTTTTCCATCCTCTTCAACGCACTTCGGAATAGACCTTGAAAGAGGCATCACGTGACCAACCCCCCTTTTTGGTCTCGTCTAGGGCTTTGTCTACTCACAGTATCTGAGGGCAGGCTAACAACCTCACAGGGTCAGTGGATGAAGGAGAGTCATGTTGGGTCACTGCCGCTACATGCACCACTGGCACTATACGCTCCACTTCTGCCGCTTCTCCCTCTTCCCCCGCTATCACCGACGGCTCCAACAGCTCCAACAGCTCCGGCGCCTCCAGCCGCAGAACCGTAAAATTCGTTGTCCCTGCACCCAGGCAAGAATCTAACCCTTACCGTGCCGCTCCCCGACCAGTCTTAAAATCACCACTCTCCCAATTGATAAGCGCCGACGACCTACCCTCGCCGCCACCTCCTCGGGAACCACTAGCCCAGCCCAAAGGCTGGCTTTTCCCCAAGCGCCGTCAAGAAAAAACAAACAAAATCCGACTCCGCGATATCGACTTCATCGGCTACCGTCCGGTATCCTACCCTCTGGAAGTCGAGTATTCATTTATCTTCCAGCGCTGGATGTTCACGACCGAGCTCTCCCGCCGCACGCACATCTTCGACACTTGCGCTAGCGACGACTGTATGGATGCCGTCGTCGGTAGATGCAACAGCGGTGTCTTGAAGAAGGAATTCACCTGTCTAGACGATGGACACTCCTGGATCCTCACCGGCGACGTCATTAGGAAAGGCAGGAAACCAAGTAAGGGAGCACCCAAAGTCAAACGACGCCCCCACATAGACCGGGACACAAACCCCCTCTATTGTCTGAACGGAGCAGCGAAGATGCGGAGACAGACAGAGGAAGAAACAATCGCGAGCAGGAAGAACTTATGGGAAGAAGAAGGAAAGATCTTGAGATGGGCGGGCAAGGACGACGATTACCTTACGATCCGACTTTATTTCCCGAGGATGCAACTTGGAAAGTTATGGTCTTGAACGGGGGGAGGGCTTGGATCTTTGCTGTTAGCGAGTTGGTCGTGGTTCAGTAGTTGGCATTGCGGGCGTTCTGTGGAGTTCACGCGAAACCTTGGAGTTTGGAGAAGGGAGTAACGAACATATAGGATACCGCTTGGATCCAGATGTGTACATGAGCGTGAAAGAGAAAAATCAACAAGTTCTTTCAACACATTGTCTTGATCAGTGTCTTCTGTGGAAATGCCAGTTGCTAACCTTACCTATATCCTTATGTTAGCTGTACTGTAAACTTCGCTGTTTCCATATACCCAAGTCCTCCCAAAACTCCTTCCTTACTAGACACGCCCTTTCTCTCTAAAACTAACTGCAGATCTACGCAATCTCGAGTATACGAACAAAGTCTGAGAGCGGTGTTGATGGTGAGATGTGCGGTTCTCAGTAATTTATATTTTTAAGCGATATAAAGGGGGGGGGTGGGGGTTCCGGATGCTAAAGAATACTTGATACCTAAGGTAAGGTAGGTAGTTGATTGGTATGGTAAAGTAAAGATCACAGCATTCCAATATTACCATGACCTATTAAGAAAGAAGTTTGGGAGGATCATCATGTATTCAATAGTGTTTCTTTTTTCTTTCCAACTACCGAATAAGTGAGTCGTCAGATAGATAGTACTGCAGTTGCAGTTTCGTCATTCCCGTCATTAAATATCCAACTCTTCCGGCCCGTTACCTGAACCCAGGCGGAGCTCTCTCCCTCTTTGATCTCCCCTTGTGCACTCCACTCGCACCCGCAATATCTCCTAACGTGATACTTTTCTCCTTCAACCCCGTCCTCTTCCCCCCGATCTCAAATTTCTCGCCTCGCATCTTGGCTTGCACCATCTCTTGGTACTCTTTGCTTTCGGGATCTTCGTACTGTAGCTGCGTCATCGGGGGCTGGCTGTCAAGGCTCTTGTCGATGTTGCGGTCGTTGGAGGCGTCGAGGAATTTCTCGACTTGTTCGTTGGTTGTGGAGGGGCCAGATGCGGAGTTGCTGGGGTATTCGACGGGCCGGCCGTGCGTCGCTGTAGAATCGACAGAGGAGGCGCGGGAGAAGTGTGTCGAGGCTGTGGAGACGTTGCTTGCAGCTCGCCCCAGGATTCTGTTTGCCCCGCGCTTGCGGCCTTCTGTGGGCTCGCTCTCATCGGGGTGCTTGGAAGAGGATTTTGTTTTGGCTAGCAGGTTGGAGATGGCGCTGTTGATCTCCGCTTGTGGTCTTGGGGCAGGATGATTCTCTGGTGCGGACGCGGTTGAAACGGTTCTTGTAGGTGAGTTGTTATTGATCTCCGCGAGGGGTTCCGTTCCGGTTGAGGGTTTCGTAGATGAGTTGGAGGCGTTGGCTAGGGTTTGTAGTAGACTTGGTGAATCTTCTTCTTTGACAGCAACTGGTTCATCGGCCGTGAAGGCTGTCGTATCCAGTCCTAAATTTCGAGGTGGTCTTGCTGCGGAATTCGACGAGTGACTATCTGATCTCTGGACAGACTTCGAGATCTCGCTCTTTGACCGTCCATGCTGTTGAATTTCCTTGGATACCGCCAAACTTCCACTGCGCGACAAAGATTCCGTACGCTTTGCGAGCCGGCAACGGTATTTCTGAAACGGTAATAACATACCAACACTTATTGAGTCCCAGAGCCAGGCTGCATTCACAATTGGAATTTTATATTCCTGTGCATAGTCAAACTTGTCCTTCCTTAGCTTCTCCACTGACTTCGTTATTAGCACCGAGGACTTGGGGGTTAGAAACTCGCTATAAGTTCCGCCAAGGAGTTTCACTGCTCTCGTAACGTGTAGTAAGTCAATACCGGTAAATGCAGCCGATGAGGCTATTATCTCCCGAAACCCCTCAATTGGAAACTTGGGAAATGGCCTACCGATGACATTCTCGGTAGGCTCCATGAACTTCTTGTGATGGAGACACAGTTCCACCCACCACTCAGTAATCGTTTCGACCGACAGGTGAGACTCTGGCAAGGGAGAGTGTTTCGATATGGGAAGATCACTTGGGACGATCCTAAACAAACGTAGCGGTAAGTCGTTCTGCCTCGGAGCTAGCAGATCCTCGAGCGTGCCTGCCACATCAGCTCCATGAGGAGTTAAATGTCCACTCAGGATTGACGACTTCTTAAGGCCAAATCCTTCTAAGTAGAAACGGCACCCACTGAACACACCTTGTATCGACGGCTGATGGTCGGCGGTGAGCTCCAACATCCTCATACTGGAACCTTGATCGGACTGTCTTCTGGATGTTGACTCATTTCGCACCGCGGCCTGGTCGTTATTTGCTTCCCATACACCACTTCGGGCGACTTGGGCAACCATTCCGCCTCCAACTATATCTCCCCATATACTTTCGTTTTGACTGCCCAACTTCGTACTGGCCGTCCTGCGTAACTTCCTCCTTCCCCCATCTAAACTTGTGCTGCTATCATCTCTGGATCTTTTCCCCGGGGACGTCCTCTTCGGTTTCGTTCGATCCCAAGCGCCCTTCCCCCTTTCTTCAGGCGGCAGAGCTGGGTCATACAGCTTCTCTTCTAAAATCATACCCCTCTCCAAGCTATCCCTCAGCCACTCAATAGACACAATGTGCAAGCCCCAATTTTTTGCTGCTTTATATTTATCGCCCTCGGTCCGGAATGATATTAAGTGTGTAATCTGCCTCGTCAAGTCTCCCTCATATATCGCGCCATTTGCCTTGACCAACTCCGCAATCTCGAGCCTCTCCGTAGCTGACCACGATCTATTAGCAAGCTGCACAACCTCCGCAATTCTGGCAGTCCTTACGATCATCACAGCCAGTCATGCTAAACCTTAGTGAGGTTAAAGTAGGCAAGATGTGTTCCCGCTCCAGCGCATCGGTGTCAATCTCTTGATCGTTAATCCATAACTCCCGGATAGCTTCGATCCACCTTATGGTCATTGGCCGCACATCTGGTCTTTCCTTCGCGACATATCTATATTTCGGGGTATCATATTTGCCAACTATAAGATGCGTAACGTCGAGGGTTAAGTCGTGTCGATGCACCGCGCCCATCTGCTCGGCATACGCCGCCAGCTCTGTCTACAATTCATTGCAACACGTCAGTCAGGCTTGAGGTGTATGGAGGAAATATATCAGGGCAAGAATGCTTTTAGCATACTTACGCGCTTTTCATCTGGGACGGAGGTGCAGCAAACGACGGCACCTTTCAAAGGTAGAGAGTCAGCGGCTCCATTCAATTGGACAGAGCGTTGCCAGTGAGTTGAGCCGCTCTCCATTGTCTTTTGGTATTTTGAGTTATGCGGCGGTATTATCGACGCGTTCTGCCAGCCTTAAAGTCGCGTACTGATAGTATAGTCACGTGAATCTCCGATAAGATACCATAATTAGTAAGCAAGCCCTCTTGCTTCCGTCAACCCCACCAGGGGAGATACCTTACGATACAAGACTTCTACTTTGCTGTTTCAAGGAATAGCTATTTTTATTTTGAGATTTTTCCATGGCCGTTCAGCCCGAAGCTAGAAGGTAAGATTCCTAAGTCCAGGAATAATATACCTGATGGTGATGGTTGAATGATTATTATAGATCACTTTTGCAGTCGAGTCTCGAATACCCCAGTACCACGGAATACTGCTTCCTCCCCGCAGCACTGAAAACGGCATAGGATCTGCGCCAGGGTCTTGAATTGCCTAGGTATTTTCAAGAGTGGAGTTGAATACTGCCGCATACCTTGGATTTGACTCTGAAGACTTTTGGACCAATTGGAAGGGACCTCTCCCTGAACCGGAAAGGGGGGAACTCCGCAAGTTCACAGGTTATTATTGCAATAATGTACTGCATACAGTAGTACGTGGGAATGCGATTTCTGCAGTCTATGGGGGTGGGCAGGATAAGGGTTGTCAAGAGCTGCCAAATTAGTCTTGGGGGACGGCGCGCACAATTTCAGCAGGCAGTTCCAGATCCTACTACTACCTCGACATTTCGACACCCCCGACGACCGACCTCGCGCGCATTGCCCGTAAGCCCATGGCATTCTGGCAGGTCAACCAGATACCCGAGGGAAGAGGAACACCCAGGAACCCGACAACGGGCAAGAGATGGCGGGCTATTCTGTAGTATCAGTCTACAGCGTACAGAATACTCCGTACAGCTGACGACGGGGGCGAGAGATCCCTCCCGCGTACGACAGTAGGCCGGCTTACCAGGGATTTGAAAGTGATCTCGTGCACCGCATCCCCTGCTCGCTCCATGATCATCGACGTCGAGCTTCAAGGGCACGACTCACGACTTTAGCAGACGCCGACTTTCGGCCGGCGCGGGTACCGTGGATGATCGTTGGTGAAGATTGAAGTGAAAATTGAAGTTCGGAATTTTTACCTCTGTACTCGAAATTCAGACGTGACTGGTGATGTGAGCTTTTTCAAGTTACCTATCGCATACATGATGAAGCACATGCTCCCGACTCCCCGGTCCAGCAGCCACGGGAAGAAATCGCTTCTGGCCCTCTGGGATGGGACGTGGAACCGCGAACTCCATGGCAGACGTGCTTCAACCCCAGAGCGATGACGCCAAGGAAGACCCCAAGCCGAGATATTCCTTCTGTGCCAGGAACAGATCCCCGGCACTCGCGCAGTGTGGCGGCAGATTTCGCCAGCAGATGGATGGGCCATACAGAGCACACAACGCTGGGTGACCAGAGGGACGAAGAGCAGTTAGAAGCAATAATCAGGCATAGTGCCAGAGAGAGAGGCAGAAAATTTGCAGACTCACATCAGACCACTTCTCCACCCGCAAGGATTGGAAAAGAATAGATCCTCGGAGGAGTTCATGTCTGATCATATTATCACCCCTCTTTCTGATTATTACTCCCAGTCACCCAGTGGACGGTCTCTTGGCGGGCATCTTACATCATCATGATCATCCCTTTCCACTTTGCCGGAGTTCGGGAGGCTGGAGCACTCTTTACGTGGACGGTACGGCTGTGCCGGGACGCTACTACAGGCTATGGTTGCGAAGCTTCCACGCTTTTCGCCTTTCGTACCTGTGCTTTCTACTGTATCAGTGTTACAAGCCAAAAAAAAAACCCCAAAAAATCATATACATTTCTCGGTCCATGTTGCATCTCTTTCCCTCGCTCTGTTGCGTCCTCTGTTGATTTTTATATCCATTCTTCGCCCCTCGACAAGTGACCCGAGCCCCGGCTGTTCATCTCTATCTCTTCTGATAAAGATTTTGCTTATTCCGTCATCACTTTCGGCATCTATTGACAGGGATTGGCAAAAGAAGCATTACCGCCCGACCGACCCTCGACCTTGCGCGGGGAGAGATCTACAATTCTTGAATCACGACCGCCTTTTCAATAGTCAACTCGAACCCCCCATGCGCTGGCAAAGCACAGCGCCTACCACTGCGTGCCCGGTTCTTCAATGCTTTATGGCGGTGACAGCAAAGCGCATCTACCGACCCTGAACTGTGAGTCTAGCCCATCCACCCATCAAGCACCCAGAAGCATCCTCAAGTCGTATGCCGTGTATCAGCTTGCAGTGTTGCATTGTGCCCCCTCCCCCATCAGCACACGAGCCCATCCCTGGGTCATTTTGATTGCATGACTACAGAGTGTACACCCTACATACGGTGTCCTGCCATCTTGTGCAGCAACCCATGCTGTGGTACTTAGCAGCATCAAATCTGCGCTCTTCTCTCATAGAACTTTCCTCCGATGTTCAGCATCTTGAGAGATTTTGAAGGATTTCCTCATTGACGCGCACCATGACAGGAACTATTCCGGTATCGTATCACACGAGCAGAGGTGTAATCGTTTACACACCTACCGACGTATCCGCCGGTCCATCAGAGCCAGCCCGGTTTCCTACGCCTCCGTGCCGACCTAGACCACGAAGACCGCACTCGATACACATCACCCGTTTACCTGCTGGCTTTGCTGCTGATCTAAAGCCGTCGCCGCCGTCCCGAGAACCCAGAAAGCCCTCAAGAAGTCGCATAGAATTAAGAAAGCTGGCTTCCCGAGATAGTGCAAAGCGGCTGCTTGGGTCGGTCTTTCCTTCCCTCTCCTCATCTTCCTCCTCCGCCGCCTCGTCACCGGCGGCGGGTTCCAGAAGATCGTTGAGCCCAGCATCCCCAGCGTCCCCAGCGTCCACGAGGCCTCCCTCTTTCACCGCGGCAGCCGCGGACCCCACATCACTATATTCCAGGAGGTCCGGCTTGGGAATAACTGGAGTGGATGATCCTGCAATGCCTGAATCGACGGCGGTGTCTGGAGCGGAGGTGAGCTCCCAAGGCGCTGCACCCAGGGGCAGCGTCAGCGGGGCTTCGGTGACACCAGCGAACACTGGTTCTTACGTTCAGGAGAAACCTGTATGCGCAGGAAATGGAGTCTCCTGTTACATCACCCTGGCCGAGCCGACAATTTTCTTGACAGGCCTGGACCACGATTCTATGTCGCGGGACGCTCACAGGTCAAGTTCCTCCAGTGCGATGCTTCGAGGGATATTACGCTTAGATATCACAAAGAGTGTCAAGATAAAGGCCATAACCTTAAAGTTTACGGGGAGGGCTCGAACCGAATGGCCCGAAGGTAAGAAATTGAGATGAAATTTCTGACGTTGAACCGTCTAACAAATTCCTAGGTATCCCTCCCACGAAGACTGAGACATATGAAGAGGAATCTCTCAGAACTCAAGTTTTACCATTTTTCAACGCTCTGTACCAAGGGTCAGAAAAGGGGTATGGCACATTGTGTAATTACGTGTTGCGCCAGAAAACTGCAACTTCCTCGGTCACAAGTATTTCTGGCAACCACTCGAGCACAAACCTGCATCATCCCCATTCAGAACACGGTATCTCATTGCCAATCATTGGTAATCGATCAAACAGATCAAGCACGATATTATCAGCGAAGGATTTGAAACGACTGTCTTTACAGAGCAATCAATCCCGGAGCTTTCAGAAAGGGGACTCACCAGTCGGCCCCACGCCGCAGCAGAAGGGATACAAAACATTTCATCCTGGGATTTACGAGTACAGCTTCGAACTTCCAATAGATAACAACAGCCCCGAGACAGCAAATCTGCCACTCGCTTCGGTAAAATGGATGTTAGAAGCTTTGATAGAGCGAAATGGGACGTTCAAACCGAACCTTCAAGGGTTCAAAGAGATCCCAGTCGTCCGATCACCTTCAGAAGATTCCCTGGAGTTGATCGAGCCAATATCTATCAGCAGGAAATGGGAGGATCAACTGTACTATGAAATTATGATATCCGGCAAATCGTTTCCTCTAGGTTCCAAGATTCCCATCGCATTCAAGCTGACGCCCTTGGCTAAGGTGCAAGTTCACAAGCTCAAGGTTTATGTCAGCGAAAATATCGAGTACTTCACAAACAATCGGAAAGTTACTAGGAAGGATGTGATGCGAAAGATCCTGCTGCTTGAAAAGGTAGCGGGGCGACCTTTAGCGAAAGATTACAGCTCATCAGAAGTGAGAGTTCTCGCTGGTGGGGAAATGAGCCCGGAAGACAGGGCTCATGCACGGGAGAATACTAGGAGATACAGAGAAAGGTTGGCGAGGGTACAAGGCACGACACCGCAACCTCTGCCCGAACCAACGGAAAATATTCTTGGTGAACTGGATCTAGGCGAGCAGTATTGGGGTCAGACAGAAATCGAGATGAATGTTCAGTTACCGACATGTGAGATGATGGAGAAGGATAAGTCGAAACGATTGGTCCATGACTGTAGCTGGAAGAACGTCAATGTGCATCATTGGATTAAGGTATCTTCCCAGAACCTCTTCCTTCCGATGCATCCTACTAATGTTGATACTAGATCGTTATGCGTATCTCTCGTTTAGATACCGAGGATCCAGAAGGTAAAAAGAGACGTCACTTCGAGATCTCTATCGACTCGCCCTTCACCATTCTCAATTGTCGCGCGACAAGAGACAACTTAATGCTTCCGGAGTATTCGGGGTTAAATGCTGCCAGTCTCGGTCAACAACACGTCTGCGGATGTCCCAACGCCGCTCCCACCGCCACTATGACATCTGAATCAACCGCCCAGGCCATAGCTAATAGCCATGGTGGTGCTGTCGAAACACCCGAAGGCCCCGAACAATTTGTCCCACCAAGCCTTACAAGACCACCCCAGGTTCACCTATCAACAGGTGCAGTCGTTCAACGCCCGATCCATATGCTAAGGCATCCAAGTTATAACCCGCCTGCATTCGATGCAGAACAGCCCCCTCCACCACTTCCAACACCACCGCCTCTTTATGAACAGGTAATCGGGACTCCAAGCCACGATGGTCTAGCGGATTACTTTGCGAGATTGGCCGAGACATATGAAGATGAGAACAACACGGACGAGGAAGACATAAATAGAGCAACCAGCCGCGGAAGAGTCAACATCGTCAACCCCAGAACCCCTGGGGGGCGAATTGCTCGCAGCATGGATATCGACCGGAATTTCATGTTCAATCCTTCGGGCTTCAACAATACCCTTAGACGCGAAACCGAGAACGAGGGACAGTCGCTACCTTCAACAGTTGAAGCTGCATGACGCGATGACAAAAGATTTTTGTATTTAGAATGTCGACTATGAGAAACGGAGTTCAAAGGAAAGAGCATATATACGACTGGGATGCCCGCACATATTTCATTGAGATATGGGTTCAGGGCGTCTCGCAAAGGGCAACAATCGGCGCAGCTTAGGGTGAAAGAATGTTCAAACCATTGCGTGAAAAAATCCAAGGAGTAGGAGTTTTCTGGTACGGGATCCGGGGGGACGGGAAGGAACGGTTCGGAGCATTCGTTGTTGGATGGATGGATGGGTTGGATGGGATGGTTCTTCAGGTTACATCATGCATCATGGTATATCATATATTCATTATGTGGAAGGGGGGATTTGGATTCAGGCTTCTTCTTTTCTGATATCATATTCAATGTGTATGCGATATGCATTGGGACATTTCGGGATATATATTATACTACATTACCTTACATTACCTTACATTACATTACATATATTATGTAGAGGCAAGAAAGAAAAAGTAAAGAATGGCAAAAAAATACAAATAAAAATTGAACGCTCTGGAAAGGACTCAAGACCTCACTCCTCATTATAGACACACATAATTCTTGAGTATTAGAACACTTACGTGGCTTTTGTGTGGGCGCCCGAAGATTTACTCCATTTGAAGGATTCTATTCATATTATGAGCTTCAGAAAGCCCTAGTCCTCCTTCCTATCTACGAGGGACACGAGACAGAGAGATAGCCGTACATGGATGTATAACAAACACTATTGAACGACAAATGGCCACCCAGCGCCCCCTATTCCATCTTCCTTTCCCTCCCCCTAATAACACAGACGCACCAGAGCCAAAGAACAAAACCAAAAAACTGGACAAGCACCGAGCGCCGTCTCAAACCGCGCCGGATCGTACAAAAGAGAAGAAGTGGGGGCGAAAGATAACAGAGAATTTATCTGTCCGCAATGGAAAGGGGGGTTTTACATACATACATATAGACGTACACACATGTAGACATACATACGAATCATACAGAGAAAGGAGAACATGAGAGATGGGTAGAGGGGAAGAGGTAGGGCGGATTACCAACGGCTGGTAGGAATAGGTCTCGCACCCTTACCGCCAACATGGCGGCCCTCCCACGCCCAGCTCCTGGCCTTCGGGTTCCCGTTCTCGAATGTGTTGGTGCGGAAACGGTTAGGCGCCAAGACATCACTGACGATCATGGGTTCCGCATATGCTTGATATGGCAGGATCGTACGTTGAGGTTTCTTGTCCTTTGCGTATTTGGGATCGGGTTTGGGGGCTTTCTCGAGATCCAGTTGGCGCTGCTCTTTGATGATGTCGCGCAGCTCGTTGTCGTCGGCTGTGATTTGCGCTTTGAGGAAGGTTAGAGAAGAGTTCGCGGATTGGAGGGTCTCCATTACGGGGACGCGGGGCGTGTATTTGATGTGTGAGAGCTTAGGTGGGTCGTGCGGGATAATGGTGGGGTCGAGGTAGGAGGAGGGTTTGGAGAGGAGGGTGGTGATGTCGAGGGATTCGCCGTGTGGGATTTTAGTTCGGTGGGAAGGTGTGATGCAATCCATATCCACTTCCTTCCTCAGTACATGGTCAATGTCAACGGCGGAGAAATAGGCGCAGGATTGAGGTAGATCGTTGATCCCCATCTGCTGCGAGAACATAGCTCTTGTCCAAACATTAGAGACTTGCAAGGCCATGGCGGCACGGTATTTGTCCTCATCGCGAACGAGGTAGCGGATCTCATCGTGAACGGTGATGGCGAGGCGGGCATCGATGTTGAAACGACGGATGAGGTAGTCCATCGAGATAATCACCAGGTGGAGGTAGTCGACGCCGGAAGATTGGATGGCCCAATTGATACGCGAGGTCATGAATCCGCCCTGGCTAACGAATCGTGACATGAGCGCTTCGGTGATGCCGGCTCCCAGGACGGGAGTACGGGGACGTTCCTGCTCAGCGAATTCTTCAAGTTTGTTGAAAACAAAGGATTCCGTTCCACCGCGCCAGAAAGCACGTTTGTGAAGTGTCTTCCGGCTTGTCTTGGTCCCTTTAGTCGCTTTGTACAGGTTTGTAGCAACTTTGGTGGTCTCGGCTTCGGATAGCCCTGGATTGAACTGCCTGAGCAGAGTAGACGCAAATTTGAGGCCAGCTCCGTAGATACGTCCGTAATTAAAAACCTTAGCATCATTTCTGGTGATTCCTAATATTGAAGCAGTCCGTGAATGTAGATCCGTCCCGGCTGCTTTCGTTCCCTCCAGAGTCATGAAGCCAACGGCGTTACCACCATGTAGCTTGAACTGTGCATCACCGACAAGACTAGCAATCCAAAGCTCTTCAGAGTCCACATCTGCTCCAACGAAGCAATACCCTGGAGGTGCCTTGACCATAGATTTTAGTTCTGAGCCGACACGATTGGCTTTCGCATTGCTCGCTGTAAGCCAGGTATTCTCGACCGCTCGTCTAGTAACAGTGCCCATAGGAATAACTTGGGGCAAGATATAGCCGGTCTCAGATTTGCTGGCTTCTTGGGCAGGTCCTTTCGCACCGTCGCTCTCATAGACAACCATCTGGGACATGATCCTGTCCCTTGCACTGATCCAATACGAGCACGAAGAGTTCATCTCGATTGCCTCCTTCGCGTAGTCGAACTCAGAAGACAGAACACCCTTTTCAAAGTAGGGCATGTAGCCCTTTGCCAGTGGGTTAGCACATCGAGCAGCAGGCCCATCTTTGTGTGGCACCTTAAAGTAAACACCGGCCCTGTCATCTCGTAGGGCAAAGTCCTTCTCATCAAAGTCTTTGCATTCCGGCATTTGTTTCTCCCTGTACTTCTGAGCCTCCTTAAGTGATACTCTGAAAGTCCATCCGTACTTGTCTGACCAGACAAGAGGATGGCCATCCCATGCCAGGCGCAGCAAAAGGGGCACAATGCGAGTCCGAACTGACAGCCCAATGGGGCCATCCTTTTTGACAAAAAGATCTTTATACCACTTTGGCATTCCAGGCATCTTTTGTCTGGCAGCCGGTCTTGGAGGGTCATTCTTCTTCTTTCCCTTAACCATCTTTATCTCTTGGCCAGACCAATCTAATTGTTTTAGCCATGGATCATTGCTCCACTTCTCGGAATCTCCTTTGATTTCCAGAGCCTTTTCCGTAAGCGATATGAGTCGTTCTTGCACAGCGTCAGACAGCTTATGATATGTTGCTTCAGCGTTGGCGATGTATTCCTCCCAAGACTTGTTCACGGGGAGTATGACTGAGGAGAGATGCCTCAAGGCAGCAAAACTGACAGGATGAGGGCAGACCTCGATGAAATTGGAGAATACAATCTTGTAGACCCTATGCGTAATAGCCACGTCGGCGGCGCAGTAATCCAGGAGCTCATCAAGCTTCTCTCGTACACCGGCTCGGTCCAACTCACCAAATTGGTCTCTCTGCGCTTTGTCGATTGTGACATCTAAGTGGAACTTTGCCACATCCCGCAATGAATTGACTGAGCTTCTCCCAACCCACAAGTCTTCCTCCTCTTCAGTCAAAGCTTTGTCGCCGAGCAAGGTCGCCAATTCCGCATTATCTGTCTCCCCGGCAATCTTATCCCTCAATTCTCGATTTTTCCTATGCTTCATCCACGTCGGTCTTTGGCGGGAGCACATCCCATTAACGGCTACGTGCAAAGACATTGTATCTAGGAAGAAATTCTTCGACTGCTTGATATCATACTCCTCAGCTATTCTCGCCCGATCGTAGCCAATATTATGTCCGACGATAATCCTAGGCTTGGTCGGATCTCCAAGGGGGATGAGCTGTCGGTCGTTCTCCGATTCCCCAAGTAACCACGGCGACAACCAGGCGTACCAATTCGTGGGACTAACAGCACATGCCATTACAGCAAATGAACTCTCTTTCCACATAACCTCAGTATCGAAACACAGCATTTCCTCCTGGGGCGCATCCACTGCCTCCGTCCTGCCGTCGCTGTAGTATTTTGTCCATCCACTCCTCTGTACCCATTTCCGCGGCTTCGGAGGGGCATTCGCTCGTGTGAATTGCTTCGCCTTTGTGAGATATGGCTCCGCCGCATCTGAGCCAAGTTTATAGAAGTGTTCGTCAAGTGTGGTTCCTTGCAACTCCGGGAGGTCAAACGAAATGGGTGGGGTATTGTCTGTATTCTTCCCTAGTAAATCATGCCGCCGCAGATGGTCCTTCGAGAGGTCCACCAGTTCCTGAGGAGGCGGCGGGCTTTTAACGGGAAAGATCTGGGAGAAGACATGGCTGCTGAGTTGTTGGACCCCTATTTCATTGAACCGAGCTTTCGAGTTTTCTAAGACCCGTCAGAACTACGTTTCTCATTTCTCCAGAGGAAATGACTTACTCAAGCGTGATGCCGACCCTTCAGAGCGCTCTGCTTTCGGCACAGCAGTCTCTGTCGCGTAGAATCTCCATTGGATTGGTGCTAAAGATTCCGGACGGCAATGCGCCCGAAGCTTTGCAATCCTAACAGAGCTCATGCGCGGCCTGCTGGAACGACCAGCGCATGTTGAAAGAAGCATAGTATGTGCAACCAGAACGTACTAGAGCATGATACTGGTCGTTGCACATTTCTGATTGAATGAAGCGGGACTCGTTTTCACGATGCTTGAATATCAGATGACAAGAGATTGTTCTGGTAAGCAAAGTAGCCACCTTGGATTTAGCCGGTCTTTAGCCGCCAAGCGAGCCCCTGCACAACTGTGGCTAGGGACTCGGGAGTGGCTAATCGATAAGGCGGCTATCGGACTTACGGTTTTGGGCCGTGTACACGGGTAGCCCTACTCCGTATTTCTGGGACGACCCGCCCAACATGCCTCTCTGCTTTCTTGCCCCTCTCTCCTTTAGGACCATTTGATTCAGTTGCGAAGGGCAATTGACCGGATATCTGCTCCCCAGGATTGTATACACCTCACTATGCCGCAAGATCCTCCCGCCTTTCGCCCATATTCGCCCCAAGATCTGTCGTCTACCATCTCGGGCTCGCCATGGAGTGCCTCACCAGAATCCGGAACCAACTACGACTCTGTATATGTCCCTGATGTAGACAGTGGTGACGACCCGGCCGAATATGCCGATACCGATCAGTTCTTCGATTCACTACCTCGTCTTTCATCGCCGGGTGGCACCCTGCCCGAACCTTCGGCGTCGCGCTCGCAAGAACAGCAGTCGCCGCCTTCGACCCAGCAGGAGCAACGCCACCTTTATCAACTTTCAGAATCTCCAGATCCTTTCGGAGACCTCATCGATCTGACTCCTCCACGCTCACCTTCACGACCCACGACACAACAGTCACGAAATACGACGAGGGAGAGTAGTGTGGTTGATTTGACGGAATCTTCCCCCACTGTCAACAACACCAACGATATGCCACCGAGTAGGAAACGCAAGGCGGATACTCCAGCGGGCGAACGGCCTAATAAATCATCTCGCGGTGGTGCGGCATCAGGGAATCTGGGGGGATCGCCCACAAGACAGGCAAAGGTTGAGACACCTGATCTGGTTGATCTGGTTGATATCGACGATGATTCGAAATACGAAGATTTCAAGTTAAAACAACAGGCTGAGCTGGTCAAGAAGCAACAACAGGAGGAGGCAACTAGACCAGTCAGGCTGGCAGAGTTTCAGTGCATTATTTGTATGGATAATCCGACAGACTTGACTGTTACGCATTGTGGTATGTGCACTTCCCCCCTTCTTCTCTTTTCTTACCTCGACTGACTGGTATTATCAAGGCCATCTCTTCTGCTCGGAATGCCTCCACCAAGCCCTCTATGCAGGCAACGCGAAGAAATGCTGCCCGGTTTGCAGAACAGCGATCAACACGACGTTGCAGGGGAAAGACAAGAAACAGCCGAAGAACGGTATTTTTGCACTGGAAATGAAGTTGATGACTGCGAGTAAGAAGGGAAAGCAGCCAGCCAAATCTCAGGGCGTCCGATGACCGAAGTTGAGGTGCATGTGACGGAACAAACTTGGAGTATGGATGGAGGGAGGATATGGCGCATTGTGGCGTTTGGGAATTCGGCATGATACCTTGTAGCTCAAGACTACAGCATAGGATTTTCTGCATTATCGGGGAGATATAGGTGGAACGTGGGCATTTTCATGTCCTCTATTTCTCATGCATCAACTATCAAATGAACCAATTATTCTCTAAATTGCCTCCCAAATCTATTTGACGTCAAGGACCAAGCTTTCTTGGGCTATAAACGTTGGCTTCTAAGGTATTCCTTCTCGACTTATCACCCCTTAGATCCCTCTTCCCCAAGATAGCTTCCAGCGCCTGCACCAACGCTATGCCATCGTAAACCATACCTCCCTCCCCATCCACACCATTAATTTTCCTCCCATAAATCCTCACACACTCGACGCCCCACCCCGCCAACTCTTCCCTTTCCACCCTCGGCGTGCCCTCTCCATGCAGATGAATAACATGCGTCACATAGTCTCTATACTCTCCCACCGTACCCCGCGAACTATCACACGCGTCCTTAATCGCCTGCACGAAATCCCTGGCCCCGAACTCCATAGACGCGCTCCGGGTCTCGCGGTCCAGCGACCCATTAAGGATCAGGATCTTGAACCGCACGCTGCGCGCCGCGATCGCCGCTCCCACGTCCCGCAGGATCAGGCACGGGATGATCGATGTGTAGAGCGAGCCGATGGAGTAGATGATGCACGAGGCATCGCTCAGGGAGGAGATGACGGCCGGGTTGGCGGCGGGCCGGATCTCTTGCCCGTAAGGGTTGATGTACCAGATGCGGGAAATGCGCGAGGGCAGGTCCGCGGTGTGCGTTTTGGCGTAGTTGATGTACTGCTTGCGGAGCGTGGGGAGCGAGCCCGGGAGGTTTGCATCCTCGACGAGGTCGTGGAGGGAGATCTCTTTACGCTCTTGACTTGTTGGACTTTCGGGTGTAATTTCAGAAGCCTTGCCTAATAGCCCGGAATTGGGGACAAGGGCGGGAGCTGATGGGGCAGAAGGATGAGAAATGGCATTTTGGCCGGCTATCACAGTCCCATCGAGAAGGCCGGCGGAGATATGATGTGAGAAATTTGAGTTGATTGCCGGTATCACGTTTACATTCGCTGGGACGCCCGTTATGGCACTCAGCAGGTAGATACTCGATTCGAAACTGCCCGTGAACAGCCTGGCTCCGGTCAAGAATAGGTTCCCAACGCTAGCAGACTGAAAATTGAAGACCGAAGAAGGACGGGCGCGCTTGACAATCTCAAGATTGATGGTGTTGAAGAAACTTCGGATTAGCTCGCGTTTGGAGGAGCTGATATCCTGCCACAGCGCATGGCGGGCTTCGACGATGTCTAACCATTCGACGCGGGCCTGAGACGGGGACGAACTTAGACGGTGGTTGAAGAGCGCCTTTATGGCACTCTTTTCGAGGTCTTTGCCGGTGGGGTCTTCAGGGATGAGCCGCACGAGTCGACCTGTCGTTGTCAGGAGGTGGCACGTGATGTGAAGACTATATAGGAGAATATATGCCACTTGGAGTCTGTCTCGATATGCACTCCAACTTGGAGCGGAGACAAAGCGAACCTATGGATTTGCTTACTCGTATATCTTGAAAAAATGAAAAGAAGAATACAATATCGTACTTCTCACATCGCCAATGCCTGGACCACCGAAGACCCGAATAAGCTCACTCGAAGATCCTCCATTATCACTGATAGGAATCACACTGTAGATCGCCCAAGATCAGCATCTCTTCCAGTTCCTCCTGAACAAGGGAGTTTGGCTTACTAGCTCAATGAACATTCCTTATCCTGTGCCACCTTTCCAAACACATCGACGAGATTGTTCGCTGCGCTGCCGCCCGAAAAGACCACGATGTGACATCGGTTCATGCTGGTGGATAGGGTCCTCTCCCAGTTGTACTGAAAACAACCATTCTTGGGTGACAGAAATTGGGGTTATAAACGGAAAATTGGGGAGGGCAATTAGAGTTTGGACACGTTCATGTTGGTCGGGCTGAGGCGGCGACGCGAATGTTAAAGTTGGTAGCCTCGCAGCTGACGAACGTTCTATCAGAAGGCCAGATTCCAAGCTGGGATCATTCCGTAAATACGAGCTCCCTGCCTCTAGGCGTGTCATCATATATGAATAGAAGGACAAAGAGTTAGAGTTGAGTATCACATTGACGTTTATATTTCGACAACATAAAAATAAAAAGATTTGTCGTCATCTTCTCTTCTACGTACTACAACTATTTGAGGGCCAGCAACCGACTCCCCCCCCCCCCCTTTTCTCTTCAAAAATGATGAAAAATGAAGATAAAAATAGAGAAACGAACCAAGGATATAAAAACATGAAATAAAGACACCGATACACAGAAATAATAGGCAGATCATCAGACGGTCACATTTCCAGTTTCCATAAACAGTTATTCCGCAAAACTTTAGTCCAGTAATAAATGGACAACCCAAGATTCAGTCGTTAACCTCTGAAATCATTTATATTTCTAGCTTTCATACATCGATTCAGGGGCTTTTTGGCTGCCCAGAAGCCATGTATATAAATACAAGGATAATTATCGTTCTATCTGGAGACAGAGTTTATAAAAAAAATTGGAAGGCAAAAAAGAATGTAAATCCGTAACGACCCAGGGAAGATTCGAACTCCCAATCTCCAGAGCCGAAATCTGGCGCCTTAACCATTAGGCCACTAGGCCGGATATAAACTAAAGTAACTATTTTCTTTTATGTAGCACATGGTAGATAGAGTTTCATAAAAAAGAAGAAGAACAAAAAGAAGAGGGAAAAAAGAAAAAAAAGAAAATTCCGGATCGACCCAGGGAAGATTCGAACTCCCAATCTCTAGAGCCGAAATCTAGCGCCTTAACCATTAGGCCACTGGGCCGGATCAATTTGTTTTTGTGTTTTTTCCTTTTGAGGGCTAATCTAGCCTTCCAGGCGCCATGTAGATGAATAAAATGATAACTACAACTTATGTAGTACTAGTAGGGGTATAGGTACCTAGATACCTAGGTTGAGGGCTCAAAAAAAGAAACAAAAAAACAAAGAATCCGTATTCGACCCAGGGAAGATTCGAACTCCCAATCTCCAGAGCCGAAATCTGGCGCCTTAACCATTAGGCCACTAGGCCGGACCTTTTGGATTTGTTTATGATTTTTGAATATTTGTTGATTTACGGGATAATTAACCCCGGAAGGCTGCGCCTCAACCCCACACCCATGCGAACCTCTTTCACATCCAATATCAAAATTCCTCCCTCACCAACTGCTTGATCAATTACGCCTTAATGTGCTCGACTTTGTGTAGGTAAATGACCCTGAACCTGTTGCCAAATAATAACGCATTTCTAGGCGGGATTTCATTGCTAAGACGGATTGATCTGACGGAGGGCACGTCGAGCCTCCCCACTCTCCTTAAGCTGGCGTAGACGTTTGTATCATGGAAATAGGCTCTGGCTGGAACTTTGCCATTCCACCTTAGTCATGACCCAATTCAAAGTTCAAAGCGGGGCCAGTCTTTTACCCTACCAAGAATCGGGAGGTGACCCTCTTCGATGTGGTATTTGGGTGAGCTTACCCCCACACATTTCTGGCAGCAAAATCTAATATCAGAACAGGACCCCGTTAACGCTCGCTTTACGACATGCTTTCTTCCAGTCATTTCAGTTATCCCAGCTGCTCTATCAGTATGCATTGCTCTTGGATTTCTACTGAGGCACCCATGTGGCTTACTGTCACCAAAATGGTCAAGAACCTTCATTAAAGAACCCAAAGAGGTAGAAGAAGATGACGAGGTTAATTCCCAGGCAAAGAGGAGGCTTAGACGCCTCACTCTCCCACTATTTGTTGTATCGATGGCTGGCCTTGTCCTGCAGATACTTACCATATTCTTCCCAATCTTTCGGATGGACATGATGATATACCTCACAATTTCCTGGGCCGCTGCTTGTCTCCTGGTTGCCATAACGCGCCCTGTTACTACACCAAAAGCTTTGCTTGTCCTCTATATTAGCATCTTTATTTCGGAATTCATCATCCTGCTAGACGGAGTTCTTGAAGTCGGACCATACGGCGTACCTTCGGTTCTGGCCCTTTTCGCGGCCCTTGGCGCGATCATCATTATCTGCAATATGCCACTGCGGCATCACACGTTGCCAAGTGACAAAATCAGCCCCGCATTTGGACCGCCAACATACAATCTTCGGAGTCCTGAAGATAATCTGACGCTGTGGCAATACATGAGCGTATCGTGGATGTCACCACTCATCAAGTTGGGGAATTCTAGACAATTAAACGATGAAGATGTGTGGAGCCTTGGGTATGAATTTCAGCATAGGTTGCTGCATGACAGTTTTAGGGAGCTAAAGGGAACAGTCCTGAGACGGCTCTTGGAAGCCAATGGCCTTGATCTGATTATCATCTCTTTTCTCAGTTTGATAGAATTGTTCGCAAGTATGGATAAGTATGTCTTCTCCCATCGAGCAATGTACTAATCCGAATTGTAGATTACTCCGCACCGGTACTCTTGCAGAAGATCCTCCAATCTATGGAGAATCCTAGCTCACCGAAAAGTGCTGCTTTGACATATGCTGTCATATCACTTGTTATCCGCTTAATAGCAGATCAATCCTCCGTGTTTAGTCTTTGGTACGGAAGACGCTGTTACGAAAGATCGCGAGGAGAGATGATTACTATGCTTTACGAGAAGACACTGTCAAGAAAAGTCGTCAGTGTAAGCAGTAAAGCCAGGATAGAGGAAAATTCCGAGCAGACTACAAATGGACATGCAAAACAAACGGACTCCTCTGGTTGGAGAAGATGGCTCAGTTATGTTCTTTATCCGCTTCAAACTTGCTGTGGGAATCGTTTTAAGAAGGCAAAGTCTCCAGATAAAAAGGAACTGGCTTCGATGGGCAAGATTCTGAATCTCATGCGATTCGATGCCTACGAAGTTGCGCAAAGATTTTGGGAATTTTCGAATCTCATAACCCAGCCGCTTGGCTTGGTCATCTCGGTCGTACTTATCTGGAAATTGATTGGTTGGCCTTGCTTGATCGGAGTTCTGACAGTGTTCTTTGCTCAAGCCATCAATGCTTTGATTGCGCGGGTCCTTCTGCGTTGGGAAGCAGAGCGTAGAGCAGCCACAGATACAAAACTCCAAAAGATATCTCAAGTTGTTGAGTCTATCAGGTTTGTTATCCCAGCCATGGTAATCGTCGCCATGGAAATCAACCTAGCACTAGAGTTATCACTGACTTAACGCAGACACCTACGATGGTATGGATGGCAAGATGTCTGGCTCAGCCGCGTCATGAAAGCAAGACAGCATGAGCTATCTCTCCGAGTAGTAACTGCCATATTCCGTATGATGATCAACTTCACCAACGTCTTTGCAAGTGGTATGTTTCCTGTAGCCGCATTCTATGCATATACAGCTCTGGCGGGATTACCTTTGCGGGTTGACATCGCGTTCCCTGCACTACAGCTATTCAGCATGCTCGAGAACAGCCTGCAAGAATTGCCGAACACTATTACCGTACTCTTGAATGCGATGGTTGCGGTCAAACGTCTTGAGGCCTTCATGCAGGAACCGGATAAAGCCGCCCCCGAAGAAGCAAGCCCAACCTCCACCAACAAGCTTGAAATGAAAAATGCTTCATTTGCATGGCCTGGAGCTAAGGAGCCTGTGTTAAAAGATATCACACTCGCATTTCCACCTGGCTTGACTGTTGTTTGTGGTGAAGTCGGTGCTGGAAAGACAGCTCTACTGCAGGCGCTGCTTGGTGAGGTGGACCTCGTGGAAGGCGAATACCATCGGTCAAATGAGATGGTTGGTTACAGTGGCCAGACCCCATGGCTTCAAAGCATGAGCATCCGTGAGAATATACTCTTCTCTGCTCCATACGAAGAGGTTCGATATCAGCAAGTCCTAGAGGCTTGCGCCTTACTTCCAGATATGGCAAACTTCAAACATGGCGATTTGTCAATGATTGGCGAGAATGGTATTGGACTATCAGGCGGACAAAAAGCCCGTCTATCCCTTGCAAGAGCAGTATACTCCAAGGCCAATATACTGTTCCTTGATGACCCTCTCTCAGCTTTGGATCATCAGACTGCAGAAAGCATCGTACGAAAATGTCTCAAAGGCCCATTGCTCAAGGATCGAACCACTGTTCTCGTTACTCATCGAACTGAGCTCTGTATCCCTCTTGCTGAGCAAGTGGTCCAGATAAAAGATGGGAGGGCTGAGGTTCTCGATCCCAATTCGATCCCTTCGAATACCCTGCACAGAGTAAAATCATCCGACTCGTCTGAGGGCCAGGAAATGAACGATGAGCAAATACAATCCGCCATTCCCGAGAAATTCATGGAAGACGAGCATCGAGCACACGGCGGTGTCAAGGCCTCAGTTTATTGGGAATACATCAAAGCAGGAAAGTTGAAATGGTGGTTCATTCTCATATGTGCTCTTGCTTTAAACCGCCTCATTGATATTGGGGAAACTTGGTTCCTCAAACAATGGGGTGAGGCATATGGAAAAGTGCAACAATTAGTTGCATCAAATCCTTTCCGTCATCTACCCTCCCCAGAAACTGATGTCAAGCCATGGCTTCTTGGGTTTTTCCTAATTGCTACCGCTAATGCTGTTGCATTCCTCATCTCTCAGGGTTTCATGCTGGTTATCGTCTACAAAGCTGGGAAGAATTTGTTCGAGCGGGTCATGACCCGGGTCAGCCACGCAACGTTCCGATTCTACGATGTTACTCCTGTGGGCCGGTTGATGAACCGCTTGACGTCCGATATCAACACCGCTGATGGAAACATAAGTATATTGTTCCAGAACGTTGCATTATTATCGATTATGTGGGTATCGTCAATCGTTGTCATCGGATCAGTCACTCCACTGTTTCTGATCTTCGCCATCGCTCTCACCATCGCCTTCGTCATCATTTTCTCTCATTTCCTTCCCACATCTCAAAGTCTGCGGCGACTGGAGATGGTATCTTTGAGCCCACTCATATCAAACTTTGGTGCTCTTTCTGATGGGTTGACCACCGTTCGCGCTTTCTGCGCACAATATCGTTTCCAAGAGCGGGTTATTGCTGTGACGGACAATTTCCAAAAGATGGATCACTTCTACTGGAGCCTCCAGGCTTGGTTAATGTACCGGTTCGATGCGCTGTCAGCTTGCTCGACGTTTCTTTTGACTGCTCTAGCATTATTTACCGGAGTGTCACCTGGACTCACAGCATTCGTTCTATCAGCCGCATCCAGGTTCGTTATAGCAACACATACCCTCTGTAAGACATACGGCCAACTTCAAATGGATTTTGTGTCCGTTGAGCGAGTCGTCGAACTTTTATATCTCGACCAAGAACCACCCGGAAATGTCCAACCTCCAGCCTACTGGCCAACCTTCGGAGGAGATATCGTGTTCGAAGACGTGACCATACAATACGCACCCCATCTGGAGCCTGCGCTCTCCAACGTATCACTCACAATAAAAGGTGGGTCTACAACCGCACTCATAGGCCGTACCGGTTCAGGAAAAAGCACCTTAGCACTCTCACTGCTCGCCACGACCTTACCTACCAGCGGACGGATTCTGATCGATGGCATTGACATCTCGACCGTGGACACGCAAGCGCTACGCAAACGCGTGACGTTCCTCGCCCAAGAACCCGTCTTATTCCCCGGCACCATGCGCGCGAATCTCGACCCGCTCGACGAGTATTCCGACTCGGAATGCCTCTCGGTCCTGTCCAAGATCGCCTCGCGACACGCCTGGACCCTCGATACGCATATCGACACGGGCGGCAAGAATCTCTCGCAGGGCCAGCGACAGCTGGTCGGCTTGGCGCGAGCGCTGCTCCGCAGGAGCCCCATCGTGATCATGGACGAGGCTACGGCGAGTATCGATATGGAGACGGCGATGCGCATCCAGGAGATCCTGAGGGAGGAGATGAGGGACAGCACAGTGATCACGATCGCGCACCGCGTGGAAGCGGTCAAGAATGCAGAGTTCTGTGTCGTGCTGGGCAAGGGACGAGTAATAGAACAGGGGAGAGCGGGGGATATGGTGGGGAGGATGGAGGGGTAGAGAAGTGCTTCACAGCCGATTTATTAGTTTTGATTATTACTACGAGGGCGCCAATCTGCGGTATAAAGGATCTGATGACAAGCTTGTACGCAAAAGCCACAGAATCAACGAATCAACCTAACCATGCATCCTAATGAATATCAATATCATGAAAGGCAAGATTTTCTACCTGCCAAGAAGCCCGAGGTTTTGGAACCGTTGTCGCTGATTAGAGCGGATTCATTTGGTTCGGAAGGAATCATTGTGAAATAAACAAACGGCTTTGAAGTTTTATCTATCATGGTTGGAATGCATCTTCTAGAATATATGAAGGGCGCTCTATTTTAACAGTCATATATGTCCATATATTGGAACCCGACGCCCCTATCCTAATTAACTTAAACATACTAGTATCACTTTACAGAGCGGCCATGACACCCAGCATGCCGACAAGTCCAGCGAAAGTAGCCGCCACAGCCCCGGTAGCACGGGGAGCCGCGGCCTGCGATGACGAACTTGGTCCTGCCGATCCAGCTGATGCAGATGCAGATCCAGTAGATGTAGTCTTCAAAGTAGTAGCCGTTCCAGCTGATGCAGATCCAGTAGCCCCCGAAGAAGCAGCCGTTGAAGTAGCTGTAGCCCCAGAAGATGTGCTGCCCGGCTTGCTTGTCTCCGTAGCCCCGCTCGTAGTTGTAGCGGCGGCCGTCGAGGCTCCGGATCCAGGGGCGCACTTCCCGGTCGGGATGGAGGGCAGGGACTGCGGGGCGATTTGGCTGGGGATATCCGTACTGTGGACGTCGTACCAGGTGCTGACGGCGCTGATCCAGCTGGTCAAGCCGCTCTTGACGTCGGGGGGCAGGCTCGAGTACCAGCCATTGCAATCGGCGTCGGTGGTGGCGAAGGAGCTGGGCATTGCGGACTCCACGGCGGACTCGAGAGATGTGGGAAGCGCGGGGACACCGGCGAGGAGAGACTCGATGGAGGATTGTTCAGAGGGAGCGAATGAGGGATAGGGGAGGTCGGCGAAGGTGGTTGCGGCGGCTCCAACGTAGGCTGAGTCGTCGGTTGTTGTTGTGGCGGCTCCCACGTAGGCTCCCCCATCGTCAGATGTTGAGGTGGCTGCTGCTTGAGGGATGGGCTCAGCAAGCACGGCGCCGGCAAGGCTCAAAAGAGGGACGAGGTTCTTGATGAACATGTTGGCGAGAGGCGCGCAAAGGAATGAACGGTAGGAAATATGATACGGATTCAAAGTAACAGAACCTCAGGAAGACACGCAACCCAGAAAGACTTGAAGAGTGAGAAGAAGAAGAAGAAGAGGAAGAGAGGAAGAAGAAGAAAAGGGAAAAGGGAGAAATGAGCCCCTTCAGCTGTTGCCTGTTGAAGGAACATTAAGCTATCCCACTTAGGATGTGGCGTTTCAGCCCCAGTCAGCCTATTAAGGAGAGATATAAGCCTGTCATGAATCAACATGGGGTTCGAAGAAAGCGATTCCATTTGTTGTTCAGCCTTAGTTGCTGCGCACCGTGCGGCACGTTGTAGAGCTGGAGTATCAATATCCAAAGCAGGTAAAAGTTAGGAGCAGAGTCGCGCGTTAGATGTAAAACCTTTTCCACAAGAGGAAAACCGAATTTTCAACGTTAGAAACTTAGAATGGGGTTCAGGGATCCCCCAGGGCGCGGGCAGATTAGCCAGATTAGCTGTACGTACAAATAGGAGTCTTGTACGTACATCTAGCGTCGCCCTAAGGTGTCCGCTAAGCCGCACACTAAGCTGCCTCAGGTTGGCGCATCGGGTATTTATTTAATTTCTATATTTATCTTTATCAACTTCTCAGACTTCACTTCTACCTTCTGGAGTTCTGCCCAACCATCAATCTTTCTCCCTTCGTACCGTCAACGCGCAGTGCGCAGTGCGGATCTCAAAGCTTCAAAGCTCCAAGTTTGTCACGTTGAACTGTTCAGTTACTTCAGCATGGCGTTTAGTATGGCGTTCAGCACGGGGCTAGGGCCCGTCGCGGGAGGATTGTTGGCCCTAATCGGAACTGTATTTGTCTATTTTCTCACCAAACTATGGGCTGCCCGAGCCTTCTTCGCCAAGCTACGAAAACAGGGTCTGGTGAGTCTCAGCGATGTCCAACGCTCCACCAAAACTCTGATACTCTGCAGCCAATGCCAACACATAGCCTTGTGACGGGCCATCTTCTAGCTCTTGCATCAATCATACCGTTATACCCAAGGGATGGCATCAAGTTCTACCTATTCGGTGAGATAAGTCGACGGTTCTCCAAAGGCGGAGCCTGCTATTTAGACTTATGGCCGTTCTCTGAACCGTTCCTGGTCATTACCTCACCTCATCTGGCCAATCAAGTTACATCCACCCCTATCGCATTTGAGAAGCCCGATGCGTTGCGCAAATGGTTCTGGTCTATCAGTGGGGGAATCTCTCTCTTTGACGCCCCCGCTGAAAAGTGGAAGCCGCTCCGAGCTGCTTTCAATCGAGGATTCAGTGCTAATCACCTGATGACCCTGATTCCGAATATGGTAGAAGAGACGCAAGTTTATTGCGAGACTCTCCGCCAACATGCCAAGAAGGGCGACATGTTCTACTTGGATCCCACCAACTTGCGTTTCATGCTTGATGTCATTGGAAGAACCGCACTGTAAGTATATGACCGTGTTTGTAGATCTTAGCACATTCTAATCCTTCAGGAATGTTCGCTTGGGTTGCCAGACGGGACGGAATCCTTTGGCCGATTCTCTCCTGAACCAGATCTCATGGAAAATCTCTAATCAGGAAATCAACCCGCTCCAGTGGCTTAACTTTGTCCGTACAATCGTGGAGTGGTATAACGGCCGAAAGATGGACGCTTATATCAACAAACAAATCGACGAACGCTTCAAGGCTAACCAGCAACAACCGGACGACTCGGATGGAAAATTCGAGTCAATCATTGATCTTGCGCTCCAAGATTATATGGCAGACCCTTCCAGGGCTGCTACTAGGGAGCTGGACAAGGATTTTAGAACGTTCGCCACGAGAAACATTCGGGTGTTACTCTTCGCCGGCCATGACTCAACTGGCAGCACCATATCGTACTGTTACTACCTTCTTTCCCAAAATCCAGAAAAATTGGCCCTTATCCGCGCTGAACATGATAGCGTCTTCGGAACTGACTTGTCAAAGGCTGGTTCAGCAATATTCAATGATCCACATCTTCTGAACAAACTCCCCTATACCAACGCAGTGATCAAGGAAGCATTACGGCTTTTCCCTCCTGCGGCTAGCCTGCGCGAAGGAATGGATGGGGTGGATCTCGTTGACGAAGAAGGAAATCACTATCCGACTGGAAACTGCTTGGTCTACATTATCCACAGTATCATGCAGCGAGACGCACGGAACTTCGTCCGGGCGAAGGAATTCCTTCCCGAACGTTGGCTTGCCGAGCCGGGAGATCCACTATACCCGAAAGTCAAGGGAGCCTGGCGTCCATTCGAGTACGGGCCTCGGAATTGCATCGGACAACTTCTGGTCATGCTAGAAGTGAAGGCAGTACTGGCTCTGACGGTTCGAGAATTCGATATCAAACCCGCGTATGACGAATGGGATAAATTGAATCCGAAAAAGGGCCTCCGTACCGCGGATGGAGAGCGAGCTTATCAGATCGATGAGGGTGCTGCGCATCCTGCGGATCACTTTCCTTGTCGTGTGTTTTTGAGGACCGCAGAATAGGTACCGCTCCATATACCTACTCACTCTTCTGTCACTTTAATTATATTCTGTTCTCCTCCCTAGCGAACTTATCTGCAGACTGCTTTATATCGAGGGAGGAAAGGCAGCGAATGCTCGTAGAGACGAAGTTAATTCCCCTGCGTGATTCGCGACATCGTAGATTGGAATAGTAATATCGAGCTGGCGAGTAAAGCAGCCCGAATGGTCATGGATTCACACTTCAAACCAAATCTAACGCCAAACTTAGAAACCGTAGACGCTGAAATCTAGCAATCCAAAGTCCTGAAAGCCTTTTGGTAGGTAAGTTCTGGGCATAAAGAGTGCGGGTCTCGTGACGAACCTTAGGAAGATGGATTACCTTAGCAGAAAAATACGCGAGGATATAATGCTTTTAAGACTATGTAGAAAAATTAAAGGGCTTTAACAAGATTAATTTCTAGTTTACTATGTATACCTAATTAATATTTATAATACTATATATATATTAATAGTGTATCTATAGATATGATTTTTTGTATTCTAATTCTATAGAATACCTTAAAAGTTCTAAATGATATAGGTATTTTAATAATGTAGAAATTTTAACGATATAGCTAATTAGAATAGTTGTTTATACCTTAAGCGAGAGGTGTGTTAATAGAATTACCCTAGATCTACGAGTTCCTTCCTCTATAGAACAGCCTTCTCTTTTTAAGCTTATTTATTAACCTTTTGCTTCTTCGGTAGCTCTCTTACTCTATAGTAATCAACACTCGAATTTTAAGAGTATTAAAATCGATCGATTTAGCTAAAGTCTACGCGTAGGGGTCTGCCGGTAGAAAGGGGCGCTATAAGAGGGAGGGAGAGAGGGTAGGGCGACAGGGCCGCGCAGGCCTAAGGGGACGCGGCCTCGCTACGCGTAGCCGTCCTTACAGCCTTCTAATTGGCTATATCGTTAAAATATCTACATGATTAAAAATTCTACATGATTAAATATGTTACAGCCTTAAAATATTTACATCTTATAGATATCTTATTGATTTTAAAAGCGGGTCTCATCTTACAGCTGTAAAATAGATTAATTATATATACAGGCTGTTATCTTCTCTACAAATCCCGCTAAGGTATACAACACCTCTCAGATAACTTCGCCTAATCAAAAAATATCTGCAACATGTGAACTACGATCTCGGCACGTACAGTAGACATTTACCTTACATATAATAAGATCCAGAAGTCCAGATGGGGACCATGTCGCAGCTAGGTACAGGGATTCCCCGCAATTAACTAGCATACAGTTTTATCATCTTCGACTGACGCACAGGCAGGCATCCTACAGTACCTAGGTAGGTACGTCAGGTTCTCAGAAGAGATAGCGTTTGACCCGCACCATTCGATATCAGTAATAAATAAATAAAGTGTTCTTCTTTTCAAGACATGGTAATTAACCGAACAGAAAAGGACATGGTGCTTATAGGAAGATAGGTAGATCTCCTGCTCGGGAGATATCTGTGACTGTGATCACCTTGAAGACAACTCACGTAGTCGAGACGTAACAATGTCGACCGCCACATCTGCTGTTGTTAGATGAAGAAGAGGGGACTTAACGGCACTAGACACGATCCTAAATTTATAAAACTTCTAACCCAAATCCGCAATCCCCACGCACCCACCTCCCCCCTTTCCACCTCCTAATATCTAAACAACCTCCCATCCGCCGCCCCACCCCTCCTATTCAACCATCCATACCAAAGCCTCAAGCCTATGCTGCCCACCGCCACGAAAAACAACAACGCCGCATTCGTCCAATGGCCCGTCGGATAGCCCCTCGCCTCCTCATCCGCCTTGTAGATCCAGACCCCGGCGATCTGGCCCGGCGCGCCGACTGAGATGTTGAGCGCGATGGCGAGGCCCGCGGCGCCGGTGCTGAATAGGTTCGAGGAGAGGAAGCCCAGGAGCGGCGGGATGCAGGAGAAGGCGCCTGAGGCGGCGACGATTAGGGATCCGTAGCGGGACTTTATTTTTTGGGAAGGGAAGTGTTAGTTCAACTTAGTTGGTAGAGAAGAGAGAGGGGGGCGTGGGATGGGGAGGAAGAAAAAAAGGGGGGGGGCTATACGGTGTAAGAATCTGCAGGGAGGAGAGCAGAGGCCGTGAAGCCGGCGGCGCCGATGGTGGCGAAGAGGGCGGAGTGGAGAGCGCGGCTTGTTTGTGAATTACGTTAATAACCGGCGATTCTTTGTCTGTCCTGGTAAAGGGAGGTATAGTTGAATAACACATACGCATTAAACCGATCAGCGGAATACGAGACCAGAATCGTGACGACATCTGATTAATGTTAGGAATATTTGCAAACTTGGTGCATGAGCGGGATAGGAGGGATGTACAAGCAACCGCGTACGGCGGGACGGTCATCAGCTGCGATTTCAGGCCTTTGTATCCCAGCCCCGCAGTGATACTTGGGGTGAAGAGAGAGAGGCTGGAGAACGGGGTTGAGATGCCGAAGTATACCTATAGTTCGATCAGCATGAACATCTCCGTCCGAGGCGAAGGATAGCGAACTGCGTAATGAGCGTATAATCTCCATTCAGTCAAAGTCTCTTTCGCTTCAGCCCAAGTCAGGTTCCGCCCATGACCATGCGATCCCTCAGTCGCGAGGCGGGCAATCGCAAGCGCTTTCTCCTCGACGGTTAACCAGCCTGCGGTCTCGGGATAATCGGGCAGGAAGAAGAGTACGAGTATGGAAGAGAGACAGGAGGGGATCCCTTCGAGGATGAATAGCCAGCGCCAGGCTGAGAGGCCATGCGTGCCATTCATATGGCCTACGCCGTAGGCGATGGCGCCTCCGAACGCCCCGGCCAGAGTAGCAGATGCAAGGACGAAGGCGACACGGATCGAGCGCTCATCGCTGCGGTACCAGAAGGTCAGGTAATAGACTAATCCTGGGAAGAGGCCTAGAAAAGATCAGACCCGGCGCGCAGGGGCATCGGCGTGAGCATACCAGCTTCGAACATTCCCAGGATGAAGCGCACGGCGGTGACGCCTGCAAAATTATGTGTCCCGCCAAGCCCCATGGTGATTGCTCCCCATGAGAACATCAGAAAGGCAAGCCATTTGCTGGGACTGAGTTTCTTCAGGAAGTAATTCGACGGGACTTCGAATACGGCATATGCGATTAGAAAAACCATTAAAGCAATCCTGTACTTCTTAGTAAATGTTTTTAGGCCTTGGTACTAGAAAACTTACACGTATTGGTGATCCGTCATGTGAGTATCAGATAGGAGATCATTGTGCGTTGCGGAATTGAGAGTCTTTGCATTTCCGATGTTAGAGCGGTCGAGGTAGCACAGGAGATAGATCCCAGCAGACAGAGGGACGATGCGTAGGTCTTGTTTCCATATCAGGGCTTTTTCTTTGGCGGCGCTTTGAGCCGTACACTCAGTCTCTTGGCAAGTGTTCTAGATCTGTCAACGGGTGAAAATCAAAGATTATATGAACAGCTGCGGCACCTCTTTACCATTCTCGATGTCGACGAGTGTTAATTCTGCTTCTGTCTTGGCTGCCATCTTGGCTGTGCTATTTAACTGCTGGGAAATGTCAAGAACAGTTGAAGACCGGAAGAAAAAGACTGAGGAAGATAAAGGAGAACATGACTTGATAGACCTCTCTACCAATCCCAGTAGAGTCTGTTAATGAGTGAAGCGGTGAAGTGCGGGGTAGGATCAATCAAGGGTTAATCATGATGTCGATCACCACCCCAGTTGAAAGGTTATGCATGAGAGATTCCCTTGATCGTTCTCACGATAGGACGAGCATATATATCGAGTATACGGAGAAAAATCAATGTACCTAGACATTTCGGCCACTTGACCCTGGAAGAATACTCCCGTAAACTTTGACAGTACTTCGCGTAGGGAATAAGGCGGCGAAACATCCAGTAGGCGCCACAAATCGGGACAAAATTCATCATCCGTTCAAAACATCCATACTCATTTCAAACCTCAGTTGTATGGCGATACAAGGTAATTGACATCTATCTATTCCCTGCTCTCATGATTAAGACGCCATTCGAAGAGTGGTAGCCCAGGCAGGATATGGGGGAAGAAAGGGGAACAAGTCACGAGACCTTCAAGAGCTCCCTGTTTGAGCTGTGAGAGACGTTGCTCTGTGCAGTCCTATTCACGAACCCGCCCTGTCCATACCCGTCGTCATCACCGGAATCCTCGCCTTCGCCCTTTTCCACCGTGGCAGCTGTGTACGTGATGTTCGCCAGACTGGGGTCCGTAGACAACGTTCTTCGCACAACACGAGACATTAGAGGAGCTTCAAGTCCTGGTGTATCGTGCTACGCATCATAGCTGCGTTGAGCCAATCTCAAGCAGTGTGATATATGAGGAGCGTCAAGGGCCCCCTCCCTTCCAAACCCGCCGAGAATGAAGTACCGAAACCCCAGGACCCAATGCCTGTTATCCGATCCGTCCTATGCAAGTCGTATATCTCATAGGAACGAATAATCTCCATATTTGAGGAAAGCGCCGCAACATATCAGACTGGTAGTCGCACAAAACAAGTTCAGCTCGATCACGGACCAGACCCAGATACAGCCCAACGCAGGTGAGCGTTTCATGACGGCGTAATAGCCATATGTGTTCGAGATGTATATTAAGTAGCATCCTGCTGAAACGCTGAGGACGAAGAAGAACAGTTGATGGAGGAATGGTTGGATTCGTGGAGGGAGGCGGGGGAGGAGCACGGAGGGAGAGGCGTGTGGGTGGAAGGAGTAGAAGAGGAGGAGAATCACTATCTCTTGTTAGCAGGCCATACGGAGGAAGATGGATGCAATGGTCGAGGACATACCGGGAAATGCCTGCACGGCCCGCGATATGATGCCGGGCCAGGAGACCTCGACGGCGTACTGATGAGTGACTAGAACATCGAGAGTGAAGTGTAGCATCGTGAGACTCAAGCTCCAGAGAAAAGCCTCCCCAAACCTTCCAATGACGGAATCATCTTCAGTTTGGTCTGCAGATTCTTCCGCTTTATGTTTCTCCTTCTCCTTCTCCTCGACTGCTTTGAAGAGACCGCGCTTTTCCGCGATATCGAGAAGCGTTTCCTGGGAGGGGCCGGATCGATCCGGTTGTTTGAGCTTGATCTTAGGATCCTTCTCTCTGCGCTTTTGCTGTCGAGCCATGGTTGACACAGTGGGAATTATCGATTGTCGAGCTTCGGGCGAGTAGTCGAGCAGCAGAACGCGATCTCTGTGGCATTTGAAGCTCGCAGAGATCGACTGGATCAAGGCGGATTGAATGTCGACGGCTGAAATAAGCTTAAATATAAATAACGGCTCTAAATATCAGGAATAAATATTACTTGCTCCAGTAAATTCCCAGGGACCCGCCGCCCCAGGAGTCGGGAAAATTGCAATGTGGCTTTACTTTACTACGGTATCGTATCTATCCATCCCACGCTCCCTCTACAGAGTCTACATATACATGGTACATACGGAGTAAATCCTCGCCCCCTATCCTATCCCGCTCCCAAGACGCGACGCTGCAGCAGCAGAGGAGATAATTGACCTCCCCTCCCCCCTTCTCGAGTCTTCGCCCCTCGAGATCCCATCCCTCCCCCACGTTGCCGTCGCAACCATGCAATGGTTCACCGTCGTCGCGCTGCCCCTCCTCGTGGTGGCCTCGTGGCTCTACACGGCCAACGTGGCGCGCGCGCGGTTCCCCAAGCTCAGGAACAAGAGGATCTGTCTGCTGATCGCGCATCCCGATGACGAGGCCATGTTCTTTGCGCCCACGGTGCTGGCGCTCACCGATCCGCGGCTGGGGAATCATGTCAAGATCCTGTGTCTGAGTAGCGGTGCGAATTCTTTCCTTCCTGCTCCCCCATTGTTTTTGAAGATGGACTTTGCGACTGACTTGGTTTTCTTTTTTGGAATACAGGTGATGCGGATGGGCTGGGCGAGACGCGCAAGAAGGAGTTGGTCAAGAGTGGCATGTCTCTGGGACTGCGCAAAGAAGACGATGTCTTCATCGTCGAAAGCCCGTACGTTCTTTTGACTTTCCCACTCCAGGGCCTCCCTGGATAGAACTCTCCTGACCCGCGGCGGCGCAGTGATTTCCAAGATAGCATGACGACCACCTGGGACAAGGTCAAGATCGCGAACCTCCTCAGCGCTGCTTTCGCGCCCAACCTCACAAAACCCCTGAAGTCGAAAGGCGCAGAAGCGCCCACGGCCACCATCGACGTCCTCATAACCTTCGACAGATCCGGCATCTCGTCGCACCCGAACCACATCTCCCTCTTCCACGGCGCGCGCCATTTCATCGCGTCCCTGATGCACAATCGTCCGGGCTGGCAATGTCCCGTCGATCTCTACACTCTTACAAGCATCAACATTGTACGGAAATACACCAGTTTCTTTGATTCTATCGTGAGTGTGCTAGCTATGGCTTTCAGCAGTAAGCAGACGGGAGATCATCCTTCTCCCCTTCTCTTCCTGAGCGGGCCTGGAGAGGTCAGGATCGCGCAGACTGCGATGACGACGGCGCATAAGAGCCAGATGAAATGGTTCCGCTGGGGCTGGATCGGCCTCAGTAGATACATGGTAGTTAATGATCTGAAGCTAGAGAAAGTGACGGCCTTGTGACGGGGAAAATCGACCGCATCAACAAAATCATCAAGTGCTGGCTGGCGCAAAGAAAAAAGAGAGAAGAATAAAGGACAAAAGAAATGTAGACTACTACTACCCTTACATAATGTATATTCAACAAAGATCCTCCTATCTATCTATCCATGATCGAGCTCTCATCTCACGTTCCTAGGCAAGTTTTCGTGTAGATCCTTTCTTGCTCACACAGTAATCCTTTCAGTGCGCGGGGTTGGTTAGGTACAGTACATACTTATCTACACTGATGACAGAGATGGATGGCTGGCAGCTTAAATCCAATTCTCATTTCAATTATCGAAAAGAATCTAGCGACATATACCTGAATCAGACAGTCTCTCTGCTGCATACGTTCGTTAGATACCTACCTATGCAGGATACACAATATCCTCCAATCAGGAGACGCCGAGATTAAGCGATGATCCCCCCTTTTTCCAACACACACGACAACTCGCTGAGCAGTTTGATCAGGAGAGATATGGCTCTACGAGGAAAAAGAAGAAACTAACACTGCAGTCTTTGTATCGTCATCGATAAAACGATATTCGAAAATAATAAGATACAGATCAGATATCTATCTATCTATGACACGCTTTTATATGAATATCAAGAAAACAAAAAGAGAAGTTTAAAAGATCCGTTTACGACAGGAAAGGAAAGAGAAGGTAATAAGGAAATCAAGATCTCAAGATCTCAAGATAATCTTCTCCAACTCCTCCTGCTCACCACTCTGCTTTACCATATCCCGGAATACGCCGTCTTCTAGTCCCAGCAGCTCTTTCGGGCTGCCGAATTCGGCGGCGACGCCGTCGCGCATGACTAGGATGCGGTCGAAATCAGCGACGGTGCTCAGGCGGTGTGCGACGACGAGGAGTGTGGTGTTTGCAAATTCCTCGCGGATGCTGCGCTGGATCAATGCGTCGGTGACCATGTCGACGGCGGACGTCGCTTCGTCGAGGATGAGAAGGCGGGGCCGCGAGAGGATGGCGCGGGCGAGGCAGAGGAGTTGTTTCTGTCCTTGCGAGAGGTTGGAGCCGGAGGAGGAGATGGGGGAGGACAGATCGAGGAAGATGTTCGCGTTTCCTTTCACGTCTGTAAGTGTAGGCGCCGCGGTGCTGCTTCCGCTCGTAGAGGATTCGGCTTCGGGTTCTGGGGCGGGGCTGTTGTCGGATGAGGGGATGAGGTGGACGCGCTGGAGGACTTCTTTGATCTGGTGGTCGGAGAAGTCGGAGAAGGGGTCGAGATTCGTGCGGATTGTGCCAGAGAAGAGAACTGGGTCTTGCGGAATGATCGCGAGACGGGTTCGCAGGTCATGGAGCTTTACCGTCGAGATGTCGACCCCATCGATAAGGATCCGTCCTTTTCGTGCTTCGAGGAAGCGGAAGAGGGCTAGTGACAAGGTGGATTTTCCTAGGCACCATGTCAGTAAATACAACAAGTAAAAATCGGGCACGATAACTTACCAGCTCCAGTCCTGCCTACCACGCCGATTCTCTGGTTAGATTCCGCCTTGAATGAGAGACCCTTCAATATCGAAGGCAGGTCCTCAGCATATCCGACTTCCAGATCCTCTACCTCCAATTTCCCCTCTTCGGGCCAGGAAGCACGCAAGTTATCGATACCATCCAGCTTTTCTGTTGGGAGCTTAGAGTATTCAAAGATACGCTCCGCTGCATTCATGTCTAATTCAGTTTGAGCAAGCAGTTTGATAGTCCTCATTGCTGCTCCCCTATAATCCATGGCAAAAGCTAGGGCGAATCCAGCGAGACTCGCATCGACGCCACGTGTCGAGACAATGAAAGCAGAAACGGCGGAGGAGAATATTGACCCAGTCATGGCCATGCGGTATCCGAGCCAGCAGTTGAAAAGCTGATTGTGGTATGTGGCCGTTGTGAACGAATCGATGAGTTTGTACATTCGGGACTCGAAGACCGGGACATTGTTGAAAGCGCGGATAGTGCCGAGGCCTTCGAGTGAGGAACTGAAGTGTGAAATCATAGGTGATTTCTGTATTGATTCAAGGCGCTTGATCGAGCGAGCACCACGGAGGTAGCGGCTAGAAATCTGACCGCAGACCACTATATTTTTTCTTGTCAGCCACATGTTGTTCCAGTTTGTTTGTACTTCTTCCAACTAACCCAGGAGAGCGACAGAGAGGATGATCATGTAGGGCGTGACGAAGAACCTAGGTAGAGTCAGTACACTACTGCCACAAATAAAGGAACAAGACCTACGCTGCGATCAAAATGCCAATAATCTCAAGAATAGCCCCGGCTACGTATGCAAAATTCAAAGACAGCTGTGAATCCATACTCTGGAAATCAGCCGTGAAGCGGTTCAAGATCCTACCAGTTGGAACCGTATCAAGCCACCGCATCGGCGTTCTAAGGACGCTATAAGTCATATCCCTAAAGACCTTGCGAGAAGCACCCAGGGAGCCCCGATAGACTAGGAAAACACGGCCCGCGGCGACTGTGATGGACACCAGAGAAATGGCAATATAGATACCAAGATAGTATCCTAACTTCTGCAGCGCCTCGTTGTTACCTTGAGTATAGAGCTCGGCAGAATCGGTATTTGGAATGAAGAACTGGTTCTGGATAGAATACTTGTGCGTAATGTGTATCATCTCGGCCCTGGCATGTTCATAGCTGGCTGTCCAAATCCTGACCCACCATGAGCGACTCACGGTCAATGTCTGTGACAGCAAGTATACGAGGACGACAAGTGTCCAGAATGGGAAGCCTCCGCTGGCCTTCAGGTAACTGAGATAAACGGTCTTCTTAACTCTGCCGGTCTCGCGTGACTCCTCCTCAATAAGCTTTTTGGGAGTAGCTTTAGCCACAGGCGCGGCATCTTCGGTTTGTCCCTCATCAGCTGTCGATGCCACCTCGATGGTGCCACTATCTTCGTCTCCAGCTTCAGCCTTGAGAATGTCTACCAGACTTCCGGTTTCCCGCAGATGTTCCGTCAGACCGGCATGCTCAAGGGTTCCATGAGCCCCGAGCCTTACGGCATACTTTGCGCGCGGGAGGCAGAGAGAGACGTGATGAGTGACCAGGATACGCGTTCGGCCTTCTGACAGCTCACCCATAAGCGCATTTTCGTAAATCTCTTTACCCACATGCGCATCCAGAGCGGAGAAGACATCGTCAAGTATCAGAATACCTGCTCGGGAATAGAAAGCGCGGGCCAGTGTCAAGCGCCACTTCTGACCTCCGCTGAGACTTATTCCTTGCGCACCGACCTCGGTCGAATCGCCATCTTCAAACATAGCCAGATCCTTCGTAAGTGCGCAAGCTTTAATGACCTTCGCGTACCTGACAGGGTCGTCCGGTAGTCCAAACAGGATGTTATTCTTGATAGTAGCATTTTCGATCCAGGGCGTCTGGCTAACGTACGCTATCGCTGTAGGGATGATCCAGTTTGCCGCAGTGGCCTTGCTGTCAAAGCGTTCTGTAACCGGCGGTGACCTGGGCACTCTGATATCACCAGAAAGCACATCCGCTTCGCCGAGTATCGCTGCCAGGAGTAATGACTTGCCGGACCCCGTCGGGCCTGAGATAACGCTCAGAGCACCGTTCGGAAAGTCCAATGTGATATCGCGGAGAATGAATCTATCCTCGTCGTCCTTGGGCGAGTCCGATGGAAAGGTGACAGATGCATTGCTAAACGAGATGGAATCCCCCGGGTACGTGTTCTCGGTCTTTTCAGGGGCCTGGAGAAATGCGTCAATGCGGTCAGCACTGACCTTGGCATTTACCCCCATGGCGAGGAGGAGCGGGATCATGTGCATCAAGCCTTCTAGCTGCATGAAGAGACTGAGAGCCGTAAACGCAATCGACGGTAGCAGATTCCCATGGATATAGGAATACGTAGCCAAAGCAAGGGCTGCAAAGAGCACGGGGCTGAGATCCGAGACCAAGCCCATGATGACATTGTTCACTTTGGTCTGCCAAATCTTCTCGAGCTCTACTGCTCGAATGTCTTCGATCTTCTTAGCCCATTGTGACTCGATGGCGGAGAACTTGATCTGTCGGATCCCGTGTAAGGCTTCCGTTATGACGGTAGTCTTGGTATCTCTAGCCTTCATCAAGTCCTTTTGGAGAGAAGCATACCTCTTCCCGAGATAGTGGTTCATCGGGTACATGATGACCATTGCGGACATTCCGGCGATCATACTTACCCAGCCGACGAGCAACCACAAAAAGACAATGGCCAAGACTAATCTGGTAAGAAAATTCAGATAAAATTGCTGATTGCCGGTGAAGAGCCCGACCAAGTTCGTGTCCACAGTGAACATATTAACAATATCCTGTTGGGTCTTGGGCTTCTTCTCCGTCTCCCCTTTAGTCTTTGTGTTACTGTCCTTGGCATCGGTATCCGCTGATGGATCTTTAGAATCCTCTTTCCGGGAAGGAGGCTCCTTGGTGTCTTTCATCTTCATCATCTTCTCAAAGATGAGAGCCGTGAGGACCGACCGGACAGGGACGGCAACCTCGCACATCATCAACCAGAATATCCGGTAGTCGATCATCGTCGAGCCCACCGTGATCACGAACATCATGCCTACCCAGAACCAGGCTTGCGGGTCGAGCGGGTTAAAGTCCCGGCGGTTCTCGAGAAATTGCAGGAGCTTCAGCATTGTGAACTGGGGAGCCACGTCAAAGAAACAGGAGACGAAGATCAAGAACCACTGCCAATACAACTTGTTCTGGAAGGCCCAGAAGATGAGCTTCCAGAGTTTGACCGTGGGCTTCAGCACGATTGCCCGGAATCTATTCTTTGCCTCTTCGGATCGGAGCCTCGAATCCGGAGCCGGCATTTCCTCCACGTTGATCGGTTTCGTCGCGGCTAGGTCCAGGATATCCACACTCCAGCTCAGGGTGTATCGGGCAAAGAGCGATGCTTTGAATTGCCGCTCCACGAGCGTGCCATCGGGGAGGTAGACATCTGGACGCCGCTCGATCGAGACCAGGGCGACGGCCAACACAACCGCAGCGAGCATTTGGACGCCCGTCATCACGCCCAAGATAACATCATCCGGGTACTTAGGGAACTGGCCGAGTAGGACAGCCCAAGCCAGAACAGCAATCAGAGCGCACGATACCGTATCCCACGCTGCGCGTCTAAAGCGGGTAAGGATGTCTCCTTCTCGAGCCGTATCCAGAATCTGCAGGAACATCGAGACCTATTGTTGATCAATTAGCGAGACACCTGCAACACGTCCCAAGACAACGAGAGAATCCCCATACCCAAGCCGCAAACAAGAGCCACAGCTGGGTCAGGCAGAGGCCCGCGAAGGCGCCTCTGCGCACCGTCGCGAGCACCGCCAGCGCAAACGACTCGGCCAGCCCGAAGCTCGCCGCGCTGAAGATCACGACGAACTGCCGCTTGTTGGAGAAGCGCGCCATAGACTCCTCGGTCGCGACGCCATCCTCGTCCTCGTAGAGCGCGGGTTCATTGACGGTCTTGACGCGCCACGGCGCCCTTGCCAGCCTCCATATCGAGGGGATGGTGAAGGCGAGGACGAGGCCTGCGGCAGCGTACGACGCGTCGGCAAGAGAAGCCCCCATCACGCTTCTTTCAATGGGATAGACGTCCGTCTCTGTGTGTTGTTTCTGACTGCAAGCGTCTCTCTCCCTCCACTCATGTAGATATATCTCCCAACAGCCCTATCTATCTGGGGCTCGGCCGCAGAAAAGCTTCGCTTGGCCGGGGCCAGGCAGACGAAGAGTCAGTCGGTCAATCAATCCCAGTCTCCCAGATAACCTGGCCGACCTTCCCAAAGCAGCTCACCGGGGCCGCCGCCTTGTGTACGTACAGTCTCCCACGGGGCTGAACAGGGCGGCCATGACCGGGTTGTGATTGGACGCCGTGACGGGCTGGGCCATTCTGATCTCCGCAGAATGTCAGAATGTGCCGTAGTAATCAATTAGGCTGCGAAAAGCCGCGACAGCCTTGCTGGGGTAACGAGTCTCGGGGAAACGTTGGGAGGTATAAAGTACCGATGTCCGCGATAAACGAATCATTCACGTAGTGTAGCAGCCACACAGACCATGTCGCCATATCGGGGGTCCGTCCACCGAGGGAGCCTCTATGTCCGACACGCTCTCGGCCGAGATGTTTTATTGATATTATTTCTTCCTTTTTTCTTTTAAAAGAGCCATTAGATGGATAAGCATACAGTATTTATATACAAGTGCAATAACCCCCATTTCTTTCTCCTTCCTTCTCTTCCAAGGACAACCCGAACCACGTGACCCCACTTCCCACCCCTTCCAACCAGCAGAGCCTCGCTACCTATCCCTGGCATATCTCTTGAGCCAACTCCATCTCTCTCAAAACATCCGACGCCCACTTTGTAATTCCATCCCCCTCGCGCATCCCGTGTATCCATTCGAGAATCGCCTGCGTCACCACCTCGATGTCCGCAGGGGCATGGCACTTCTCTTTCCAATCTTTCAAGAGAGGATTGCAGCTGGCCATTTGGAAGAGGAGAACGATTCCTAAAACCCTGCGGAATTGGCATGCAGGGTCAGCTCGTCCATATGATGAGGCTCAGGGGATTGGACAAAGGAAGACATACGTCTGAGTCCATACGAACGGGTATGGCACCATCCGTTTTATATCTTTAGCTGCGTGCAGATACATCGGGACAGCAACGCTAGCCTGCAACACATTTGCATCAGTTCAAGGCTCGAGAAATAGTCGAGAAAATGTGAGGTTTTAGGTACCTTCAAGCACAATAAACTCTTCTCGATATCCTCGCTGGAAGCCTGTTCCGGAAAATGCAATACCTTATACAGGTATGGCCGGTATATGCAATATTGGACATGCGTGTGCAACATTCTAAGCCTTCCATACAGGAGTGGCCGAACCAACGCTCCAAGCGGAATTGTGCTTGATGTTTGCACAGTAAACCGACCTTGCGCCGGGATACTGGTTAGAGGTAGGTCCATCGTCCACTTCAATCCGTCTGGCACACAATTGGGCCAACCCTCAACTACGGCAGAGATATCGCTGTAAATCACCGGTTGGCCAATTCCAAGGCGATGAGGGACCTCAGCTTCCCAGTCCTCTGCATAATCGTTAACGTTTTGCACAGTTTCTATGCAACAGTGACATCTCACCCTCAGAGAGTATATTACGGACAGTTCTGTAAAATCGAATGAGGCTGACATAGACAAAGAAGCGTAGGCGGAATTTGCATAACTGCTCGCACAGTCTATCAACTGGGTTCTCAGCACCGATGAAGTTCGGCATTGGGATAGTACTCTCAAAGCGGTCGAGATCAGTCTTAGGGAGTCCCAGTTCCCAGTGGCTGATGCTGCCCTACAGTCAGTGGTGTTATTCAGAGAAGGAAAAGACCATACGTCTCTATTATCATGCAATTCCAGTAAGCAAGGGCAATCTGCTGTCCTTCTTTGACGGAGTAGTCTATCGGTCCTCTGCACTATGAGCGGATTGTGAAACAAGATAGGATACCTGATCTTACTGTGAAAGAAGTATCAGGCAGTTATGCGCTGCAGTCGTTCCAGCATGCCACATCTCCTAGCAGATTCATTTTAGTAGCGAACCAACTGAAAATTGGTCACATTTACCATGTATCGACCGCATTGACCGTAATAGAGACTGTGTTCACATGGAGAGTTAGCATATCATATAGCTTTGCGGAAAAGAGATGGATTTTACGCAATCAAACAGAATATCTGGACACTTCCCAATGTGTAACTTGTGGAGGCAAGTCCTATTCGCTGTCTTGCTTTATCGAATAAGAAATGACCCAGGAGATGGTCTGCTGGCTCGCCAACTGTACCCTGGGAAGTGGGTGCTACCTCGTGAGCCAGTTCTCCAAGTGCCATTACAAGCAGGGTCAGAATTGTGTTTTCAGTAGCGTCTCCCGGGGATTTCAGAGTCATAGGAAATGTTACTCGTGTGAAGTCGTCTCGATCCAGTAATGGATAAAGGAGACCGAAAGTATTAAAGTAGGAACTAGTCAACATTTTCGTCCTAGAAAGAGGCACCTCAAGCCACTTGGAAGGTTCGCGGGGTAAGATTGCAATAACGGCTGATCCAACGGCACTATGGATAGGCCCATTCCAGGCAGGTGTCTCTAGATGCTTTAGCCAGGCGATTTCGTTAAACTTGAAAGCATCTAATGCGTCGTGAGTACGACGACCACAATTACTTAAGGCCTCCACGACGACAGGCCAACCTAGGAACCCATGAGCAAAGGTGACTTTCGGCTGTGGAGCTGGCTTGGGAGTCTCTATTATACTGTCGGTGCGAGGATCTTTTGAGGTTGGTTGAGAACTTGCTTCGCCCTCCAATACTGCTGCTGGCGGGGGGTCCAATACAGGGTTCGTTGAATCCTCACATGGCCCAGTCTCATCTGGATCCAACTCCGGGATATCCAGATCATCTGCTGCATGTTGGAGGAAACTTCTCCAGGCCTCCTCTGTAACATCGTCTAGGATATTGTCTGGCATCTCGCCGGGACTAGTAGTTCTGAATAGCACTACACACGGCCACTAACTTGGCTCCCAATTACTCTCTGGCGTTGATACTCTTCCGAAATCTGCAAGGAGTCTGTTATTTCCACAAGTATTGCACGTTGGACGGTGGTCATCGACTTTGGTCGTCGCCAGCTACATATCACAAGCCTGAAAGAGGCTGTTAGCTTGCAACCAACAATAGAACGGTCGGGGGTATAAGAAATGGTATCAGAATCAGAGGCCCAGTTTCTTGCACGTAGGAGCACTCGTAATGCTGGAAAAAGGGCTGGAGCTCATACCAATCTTGCCAAAGTTCCCTATCCCAAGGATTCCAGGGCCAAAGTCGAGTCCACAGAGTGAGTTGCCCTAGCTGATAATTCTGTCGTTGTGTTGGATTCATCTTGACAGCCATCTTGCCTCAACAGTCTTAACAGCCTGGTCCGTTCCTGCCTCAAATGCTACAATTGCCAATTTCCATTGAACGTGCTTGCCAGATTGAAGTGGCCAGCCTCTCCAACTAGATAACGAGACCGTCGAGACGCGAGTCCTCTCTGCCTTTCCGTATTCATGTTGAAGAAACATTTTGAGATAAACTTTTATCACCTAGGTAACTCTGAATGATCGTGCAGCTGCGACTGAGTGCCTTGAAGGCTGCAAGACAGTACCTGATGTTCTCAAGCCACACGACTCTTAGACAGCATCTAATGTTCTCAAGCCACACGACTCTTACTTGCCTGAGATCGAAGGAAAATTCCTCACTCGAGTAAACACTTCTCTGCGCTCGCAAAGCTTAATTTGATGTAATAATGACAGCTTGCCAGCGGCACTTTCCAACTTGCTGTCTCGGCCTTTGAAAAGTACACATGAGGGAATTTTCTTGTCAAAGTACCGCAGACCATCTGAGCTTTACAGATCGCTCAGATCCCGAAATTATTAACAGTGAACGCAACATTAGACAGTGATGTATTTCGGTGATGTAGCTCAGTGATGTATCTCGTTGATGCAGCTCTGAGCTCAGTGATGTATCTCAGCGATGTATCTCAGCGATGTATCTCGATGTATCTCGGTGATGTTATATCGTTACACAGAGGACGTTGAGCGAGCGAGCGGTAACCTACCTATATTCATAGGAAAATGAAGTCAGGGTCCATTTCGTCCGTCCCTGCCCTCGGCCCCTTGAGCACGTAACCAGGAGCTTGCTTGAACTACCATGTACATTTGGGTGGGGTAATCGAGGTCCCTTGAAACGACAAGTCGATTCCCAGCCGTGGTTCTAGTTAGGGGTACCCGTTGATTGCACCCATTCTCCCAAAAGGACGGGTAATACCTAGGGAGACTGGCCTGATTACATCGTGCTGATTTCCATGGTTCGCTCTTATCGCTAGCTAAGGCACACTGATCCAGCTCCGTCTTCTACCTTAGTTACCTCCTCAGGAGAGAGTGAGCAGTTGCAATTCTTATGTAAAAAGAACGTAGCCAAGGCATATCAAGGTATATAGAAAGTATTCTCATGGGGGTTTTCCGATTCAAAGTAACTAGTTGATCTGACAAAGTCCTTTATAATCTCCATGTTGAGGTCCATGTTGAATGCTAGTCTGTTGAAGTCTACGCTGGACACCCCGTTGAGCCTGTCTGTGGGGATTCTACACCGAGTCCATGAGGCCTACGACCGCTCCACTTAAATCTGGCCCTCTGGTCTAATCTATCTGATCAACTCGGTATCTCTGCCTATAGGCAGATATACGAACGTGCGGAACTTGCCCCGACCTGAAAGCCCGCGGACTCGCGGCAATTCCATCAGCGCCGAGCGCGTAGATACCTACTAAGAGCGGGCAGGCTACCTAGTAGTACACAACTCGGCGTAAGGTAGTTCTAACTGTCGAATCCGGGATATTTAGAGCCTTTAAGATCTTAGTAGGAGAAATACTAAAAAGAGATGCGGTAGTGATCTGGCCTCTCTTATAAGGAGTTAGTTCCTTCTTCCGTTGAATATTACCGTCAATAGAACCTAGGATTCGACGTGGTGTTGCCATTATATTGAGTTAAAGTAGTAGGTGTTGAAAAAGGGAGACGCGTTTAAACGCGAAAATCGCCAAAATCGCGTAAACTTTCTGTGGGTCACTGTAGAAGTAGTGGCGAGTCCCCACCGGCTACCTGGGCGTTTGTACCGAGGGGGCCCCTAAATTGGTAGCGCTTGTACCGTCTCTGGTTGCCACCGTGAGCTTAACTGCGTCTGGGCAACGTCTCCCAAGATCGAGAGGGCCTAAGGAATGTCCCGAAGGTCGAGAGTCGAGAGGCGAAGGCCGCGCCTTATTACGCTATGAGGGTAAGAGCCTACCTCGAGCCGGCCGGCCTAAATCATATACGGATCGCGACGTTCGAAACCTTATACGATATGTGCGATTACACCCAAAAGACACGTACGCAGAGGTCCGTAAAGCCCTTAGGTTCAATTTCTCGACTACTACCCTTAAGGTGATGCTTAAGCCTTCTAGAATCGTTAATTGGCGCTGTAAAAAGCGGCCCTACCTGTTACTAGAAGTAGTAGAGAAGAGGCTTGAGTAGTGCCTTGCGCGGAAGGATTGGACAAAGGATGACTTCCGAAATATCATGTAGAGTAATGAGTGTTCTGTAGAGCGGGGTAAAGGCCGAGCTCAAGAGTGGGCCTTTTGTACAGTCGCTCAAAGGCTGCGCAAAGAGACCGTTTCTACCTATAAAAAGGGCAAGGATATATCAGTTATGGTCTAGGGCTGCTTTTAGTGGGCTAATGGTGAAATCCGGAAATCAGACCTAGTGATTATAGACAGGGACTTTGAGTCAAAGAAGATAGGGTACTCGGCGCGCTCTTACCTTACGGTTATCGAGGATCAGATGCCTAGGTGCTAGGAACCAGGCCTAGTTTTCATGTAAGATAACGCCCCTATCTATAACTCGTAAAAGGTCCGGCAGTGGTTTTAGGATATGGCTATACCAGTAGTAGATTAGCCCCCCTTTTCGCCTGATTTGAACCTGATTAAGCACATCTAGTGGCACCTTAAAAATAAGGTACTAGAATTGCACCTAGAGCTCGATAGTCTAGGGACAGGTAAAGAGGCTATAAAGGCACTTAAGAACGCTCTAATAGAGGCTTAGGATACCCTCGATCCGAGTCTATTTGAGGCATGCCTAGACAGTATAGAAAGGAGGCGAGATGCGGTAATTGAGGCAAAAGGGTGGCACACAAAGTACTAGTTAATATAGTATTTTAACCGTTAATTCAGGTGCTTCTAATTAACCTTAGAAACGTGTTTTTAATACTCTATTATTATTGGTTAAGGTTAAATACTTATATAAAGTAGTGGGTGTCAAGTGGTAAAATCACTAATCGTTCAAACTTACCGACTAGTACTGTAGGCCCCTCCTCTCTCGCCTGAATACTCCAAGTTTCTTTGAATGGCACCTGTTGAGCACCGTGCACCGTGCCAAACCGCTATTAAGCGGGATGTGGTCATAAACCGGAGGCTCAAAGCTGTGGCAGGGGGAGGACAGTAACTGCACTGTGGACTTTTGTATTAGGCTAAGCTAGTCGACTAGTAGACCCGCGTAAGATGCCCCCATTCGCCTCCCAAGTCAATGAGATCAGGACCCCGCATACGCCAAACTCGCCAGAACTCCACCACCTTGACAGGCTCATTGAGCAACGATGTGAGGTGAGGATGATGTCTATGTAGAAGCGCAAAAATTATCAGCTCACACAGCCCTCCCTATACCCCGCGTGCATCATGTTGGCCATAGCATTCCCGCCGTTGGGTGTTGCTGAGGTCATATGCGCTGTTGGGTCGGCGAGCTCTGGAGAAAGGGAGACCTGCATACAGTTTGGGTCCCCCTTGGAGTAGAGATGCGCTACTGATCGTTCAAGGTCCAGTAGAGCTCGGGTTGTGGGCGGAGAGCCACGCATGGCATGGCCGACGAGGCCCGTAGCCTCTGGGATGCCGCCGCAAGCCGCATGTGAATGATTCATTACCTCCTCCAGAAGGCTCTGTACCTCGTCCTTGAGGTCATTACTGATCTTCAACATGTGGTTGCGCTGAGCCGCGAGATCCTTAGCTTTGGTTTCCAGTTCATTCTCCAGCTCCCTCTTCTTTCGGCGGCATTTGTTAGCGGCGAGCCGACCGCGCTCAAGACGCCGCCTCCGCTTCTCTTCGGGGCTCAGATTAGATGGTTTCCTGCCTCGCCGCCGCCGCGGCTTCAGCAGTTCTTCGTGGGTGACACAGCTCTTGGACCGCTCGGTTTTCTATTTCCGTGTCAGTAGGCTGGACGTGAGCGAAGATTGTAGACAGAAAGCTTACAGTGGGTTCTTCTTGATCAGTGCTAGATGTCGTCCCGTAGGAGAATGAACCTAGACTGTGGCGACGCATGATATCTTCCTCGTCGAACTGCGACCACCCCTTGGTATCCTCTGGTGAGTGCGCCCACTCAATTTCCTTGACTTGCGGGGCGAAGTCGTTGTCGAAAGATGGCGACGAAAAGGACGATTCCGAAATCGAAGACAGCCTCGAGGGTGAGATATGCCCTCTTTCATCCTGGTCGCCGCCGTCCTCCGTGGTTGATGGTTGCATGCCCCTATGATCGTCGGGAGCGCCAGGATCGGTACCGGGTTGCGCGTTGTAGTGCGTATCTGAGTAGAGATATGAGCTCTGGGCTACATCCTTCGGAGTGTAATCGCCCATCAACTCTGCCAGCGAACTGTTGAACAGAGCATCGTCCGACTGGCCGAGGGTAAAGGGCGATTTGAGAGATTCGGGGTCGAGAGAGAAGTGCGCATCGTTGATCAGTGCCTCTGATAGCGAGAAGGGCTCATCTGGCATGAAGATATCGTCTGGATGGTATTCCATCATCCTTCACAGCTCCTGAATCCAGGGCGCATATACTAAACGAGGCAGGCGTAATTAGGAAGGAAGGCGCTTGAAGCGACTGTTATATGGGAGCTCTATTAGATTCAATGGTCGTAATGGTCGTGCAAGTGCAGACCAATGGAAGATCGGGGCCCCTATATATAAAGCACATCACATGTGCGAAAACCTAAGTCACCTAACCAGGCGAGTTTCCATCTGCAACAACATCTAGTGTCTGGAACTCTGGAGCTCCAGGGTGAGACCCGCAGCTTGCAGTCCCGCCGCCAGTGGAATGCAGTGTTGACGTGCTGTCACTTTGGACCACCTAGGTACAGCGTGGCGGGCCAAGGCTAGTTGGAAGAACGGTTCGGGGACGGCTCTGATGGGTACGAGGCCAGACCTCTCCACAGTCCATACCCCGCAACTTGGCTTTGCCCGCTTGGACTGCAGCGCTGTACGTTCCATATCTTACCCTCTACGCTCTAGGGCAGAGATATTCATGTATAGATATGTACCTCGGACTTCTGGAAGCAGGTAATAAGAGGCGAGGCTTGGGCCAAGCTGTACAGAGCTGTACGAAGAGCTCCCCAGATAGAGAGAGGGAAGCAAGAAGCATCTGCTCAATCCAAGTCTCGTTCTTCCGTGGCCTGACGGTGGTCAATATTGACACGACTAAGTCTTGGTTCCAACAAGCACAACTGGTCCTTTTGCTCTATGCTCCAAACTTCCAAGGCACTCGGGATCGCGATGGAGAGCTTAAGCCTGCAGCGGATATAAACTCCACGCCAACGGACTCATGATGCTTACCTTAGATTGACGATTCGTGGCCTGAGCTTATCTGGGTTTCTATATTTTACCAACTGCTACTGGCCTGCACCACCCCACTCCGTGCACGATAGACAAGCGGCCCAGGCCATCGAGCCGGCCTTTCACAACGGAAGGGAAAGTATGCCAGTGGAGTACTACTCCGCTGCTAAGGTGCCCATCTAGCGCTCCCATGGCAAAGAGCATCATCCTGATATCAGCGATTGCGATTACTGAACAGAGGAGTTATCGACGTTCCCCACTTAGTTATCCTTCGGGCCTCGTTTCCGGATCAACAATCACTACTCGAAGGCGAACTTATCAGCCCACTCCGCCCAGAACTACTACTAGGACGGGCTAGTGAGGCCACCATTATTTGACGCTATGTTCTCTTCTGGCAAAGGCGGCACTGTCACTTGGAGTGCCGAGACGTCCCAGACCACTGAGTGGCCATGTCGCGTTTGTCCGTTGCAGATCGTACCTTAATAAGATTGACCTCTGTATAGACTTGATCTACGCAGCAAGCGTTCGACCGTACGGGAATAGCAGATCAGGGAGTCTCAAGATCAAGTACGGGAGTCTGGCCGTCGACTTGGTTCTTTAATAGAGTACTGCAGATCACGTCTCGATTTGACAGCTGTATATACTGACCTGACACAGTCACACAGCATGCACAACTCGCCTCTGGCATAGCGGATCTGCAAGCATAAAGTGTGGCAAGACAGTAGCATCTTAGTGGCGGAAGTGGCAAGCTCCAAGAGGGTCCCCAGGGATACCAACTTCAGCACGTTGATCCTCTTCTTCCTTGATTGCTAGAACTGCCCTCTAATCAGCCAAGGTGTCAACCAGGATGTCAAACCAGGATGTCAACCGCAGTTCAACCGCAGCGCGCAGACCTAGATCTGGCTCTTGTGCACTCAGATCCTTGCGATCCTTGCGCGCGGTCCAATTGAAAAAGAACCCAAAGAACCCGCTGTGCACTAAGTGGGAGAGGGCGGAATTAGATGTCCGCCAAGAACCATATGTCAAGCTGGTTGGAGATATAAATGGCCATCACCTTCCCTTGCCAGGATAGCCCAGCTGGCCCAGCATAGCAAACCATCGAAAAGCTTATTTATTGCGTGCAGGAGGTCCCTTACCTCATGCAGGCACAGTTCAGCGCATTAGTCTGATGTGCACCCTGGCATCTAAGCCCTGTAAGGGACGGCTGGAAGCCTCAGGAGCCCAGTTCAGCCGCCTAGAGCCTAGCTCCGCTCAGCTCGACTCATGTCAGGCCAATACCTGAGGACACGAGGTGGCGATCTGCGTCGTGGCAAACGCACCCGTTTCCTTGAAGTGCCTGCAGAAGAACCTACCTGCAGCCTATTAGCAATTTGCCACAGCGACCTCCCTCCCAGATCCATGGCACCGTGTTTCTACAGTGCATGGCGAGTTCCCAAATCTCGATCCCCAGCTCACCGTTGCCCAATCCGATATCGAAGCTGCAAAGCATGCAACAAGCTCTCCCACCTACCTTACGCAGGTCCCCCCCTCCGCTCTCCCTCTCGCTCGTGAATGTCCAATCCGCGTCGCCTGCCTTGCATTTCTCTGCAGCAACGTCCGTAGATCTTCGGTCCCTACCTCTTATCTTCCTACCCTCCAGTGACCCATCTAGACGGTCTGGTCCCTCCCGTCCGGGACTGTGGCAATAATATCGCTTTCCCATACACCACCACCAGACTTCTGGCCCTCGAGACCCCGACCCGGGATGGGAGGGGGTGCTGATGAGGTAGAGCTGACATCAGGCCATCTTCCAGCCCCAAGCGCAAGCCAAGTCTCTTAGCACACACACACGTATCTGCCAATTAAAAAGACGCAATTCAAGCTTGTAGAGAGGATTCAATGGTGTTGGTATTGTCGGGATGTAGTCAAGAGTCCAAACGATTAGGTGAAGTATGGTAAGAGGAAAAACAGATGGCGCGCGGTCGGAGGGTCGGCGGTTGCGCGCGAAACTCGTTAAAATTACGCGGATTATTGAGATGTCAATACAGTACTGTACTGCATACGGCAAAAGCTGCGAGGAAACACCAGCCACTCAATTCCTTCCCTTTCCCTTCCGTTCGCGTGCTCCGCAAAGTGCTGGGCCCCTATGCGGCTGGCCGTTGCCTGTAGAGGCTCAAGGTCTCAGATGGTAAACATCGCGGTGGACAAATACCGCCGAGAGAGAAGACACAAGTGTGCTCTTGACACTACCCAGACCGGACTAAACCACGGGATATGGGCCTACCTTTTTGAAAGGACAGCAATTATAGGCCATGTGTTATCAGGAGCATTGCGGAAATCAAATTGTTCCCTGGTTTCTGAGTCGTGATCGCGATCGCGATCCTGATTGTTGATCGTGAGCTTGATTTCGCCGTTGTTGAGCAGCGTTGCGTTTGTTTATACAACTCGAAAACGCCCTTGAGGCCAATACTCTACCGCGAAATAGACAAGGAACTTTGGGAATTTCTCTCTTCCCCCTCCCATGCAGAAACACGAAAATCCGAGCGGGTTTGAGAAGTTTCCCACCTTTCCAGGCATGCACGGTTGTTATCCGCTTGCGGGAAGGGTCTTCGGATGGCATCCTCGAGATCGCGATGAGATATGGATCATTACGCTTTTTTCTTCAGCGGCCCCGATCTTGGTACCCTTCCTAACATCTCGGGGTTCTCAGCCGTGCAGGTTTCCATCCTTCGATCGTACGGAGAGGAAGGAGTCATGCCATGTTGAATGTAAGACCTAAGCTATCAGCCTGGTTCGAAAGAGCAACGGTCTTGGGCGCTATTCTTGATAGTCAGTGCGTATGGTCCCCTCGGATAGCTCGATGTCTCAAGCATTGTTGTTATCCTCTGCGGGGGCGGGCGCTGATCAGTGTTCACGGATTCCTCGATAACGAGGGTATGTCTCTCTACTCGACCAGAGCCCTATGCACCGGTCAATTGTCTGCCCTGCGCCGTGCGAAGGCGGGGCGCATCAACGTGCTCCCATGCGGGAGTCAGTACGCAGGGCAGCCCACGGCTATTAGCCTCCAGCTATCTATTCTCAGCTTGCGGATCGTCGTTGAGGATGTTGTCCACCATGGCCCCTCACTGGCGCAGATCATGATAGTCGATACCCCTCTTCCCGCCGCGGATCACCTTTCCGCATGCTTTCGATGCACTCCGGCACCCGTCGCAGATCGCGAACGGAGACCTGTGCACTGTGCACAGGCATCGACGACCTTCTGGAGAAGCTGATTGTGGGTACAGTACAGTATCAGCGTATCGCTACATATGTCCCCCCACTGCTCGCTATGGAGCTGAGGTACAGGCTACAGCCAGTCTCGAGCATCCATCCGTACATCCGCGATAGGCCATTGCTATAGTCGCTCCGGCTAATGCGCTGAACGCTTCGAGGGTCGTCCTGCTGTCCTTACTGTATAAGCTGTCCCATCCCTACATCCAGCCAGCCATAGAAACATTTCACCCATGGTGTAGGGCGTTAGCCTAGCTGCCCGCGGGGAACAGCAACAACAACAACACAATTTTTCAATGTGAGCTGAACATTGAGCTCGTCCGACCCGCGTGCTTGTGCGTTCGATTCATGCGTACCTGATAGTATTGCATAACCACCCCAGCAACGAGTTATTCAGTTATTCAAGCATTGTTTATGCTGCACTGTACTGCACAGGTTTGCACTAATATCGGTGAATAAAATTATTCACTATATTCTGACTATTTATACCACTATCGAATACTGCATAAGGCAGGGTACCAAATATATGCAGGGCCTCGATGCATCCTCAGCTTATCCTGATTCCTGAAGATCGCAGCTTTATCGCGCCGGTACCTACAGCTGTAGCCACAGTACCTTACAGAGTACCTACATGATGCATTTCGGCCGCACTAAAGTAACTCCGAGATGGTCGACGGCAGAAAGTGACTCGGTATGAAGTGAAACATCACAGTCTCAGACTCATCGCCAACGGCGGCGCCCTTCCGCCCAAGTTGCAAGTTGTCGGCAGCCGGCAAAGTGAATTGGAATTTGGTTTCACGACTAATTTGTGCTATAATCGAGGTACCTAGGTACCTACCGTTTTCTATCTCTCGGTGACCTCGCTATCGCCATTTCATCATTGTAACTATTATAAGGTACTTGCTCTGGATGTTAACCTCTCAGGCTCTCACTGCCCTCGTATCGCCATTACATAGGTAGATAATTGTAGCTATTATTATCACGTTACTGACGTCTAATAATAGAATGCTTTAGATAGAAGTAAGTAAAGTGACTTCTGTTACTCCTCCTACAGACGGGAGGGACAAACACAACGTATATCACATGATTCTTTCACGTGATCAAAGCCTGTAGGTACTTGTCCAACCTGGAAACCACAACTCCACTCTCAGAGTACGGGTACTTTACGTAGATCATCAATGCAATGCTATGAAGATTATTTGATAGGAATATTGAAGTGGAAGGTTGGCAACATTGTAGAAAATAATGACGTGATGGTACTTGGACAACAAGGTGTTTGGAGTAGCGAGGTGGGTAGGTAAGGTAGCGGTACCTGAATCGCAGTACAATTTACCAGCAAAAGCAAGTCACTGTACGATTGGCCATAAGGGGCCGCGGGGGTTTGCCATGGCTCGTCAACAACTACCCCTCACCTAATTGTCAAATCTATGTGGATGAAGAAGTTGTTGATTGAAATAAAGAAGAGGAATATCTTAAGGTTTTCATATAAGGTACGTGAAAGAGCAATGTTCGAAGTGGTAACTGTGCTGATTTAACGGTAAGTGATTGATTCAAGAGTGGTTGCTTTCCATACCAAATCGAGGGGCTTTGAACTTCTATACACACACCATACGTTTTACTAACGAGGGGAACAGTGTGCCCCGGTATTGGTGATATTAGGTGTGGTAATATCGACTCCTGAACAGGCTTTATCTGAAAAACATTTCGATGTCGGCGCGCACATCAACTTCAGACTTCACGACGCTTCGATATCAGAACTTACTCATTTTCGATCCTTCTTAAGATACCTTGCATTAAAGGACGTCATGGCCCCAGCAAATGGGTAAGAGACCGTGATGTATTCGTACCTAGCAGAGGACGAAAAGAACCAGCTCCGGTTCCCAACTTCCTCCAACGCAAGTATGACTTGGATCGAAAGGAGTACAAAAAACGCTGCAGAGAAATCGCCAATATCGGATCCCGAATTCTGAAAAGTATCAAGGCAGGTTATTTCTCTTATATCGCCGAGTGTAAGACGGTACATGGTATGTTGGTGGCGCTCAAGGACTGCTTATGTCCCTCGGAACATCTCCGAGGGCTGGAGCTGAAAGGGCTGTACAAAGAAGCGTTGCAAGCTTACAAAGTCTGGCAATATCGAGACATGGCTTGATAAATTCGAGACAACGGTTCATAAGTGGTTTATGTCAAGGCCTCTAGAGTAGTGGCTGTTCTCGATTTCCTGAGAGCAATAGAAGGCATATCAGAAGCTTCACGAATCTTTTCATTGGACTGTGTTTGCAACCTCGTCTCCAAGAAACTCAATGAGCATGAATGCGACGTTCGAGAACTGATAAGCGCATATAGGGAGCATCTTCATAATGAGGAGAGAATAATGAAGGCGCTTGGACTTACAGCTGAGTTGCACGGAGTCTGATCACATGAATATCCCCTTCGTATCAGGGACGCTTCGACAAATCTTTTCCGGGGTTCTACGCCTCATAGATCAGCCTCTTCTTTCAGTCCAGATTCTATTTATACGAAGCTGCCCCTCCCTTCGTACCTATGCAAATCCGATCCTCTCCAAACCCATCGAGTGTGCAGTCCTGATGGTCCTCTTGCGTACACTTCTCACGATTCTCTACCCCCCAAGAGCTGACCTTTAACACAAGGCTGACGATCTTCGAACCATGATACAGGTCTGTTTGTATTTAACCTACCCTCTCCTCTGACGGATCCTAGACGTAGCATTCTTTGCTTGTTACAGAAACACGACTTCTCAAACGCCATTACACTTAAGCTCCGTTCACGCAAAGACCAGCATTCAAAAAGGAGGTTCATATCTCATGTCGGGAATAGGGGTCGATTCATTAATTATGTCTCATGCTCAATCCATAACCTTCGTAACGGAGACACGCTTCGAAGAATCTGCCTTCAGATCCGTTCTGCCCCTTTCGGGCCCACTCTCACATCCAAGGATCGAACAGAGGCGCGGAAGGGATTAGTGCTTATCGATATGTAACTTCGCCTTGATCTTCTCCTTCAAACTCGTCTTTGCTGCTTTCTCCTCCTGGCCGGCTTTCGATGAAGAGCTTGTGCCTGTATCACTTGGCTTGGACTCTTCGGGACCGGTGTGGTGGTTCATTCCTTTCTGGTCCCGGAGACCTATTTTGTGCGTTTATCAGCCATTGTTCCGATTATCCCAATGGAATGCTAGATTAGAAGGATCAGAGGGGCGGGGAACATACGCTCAACTTCCTTGCGCTCACTAGCCTGGGGAACATCGAAGTAACCACCCTCGCCTTTCGTGCCTGGGCCCTTGACGTATTGTTCACCTGCTCCTTCACCATATCCTTGCTTCTGAGGGCCATTGTTCCCTCCTGCACCAGGACCAGAAGTGCCTCCTGCCTCGCGGAGCTTCTCTTCAAGACCTATCTTCTACATCAGTATTCATCCTAACTAATGCTTCCGCGCAGCGACATAAAAGAATACAAAAGAGCGAACATACTCTTAGGATCTGGTCCAGGTCCCTTCTTCGCACTAGCACCCGTCGTGTTCTCAGCCTCCCTTGTCGTCTCCTGAATGCGATCTTGCTTTTCGCTGCCACGCAGCTCATCCAACCGATCGTTCAGTGTCTGCTGCGCATCGCTCGTGGGTTCTGCGACTCCAGATGGTGCATCCGTACGGCCATGAATATCATTGGAGGCAATGGGTTTGTCGAATGCGGTATCAGAAGTGGGATCGTGCAAATTCGTTGCACCAGCCTGGTCCGCGCCGTATACTGATCCGATCTGACCCGTCGAGGCTGTATTTCCGTGCATGCTGTCTGCAGTTGATACCGCTGATGTATTGGGTTGGCTGGTACTGGATATGCTATCTATGCCTGCGATTCCTGTCGTCGAGTTCGGTCCGCTGTTACTGAGTGATGTGTCCTCCGACGTTGGGGACATGGATTTTTCAGCAATTGGAGGTTCTGCATAGTATGAATCATCAGCTTCTTTCTCCACCGTGAACTCCAGGCCCGGAAAATGCATGATGACGATACATACCGATATTGCCCTTATCATACGGCTCTCCCGCGGCGACATTTCCCAGCTGCCCAGACAGCGGTTCCTGTCCCGCCGTCTCGTTGCGCGTATTCTCCGCCGCGGAATTCGACGACTCTCCCCAGATGGCGCGGGAAGCAGCAGTTGTAAGATGATTTACAGTCTCCATGTTTACGGGATATCAGAAAGAGAAACAGTTGCTTTGGAAAGTCAAATTGAGAGAAATGAAAACTGCTAAGATTGGGTATCGTAGGAAGGAAGTGGAAAGTGTTTCTTCTTGGGTTTATGGAACAGATAATAGAGGTTGAAAAAGGGTATCTTATCAGGTCTCTGCTGAGAGGCATGGCAATCCAATGTCTTGACGTCTTTGTGAGCGCCACTACCTACACTATTCTTACCTAGAACTTGTTCTTCTCACCCCCAAAAAGCATCCCATCTGCCTTACCTACCTGCCCATACCCCGCAATCTGACCCCCTTTCCACCTCTCAGATTCAAAAACCACATATCATTACTCTACTTACCGCGGACATATAATCAAGCTTGCTTTCATCCGTCCATCGTTCCATACAGATCTCATCTCCATGGTTCTTCCCCCGGAAAGTGACATGCGTGACGCTCATCCCTACCTAGATACCTACCTTATGACGTTCGTTCCGTGACGTCATAGTCATAGCCTCGCATGTCCCCCCCTATCCTTATCCCTATCAGGCTATCACTACCTACGCGAACATCGCATCCCTTCGCCAATCGCAGACCCCTCCTTTCTAGGTCCCAAGTTTCAATTCTTCTTGGTCTTTGAACATAGAAAGAGAGTACAAAGGATGTACAGTTCCGAACTAGGTAGGTATGCTTATCGACGGCATTGGATCGCGTCCTCGATGCAGGTAGGAGATGGTCTTGGTCACGTGTACCACCTTTCCGCAACCACATACCTTACCTTACCTAAGGTAAGGTAGGTAGACGGGCTCTTGAGAACTTCGATATCAGTCTTAGCTGCGTCTCTCTATCTCTTGCTGTGCCAGAAACATGATATATATATACGCTTGCCCGTAGAAGATCCCATGCAGTCGAAAAACTTTCCTGGTTTCTTTGCTCTCTCCAACCCTGGCCAAAAAGGGGTGGCAGCTTGGGTGGACGTCCAAGTTCTTGTTTTTGTTGCACATCGCGATCTGTGACGATTTGCGGGTGTTTAAGGGGGGTTTGGATGGCAGAGAGATTACTAGAGGAGTTCTTCTGTTGCACATCGCACCGACGACAAGCTTGAAAGCGTTGACAGGGGGGTCTGATGGAGATGCGATTGCAGCATCACGTGGTGTAGAGATCGTGATACAGGACGTCGAGGCAAGGTTTGTTGCACATCGCACATTAGCAACACTGTCTTTGATGGCAGTGAGATTAGCATCACCTGACACAGGAGGGAATGGAGGTTTCGTTGCACATCGCACATTAGCAACACTGGCTTTGATGGCATTGAGATTAGCATCACGTGATATTGACCCGTGATACGGGTCGAGAAGAACCTGAGGTTTGTTGCACATCGTATTCTTGACAAGCGTGGCGCTGTTGAACACTGCTTTCAACGGCAGTGGGATTAGCATCACATGATATCAAGGTGTTTTGTTGCACATCGCAGCGATGACAAGCGTGAAAGTGTTGACCGGGGGGGTTGATGGCGATGCGATTAGCATCACGTGATATATGGATTGCATAACGAATACCTAGGTAGAGATGAATTGATTGAACTCATGTATCAAGAGCCAAGGAGCTAAGAGTCAGATTCAAAAGTATCACCTCCTACCTTGGATTTGAAAGCTTCTTTGTGGCTTCTGCAAAAGGTATTGGTTTGTTTCGGAGATGGGTTCAATTGGAGGGAAAGGAAGATTGTAGTGATATCTAAACATGTGAATAAACGATTTCTAGCTAGGTATGTTCAGTCTATTCCTAAGCCATGCAGGACTAACAATGGGATCTAAAATGCATGAAGAGTATAATGCGCGTATAGGTAGCTAGCGATAGTCAAGCAAGTCAACAACTCCTGCCCCCGATGGCCTAGCCAATGCAGATGCAATTGCAACGCCTGAAAACAAAGCCTACCAAAAATGAAAAGAAAAGAAAATTTCTCAAGCCGGATCAGGAGCCGCCGACGTTCCTGCATCTTCAACAACTTGCCCATTCCCCCTCACTTCCTTGTCCTCCTCTTTCTGCGTTTCTGGGTTTAATGGCTTGCTCGGATCATATCCAACGCTCTTAACGATACCTAGCCCTTTCGTCCTGCCTTCTCTGAATAGCAATCGGTCGCCAGGGGCAAGATACTCTGGCCTCTGCACGAATCTGAAGGCGACGAGGGCACGGTCTCCCGTCCGGATATATGAGCGGTCGATGTCGATTATGGCACATGTTTGGGAGACGGGACCGACGTGGAGCATGGCTTGGTATTTGGTTTTTATGGTCGTTGCATGAGAGAGGATCAACACTTAGAGGAATGTTGTCAGCGAGGGAGCCGGGTGGGTGAGGACGAGGGAGAAAAGAAAAAGCGGAAAATACCTTCAGCAACGAATTCCCGATAGACTTTGGGAGCATTCTGCTCCAATTTCGGAAGAACAACCATCCCTTTCCGTACATCTTTCCGGCGCACACGCTTCAGAGCAAAGGAGGCAGATTGACCAGCTGAAGCAGCGGGAACAGGGATTCGTTTCCGCTCTATGGATCGGATGCTAGTCGTAGTAAATTGACCAAGGGAGTCGGGTCCGATGAGCACAGTGTCACCAGCATGTATAACGCCGCTCTTTATTACACCTGATACGACGGTGCCGACGAAGGGGACGGAGAAGGTGTCATTGACGTGAAACTCAAAAGGTGCTTCCGCATCATAATGTCCATGATGAGGCAAGATATTCAAGAACTCTCGAACAAGGTCAAGGGACTCGCCAGTGACGTTGGAGACTTGAAATATGGGGCAGATGCGCTGAGAGACGAACTGTGTGGCGGTATTGATGCACTCCTCGCGGTTCTTGATGAATATTGGGATTTTCCGCGCTCCAGGGGATTTGAGAATCCGGGTTACTTGCTGGATGGTCTGTTCCAGGATTTGGGGAGGGCAGATGTCAATTTTGGTGATGACTACCATTACCGGAACGTTCAGCGCCAGTGCGATACCCAAGTGTTCTTTGCTCATGCCAATGAGACCGTTATTGGCTGCTACCATGAGTAGACAGTAGTTCGGGCTTGAGGATAAGAGACCGAAGACAGTGGTTCGCAGGTATCTTTCGTGACCAGCCAAATCGGTGAACGAGATGACTTTCGCAGAGCGTTTTCCAATCTCTTCCCAGGACAGTTTCCGGCCCGGAACATCAGATGTAACGACCCTGCCCATAGTGTCAAAGCCCATAATCTCCATGCCGACAGAAGATGTCCGCCCAGATTCAATCTCATGCTTGTGTCTGAAGAGATTAACTCGTGCTTTCCCACGTCCATCATCCAAGCCCCCTTTAACCAGGACACCCAACATAGTACTCTTCCCCGCATCCACATTCCCTACCACCGCTATCCTGGTCTCAATCACTTCCTCCACAGTTGCAGGATGTTGCCTTATGAGCACTTTTCCACTGCACTCTTTTCCCTTCTCACCCGCCACCGCCTCCCCTTCAGCTTCTCCGCCAACACCCTTTGTTAGCAGCACCCGACAATCAGCCCGCACCTTTTGCGCAGCCAGAACCAATCTCTTCAAAGCCACATCCCAGTCCTCTTTAGTCAACGCCATCGACTCGCCATTATTTTCAAATCCAATTTCGAATACAGTCTCTCCATGTCCTTCGTCCATCCGATTCTCTAACACATGAACCAGTTTCGCTAATGTCTCCTCACTATTATCGAGCAGCAGCTCTTTTAATCGGACCGCAGGTGATACATCTGCAAGATCAAGGGAGTTAAGGATATCGAGCTCGGCGTGCTCTTCGACTGTTGTGGATGCGGCGCCAGACGTGGAAGGGTAGCGTAGCGCCTGTTGCTTCTCGACGTAGTCGGCGAATTCGCTCAAGGCCTGCGGTTGTTGGTTAGCTGGGTATGATATAAAAAGGAGGAAGATGTACGGATTCGCCTTTCCGCCGCTCGTGGGGTAGCTGTTTTCCTTTTGTGGCCATGGCGAGGGGCAACGTATGTATGTATGTACAGATTGTCGGAGAGTGCTAGAGCAGAACGGGCTGACGGATCTTTAGTGTATTCGTACGATCATTTGGGAACGGTGTCTGGGTTAATATGGGATATGCTGGATGATTGTAGGTGTAATTATATATTTGTGGTGAAAGGTGGAAGCGCAAGGGGGAAATGTACACTCCTTTTGAAGTGTTGGATGACTCCGCCGGTCTGGGGAAGCTTTATCGATAACGAGCCGTGAACCATGGGTAGGCAGAATCGAGTCACTGGTAGGACCAAGCCTATTACTGCGGCAAAGAGTCACTCGGCATGGTTTGCTTCATAATGTCTTCGCAGGTCAATTGATATTTGATTCTTATTATTGCATCTTGCGCTTTTGGTATGCCAATTGCAGGCAGCGCTGCTTGGCGCATTAAGCAGGTTGCTAATCATCCCCCTCCCCTTCGCAGAATGCTACTACAGTATGCTCGCAATGCGACAAACTTGGTATTTCCTATATCCTTCTGCGACGAATCCCACTGTTTGAATCGCCCTGACTTTCCGATTTCCGCGCGGCTTTTCAAGACTATGATGGCGCCTGGGGAGAGATGAGGACAACGCTATCGCCTGGAAGGGGTCAGTAAAGTAGTAACAAAGCCAGAACATTCTGGAGATATGGAGGGGAAGAAACTGCATACCTCGAACAAACAGCATCTCTGACTTCTTGTGGATAGTCTGCAAGAGAAGATTTTAGCAATCGGTTCCTCCACGCGATATTCCTCCCCTACCTTCACGACCTCTTCTTCATCCTCATCCTCTTCCACCACGTACACTGTCTCTTCCACATCGCCCAAGACCAGGTTGCAGTGACTATCGTAGGCCTGCGATCACATTAGTATATTCTCACTGCAGGTGACGTCCGCGACCTACGTGTAGCCTGCCTTTCAATTCTCGGTCCCCTCGCAGCTTCACAAAAACAATCTCGTCGAGACAGAGGCGCACAAGATCGAGTGGCTCCGAGACAGGAGCCGACGCCCCATCATCCACTTCAGCCATGACTTGTCGTAGATGGCTATTGTTGTAAAAAGCGTGCGTCTTGTGCCGAGAGTTGGTTTCTTTGGTGGTGTGGATTTCGTTCGCGATTCTTGGACGGAAGTTCCCGAGATTTTAGCCTCAGGGGGGGTTACCCCAACATCCCCAGACCTTTCGCGCTGCTGACCACCACCACCAGTAAACATCGATAAATTATGAGTGGTGTCCTTTCAAAATTCGAGGCCATCGAGTCTCGAATTATCTCATACTCATGTCCAAAGGGTGCCCCTGGTCGCGTACATTCTCTACGTCTTCGGAGATGCTTTCAAAGTGCCTGTGGCAGATCGCAATCGATAGCTCAAGAAAGCTCGCAGCCTATGACAGATGGCCGCCCATTTACCATCGAAGGGGATGCACGAATACTGGATGGTTTCAATCGCCCGGACACGTTGATGGCCCAAAGACCAGAGCAGGTTCTGGGGGCAGATCATAAATCTATATGGAATCGCAATCACCAAAAACAACTCAATGCTTATGATCTAAATCGGGCGTGGACAAAACGCCTTGATGTACGGCGATTAGATGAATACGGAGATGTTCTTCCACTGGAATTTCCAGGCACGTTTACGGAATCTACTTTTATTCCAGACGAAGGCGCGTTATACTCGGCCCTGAGGTTAGCAAATCCTCACATGGTACTCAAGACACTGCTGGATATCGTTGAGCGAGATGGCCATTATGCTAGTAAATTGCTAGCATCCATACCTGCTACTACTTTCTCGGAAGTCTTACGTTGTCTCGACCCGAAGCATTTCGTCGATCGCTACGCCAATCTACACAAGGAGATCAGTCCAAGAACTGCACATCTTCTCGGGCTTCCCAATGTACACGAGGGAGGCTACCTCCGGTTCTGTGGTGTATTCCTGAGCCAAGTCAATAAGATAATCACAGCCCGCGCACAACGATATCCCGTTTCTACTTCAGACATCAAATATCTTCTCAGATGTGCTCGAGCAACCGGCGATACCCAATCGGCCGAGGCCATATGGCGTTCTGTGGCTTCAATATCCAGACAGGATCAGACGAAGAGAATTATGCTAGATGCAGAATGTTACAATCACTATCTTGCGACGAAGTGCTGGTCAGACTCTTTCAATGCTGCTCGGAGGTATAATTTAAGGGTTGTCCCATCTAACCTTAGATTGAGAGAATGGAGCGTACCTCCTTATGCCTTCCAAGGACACCAGACAGGGCCTGAGAGGGGCATCAAAGCACAAGCATCCCAGATATTTCGGAAAATGGTTGAGTCGGGGGTTCCGGGGAATGAAGAGACTTTCTGTTTGATGATGGTAGCTATGGCTCGCGAAGGCGATCTTTCTGGCATATCCACAGTTCTCCGACGAGTCTGGGATATTGATGTTGAAGCTCTATTAAAGGAGGACGAGTCTAAAGTACCACCTCCCAGATCCTTACCCGTCGACTCGCCTTTCTATCCTTCCGAACAAATCCTATTTACCCTCGCTCATGTCTACGGAATCAACAACACAGTCCCCACCGCTCTTCGCCTAGTGGATTATGTCTCCCGCCAATACGATATACAGATCCCTGGTAATGTATGGAATGAACTACTCGAATGGACGTTTGTGCTTGCAGCCGATCGATCAATCCGCAATACCGAAACCAATGACGAGGGCTTCAAAATTGGTAAACTCCCCCCAGCTTCGGTCTCACATCTCTGGAATACAATGACATCGGAACCTTACAACGTCAAACCGACGATGGAAATGTATAACCGTTTGATTACGAACCTAATCCACCGCAGTCGCTTTCGTGAAGCGGAGCAGCGCATGGAAGAGGCCTATCGTGCCAATCTCAAATACGTCCGCGAACTCTCACGACAAGTCCTAGTCTACCAATCAACTGCCGCTCATAATCCTATTGCCCCCCAACGCGCGCAAGCGGTGAACCTGGCTCATCTGCGTGTCAGACGCAATAGGCTATATATCCGCCGGTGGGTTCGACATTGGATTCGGTTAGGTAGCAAGGCGGCAGTCTGGAAAGACACCTCGGGGACTTTCACTGCTCAACACTTGCCGGATTTCCTTGAAAGGTGGAAAAGCTTCTTACCCGTGAGAGTAAAGTATTGGATTGCGGGTGGAGAGGTGAGCTTTGCAACGGGCGTGAATGCGGCGAACTTTAGGATGCAGAGGAAATACGCAAATCGCGGGAACACGGCCAATTTACTTTCCAAGAGAATTATCTTGCCAAGCAAAGTCTCTAATCCTGGTATGCTGGCCAGGAGATTAGGGCAGGGGCGTTTGATGGACAGGTAATTGTGAATGGAGGATCAAGGGGTTTGAGAGGGATTAATGAGGGATGCGGTAATGTTTTGAATATTGCGTACTTATTTTTCGACGCGGAGATACCTTGGCTTGCTGGTTGTCAAAAATTTCCTTATCTATACACAAGTGGTATATGTATACCCAAGGGATCGCTATACCTATACCCAGTTTGCGCTGCAGTGAGGTCTCTTCCTACTGATTTCAATCTACGAAAGCGCATCGGAGGAATGTCAGAGCACGATACTTGATCCCGTGCGAAACCTAAAATCAGGCTTTAGTTCCAGAATCCGGGCTCGACGTTCTAATCCTTAACTTCGACTTCAAGATCATCAAAAGGAGCAAAACATAATATCAAGCACCAATAGCTTAACCATCCCACCCATAGATTCTGTTGCCTAGACACGGCTCGCATGTTCGCATCCCACTCCTGCCGCGCCTCTTTGCCCGCTCTTTCTGTCCTCCCGCCATCTCTCCCGTCTGCGAGTTCCCCGATCTTCACATCCAACGTACCGGTACCCCTGGGCCCGGGCCCTAATCCCCGTTCCATTGCGCGTCTCCTGCTCCACAGCGGGCGCGGGGTCAGAAAATGGTACAGGGGGGAGACGGCCGACTTAGCGACCCCGCTATTAGGCCTTGACTCAGGGCTCTGGATGCTGGGTTGGATTCTGGATATGCTGCTGTCGTGGTCTGTCTGATTACTGAAAGTTACGGATGGGATATCTCTGTGCTTGGGACGAGTTGATGATTTTGAACATTGCTGCGTTGTCTGCTACATCATTGACTTGCGGCGCTGGTTTCTGGGAGGTGGATGGGGAGAGTGGTTTTGGAATGTGGGGGGAAGGTAATTTTGAGGGGGGGGATATGTGTTGTGAGGAGCAGTCACTGCGTTTAGGGGTAAGGAAGAGAGGGTGAGCGAAGAGGAGAGCATGCATATTTAGGTGGAGGAAGCATGAGGTTGTGGACACTGCGATCTCGTGCCTGAAACAATCGTGTTCCCTCGCAGAGAAATAAGGGGTTTATTGTCGAGGAGGGATATCCGTCCACTCCTTAACATCCCCAAAATCCATCACCTTATTCGGCCCACCCCTTCTATGTTGAACATCCTCCCAATTCCTATTGACTGCCGTCTCCGGCCTCCATCGAAACGCAGTCTTCAACCTCCCGTCTAATTTGTCCTCCAGCACATCGGCAACGAAACCTCCCACACTAGTAATGTGCATAAATCCATGGCCACTGCCTCCAATAGCTAACACCAGACTTTTATAGTCGGGGTGTCTATCAATCAAGAAATTCCGGTCAGGCGTATCGGCACACCAACAAATCCGCGCGAAACTCAACGGACGATCTCGAAGGTGTGGCATGGTGTCTTGTAAGAATGCGCGGACGCGCGCTTCAGCTTCGCGCGGGATCTGGTGTTTGGCGAAGGGGATGCTGGCTTTGTGGCCGCTGGGAGTGATCTGGAAGTTCGTGTATCCGGGGTGCTCGTCGCAGATCTTCAGCTCGCCCCTCTCGGCATCTGGTTCCATGAAGAATCCGCTCTCGATGTTGAAGAGGACGGGCAGATTCTTGTATAACTTGCATTCCTCGGGGCTCATTTTGATATGCGCGAGTGTCCATGCAGTGGGACGTAGTTGGTCCTTGACGTCTAGTAAACTTGGCGCTTGTGCTCCATTTGCTAGGATGATGGTGTCTGCGAGATGGCGCTGCCCGTCTGAAGTCTCAACTCCCACGATGTCGTTGTTCTCTTCGATTAGTTTGCTCACATTTCCTTGTGGCCCCGTGATGAATTTAACGCCCAGTCTCCTGGCTTCTTCATAGGCTGCCATTAAAGCACCTCGAGCAAAGACCCATCCCGCGCCATCTTTCTTAAACCCTCCCTTCCAGCCTGGGAAATCTCCCGTTAGGACACCTTTAGGCATTGTTGCCCGGAAGGCCTCAGGGGAATCAAGCCATTCGAAATCAGCCTTTTGATCCAGCATTTCGCGTTTGGTGAGCTGCTCCAAGCCGTCCGGGGTGTGAGCACAGATGATATATCCGGTGTCATGGTAGTAAGGTTTGAAGACCGGGTCATTCATCCAGCCTTCGGAAGCAAGACGGAGAAGTGTTTGGGAAACGTAACCACCATCCTCGCCATCATCAAAAGATCCTGATGAATCAGCTCAGATTTTATAATGGCGAGAAAGGGAGGGAAGTACCTTGTTCGACTATTTTGTTGACATCGTTTCCAGCTGAAATGGGGGAGGGCAATGCATAGGGATCAAGGACAGTGACATGTTTATATCCACGACGAGCAAGATGTAGAGCGGTAGAGCACCCCCAAGTTCCAGCTCCCACGATCAGAATTGAGCCCTCGTAGCCTGTTGGAGCTTTTGGCGAAGCCATGTCAAGAGAGATTGTTTGGTGAATCGAAGACTCTTCACTCAACTTCCTCAAAGAGAGAACACGCAAACCTTTAACTGGAATCAATAAATAATCACCTGATGATTGATTCGAACGCCCGGGTTAGGAAGGCCCATGCGGCAGGATGGAAAGCTTGATGTTGCCAAGGCGCCGACCCCATCTTTGACGCCGCCGATCACTTACCACATATTACCGGCCTTCAACCTCCTTTTAGACTGTATCGCTTATTGCTGACCTTGAATGTCTATCATGGCTATCTTCGATACGAGGCATGACTCTCTGAAGGAGCTACCCTGTACTCGAACGAAAGGGTTTCAAGAACGATGCCAATCCTCGAAGGTCTAGCGCTGTCTGGATGGGATTCCGAAATGGCAATTCTCTCCGAATCCATGGAGACTTATCTATTCGTAAAGAGAATAGAGATGCCCGTCTTGGCCGTCTTATCACATGGGACGGCATGCCCTGATATAAGTCGTAGACCTCGTGTTATGGATCTTCAGGCCCCCTTCCGGCTTCTTGCAAATGAAGGTCTTTATACGACTCTTCGAAGATGGCAGACATTATAGAAAGTGTACCTGGAACGGATTATCTGGTGGATGGTTTGTAGCCCTAAAAAGCAGAAGGATTGACCGCTGACTTATGATTGTTCAGTGAACCACAAAGTGGAGGTTCAACATGCAGGGACCGAAGGTTCCTCGGACATTATCCTCATACCTCAGCCCACAGAGTGCGATGGTGATCCTTTGGTACGCCAAACGAGAAGAAAACTTGTTTGGGACCCTCCTCTGACAAAAGATGTAGAGATGGCCAAGATGGAAGAAGTACTATCAATTATTCCTTGTCGCTCTATACGCTTGCGCGTTCTCATATGGTGAGAACACTCTAGGTGCAGCTTGGACGACAGTCAGCGAGGATACAGGTGTAAGCCTGACCAACATGAACGGTGGCAGTGCGCTCAACTATCTACTCCTTGTATGACTTTAGGCCCTCTTGCCCCCATTTTCTAATCTGATAGCATGATAGGGCTTCGTAAATATCTTCTGGATCCCAGCAGCAATGAAAATCGGCCGCCGACCAGTGTTTCTGCTCACAACCATCCTCTGTCTCTGCGCTGGTGTCTGGACTGGCAAATTCCACGGCACAGGACAATGGTTTGGAGCGCAGGTTTTGAATGGGCTGGGGACAAGTGCATACCAAGCTGTGATTCAGCTGAGTATTTTCGATCAATTCTTTGCTCATCAGAGAGGCCGAATGCTGAGTGTCTATTTGTTCGGACAGCAGCTTGGTTCGATGTACGTTTAAACTGAAGAAACGAAAAGAGGAAACTGCCCCCCTTTCAAAAGCTGATACTGACCAACTTTCTTTTAGCCTGGGTCTGATAACAGGAGGAACAATTGCAGACAACTTGAGCTGGAGGTGGAGTCAATATATCGTCGCCATTATTGATGGCGTGGTTTTGATCCTCTTGTTCCTTAGTTTCGAAGAGACTCTTTTCCCAAGGTTTCTATTTACCAGCTCAGGCAATCCAGTCCACAATGCTGCTGCTCAAAAGCCAGATTCGGAGAGCAAGGATTCGCATACGATCGCCAGCGTCTCGAACCATTATGGCTTCCCGAGACGTAAATTGGTGGAAAGACTCAGGTTATGGGTATATTACCCAGAAGACCGGACAACATACTGGCAGTATTTCCGGCGGCCATTTTTCCTATTGTCGTTCCCGAACGTCATAATAGTGAGTACTCTCCGTCCATCGAGAAACAGTGCTTTAACACAGTGGGCTCTAGGCTGCATTCATCTTCGCATTTGGCTGCACGGCTGGCATCGTGTCCTTCAACACCATCTCCGAAATACTCACCTCTCCGCCATATAATTGGTCCACCACCTCGACTGGACTTGTCTTTTTAGCTGCCTTGGTTGGCAATGTCGTAGGTTGGGCCACAGGGACTCTCTCTGACCAGATCGTGATTCATCTCGCTCGACGCAACGGGGGTATCAAGGAGCCTGAGATGAGATTGTGGACTCTCGGATTTTCCATGGTCTACGCAGTCCTTGGGTATTTCCTGTACGGTTGGGGGGCCCAGTCTGGGGCTCACTGGATGACGATTGCTTTCGGTGTAGGCTGCATGATCGCCCATCAAGTCAGCGCCTGCTCCATTGCAACTGCGTACGCAATGGAATGCTTCCCAGGCATGTCTGGCGAAATGGTCGTCATATTGGCGATGTGCAGCTCATTGATTAATTTTGCATTCTCGTACTCCGTGCAGCCGTTTATCAATGCCGCTGGGTATGGGTGGACTTTCACGTTCTTTGGTCTTTCAGTCTGGGCATCGATGCTTGCTGCAGTTCCAATGATTATGTACGGAAAACGGTGGCGAATCCGTTGTGCTCCAAAGTATTATCGGTTTGTCAACGAGAACCGAGCCGAATAAAAGAGGAAAGTCGGTCGTGAAGCATGAGAGGGATGGGGAATATGAAGTAGAGTAATAGCTCAATCCGAGATCTGCTTCTAGAAATTCAGTACATCGGTTTCCCTCCGTCGAGCAACAGTTAGTTCATATCATTGTGTATCACAGAAGGATCAGTCTCTCCACGTCGTAAGTCTGCCGCCCCTGAATGGCCGCTTCAATACCTCGCAGGGGCTAATTTCTGTAGCTATAGTGCAACGAAGTAGATCGATCGAGTTCAAATCCGGGGTTTCTGTTCAGGAATAGAAGCAACCGAAGATAAATCAAAGTTGCAAAGCTTCATTGCCGGGCCATCCATGTTGAGTGAAGTTGGCCGTGATAACAGTTCCTTATGTTTGCGAGCAAAATCGGACTGGTGAATCCTCGGCTGCCGCTTAAGGAGTCCCGCCGGCCCCGTCCCGCCCCGCCCCGTCCCGCATGAGATCTGTTTGTGCACATATCAAATTACCTTATACAGCAGATCAAGCAACTTAGAAATAGAACTCGGCATACAAACTCTGGAGTAAATATCTATCCAAGTACAGGACTGTACCTATTATGATCAGCAAAGCCCTATCGTTATCGCCGTGATATTATCGGGGCTTCAGCCGCCTGTGGCTGAAACATGAGCAGTCTTCTTGATTACTAATAACTCCAGCCAACATTAACCAACATCAACCAACATCAGCCAACATCACTCGAGTGTCAAGGAAACTCTCCTGTAACTCGTATTTCTCTTTGTCTTTTCTTTGCTTTTCCTTCTAATCTTTTCTGTCTCTTTTTGCTTCTCCAAGATACCCATCTTTTTGCAATTCAATTATTCGATTCAGCAAATCGCAGTTGGAACACCAAGGGTCCAGGAATTCCTCCAAGTACCGGCTTCAGAGCTGGGAAGACTTTGCATTGACCGTGATAAATCTTGCAGCCAAAACAAACGTCAGGCAATCAGATGCGATGGGGTCACCGACACGTAGCGTTCAGTTCCACAGGGACGATCTGGAACCGGGGCTGTCCCCTGCCAAGACTGCAATCCGAGACCCCACCGGTGCTCTAGAGAAGCGTTTCTCCGCAGAACCTGAATCCGTACCCATAGCTCCCGCTTTATCGCGCCGCACAAGTCGACTTGCCACAACTCGAACTTTCCGAACAGTCGATGCTGTCCACCTACGGCCGAGTTGGCATGCAGGACAGGAACCAGGACTCGATCCCTCGAAACCAAATGGCGGAAGGGCGCAGACGCCTATACTGCATGAGGAATGCCAGATAACTGTTGTCGATTATAGTGAGGAGGATATAAGGGTACGAGACTTTGATAATGCGGGGCTCATAGATTTCTTAGAAGAACCTCAGGAAGATTGGATAAAATGCCGGTGGATTAATGTAAATGGATTGAGCTGGGACGTTGTTCAGGCACTTGGAAACCATAAAAATCTCCATAAGCTGGCGATTGAGGATTTGGTCAATACGAATAACCGGACGAAAGCGGATTGGTGAGTTTTGCGCATCTCTGGGAAAAGTTAGCACTAAGATACCTAAAGGTATACCGAACATATGTACATCGTTATGACGCTCCAAAAGCTCGTGCATCTACACGACGAGGAAGAGAGCTGCTCAGATTCAGATGAGGACACGAGAGATCCAAAGGCAGGGCGACGTGGAGGATCTTTGAGATTTCTACGCAGGGCGTTCCGGGGTTCTAAATCGGAAAGATCGGGTACAGTGGCCGGCAGTCATCCTACCACAAATGGATTCATCAAAGGCCATATGGAGGGTGTCGTCTCTGCACCCGCTCAAAAACTAAGAACAATACAAAGATATCATGGAGGTCCCAATCAAGAACGGATGGCTTATATGGAGAGGCATTCCCCATTGACGAAGAGGAAGTTGGCTGTCAGTGCCGAGCAGGTCTCAATATTCCTGACATCCGGTAAGAGAGACAATCTTACAAATATGACAGCTGCTGATCGCACTCATAGACAATACCGTTATTGCGTTCTTTCAAAATTCGGCAGATGATCTCGAAACTCCTATCCTGAGACGATTAAGTACCCCGGATACCATCCTCCGGCGATCCTGTGATGGTTCCATGCTCGTTCAGGCCCTCATCGATGGCATTGTAGACCTTGCTATACCTGTCGCAACTGCCTATCAGGATATCATTGGGGAATTAGAAATCAATGTCTTGACCGAACCGACAATTACGCACACGAGCAACCTCTACATCCTCACCAGCGAGATGACGAAAATACGCGGCTTCGTCAGCCCAGTCATCAATCTAATAAATGCTCTTCGAGACCACAAACATCCAACCGGTAATTCGCAGGGTAGCTACCGAGGGGATATGAAGAAGGATTCCAGCGTAACCATCAGTCCAATGGCTCAAACGTACCTCGGCGACGTCGAAGATCACATTATACTAATCACCGATTCCCTTGACAACATGCGACGGTCGTGTGACAACATGATCGACTTGATATTTAACACCATCTCCGCATATCAGAACGAATCCATGAAACAACTAACTGTCGTTACCATCATCTTCTTGCCATTATCTTTCATGACTGGATATTTCGGGATGAATATTACGGATTTCCCCAGCATTCATCACAAGGAGAGCTATTTCTGGATTGTAGCGGCGCCAGTGGGGTTTGCAGTAATTCTGTTTTTGATGAGGGATATGTTGAAGTGGTGGTTGACGAGGTTCATACAGAAAAGAGGCATCTCGAAGCATAGAAAGGGGAGGTTGCTGAGAGATAAGAACCTGTAATGAAACAGGTGCCACGCCGAAGGGAGTTACTAGCTGTTGAGTCTCCACAGCAAGTGTCGAGTACATAAATGCTGTTGACCAGCAGAGTTAAAAGATTCATCATGTGGCTTCACACGCGAGTGATTTTGTCGAACTTGACTACCTACGGCCCCACCGGGTCTTGTTACTGTTGCATTGCCCATGAGCGAAGAGCAAGGTCTCAGTTCGCAAAGGGGTAGCCCAGTTGAAATGCTATGCTATTTGTTGGGGGTTGAGAAAGCAGTGAATCGTAAGAAACCCTGATCAAGTTGATATCATAATACTCTCTTGCAACTACTAGAATACTTTGCTACTCTCTTCTCCTGCTTCTCTTTTTTCTTCAAACAGTTCTTTGGAACATGAGATCCACCGCGAGGACTGCCACTTCAACTGGATTTGCCCGCCGAGACGAAATGGTCTCACATCTTGGAGAAAGCCACCATCTGCAAGACATACTTGGGATGGTGCAGGCTATGAAAGTGCACTGGATTCATGTGCTGCTTATCAAAAACCCGAGTGTTTATTCTTCAGGAGATCTTCACGTGATGTGTCTGGACTCAGACCTTGTAGATGAAGCCTTTCAGGAAGAGAACACATTACTTATCCGAATCTTCTCTAATTAAATGGGGTTATCTCTATTCCTAGTCTTCAAAAACATAGGGGCTCGGGCTACTTTATCTATGTTAGCTACAGGTACAGAGTAGGTACAATCTAGGTAGACCCGTAAATCACGTGATCATTTTTGTGATCTTTCTTCCAGGAACAACTTTGGGTCTGGATCTAGAACAATCGATTATATCAATCATAGCCAGATCCTTAAAATGCGGGTCAGGATCTCCCCTTGGCCAGGGCAATCCGGGGTCTCCGTGACAGCATTGCCAAGATATCAATATTACCTACCTTGAGGTAACCGAATAATAGTCTTCCATCTTGCCGGAGACTACCGCCCTCGACCACTTACCTGGTTCGACGCCATAAAGCTTTTTTTCTGCCTTCTCTAGCTCTTGATCTCTCTCTCACGACTTTTCATGAGTACGTAGAGTTGCATGGCCAACGGTGCCTAGGAAGGAAGGATCACGTGCCCACGCCTTCTCACCGCGCCCATCCTTCCGCCACGCTAAGGAGCAATTCCTCATCGTCGACATACACACCCTCAATCCAGTCCGAGTCATTCCATCTTACCACCCAAGACAAGCCAAGCATTTCGATCCTTTGTTCCTACAGCGCAGGTAAAGTTGAGTCTACAATGGCTCTTTCAACCTGTTATCGCGAATCAGAAGGCCTACTGTACTCCGTATCGTCCTGCCGCCATCCCTGTTCACCCAAGTCCCCTGCCAAGAAGACATCCACCGTCGGCGGTAGGTATTCCCCACACGTCCCACGCCTTCTCGTCTCCCGCGGAGCTGTGCCTGATTAGGAAAGTCAATGGAAAGGCTCGCTATGCGATGGGAAAGATAGATGATAAACCTTCGTACAGGCAGGGGTTGCTATCAGGCACGGCGAGGGCGCGTTGTTGCATTCTAGCAATGAAGTACAATAGTAGTGACGACGGCGATGCCGCGATCAGTGGAGTCGAAGTGGGTATAAAGCTGCTTTTCCCTGCTCTCTCTTCCTTCTTTTCCTTACTGGTCTCTTCTCATCTAGGCTTCATTTTCACGAGAAGTCTCGTTTCAAGATTCCCCAGTTATACACTTTCAATTGCTCGTGTGGGATTTCATTCCAAATGCTGCTCCTCTCTCTCCTCCTGCTCGCCTCGGACTTGGTTTCCGCTCGGGGGGCGATTGGAAAGCGCAGCGTCGTATCCAGCCCCTCTCCTTTCCAAGCCGCAAGCTCGCTCACCCCATCCTCTCACGTCCTAAGTCTCACCAGCCAAAAATCAGCCAAAGGATATAACGCCCGCAGTGCCGCCCACCTCCTACACCACAGATCCTCGCCCGGGAACGTCCCCATTAGCACACACTCCACCGGGCTTCTCTCCCTCATAGAAGGCGAGGAATTTGCCACCAATATCACCTTCGGGACCCAAACATTTGAAGTCATCGTCGACACTGGCTCTTCTGACACCTGGCTCGCGGAAAGCGGGTTCCAGTGCGTGAATATAACTAACGCGGCGCCGCTTTCAGAGGCCGACTGCTACTTTGGGCCGACATTTGATGTGGATGAGACTTTTAGCCAGATCCCGGGAGAGAATTTTAACATCACCTATGGGGATGGGGAGTTCCTTACCGGAATTATGGGGTATGAGAATGTGACACTGGCGGGCATTGAGGTCCGTCAGGAAGTGGCGTTGGTGAACTATGCAGCGTGGGAGGGAGACAGCACAACCAGTGGCTTGGTGGGCTTGGCGTACCCTTCTTTGTGGGTTACCCTTCCTCTTCAATTTGCTCCATCTATGTTTTCTTGAACTCAGAGATCGAATACCATACAAAGAGGCAAATGTGGCTGACAAAAAAAACAAAAAACAGAACGAGTGCCTACAATGGCACCAATCCCTCCAATGACACCGTCCAGGAAGTCTACAGCCCAATCTTCAAAACCATGTATACCCAAAATCTTACTGCCCCTCTCTTTTCCCTCGCCATCCTTCGCGACGTCTCTGGACCCTCTGGCTACCTTGCTCTGGGAGGTACTCCGCCCGTAGACTTCGTGGAGGATTTCACCAGCACGCCCATTCTGATTACGACAATCACCGGCTATCCCAAGACCTATGGCTTCTACACCATTAAAGTTGATTCCATCGAACTGGGCAAGAGTTCCCTCGCAGGAGGAACATACATCGTCGATTCAGGCACTACTCTCAACTACGTGCCGACCCCTGTCGCCAATGCTATCAACCGTGCATTCTCCCCTCCTGCCGTTTATAACGAGGATGAGGGCGCGAATGTTGTGGATTGCAAAGCGAAAGCTCCAACCCTGGGAATCAAGATCGCGGGTACCGTATTTTATATCAATCCGCTTGATATGATTCTGCTTGCGGGGACGGATGCAAAGGGGAATGATATCTGTATATCGGGTGTTGTTGACGGAGGAAATGACCCTTCGGAGGATGTGTATATTCTAGGAGATGTCTTCCAGAAAAATGTGGTGTCCGTGTTTGATATTGGCGCGACAGAGATGAAGTTTGCGGCGAGAGAGTATTACCCCAGTAATGATCCCTATTGATGAAGTCTCGAAGAAGGAGAAGGGCAAGGAGAATAATAAGTAGAAAAAGTAACTTGCTTAGTAGACAATAAGAAATATACATAATTTCATCTCAGCAATTCGTACAAAACCCGATCTCAGACGAATCAATATCTAGTCTGAAGGCTTCGATATCTGTGGCGCACACCCGCTTCAACTATTCTCATTTTATCTTTCGACGGCATATGTAAAATTTATGATCAAGCAGTAGAAAATTCCGAGCTCACAAAAAGAGATGTATATTCCAAGATCTGGTGAATGTGAAAAGAACTCATCCTATTATTTTTTGGAGAAACCCCACGTGATGAGGCAGTGACGCTTGCCCCGCTTGTTTCTGGCCTCGTTTCCTGTTGGACTTAGAGCCAAATTCAACCTCAATCTCATTCAGATGCATCAAAATCCAAGACGACAAAGAAGAAGTTCCTCGCAATATACGACAGTCATAGATGTGGTCTGTTTTTACTAAGCGCTTGGCCAACAATCCACATCTATCTAGCATCACTACTCGAACATTTAAACGTCCAGGCATCTCTGAATCAGCCAAGATGTCCAGTCCAACGGCCTCAACGCGATTTCTCGTGATTTCTGATACGCATAACTTCCAATTCAAAGACGCCATCCGGGTGAGGGGGTCTTTCCTTTCACCGGTCCCCAAGTGTGACGTTCTTCTCCATTGTGGAGATCTTACAATGATGGGCGGCGTCCCAAAATACAAAGAGCTGCTCGAGATGTTGAAGGAAATCCCAGCGGAACTCAAACTCGTCATAGCTGGAAACCACGATCTTGATCTTGATGGAGCATGGTGGAGGAGCCACCCGGATAGAGCTAAATCACCCGCTCAGCACGAACAAGCAGTAGAACTTATGACAGGACCACTGGCAAAGGAGGCCGGAGTCACGTATCTCGAAGAAGGGATCCACTCCTTCACTCTCCAGAACGGCGCAAAACTCACAGTATATGCTTCTCCCTGGCAGCCTGAATTTTGCGACTGGGCTTTCAATTACGATCGCGATCAAGATCGCTATAATACTTTGGAACATGTTGCACCGGGAGTTACCTCGGTGGCGGAGAATCCTATCCCTGATTTCGGCACTGTCGATGTTATCATGACACATGGTCCGCCGAAAGATATTCACGACTGGACTGCTCACGGCGGTGCTGGATGCGACAATATCTTACGAGCCGTCAGCCGAGCTCGACCCCGTCTTCACTGCTTCGGACACATCCACGAGGGCTATGGAGCCAGCCTGGTCACATGGAACGCGGACAAGAAAAGTATTGGAGCTAATGCTATCCTCGATAAAACCGAACAGGAGAATTCTTACCCGGAGCCAAGCAAATTTCCGGTTACGTTTGGAAAGGAGACTCTCTTCATCAATGCCGCGATTATGGATGTCCGTTACAGACCAGTGAACGCGCCTTGGCTGGTAGACTTGGATCTTCCCAAGGTTATGGCATAGACCTTCAGATTGAGTGATCGCTATACTTGAGCATAAAGGACGTCATTCGAGGGATGAAATAAAAGATACCCATACAGTATTGAGAGTCTGGGTTGCCACTGGAGATGGTGACCCAGAATACAAAAGCCCCCTCTGTATCGTTTGTCACGTGATACTGGCTGGCAGGGGAGAGAAGTTTTGTTGCACATCGCATTGGCGCCTGTCCTGGGAGTGTTGAACATTTGTTTTGATGGCAGTGAGATTAGCATCATGTGGCACGAGAGGGAGGGAAGTTTTGTTGCACATCGTATCCGTGATGATGTCGGGAGCGTCAACGTTGGTTTTGATAGCGTGATGATTAGCATCACGTGATAAAGCTGCCCCGCCCCCTTTTACCCCTATCTCTCACCGGAGGCGCTTCTCACATCACAACTATACGATCCTTAAAGTTATGAATATCGCAGAAGTACAGAATAGCGATTAACAAGCACACCCGACTGTTACACAAGCGATGCAGTAAGCAAGCCAGCCTCCGTTACTAATCTGTCTGGGGGTTGATTGGACATCTCTGACGCCATTCGGGGTAGGTAGCTTACGTTTATTTCGGCTTCAAACCTCAGTTCGTTATTAAATTCATAGTCAAAGACTCATATAAAATTAATCAACGTCGCCTGGGATCAATAATTGCTTGACACTTGAATGATTCAGCAACTCCTCTTTTCGATCCCTCTCAATAATGGCGCAGGCTACAGACTCGAAGCCTGATGATAAAAGCATCTACAAATTCGCCAGTTCAGATGGGACATTTAAGCGTCAAGTCTCGTCTTTCAGGTCGTGGATCTCAGAGGAGCCTGGAGCGAGATTTCCTCCTGAGAAGGATCGTTATGTATATCTATTGTTCTCCTTTTTTTCCTCCTCAGTTGTTATTTTCAATGTATACTGTTTTATTTCGTCGAGGATGACTTTCACGGTTTGATTGTTTTACAGGTGGTGGCTAATAACGAGAGATGGGTAGGTCTTATATATCAATTTTGGATGCCCGTGGGCTTCGAGAGCGAACCTTGTGAGGACGCTGAAGGGCTTGGAGGAGGTGATCCAGATGGTTGTCCTGGATTGGGAGCTGTTTCCTGAGGGGTGGTAGGTGTCTACTTATTCGTTTTGGATGTTTGAGTTGGTATCCTTAGAACGCTTTGCTGCTCTTCAATGATATTCCCTCTGAAGATGATTTGCTGCTTTCTTATTGGTGTTTGGTGTCACTTGTTATTCAGTTTGTTGTTTATGCCAACACGGTTACTTGCGCACTCTCAGTACCCGGTTCTGAGCAGACAACATTTTTTATTTCTTTAGCCTTCTTCTAGTTTAAGGCCCTTATAACTTGGAAACATTATCTTTGGGGCTCTGAGTTAGAGATAATTGCTGATTACCCCAGGTCATTCACCGGTCGCGATGGAACAGACGCAGCCGACCCTCTATATGGTTTCAAACGCCTCTCAGACCTCTACTTCAAAGCCGATCCTTCATATTCAGGGCGCTATACCGTCCCCATCCTTTGGGACAAAACCCACCAGACAATAGTCTCCAACGAATCCTCCGAAATCATCCGCATGTTCTACAGCTCCTTCGATGCTTTCCTCCCACCCTCCCTCCAAGAAAAGAACAAACCATCTGGCGGTCTCTTACCCCCGAATTTGCTCCCCCAAATTGACGAGATGAACACCTGGGTCTACGACATGATAAACAACGGCGTCTACAAAGCCGGCTTTGCTACTACCCAGTCAGCCTACGAGGATGCCGTCCGCGCACTCTTCGCCTCCCTTGACCGCATCGAAGCCATCCTTGCCTCTTCCCCAGGTCCCTTTCTATTCGGGCCGCACATCACAGAGGCCGATATCCGACTCTATCCAACAATCGTGCGGTTTGATGTCGCGTACTACACCCTGTTTATGTGCAATCTGAAGATGATCCGGTACGAGTACCCGGCGATTCAGAAATGGCTGCTGCGGCTATTTTGGGACGAGAGCGAGGAGACGAGGGGTGCGTTTAGGGCATCGACGCATTTCGATGCGGTAAGTCTGCTAATCATCTGATGGAGGAGACGGGGCTTAGGGGGGAGAGGGGGGTAGGGGGAAAGATCGCGGCTAATGTATGAGTGCTAGATCAAGAAGGGATATGCTCATACCCCAAGACGGCAGATTGTTCCTTTGGGGCCAGAGAGGGATATACTGCCTCTGGAAGGCTGAGTAGGAGGTTTGAAAGGTTCTGCAGATGGATACCTCCTAAAGTTAGGGGATGGGATCACGGGCAAGGTAAGCTAATTTTGTCTGCGTGAACGGTAACTCAGGCAGGGTGTTTGCTCATCTCATGGGGAAATGATTTCTATTTGGCTGCTGATGAAAACAGCGGATGTTATTACATGGCAGAGATCCTGAATACTCTTGAAGATTTCATTGTATCAGCCATATGTTGAGGAGAATCTGTGTCACAACGTTCTATAATTGGGTAATCGTTCATTACTATATACAATGGCAGTATCATACTGTTAAGGGCATTCGATAGCTGCAGAAAACTACTGGAATCGGATTCATACAGTCAATGAGTACTTGGATCTTAGCTCTTCAACAGGGTCATTCATTATATGCAAGTTCTTCGATGGTTCACGAAACCATTTAGTTCCACATCCGGACACATCTCCGAAGGAGGTTTCATAAAGTCATGACATTCTCCTAAAAAGCCACACACATATCAATCTGAATACCTAGCCGCTCTTATCATCGCAGCTAGGAAATGTATTCCATAACGGACCCCGTCAATAATAGCGATCTCACGCGGCAAAATTCTCTTCAGCATCCTCTCCAAAGGCGCCATTCCCGCACATCCAAGAATGATACAACGCGCGCCGCTCTCAATCAAAGTGGTGGTGCACTCCTCAATCCTCTTCAGAACCACATCTTGCGGCTTCGACTCTAATTCCAACACTCCCAAGCCCGTGGCAATAACACCAGCGCTAGAACGCTGTGCCCCTAATGCAAGAACCGACGAGGTCAGAATAGGCTGCCAGGCCATCGCCGTCGTCACAATCCCAAACTTCCTCTCCATCATCGCAGCCGCCTGCAACGAAGCCTGGAATATCCCCATGATCGGCACATCTGTGTTCTCACGCAGGATCGGCACTAGCGGATGATCCGAGAAGCAGCAGATGAGAATACCGTCCACCGGAGATTCCGCTATCCGGCCTAGGATTTTGGGGAGGAGAAGCGCTGCTGATTGCACAGAATGCGTCTGGTTCTCAATGGCTGGCGGACAGCCGGGCACGTCTGAGCCATCGACGAACTCGAGTGATATGTTTGGGAGTCCGGAATAGAGATGTGCCAAATTTTCGGTCATGGAGCTGGTGGAGTTGGGATTCACCAGCAGCAGACGACAATCAGCAGATCCGGACGAAGCCATGATTCAGGCCTTCTTCTGCCAGCATGAAGTTGTTGCCTTGTGTAAAGACGTTAGATGCGCGCAGGCATCTAAGCAAAGTTTCTTGCAGGAGTGGGCATAATAATCGAAATCATATTTATATCATGACTAGGGTGTAGTCATGTGACTAGCAATACCTGACTCGCAAGTGGGATCTCCCACTTCCCCACATCTTCCGTCGCTACCCGTCACTACCCCTGCACAACGACGTCGTCGTTCTCCACCTGTTTACTTCCCCAGACTTTCCGCACCTCTCTCCCCTCTGCTTCTTCCTTCACTTCTGCCATGATCTCGTAGCATTACTTTTCGATTATTGTTTTTCTATCATGTATTTCTTGCTCAGCGCGTGCTTTACCCTCTGTATAGGGGCCGCACAAGCTCTCAAAGGTCCAGATTACGAGTCTCTGCCACTCGACACTATCTTTCCTGGGCCTTGGGAACGCTATATTCGGGCACCAGTCAATAAATCGCACATAGCGCCAGTCAAAATCTTTAACTTTGAGGGCGCAGTTGCAGGTGTACAAACGGTTTTGGAGGATGCGGAAGTCGGCGCAAATGGGGGCATTTCATGGGTAATCGGCCCTGGCGGTCTGGTTACTTTTGAATTCGAGGAGAATATCTCTGGAAGGTATGCGCCGATGTGATTGGTATAGTGTGAATTGTGCTAATGGGACAAAAGGGTGTGTTTTGAGGTTGATAGCCTCAAGAACGAACCCTACCTCGTGTTATCCTACTCTGAATCTCCCTTCTTTGCCGGTCGCGAACCAGATGCCACAGGCGACAGACAAGCCAGAGACTTGCCTCTGAAATTCTTGATTAAGCACACAGGATTGAATTGCGTTGCAAAGGGCTATAATCGGGGCGCCTTTAAGTACCTGACAGTTTTCATGCCGGAAACTGACGTGCCGACCGAAGAGAACGGATTCTGGCACGATGGACATTCTGCGCCGCAAAGGGGTGGCATGGTGGAGCAGAATCCTTCGTGGTACAGCTCAATTGGACAAAAGATACTTGGACGAAATCGACCGCGGAGAAGTGACATGGCGCAGGAACCTGCTGTCACCATTTCGTCTGTCTGGGTCAATTGCACGGCATTTCCTTCAAATCCAAATGGGCGCGCCTATACAGGATATTTCGAGAGCTCCTCGCCTCTTTTGAACCGTATCTGGTACGCGGGTGCCTGGACTTTGCAGCTCTCAACCATTGATCCACAAGAGGGAGGATCAATCATCGACTTCAATAGAAATTTTGACCACAACAACGCACCACAAGGAGCGTGGTATTCCAATTACACGGTCGCGAATGGTACTGTAGTCACCACCGATGGTGCCAAACGAGATCGAATGGTCTGGCCGGGAGACATGACTATTGCGGTTCCAGGAATTGCTGTGTCGACTTATGATATGTTGGCCGTAAGAAATGCCTTGGATACAATCTACGAGCATCAATATTCTGATGGGTCTATGCCTTACGCTGGGCCTCCAATGGGTGCATTTGGAGAGTTTAGTGACACGTACCATCTTCATACGTTAATGGGCACATATTTCTATATTCTCTATTCTGGAGATTTCGACTGGCTGAAGAGAAGATGGCCATCTTACATTCAAGCCCTGGAGGTTAGCATCAACAAGGTGGATGAATTTAATCTCCTCTACGTCTCTTCACCTTTCGACTGGAACCGTGCAGGTATGACAGGGCACAATATAGAAGCTTCATCCCTTCTCTACGAAGTCCTTGGCAACAGCATCAAGCTTGCTTCCTGGCTAGGTGAAAACATCCAAACCAGCGGCGAAAGTTGGGAGACAACTAGGTCACGTCTCAAGAAGGGAATTTCGACCCTCTACTGTCCGCAAGAAGGTCTATTCTCTGACAACAGAGGCCGACGTGGTTGCTTCGGGCCCGAAAAAGTCCTTCCTCAGGATGGGAATTCCTGGGTTTTAATGTCCCGAGCCGTCTCCCCGTCTCTTGCCTACAATGTATCTGAAAACCTAAGAGCGCGCTGGATCAAGTATGGCGCTCCCGCCGTCGAATTCCCCAACGTAATCTGCCCCTTTGCCTCATCCTTCGAACTTCTCGGCCACATCGGCGCCGGAAACCCCGATGCTGCTGTCGAGCTGATGGAACTGATGTGGGGCTACATGCTCGATGGCCCAGGGATGACGAATTCCACCCTCATAGAAAGCTACCGGATTGATGGCTACATTCATTATCCGCTCTATTGGTCTGATGCTCGGAACTCACACGCGCACGGTTGGTCGGCCGGTCCTACCACCGTTTTGATGCAGGGCATTCTGGGTATCAGCTTAACTAGCCCTCTGGGCCGGACATGGAAGATCGACCCTAATTTAACCAAGTGGTTAAGTTCCGCGCAAGGCGGCTTCGCGACCAAGCTAGGTAAATTCGAGGTGCAGATATCTCTCATGAGGAGCGCGAGTACAGGGAGGAGAGTAGAAGTACTTGTAGTGAGCGTCCCTGATGGGACGAGTGGGAGTATTGTCTGGGCAGGAAGAGAACAGTCCATCGATACGCGGGAGCAAGGGACGGAATTTCATTTCTTCCGCTATCTAGATGGGAGTCAAGCAGATCAGGCCCAGATTTGGAGTTTCGGGGACGCAGAAATGGAGTTTGTGAATGATGATACGTGGGTTAAACCTCCGGTTGAAGAGAGGCCAGAGGGAGTCGTCGATTGGGAGGCGTTAGAGCGAACTTATGCTCTTGAGGCGTTGAAATGGGATAGTATATTGAGCAAGTACTCGTAGATCTATCTTAAATTTCAATTTGGCTTATTGCCATAAAATCGATGACCAAGAGAACGCCACTATTCTCAGTGCTGACTAGATTACGGATATCGGCTGTATGGAGGCGGGCAGTGACAAGCGTGGGCTATGAACGAGAATGGGATTGCCCATATGGATATTTACATATTATGCTTCATCAAGTTCTTTGATGATGGATGAAAAGAATCAAACTGATTAAGAAGTTTGCAAATCGTGATTCATTGGATCTTCGTTATCTACCAGGTAAAAGCAAGCCAGTAGTTCAAATGCACCCATTCCATGTTCCACGCCTGAAACTCCACTGCAAAACGCTTATTCAACTTCGCAAATAACTTGGTGTCGAAGTCCAAGCTGCTGCAGCAATGACAATGACCACTTTTCATCCCAGGATTCAGTTTCCTGCGCCTTGAATTCCATGACAAAATATTCATTCACCATCTAAGCAAAATGTACGCCGTAGTGCTGATGCGGCGACCTAAAGAAATTCTCATTCCCTCTTCCATTGCTCGAACTCGGCCTCGAGATGTTCCTTGAGTCTCGCAAACCGATTACCGAAGTTCATGCCGCAGCGCCAGCACTTCATATCACTTTCCAAGTAGCGCTCCCGAGTGGGGTGCCTCCTAGCATCGTCCCTCATCAGTGGGAAGACGGCCAGGTCAACAAAGAAAGGTGTGGAGAAGGAATTGTAGTGTTTTCTGTGCTTAAGACTCTTCGAGAAACGGTCAACACTTATGACGTGAATGTGCAGGTGGTTCATGGAAGGGGTGGCGTGGACTCCGACTCTCACTTCCTTCTCCCAGTCTCTGCCACTGGGCAATGGCTGTCCGTCCTTGAGTGCAACCTCGCCATTCAAAACTGCCTCGCGCTCCTTGTCTTGAGCAGAGAAGGATCCGTACTTGCGTTGGAGTTCCTTCGCAACAAGCTTCTTGAGTTTGTCGGCATTTTCGCGGACAGAAGCGAGGAATTGGGGGTTTTCGAAGGCCTTGAATGGGTGCATTCTCTGGTGTTCAATAGAACGGGGTAGAAGGAGGCAGTGAACGCTGGACTTCGGATACTTGTCATAGATTGCGACAAAGTCATCATCGTAGAATATGATTTCAGACTTGGACTGGCTTTTCTTTTCGGGGTAGTTGATGTAGCTGCCAAGTTCGTCGCGTCGATCAAACTTGCCGGCGCCTACGCGGGAGGATCTTAGAGAGCGGTCAGGAGAGGATGTAATAGAGGCATTTTTTGGTTTAACTAGTAACCTGTTAGAAGCCACCCAGGAAGAGAGACAGTACGTACTTACAGTGGCTGAAGGGCGACGACGAGGCTGCCGACGAGGCTGATGTGGCGATGCCAGGGCTTGATGAAATGTCCGACATTCCGTCTTGAGTTTGCTCCACAAGCATAATTGGATATCAATGCAGTAGTGGTTGAATTGTACTTTTAGAAGCGACGTGATCGTGTTGTCGATCTACTCCTCGTGAAGGAGGAGAGTTGTTGTGAAGGGTGTCACGGGATAAATATGGGGCGCCGCGGAAAGTATTTTATATCATCACAACCCCTCGTGCCGGAGTTTACCCAGACGGTTAGCCGAATGTCAGCCTCGCGCTAAAAAGAACTTTCCCCACGACATCTCAATAGCCTTCTCGCCTTTGCTGTGTTTGTTCCCAGGAGTACATGGATTACCACCCGACACATCGCATTGCGACCAACGATGGTCAAAAAGGGGCAGTCAAAAGGGGCAAAGCCTGGCGGAGGTCAGGGAGCGAGCAAATCTTCCTCTACCACACCCGCGGCTGACGACAGTTTCATTGTCTTCTCCAACTCTGACAAGGATCCCAAGCCAAAAAGATCAGCCCAATCCTCTGCCGCGGGGTCGTCTGGTAAGGATGGCCCTGCGCTTCTGGACGAAGCACCCAAGAAACCCGATGTCAAGAAATTGATTGGGGGCGCGTCTTGGACAGGCAAATTGCCTGTAAACCTGCTTTCTGAACATTGCCAGAAGCAGAAATGGGAGAAACCAGAATATACAATGGTAAAAGCTCAATTCTTTCCTATGATAAGCTGCTAATCATTTCTGCCTGGCAGTCTAAAACCCCGGAAGGGTACTCCTCGATGGTAATCCTCAAAGCCAAGAACCCAAAGACCCAAGAGCTTACAACTCTCCCTCCCTTCAAACTTCCCCCGTCCCATAAACATCTCGCGGCGAAACCTACAGCTCTCGAAGCTAGACATTTCGCTGCTACGTACGCGCTGTTCCGGGTTTGCAGTATGCGAAATATACACATGATGCTTCCTCCCGATTATCGAAATTTATGGAAAGGAGATTTTGAGGCTTTGAAGAAAGAAGATGTGAAAGAAGGGAGGGGATGGATGTATGAAGCAGACCCCTTTGCGGCTCTTCGGGAGCGGGAGGAAGCGAAAGCTGTGATGGAAAAGAAGCGAAAGGAGCGAGAGCAGGAGAAGGCGAAGGCAGCAAATACACCTGGAGCACCTGGCGCAGCTGGGTTAGCTCTGAGGAATAGCGGTCCAGGTGGTGCTGGTTCTGGGGCCCATAATATCCACAGGGGTTGGACACGGGTACCAAAAATTGAAATGGGTAAACGGACACGTTCTGCTGTCGAGGCTCTAATACGGAAACACGCTATTTGGAATCCTCATGATGTTAAGATGTCAGAATTTCAAAGACATTCCATTATCAATGAGTTCAAAAATCTCGAATTCCGGCAGAGTCATATTGAGGAAGCCGTGGAGATTTGTAAGGATCGAGAAGAGACTTTGGAATGGCTTCTTATCCATGTGCCTGAAGATGATCTTCCCAGATGGGCTTTGCCTGAGGGATATGTAGCTGGCATCAGCATGGCGAGCAACGATCTCAAGAGAGAAGGCGCGATCAAACGACTAGCTGAAGCAGGCTACTCTCAGGATCTTTGCAAGCAAGTGTACGATGTCAGTAATGATGAGGGGAAAGCTGCAGAGGCTTTGCAGCACATTCTGATATCTAGTGGACAAGATCAACCTCCTCCTGAACCCGAAGAGTCTTGGGCATCTGAAGACTCGAAAGAAGTTTCAGAAAGCATATGGGAAGAAGAACAAGCAAGCCTTCATGCTGTATTCGGGGAGAATTATTCCCGCCCTTCGAAAGATATTTGCAGAATTGCCTTTAAGCCATCAAACCGCGGAAGGAATGCCCCGGTTGAGCCAATTATCCAATTCAGACGGACTCCAGAGTACCCCCAGAAGGTGCCAGTCATCTCGGTTCATGCCACAATTCCGGCTTATATACGTCTTAGCATCCTGAAGAGATGCATCTCCCACGCAATGGAAAATTACCTTGGTGAGCAGATGCTATTTTTCCTCATCGACTGGGCGGAACAGAATTTCTACAGTATTCTCGAAAAACCTGGGAAGCTACGAGATGTATCAGCGGCTGCATCCACGGTTAGTGAGGTGCAACCGATCCGACGAAAGAAACAACATATCCCCAGACATCCCAGACCGATTACATGGACACCCAATCAAAAGAGTAAAGATGATTGGATAAGGCGACAAGTCGATCCAAAATTACAGTCTCAGATTCAAGCAAGGAGGACACTGCCGGCTTGGGAGATGAAAGAGACCATAGTTGATGTGGTGAACTCGCATCAAGTCACGATCATCTCTGGTGAGACCGGTTCAGGTAAATCCACCCAGTCAGCCCAGTTCATACTCGACGATATGTACCAGAGGGCTTTAGGTGAATGTGCAAAGATCATGTAGGCTTTACATTACCCCTTCTATGATGACAGCTAACCAGGTCCAGTTGTACACAACCTCGAAGGATTTCGGCTCTTGGGTTAGCGGACCGAGTGAGCGATGAACGTTGTTCTGCGGTAGGTCAAGAAGTTGGTTACATCATCAGAGGAGAATCGAAAACATCGCATAACACTAAAATCACATTCGTTACTACCGGTGTGTTGCTCCGAAGACTGCAAACTTCTGGAGGTAGTAGTGACGATGTTGTCGCTTCTCTCGCGGATATCAGCCACGTGATAATTGATGAAGTTCACGAGAGAAGTCTTGACACGGATTTCTTGCTAGTGCTTCTAAGAGACGTGTTGAAGAAGAGAAAAGATCTCAAGCTCATTCTAATGAGTGCCACTCTCGATGCTGGGGTCTTCGAAGATTATTTCAAATCAGAAGGCAAGGTTGGCAGAGTTGAGATCAGCGGCCGGACATATCCTGTCGAAGATTATTATCTCGACGATGTCATTCGAATGACGGGTTTTAATGCTGGCCGTGGTGGAAAACCACAGGACGACGATGCGGACACGGCTGGAATGGACTCTGATGTAAAGGCGGCGATCCAGAGCCTCGGAATGCGAATCAACTACGATTTGATAGCTCAAACCGTGAAAGAGATCGATGCAGAACTTACCCATCTGAAGCAAGATGGTGGTATACTTATTTTCTTACCCGGCGTGATGGAAATAAGCAGAGCACTCGATCATCTCCGATCGATACCCAACCTTCATGCTCTACCCCTTCATGCCTCGCTACAATCTTCCGAGCAACGCCGCGTATTCCCTCATGCACCATATGGGAAGCGAAAAGTAGTGGTTGCAACTAACGTTGCGGAAACGTCCATTACTATTGATGATATAGTAGCAGTGATTGACACTGGCCGCGTCAAGGAAACATCCTACGACCCTCAAAATAACATGCGAAAATTGGAAGAAGTCTGGGCATCTCGCGCGGCATGTAAACAGCGACGAGGGAGAGCCGGTCGAGTGCAGGCTGGAAAATGCTACAAACTGTACACGCGAAATGCTGAGATGACAAAAATGGCAGAGCGGCCAGAGCCGGAAATCAGACGTGTACCGCTTGAACAGCTCTGCTTGTCAGTTCGTGCAATGGGTATCAAGGACGTCGGTGCTTTTCTGGCAAGCGCTCTGACACCGCCAGAGAGCATGGCGGTAGATGGGGCTATGGATTTGCTTGGCCGGATGGGAGCACTCGACGGTGATGACCTTACTGCCCTCGGTCAACACTTGAGTATGATCCCGGCCGATCTACGGTGTGGCAAGTTGATGGTCTACGGAGCTATGTTTGGGTGTCTGGATTCCTGCGTTAGCATTGCTGCTATACTAACGATCAAGAGTCCTTTTGTCAGCCCGCAGGAAAAGCGAGAGGAGGCAAAGGCTGCGAGAGCGAAGTTTGCTGGAAACCAGGGAGATTTGATCGGTGATTTGAAAGCGTTTCAGCAATGGGATGAGATGATGGAGAACCGAAGGTACTTCTTCTCCTTGTTATATCCCACTATAAATGTACTAACAGATCACAGCATTCGACAAGGAGAAGTACGAAACTGGTGTTCCGAAAACTTCCTCTCCTACCAAACCCTCTCCGATATTTCCTCCACCCGCGTCCAATATATCTCTTCCCTTCGCGAGCTCTCCTTCATCTCATCTTCAGCACCACCTCCCTCTAACCGAAACGCAAATACTTCCCTGTTGCGATCCCTAATTGCCTCCGCTTTCAACCCCCAAATCGCACGAATCGACTTCCCCGATAAGAAGTTCGCCGCCTCCATTTCTGGTGCCGTAGAGCTTGACCCCGAAGCCAAAACAATCAAGTACTTCAACCAAGAGAACGGGCGCGTCTTCGTCCACCCCTCTTCCACCGTCTTCGATGCCCAGACCTTCCCTGGTAACTCCGTATACATGGCATACTTCAATAAGATGGCGACGAGCAAGGTTTTTATCCGAGATCTGACCCCGTTCAATGCATATACGGCATTGTTATTTTGTGGGGAGATTACGCTCGATACCCTAGGTAGGGGTCTGGTGGTAGATGGCTGGTTGAGGTTGAGAGGCTGGGCAAGGATTGGGGTGTTGGTTAGTAGGTTGAGGGGGATGTTAGATGAGGTGCTGCAGAAGAAGATCGATGACCCGGGGGCAGAGATGGGAGGTGATGAAGTGGTTAAGCTGGTGAGCCGGTTGGTGGAGTTAGATGGTTTGGATCAGTAGAGTACACCACGTGATCTACCGTCGTGATCTACCGTCTTGGATCATGAGTACCTTAAGCCTTGGAATTGGATATTGGCTTAGATAGAATCAGGTCAATAATCCATCACAATACTTAGATGTTCGAAATCAAGACGGGGTAAGTAGAATCTTCAGTGAGGTATAGATGCATTAATATACAAGCACCCGAATTTGAAGCAATCTAAATACCATTTGAACCAGACACCGGTCTGCTCTTTGTGCTTCCAGCTATTTATTCCCAATGTCCGAAATCCCAATGTTCGGATACCATGAACGCCATGAAAACAGAATCCCCTCTCACCTACCTACAACACCCTTCTTTCAAACTTGTGAGGAATTCCCCACCGGTTTCGGGGCAAAGCCAATCTGGCCATGTGAAGGGTATTTCGAATCCACACTTCCGTTCTCGTCACCAAGGTCGAAGACGACCAGCTGACTCATCATGAACACGTCTCCCAGGATAGCATCCCACGCCTGGCCGCTCCCGGCGTTGTTGATGCCGGCGTGGCACATGCCGTCGTTGTTGCCGGTTGGGTTGCCGATGATGTACTCGCCGGGAATGACGGCCTGGTATGGCTTGGTGCTGATGCCGCCGGAGCCGCCGGGTTGCACGAGGGTGCTTACTGGCTGCGGGGGCGTGAAGGTAATGGTGAGGTTGGGGAGCTTGGCGGCTGCCGGGTCGCAGGGTACGAGGTAGTTGCCGGTAGATACTAGCTTTGCGCTGGGAACGGCGGAGAAATATTCGAGTGTGGCTGCGGGGGGCAACAGGAGGTTGGTAGTGCCGGAATCTATTGATAATATTTCAGTACAGTGTATGAAATTTCAAAAATTTAAAATACTGACCGATCAGGACCTTCCAACTATCAGACTTCGAGGCGTTGGTGCCAATGGCGTACCCGCTGGTTTCCACTATCCAATAATTCCAATTACGAACAGGCATATAGGTAATTGGAGTGCTGAATCTCGCCTGGTCGATGTAGCCAAAATTGTACACGCCCTTCTGCTTATAATTAAGGTCGGCAGTAAAGAGACCCTCTGCCAGCTGCGGGTACGCATTCTCTATAAATGTCATTTGTGGATCAGGATGGCCCCATCGGAAAAGGCCCAAGAACCCGCCGCTTTTAGTACTAACTTTCTAGGCGTTAGTTCAGGATATAGCAATGGAGATTAAGTGACTGGAAGTCGAAAGAGGGGCCTCACCGGCGTTCAATGCGGATTTTGTTGCTGAGGGGCTTTGTGGGTGGCCGTTGTTGACCGACTTGCTGCCACTGTTAAATCCTACGCCCATGATACCATCCAGCCCGTGGTCCGCAGCGTCATTTGCGTCTACGCTGGTAGCGCACCCGACAGCTTGGTTCGCTGTGATGCTTCCAGTTGTAACTCGATCCATGTAAACGTCGCCCTTGGCATAACCCGAGCCGTACTTCACATCGAATGAGGACCCATCCAGTTTTGTGCCTGTCGATGGGTTGTACAGATCATGTCCCGACCCCACTTTAGCACCGTCACAAAACAACCATCTGTAAAGTGTATCAGCTAGAGTTGATGCTAAAATGGTAGAAACAGGTCTTACAAGTCGGCAGATCCGGTGTCCAATTGCACATTAAACGTTTTGTTCGCGATCTGGATTGGAATCAACCACTCAATGCCTTGTGCCAACGTTGTCACTACAGACGTCGTACTTGTTCCTCTTTTAAGCAAGCCAGGTCCTCGCAGAGAACGGTCGTCCACAGGAGCTGCAAACCCAAGACCAGTAAGCAAGGACAAGATAAAGATATGGCGGTTCATTTTCACTTGTTTTTTGCGACGGCGACGGTCGCGATAAACGAGATGAAAACGTAACTTAACGTAAGATTCAGGGAAATTCTAGGCGCGAGAGATGGTGGCATACTTAAGGAAAATTTTTGATCCTGTCTACGGTGGTGCCGAAGGAGGCAACCCATGGTTGGATCATGGATTCAAAGGATGATTTTGAGCAAGCTCTTCGAGCCCAGCCTCGGATGCCACATTTTAATGTGGCTACCAATCAGATAGTTGTGGGAAAAGACTTAAATGGAGATGCTCGCACTTGTCGAGAGGGTATTCTTGAAGCGTGATATTGCAATGAGAATATAGGGTGATAGCGTTCAGAGTCAACACCGATGTACCAAGGGCTTAAGACTTAAGTCTTCTGATCAGTCCTGCAGGGCACAGAACCCAGAGTTGTAGCCGTCTGTACTTCTGATATCTTTTCTTCCAATCAAAATCGAGTTGTCTCTCGCACAGACACATTTCCCTCTCATTAGAACTTAGAATTCGGGACCAGCATTATGATGGAATCTGATTCCCTATTGTCGTCCGCGGCGGAAAATTTAGAAGATAGACAAAGGCAGGGCGTCGCGAAACTGAAGCCACAAAGGTGCCAGGAGCAGTCTTCCATTAGGATTCTTGTCGGGAGGTTTAAACCATGAGATGCAATGAATTGCATTGGGAGGAGTGAAGATGAAGAGAGGAAGAGGCTGAGGCTAAGGCTGACGGACTTCCCGCTCCGCTGCTAAAAATATCATCTCGCTTAGATATGTCACGTGCTGATAGAGGGGTTCCGGAGGATTACAATAGCAAGCGTCGAACATCATCGGGTTCGCAGCTATGTATGTAGGTACTGTAAGTCTGTAACTCCATAAGGCAGATAGTTATAGGTACAGGTAGGTAGGTAAAGTAGCTAAGCATATACAGGTCTGTAACCTGACACCCTCCGAGATCTTTTGACACCCCCGGAGCCGATAGCCGCTACAAACTATGTAGTGCACCGGCTCGAACAAGTCAAATAAACCAGAATATCAAAGATTAAAAGTAAAGGAAGAAGTTCATATTGTCATTAATTATCAGAGATTTGAGTTCCCGCTGAGATGAAGACCGTTTGGACTGGGAACCTGGAACCGAGTGCTGGGAATATGCTGGTTGAAACGCGTTTGGGAGCTGATGCCACAAGTATGTTCATATGGGACTGTTAACCTATATTTCTTTTACACTCCGGGACCACGTATCAAGGTGTTACGCCATGCAAATGCCTCGAGACAAACGCCGAACCATGCACCAATTTTCCTTCCGTAAACGTTCAGACGCACCCACTACCGTACTTCATTTGTGTTTCTCGCGCTTCTGGCGCCGCTCAAACTTCTGCTGCCGCTCCAGGTCTTCCGTCATGCTCTCCCAGTCTGGCGTAACCACCAGCTTGCCCATGATCTGGCCCATACCCGTCGCGGTACCCTCACCCGTACTCTTGCCATCCTTATCGAGGCAACCTTTCGAATCGACAAGAACACCCATAGTCAAAAAGCTGGTCTCAATCCCACGTCCTACTAACATGCGGCTACCACCCCAATCTAACTCCACACGTCCTGATTCTCGCACAATCAGCTTGCCCACGAAGCCTTCTTCGTCGGCCAGCCTTTCTCTGCCCTTCTTGTTCGTTGGTTCCTCGTCCTCCTTTTTGATTATGATCTCCTCCCCCTCCACCTTCACATCTTTCGTCAAATCAACGGCATTCTTGTCTGCGGAACCCGTGAGCTCAACATCACCTTCTGCCTTCTTTTCTCCCGTCACTATAGGTTTTGGATCCTTGGCCGGGTTGTAGAGCTTCGGCATGACTGGCGGGAATTGGAAGAGGTAGAGACGGCCTTCCTTCCTATCGACTGGCTTCTCAGCATCCATATCGATGTCGCCTTCTGCATCCTTCTCCTTTCCTTTCTCCGTGGAGGGGCCTAGCATGCCTCCCAACTCCTCTGTTAAGATAGCCAGGTCCTCAAGATGGCGCTCCCACTCTGCGCGATCTTCTTCGGTCTGAATAACGAACTTGTTTCCCTTCTTCTTGCTAGGAGCTTTCTTCCTCAGCTGGTTCGGGGACTCGGGCTCGTTTTTCTTTACCACCACATCGGTGCCGAGCTCATCAATTGTTTGCTTGAAGTCGGGCGCTGATGAACTTGACGCTTCGAGGTTGGGCTCAGGAGAATGTAATCGGTTGATCATCTCCGCAGGCTCGACAGGTTCGTCTTTGATTCGCACTTCATCATCGTCGTCCTGGTAGACGCCTTTGAATCTTTTCTCCTCCGTTGGGGGGGCAGGGAGTGTTGCACCTTCGTCAGCCAAGACTGTATCTGAATCGGATTTGTTTTCAGTAGATGGGTCCTCTGAAGGCCCACTGGTGACTTGTGACTTGCGCTCCTTGTGCTCCTGTCGATATAATCTAACGGGCTTGAGGCCACCTTTGGCAGAACCGGCTATAGCTTTTCCCTTGCCTTTGGTATCAGAAGCGACTTGTTCGTCCTCATCGTCAGAGATAAGATTGATCTGCTCTATATCTATGCGCGGTACGTCTTCGTCTTCGTCGGGGTATTGCGGGTCGGCTATGACATATGGGTTGCTTCCAGAGCCGGTGCCAAACCGTACACCTGGTATACTTCCGTTCTGGGATTTTGAACCTGAGGTTACTGTGAATCCCCCGCCGCCCCCTCCACCTTCGCGCTTTATCCCGCTGCCAGGTGCGAACATTCCTGGTCTCTTGCCTGTGTGAAATCATCAGTTCGAGTACGTCATCCGTCCAACATTGTAAAACTTACTCATCTCAGGCGCAACGGCGAAAGGACCGCTGGCAACCCCGCGAACCGTCCCTCGACCTCTACCCATTGCATCGCCTCTGCCCCGTCCTCTGAATGCATTTCCTCTAGCCCTCGCTCTTGCAGCAGTTGCTGCAAGCGCAGCCAGCCGTTTGCTTTCCTGGTCCGCTAAAGCCTTCAATTCATCTGCAGTCCGACGCACATTCTTTGGCTTGAATTTGCTTTCCTTGCCTCTCCCCCTTGTACCACCCCTCGTCCCACTACCACTTGAGCCATCTGCGGCGCGTGTCTGCGAAGATGAGGCGGGGCGATTCGGTGTCGAAGCAGGTGTCTCAGTCGGTTGAGTTGCGGGGGAATTAATGGGATCCAAATCCATAGCACTTTGGCCATTCTCGGGGATTCCGGTAGTACCTGGTTCGATTTTGAGGGTTGGAGATCCAGCCATACTTGACTGATTCTCTGGGAGGGAAGAAGCGGGGCCAGATGATCCTCCTCGTCCGCCTCCCCCGCGACCTCTGACGGCTTTTGGTGGCATTGTGACTATGGCAGTCTTTGGGTCTCGATCAGAATGATTGTCAACTCATTGATCTGCCAATGGCATTCGAAATCGCGAGGCCGAGATATTCCTGGAAGACGGAGTGAATCCGCGTCAGAAGCTTCAACTTTTTTTGAGCCACAGCCTTCCGTGCACGGTCATTTTGTGCGCACCAATCATCGTGTGATTCGGCCGAGGCCGAAGGAAAGACACTGCTGGCGATGGAGAATGGCTATGTCTATATCTATATCTATATATATTTCGATTCTATACCTACTTTTTTTTACAACGTCTTAATTAATCTAATTCTTATCGTTCTTCTCAATTTCCATGTATCATCTAAACTAACCAACTGAAGTTACCCCGATAATACTATGAAGACTGCTTCCGCCACCACCACCACCACCACATTAAAACGCTGGACAATGATACTCTCTGGCAACATGAGAAGGGACCCGACAGATAGTAAAACTATTTTTCTCAGCATCAGTCAAGATGGCTGATGTCTATGATCGTCTACCTTGAGATGTTCTGGACCAATACGGTTACCGAAATAAAGACCAACTGTGCATCACTACCGTAATGCTCTTTCACACTGCACTTCACTTCCATAATTTCTTACCAATCGACAGAAGCTCTGTTTTCTAACACTCTCCATAGTCAGAAGTGCAATATGACCGTGTAAACCAAGTAGGTGATCCAGTCATGAGGTGGACTTGTCACCCTGCGCACATCCTCCTTCCTGGCTATTTGAATCCGGCTATGACATGTCACTCCACGCAGCTCCTCATAGAGCGCTTTCAGGGTGCAGTGAGTGACTAGGAACCGCGCTTTGGACCCTTTTGAAACACACGGAGATGGACTCAGCTTGCTTTTCCCCCCTTGCTTTGCTCATAGAGTTCAAGGACTATTCAAGCGCTATGCTTGTCTTCCCCGCCTGTTTATAACAACCCCCCCCCCCCCCCCGGTTTTTACTTCCTAACACCACCACAAGCCGCAAACCTTCTGCAACTCTTCTACAAGATCCTCACCACGGGAGAAAATCTCTACGTCAAGTTCTGATCCCAAACGATTCCTCCTCAATTATCTAGGGGTTCTCTTTGAACCAGTGGACAAGCGTCCCCGATGGTCATCGGTTTCTAGACCTCTACTTTTCTAATACTTCAGCGTCAAGTGACTACTTTGGTCCATTTAACTTTTCCGAACTGAAACAGAAGACTATTTTTCTAGATGTCATGGAGCAATCTATTATCTATCTATCCCTTTCGAACACTCCTCGACGAAGCTCATCGCACTGTATACCGTGGTTCCAGGTTGAGCAAGATCCACTGGGCAGTTGCAGAAAATTCCCTATGAGGAAAGGGTCTTTGAGATGCTTGAGAAACTTTCATCCTTCGAACGAGATGAGAATCCAGAAAGTACATGAGGATTATATGGTTTAAGGATTAACGACGCAATACATTTGCTTTGTCAGATTCGTCCAAATCCTACTAAAAAACCCGCTTGTTCAGGAGATTCAACAGCGATGGGGAAGGGTAGTCACGTGATATGCTCCTAGGTATCTTACAGGAAGGTAGGTACCTTAGGTAGGTATGGAGAAGAGAGAGCGTGTAGGGGTGGGGTAATCTAGGTTTCTAAAGAGCAGGCCGTGGAGAAAAGGAGAGGGGGTAGGAGTGATAGAGGTGGAGTTACTATCTTTTTTTTCAAATGAAGGGTAGAATGATTTTGAGGTAGGTAGAGAGGTGGGAAAAATCGGGGTGAGGATGCGCGACCTGCTAGGAAAAGGATCGCGCCGAGCCGTCATGATACCACTGTTAGGGGACCAAACTTCTACCTACACTGATGGTGCAATAATGACGAAGTCTAGCACTTCATAATATGTCACTTCATTCCTTTCTCTTCCTTTTCTTTCCTTGCTTCCTCCCCTTCACTTCATCTCGTATCAGAATCGAAAAAGGGAAAAAGAGAACCAAGCAAGAGAAGAAAAGCCAACAGAAATCCACACATACACACACAAGAACCATGGAACGATTCGTCCTAACCCACCTCATGGCCCTAAAGCTTCGCATCCGCCTCCTCATGTGCCACGCCAACACGCCGCACGAGAAGGAACTCATCACCCAGCTGTGCGTCGCCTTGTACGCGCGGATCCGACTCAAAGCACGCTCGGTCAGGAGACCGGCGGCCGTGGCTTCCAAACTTATAGATGAGGCGTGGCCAGCTGTGTTTCCGCGTGGGAGGCCCGAGAGGAAAAAGTTGGGGCCTTCGCCACTGAGACAGAGTTTGTGTGCTGTGGAGTTGGAGGTCGAGGAGGAGATAGAAGAGGCGGAGGAGGAGAAGGGGAAGGGAAAGGGGGATGGAGAAGGGGAAACCGATGGGGAGCTGGAGGTTAGGTACCCGCCTCGTCCGCCACCGAGACGATCTGCAGGACCTTCACCGCTGCGACAGAGCGAGAGCCTTTTGGAAGAACCAGACTTCTCTCAAGACCACAGCGCAGATGTAGCGGATGAAGAGCCTCTCCACCTCGGAGCCGGGGAAGGAGAGCCCGTGGAGATGCGCTCCGGGTGGTAGGCAGGCGATGAAGCAATATCGGATAAGACTGATACTTCCTGATCATCGCCAAGGACGGATTTCTATGCATTGGTCTTCACATTGCGATGCGAGACGCAGGATTCTTCAGAGGCATCCGTTGAACACCAACACAAGTTGTCGCGATCACGAGCTGGGGAGTGTGGGGACTGTTGGATGAGACCCAGCTTTCCCAAGTAGATTTTGAGATTGAAGCCGAATTTTGCAGGAGGTGCGGGAGTTAATCGTAGTATTCGACGCGGAGGAGGGAGAGGTTCGGGGGTTTCCAATCCTTGTTGGAGTGGTGAAAGCCCCATCCGAAACCAAACATGTACAATCTATATCAATAATCTCACTCTTAGTTTAAAGATAAAATGCACACACCTTCACTTTCCTAAGATCGCCATCGTCGTGAGTACAACCCTTTTGTCCCAGATGAGGAAGAGGAGTTTACCTTGCATGGCGTCAGAAGGTATTGTCACGTGATATAATAACCACGTGGCTACCCCTCGCTAGGTACTTGCCGAAAGTCTAATCTAGATGCGGCTAGAGCCGCACGCTATTCCGACGACACTTCATGCCGTCCCGCCCCGGAAGAAGCGGGGTCTGCGTCTCAGTGGCGGATGTGCAGGATGATTCAGGGACATGCGAATAATAACGGGCGTATCATTGGTTATCCGATATGTGTTGATATCCTCGAAATATCTATATATCACCATCACCAAACACCAAGAAGGGATTGATTAACCGTGTTTATTGATTGAGTTGACTGGCTGATAATATAGGAAACCCTTTCTGATGATCCATGACATCACTCCGCCCCCATTTTCCATCCTGGCCCACCACCCCGCGAGTCCCGGTGCCTTTGCCTACCACCCATGAGAAATGATCCCACGATCTCCATCCGCGGTCAATGTTTGCTAATGACACCTCTTATTGCTAAGTGATATATCCTCCACGACACAGCAGAACCCCACACAGCACACAAATTTCAAACGCGATTCCAATGAAACATGCAGGACGATCTCAACAGACAACCGAAGAAAACTCGTGTAGGATATCCGTGAATCGTAAAGGAGTGTGAGCCGGTACGCATCTCCACCGGGCCGCGTAAACAAAAACCAACAGATCAACTACATTGAACACCTTTCTGTTATACCAGACCACCGAACCAACCACCACACAACGATAAACAGAGCGATCAAGTAGATAAACGCCGTATGAAATAGAAGCACTGATGTTTCGCAAGCATTGCGTAGGTGAGGCGGCGACAGGCCGTGAGGCCGGTAGAGACGTAGAAGATTTTCCGAAAAAGACGATGAGAACCCGAGACGCTTTTGGGAGATATAGACCGAGGAGATTCACGCCCGAAGGACGCTGTAAGACACGGAAGAAGTGTCGCGATCGTGATATCTGATGTTTTCCTCATATATCATAGGTGCATATTGGCCTTATAACTACCGCTTTCTCTTCTTGCTCTTATCAGGACTTGCCTGCACTCCAGCCGTCAGTTCAGGGGGGAGGCTAGCTTCAGTGTTGACCTCATCCTTCTTGACAGGAACGCCCATGTGACGTCCGTACCGCCCCTTGCGACCATTTCCTTCATCTTCACTGACGCATTGATCTGCGCTGAGTCCAGCATCTTTGCACCGCTGACAAGGACGTTGACGATCACATCCCTTCTTGCTCTTGCGGCATCGTTGGCAGCGAGGCTTAGAAGAGAGATCCTCCTCATCGGTAGCAAGCTGTTGCTGAAAGTTCAAGGCGGATGCATTGGAAGTCTTGCGCGATTGAGAGGGCAGCGAGGTCGGGGAAATCGGTTTGGTGTTACCAGGCGTGCTAGCAGACTTCTTGGATTTTGCCTGTGCCGGACGAGAGGTCTTAGCTTTGGACTTGGTAGCCTTAGCGGCGGGCGCGCTTGTGCGAAGCTTGCCCACGATGGTGGACACGGTCTTGGGCTTAGCCATCTTTGCTTTATTGTTCTCAGCGTCATCCATGATTTCGTCCTGAAGACCAGGTCGGAATGTTCCATCACGGCCATCTTCATAGTCACCTTCGTCTCCGCTCGGCTCAGTGCTATCTTGACTTGGCAGGATATCGTCGAGATGTTGGCGGAATTTCTTGACAGCGCCAGGAGGCAGGATTGGGCTCGACTCGCGCTTTTGACGGCGAGCAGGTGGAAGCTCGATCTCACTCTCACTTTCATTGTCGCTGGTAGCTCCAGTTGAGGAGGCTACATCGGCCCTTCCACTAAAGGTATCATCAAGCGTCGAAGCAGATGTGCGACCGTGGGAGATGTTCGACATCTCACCCAATCTCATTAACTGAAGTGCGACATCCTTATCCTCTTCCGATACGCAACTCCCCACCGTTGGATCTGGTGTAGGGAGTATTCCGGGGCTGGTGTCATTCGATGCGCCACCAATTGACTGTCTATTCGGAGGACCGGAAGCACTACCTCGAGTGCGACGACCCTGCGCAGCAGGCGTTGAGTACATGCCAGGTTGCCCAAATCCATTGCTGTAGCTCTGGGGAGATTGTAGCGGTTGTGGGTTGGAGAACGGGTTGTGCGAAGGGTTTGTGTAGGGGAAGGATGATCTTTGATGCTCAACGCGACGGGCGGGAGAAACGGAGGAATTGGAAGTTGCAGCAGGCATCTGCGGAGGAGCAAATAATGGCAGTTCCTGGGTCAGAAATAGTCAGTAGTTGGCGATTAATATTGAAATATGGTAGCGACTTACGGAGCTTTCAAACTTCGCTCTCTTGCGTCTACCACCCTCAACGATATTGTCTAAACTGATCTCGGTGTTGCCGATATGATCACTTTTGGTCCTGCTAGAGACAGAGCCGGGTGCTCCATCCCCACTGCTGTATCCGTTCATGGCGTCACTGTGGTTATCTGCAAAGCTGCCATGTGCGCTGGATCCTCGACTCTTGAAGCCGGATCGCGACCGACTCTTCTTCACAGCTGGAGGATTTGTATTCGCAGACGCACTCCGACGACCGCGGCCTCCATTAGGGGAAACGCTACGCTTGCGAGACGTTCTTGAAGCCGGCCTCGAGAGTGGTTGGCCGTAGCTAAGCGCCTGGGCTGGTTGGGGAGGGGGCATCTGGTGGCCGTCACCGGAATAGTAGGCATCTGCAACAACTGGTGACACTGTGTGGTACGGTGACGGGCCATACGCTCCTGGAGGAGGAGATGGCTCATCAATGACTCGAACGTAGACGACCATGTTGTTTCTGAGATTTTCATAACGTGCGATGAGCGTATTTCCTTGCTCATCCTCGAAGCTGACGCCTTTAGCACCTGTCGGGCCAGCGTAAAGCCCATAGAAGTTTTTGACAGTTGTCACAATTGAGTCGGTAGTATCATGAGGGAAGATCTGTACACGCATGGGTAGGCGCGCTCGATATTGGGGCGATTCGGGGAAAAGGAGTTCGAATGCGACACTCTTAGGTGTCGGGCTCCCAAATGGGGACGCATTTGAGTTGTGGGCAGTTGTCGAAGAGGCTTGGCCTCCGGAATATGATGCTGGTGGTGTTCTCATACGCTGATCTACGCTCCGTCCATCCATACTTTCCATTGTGTTCCGGGACGGATGTAAGTGTGCGCTGAGGGGAACTGCCGCGTCGTGAGCCGGATTGTGTGCGTTTGAGGACGATGGTCAAGATGTAAGATTGGGTGATTCCGTTCACCCCGGGGCAGGAGGTTTCCGGGTCGATTTGTGGTGCTTATTGTTAAGTGATGTGTGTTGGGTGTAAAAAGAGTTCTTCTGTGCTCGGTGGTTGATGCCGGTGTCGCAAGCTGGTGGAAGCACTACGAATGAACGAGTGTCGTGGAATATTTCGACCTGGATAAGCACAACCATTAGTATGAGCGAGTGTATGTTCGAGGGTGTTATTGAGAAGTGACTTGATGAGAGAAGGGGAGAAATGATGGAATTATAGTCTGCGCAGGTTTGCCTGGGCGCTTCCGGGTTGACCTGCGGTTGCGAAGGGGTCCAGGGACAGTCAAGAGACACAGGGGAAACGGAATTTCCAAATTACTTGATCGCATAAGATGGAAGAAGGATAGAAACTTACAAATGATCGAAATGGATGTCGTTGTGAAGCCTATCGAGGCATTTGGGGTTGTCGCCGGTTCGAACTGGTGTCTCGAAGACCTGCGACGATCAAGGGTTAGAATAAGGCGATTCATGGGGATATTCGAATTTCTGAGAGGGTAGACTGCATGCCAGGGTAAACATGGATGCATTCGACACTCACCTGTTGTTATGTTGGACGTTGTGTTGCTCCTCTTGAAGCAATTCTGTGTGTGGAAGAGAAGAGGAGCAGTCGAAGAAGTCGGCAGGAGTAGTCTTGGCTTGCGTTACTCAGAAATCATGACCACCGTTTTTATGCACTCTTCAACGCACTTTTTGCTCAACTACATGCCTACTTGATAGCACTGTGTATTCTATTTCTTTTAACCAGTTGAACGAATTGATAACATGTTCTCCTAGAGAGGTTCCTTTTTCATTTACAGAGCCCGCGCGATGCTGTCAACGTACTCGATTCTGGAGCATGTCATGGCCCGCTTTGCCCTCAAGTCAGCCGATATCAAAAGAGACAATGGTTGTTGGTAACCATGCACAAAGCTCGCACAATCCAAATCGAGATATCTATCAGGGTATGAGGAATAATGGCTCCGTGACTGAGGCCTGCGCATGGGTAAAGGCCTCGTTGAGTGACTCGAGTCTTCCCACCCATCCATCGCACACTCGGGCCTGGTTCTGCCGTCTATCTAGGAACACCCAAGAGATAGCAACGCCTGCGCCATATGCCTATGAAAAAGCGCAGAGCTGATCAGATCGAATCCCCGAGCGCATGCTACTGGCAATCATCTCTTGGGCGTGGTGACTGTGGTCGAGAGACAGCCAGGTGCAGTGGCCAAGTGCTTGGTTAGGCCTGATCCCGCCAATGATCATATGCGCCAACGTCTGAGGCAGGGATTGTTGAGGGTGGTCATGGGTGTAGCCCTCAAGTGGTGTTGTTTGACATGTCCAGTCTTTGCAATCTTTGCGACGAGTTGAATCCCTAGGTCTATGAGGTTCAAACTAGGACTTAGCGGTCAGCAAACCGCCTAACCGGCCGCTGGCTTTTATCTCTACTTATTTCATTATTATCATCATGAGCTATCTGGTGTGTGGTGGTGATGGTTGTCGTTTTGGAAGGACGAATATCAACTGCGCCCCTCCGGGATGGTGGTGTGCGCTGGCGAAGAGTCTCAAGTGGTATTTACAAGTACGCTCATAGCTCCTCCCATTGACGGCGCCCGATCAGCCAGCATCAACGCCAGGGATTGGCGATTCTGCATCCCGCACGTTGTGCTTTGATGGCGACTTACCTAGCATTAGTCGGCAACGGGATGCGAAGGGTTTGGGCTTGTTTGGGCTTTGGAGTAGTGTGTGATGCCCGGGAACCCAAAGGTTGCGCAAGAGAATCGCTTCAAGTGCGATTCCCTCTGGATTAGTACCGTTGACTCGAAATCATCTTCTTCGAAGAGTGTTTTTGTAGCAAGGATTTTCGTGGTTCCAGTTCATCCGGCGCAGGTTTTACAAAGTGGATGACGGCGACCCAATGGGCTTTCAAGAACGTCGCGATCCCGAACGGGTCGTGGCCGGCGGGACCGCAACCTGAATCGAGCTGGCAATGCAAAGTCGAATTGAACTCGTAGACAAGTAAAAGATCTGGCAGCCCGTCTCCTCATGGGGGCGCGCTGATTGCGCGCTGATAGGGAGACAAGGCATGTATGGTGTGCGCTATAATATAATTGGCGCAAAGACCGTGACGGTGTGAGACTGGCAAATCAGAAAGTGGAAGAGTACAGTAGCCATCCAGGTACAGAGTTGGGTCTCGAGAGGGCAACCCTTGCCCGGCCCAGATCGTTCATCGGCATGCGATACACAGAGGGGGGTGGTTGGTGGTGAGGGGATGCCGGGCTCATGGGGGACGTCAAGCCTCTGCAGTCGTGGCAGGCTCGGGTGCCCGCTGAAGTCTGCAGCCCCGTGTTCCGAGCGGCTAAGGCTCGAATCACTTGATCGCGGAGCAGAGAGACGACCTGACACTGAAGACGCAAACCGCCGTATTGACACCCCAAAGAAGGGAGAAACCTGAGGGCCGCGGTCACACGGTGGATAATCGGTGGTTGTTGGAGGAGATGGGTGGAGGGGTTTGCGCCGCACGTGATACCGTGGAATCTTCGCGATTGAGGGTGTTGATTAGGGCACAATTTGAACCTTCCATACTTCCACCACTGCTACTAGATGTACGGCAGCAAGAGGGGTAGGAATCGTTGAAGCACCTTCGGCAAGGACCACCGAAAGCATTTATATAGAGTATTCTATCCATATAGGGATTGACCCCCCACATATGTGAAAGTGAGGGTTTTTGATACCGCGCTCGGGAGACGCGACGTGCGGCTCAAGCGGCGCGGCGCGATCAAGCTTAAGCGAGAACATCCCTGTCCATAACAACCAAAATTCCGCTACTAACGTCTAGCGAGCTGGTTGGCTAGGAAGGTAAATGTCAACAAACATTCTCGTGCTGTGACGACCGACTCTACTTGTACCATCTCCTCCCATCTCCCATCTGTCCCATCAACCATCCACCTCAACCCTTCTACCACCCTTCCCCATTACTTCATGAGCTTGTTGTAGATTCCTTTCTGCAGTACTATCCACGTACAGCGCAGCTAAGGGAACGCGCACAACTCTTCTTATTCTACCCAGCACCAGTCACAAGTCTGAAGTTCCTAGGAGCTATCGCGCCCCCTTATGGTCATCTTAGGACGCGACCGCCTTACGCTTCATCATTGAGCCCTCCTACAAGCAACGATTAGGACTGTTCGCGCTGGTTCTGGCATTAGCAGCAATTCCTCAGTATCACCAATAGCGATAATGGACGCGCGCGTGAGTTCTCCTTTGCGATTTCTGTCTCTTCCTTCACCTATCCCCATCCCCCGATCTACATCCACACCACTACCCCATATCAGCACGTCTACCTCGCGTCCTCCTTGTCTTTAACTTCAACCTAAGCAAGCCGCAAGCTGACCTTCTTTGTTAAATAGCCTCAGCGACCACTCCGAGCCCTCCGGATCCAGGGCGACGAGAACGTAGCTCCTGCTCCCTCTAAGCAGACCCTCCATCAACGTCACAAGTCTACTGGCACTCTCTCCAACATGATGTCAGTAGGTGGTCTCAAGGCAGCTGCCAAGAGAACTGCCTTTGGAGACGTTAGCAATACAGTGAAGAACCTTTCATCCACACGCGATGATTCTGCCATTGCCGGCAAGTCAGCTCCCCAGGACTTCGTGAAGCCTGTGGTTTCTCAAGAGAACTCGGCGGCCTTCTTGAGACCAGCTCATAGACCTCTTAATGCAGCTGGCTCCAAAGGACCTGTCAATACTCAGTCGGTTCCCGTCCTCCCGGACGCGGTCTCAAAGGCGTCTCAACCTCAACAGCTAGCAGAGGCAAGCAAGCGCACCCTTTTGAAGCGTGGCACAACTATCTACAAGGATACCTCAGAGACTGACCAGGCTCCACAAACCGTGACGGAGAGACAAGACACGGCTCCTGCTGCTCCCGTCCACCAGGGTCTGGGCCCGCGCCAGCACAAGAGCCAGCCGCAGCTAAAGGCAGAGCAGCCAGTCCTACGACGCACACAGAGCAAGATTCTTACCGTCGAGCCACAAGTGAATGCTACCACTGGTGACACCATTTACCAAGACGCGATCGAAGAGCAGATCCCCTCTCCACCCAAAGACAGCTATGAAGCCTACATGAAGCTCATGGTCGAAAAGCACGATGAGCGCGTCGTTGAAGTCTCCCAGGCCACAGAGAATGCCGTAGAGAGACCTCATAGACAGTTGCCTGCTGCCCCTGTGGCTTCAGAGCCTGAGGAGTATTGGGAGGAAGAGGAAGAAGAGGAGATCTACGATGAGCAAGGATACACAACCGCTCATTCCTATAGATCCAGAGGCGATAATACCACTGGAGGCGCCACCACTGTTCTCTTGCCCAAGGTCACAAACAAGGTCAAGAAGGAGCTTGCCGCAGCCAAGGAATTCGTGGAGAGATCACGTACACGTGAGGAGATCGATGATGAGGCATGGGACACCAGCATGGTTGCAGAGTATGGTGATGAGATCTTTGCATACATGCGAGAGCTCGAGGTAAGCTCCCTTTGATCTACATGGTCTATTCTTCCCATTCTTTCCGCGTTTGTTTCTGGACTGCATCGCGTACCTGTCGCGTCCCTTTACTCGCCCTTGTGCCGCCCTAAGCAAGACCCCTTATGCGACCTTTGTTTACCCCACATCCCTGCCATGTTTACAAGTTGTGCATCAGTTGCTGACCAGAACCCCTAGAACAAGATGTTGCCTAATCCGCACTACATGGACAACCAGGCCGAGATTCAATGGTCGATGCGATCTGTCCTCATGGACTGGTTGATTCAAGTTCATCATCGATTCGCCTTGTTGCCTGAGACACTCTTCCTGTGCGTCAATTATATTGATCGCTTCTTGTCTTGCAAGATCGTCTCTCTGGGCAAGCTTCAGTTAGTTGGTGCCACAGCTATCTTCGTCGCTGCCAAGTACGAGGAGATCAACTGCCCATCTGTTGGCGAGATTGTCTACATGGTTGATGGCGGCTACACCGTTGATGAAATTCTGAAGGCAGAGCGCTTCATGCTTAGCATGCTTCAGTTCGAGCTTGGGTGGCCTGGTCCCATGAGCTTCCTTCGACGCATTAGCAAGGCTGATGATTATGACCTGGAGACTAGAACCTTGGCCAAGTACTTCCTGGAAATCACCATCATGGATGAACGCTTTGTTGGGCTTCCTCCAAGCTATATTGCTGCTGGTGCTCACTGCCTTTCTCGTATGATGCTCAAGAAGGGTGACTGGGTAAGCCTCCTCTCCCTGTATGTGACGGGAACAACAACTAACAATCTCCAGAGCCCCGCTCATGTTTACTACTCTGGATACACCTGGACCCAAATCAGGCCATTGGTATCAATGATCCTCGAATGTTGCGAGAGCCCCCACAAGCATCATTCTGCCGTCTTTGAGAAGTACTCGGATCGTCGATACAAGCGTGCTTCCATTTTCGTCCAGGCCGAGATGACCAAGGGATTCACCTTGCCGCCACTCCAACTCTCCCGATTGTCCCTCCCATCTCTTGAAGATGTTGACGCACACCTGCCATATGAGACCCGAGAGTCATTCAAGCGCATGGTCCAAGTCAAGGGCTGTTAGACCTTCCACCTAACATACCAATTTCGATTCTCTGTATTTTATTGGGCCTCATATGGTGGCTATTTCGCCGGCCATGGATATGGTATTCCCTCATACTCCGTATCTGGATCGGCCATTACAACATCAGATGTTATTAGACAACCTCTGTTTTCACAACGTGGCGGCGGTGTCACTTGACATACTTCCACAACCACACGTGGGCTATCATCCTGAGCTTCCACTATTTCGTCTCCCCAACCACACTTTGCATTCAAAAGCGTAACGATGCTTTACGACGAGACGCGACCACGACTTTCCTTCCCCTGTTTCATTTATGGGAGTTGGGGGGGTGCATCAACATAAAGCCCTGAGCGGCATTGCTATTAATACTTGTCCCCTTCCGTTTTACTACGGTTGTGGCATGGCTGGCTGTTTTTCCTTGTGTTTTTCTCTGGATGGATGGGCGTCCATGGGTGCGGGATAGTGCTCATAAAAGTAATTACAGTCAATGCATACTAATACCATAAAGTCTAGTAACTGCAAAATGTGAATGTGAATGTGAGGATGAAAGGTGAATGTAAGGATGAATGTGAAGATAAATGTGAAAATAACTGTGAAGATAAAGGTAGATGTAAATGCCGATATATCACCTCTTCTTACGTGGGCTTCACGGGATTGTTGACATGAAGACGGAATGCAGATCCCGCGTGACGCCCAGGCCAGGAGTTCCGCCCCTGTGTGGCAAATCCCGCCTTGTGACCGCTGTTGATGTTTTTCACGAGGTTTTTTTCTTTTTCTATTAACTCCAACTCTTATCGCCGCCGCTAAACCCAACCGGGCATCCGACGCGGAAGAGTTAGCGTTCCGAGGCCGTTTATCCGGCGCAGTCAGACTTGTCAGGACTCAGAGGGAAATAATTTTCGGGATCTTGTGAAAGAGAAATCTAATCGTCTAATCAGCGCCGCGCCCAGGACAGACCATTATCCTTCCCCGGGTTCTCCCTTTCCTTCGATCTTCTAGCACTGAACCCTTACGGCCCTGTCGCTCCATAACAGAGTGCATCGCGATCCCTTCATTCAACTGCATCTTTCCTCATCTTCCCTCCTATCACGACTCTCTCCCTCCCTCTCGCTCGATCTCTGCCTCCTGAACCAACCTCCCTCCTTTCCCCAGGCACAGCCGCACCGCAGACCCACAATCGTTTAAGCCCTTCTCAATCTGACACCGCGACAGGGCGACTTCCATTAGTTCCGCGATCTTTCATTCGAATCCCTAGACGCGATCATAAACACCTGCCGAGATGGCCGAACTTACAAAGGCGAAGGAGGTGGTGAAGGAGAAACTCCTTGGCACAGACCTGACAGAACCTGTGCAGCTGTCGGCTCAATCCAAAGCTACCTTTGAGAAGAACGCGCGAAAAGATGCTGAGTCCGGCGAGCTATTCATGGGCGAGGAGGAGTTCATTAATGCTATTGCGCCAGAGGGCGAAGATTATGTGAGTCAATATTGACCTGAACGCGGTCCTGACGCGCGCCTTTATCACATGGGTTTAGAACCATTGACTAATGAGTGATGCTACAATATAGCACAAGATCAAGCGCGAACAATATGCCATTCTCTTCCGGGTGGCAGATCGACGAGGCGCGGGCAAGTTAAACCTCTTTGACTGGGGCACCTTTGAGAATCTGCTCGCAAAGCCAGACGCGGAGTACGAAATCGCTTTCCGACTGTTTGATGTCGAACGCAAAGGCACTGTCAAATATGACCACTTAAAGGCGCTGTACGAGATGAACAAAGGACCAGATAGCATACCTTTTGATTGGAATTGTGAATGGGCCACCTTGTACAGTGGAGGCAAGAAGCGACGACACGATCTCACATACCCCCAGTTCTCACAGATGCTGAGAGGACTGCAAGGGGAGAGGATACGACAAGCTTTCCACTTCTTTGACAAGGACGGTGATGGATATATCGAGCCTGAAGAATTCCAGCGCATCATTCTCGAGACTTCCAAACACAAACTCTCTGACCACCTGTTGGAGAACCTTCACACCCTCTGCAACATCTCAGCGGGCAGCAAGATCTCTTATGCCAATGTGCGCGCCTTCCAGAACATGATCAAGGAGATGGATCTGGTAGAGATGATCCTTCGCCAGGCGACCGCTCAAAGTGCAGATGGGAAGATCACTCGCACAGATTTCCTCAACGAAGCCGCTCGAGTTACTCGATTCTCGCTCTTTACTCCTATGGAGGCAGACATCCTATTCCACTTTGCTTCGCTCGACGAACCGTCAGGCCGTCTCGGTCTCTCGGATTTTGCGAAAGTGCTCGACTCCTCCTGGCGAAACCGAAAGCTCCACGCATTGACCTCCCTTCCAGGCCTGCCAAAAGACAAGACCGCAACCCAAAACTTCTTCTTCTCAGTCCTCGAATCTGTACACCACTTTGCCCTTGGCTCGCTGGCTGGCGCCTTTGGCGCATTCATGGTCTACCCCATCGATCTCGTCAAGACCCGTATGCAGAACCAGCGTTCCTCGCGAGTAGGCGAAATGCTGTACAAGAATTCTTGGGACTGTGCTAAGAAAGTTGTCCGTCATGAAGGATTCAGAGGTCTATATTCGGGTGTTCTGCCGCAACTTGTCGGTGTTGCTCCAGAGAAGGCTATCAAATTAACGGTCAATGATCTTATTAGAGGACACTTCTCATCTAAGGATGGAAAGATCTCGATCCCGCACGAAATTCTGGCTGGTGGTTCGGCGGGTGCTTGTCAAGTCGTATGTTCCCCCCTCCATTTCCAATGGCATCCACCCTATTTCATCTTTCTTCTCACTCTAGCACTCCCCCTCTCCCTTCATGTTTCATTCTTCCTCAACACTGAGCTAACATGTGGCGTGGTAGATCTTCACCAACCCCCTCGAAATTGTCAAAATCCGACTCCAAGTCCAAGGTGAAGTCGCCAGAACTGTTACCGACGCTCCCCGACGCTCCGCAATGTGGATAGTCCGCAACCTTGGTCTCGTTGGTCTCTACAAGGGCGCCTCTGCGTGTCTCCTCCGTGACGTGCCCTTTTCCGCCATCTACTTCCCCACATATAACCACTTAAAACGCGACTACTTCGGCGAGAGCCAGACGAAGCAGCTTGGCATCCTCCAGTTGTTGACGGCGGGTGCGATAGCTGGTATGCCGGCGGCTTACTTGACGACACCTTGTGATGTTATCAAGACACGTTTACAGGTCGAGGCTAGAAAGGGCGAATCTTCATACACCTCCTTGAGGCATTGCGCAAAGACCGTCTGGAAAGAAGAGGGCTTCCGCGCCTTCTTCAAAGGCGGCCCGGCCCGTATCCTCCGTAGCTCCCCACAATTCGGTTTCACATTAGCGGCGTATGAGGTACTTCAAAGCCTCCTACCCATGCCGGGCGCGGGAAAGAAAGAGCATGCTGGTGTATCAGAGGCTAAGGCAGGACTGCCAGGCCAGGAGGGCCCGTTGAGCTACCTGAGGAGCCGGAATGCGTTGAAGATTATTCTGGATCTGGACGAGGAGTTTGGACGATTCAAGGGCCCTGGCCAGAGCGGCTGGAAGAATATCCCCAAGATTCTCGGTGGTGAGAAGTAATGACCAATAACGGGGACGTTTATGAATGTGCAGCCGGGCAATGAGGTTGTTGATATGACTCTTGAATGATCGTTTTGATTATTGCCGGAGTGGGACATCATAGGCGTGGATAGCATGCATCATACCATGTCTCATTCCACGGAAACGGCGTTCTTCGGATAAATCTCTTTATTTTTCTTTTCTAATTCTCAAAGACTCTAGAAGGGGCGGTGAGAAGTGTGTGCGAGTGAGAAAGACAAGAGTAGATTAGATGTAGATTGTAACTCTAGCAAATGTGTGTGACGTAGATATATACCTATATAGCTAGCGATCTAGATCTTGTGAGGCACCAATTAGAACATGTCAAATACTTGAGATGACGCCTGACTTCATTCATGTACATGCATTGATTGATTGTGTCCAAGAGCACAAGCGCTCCCAGCGACTGCGATGCTACTATCTGGTAATACATAACTGTTCTTTCATCTGGTACAGCGTACATTTACTTCTGTAGCCCCTCAAGATTCGAAATGCCTAATCAGTGGAACGAAATCACTTCAATACATGAATCACAGAACGACCGACCTATTCTAGAACTTCTTAAAAAAAAAGTTAAAAAAATAAATAAAAACAGCTTGATGAAGAAGTCAAGGAAATCGCTTCATAATTCTAAGGGGCCAGCTTATTGGACATCTAGTTTTCAGTTTTGCTCATGTGAATGCTTACTTACCTCCCTAGATACTGCTTAGTAATTCATATCGCTTAACCCCCCTTTTTCTCGATTCGCCACAATTTAAACAACCCGGAATATTGCGAAAAAAATCTTTCCAAAAAAAATGAAAAGGAAAGAAAAAGGAAAATGCAAAAATTGGACGCTGTGGGAATTGAACCCACGACCTTTCATAATCACGTTCGGACGAACATGCGAAACGAAAATCATACCCCTAGACCAAGCGCCCTTATGTTTGCTGGATGATGGGGTGTGGGATTGTGGGGCTATAGATGAGGGGTTTGGAAGATGCGGAAATAAAGAAGGGTGGATAATGTAGGTAGGCAGGTAAAATGTAGAATTCCTCAATAATCGCCAAAGTGTTCACAGGTTAGTGGGTACATATTATTTTTGATGGTGTATATATATAGCTGTATCTCGGCTCGAAGTAGATAGCATAGGTAGATGAAGAGCTTGATGTGTACTGCGTCGAAGATTATTTCCTCGCTCGGCGAGTGATGCATTGAGGTTATCAATGGGTAGAAAAGGGATCAAAAAGTAATCAAGAGGAGGCCGGTCTCTTTAAGATAATATGATTCTTCGCTAATAAAGTAATTGCGTAATTGAAGACAGGACTGGATGAGAAAAAAGGAGAGGGGGCCGGCGATTGAGCGGGGTTGACAAAAGTTATTGATCAGAGAGACTTCACCTTTTTAAGTATTGACTGGTGAAAGGAGGTGTTTGGTTGACTGATAGAGTTTGGTAGGGCAATTGTGCAATTGATGGTGAGAGAAAAGTACAGCAAGTCAGGAGAATCAGGAGTCAGAAAAAATAGGAGACACTGCTGGAAGGCTCCGGGTCGTTGACTGCATAGGTATAACCGTATCATCGATAACAGTACTGGATCTATGGTACAAGAGCTTCGTGGTATAACTTCGCGCAGACAAAGTCCGTGGAGCCCACGAAGCCTGGATAGCAGGAGACTGGCAGGAAAACGGCCGTTGGGTTATGGAGAGAACTTCCGCGAATCTGCTTAACATGGGCGAGAGTCTTCCATGCTAACAATCGCGCATTTATGAAAGAAAGCCTGCATGGACCAAGAGACCAATAACTATCTCCCACCGTGCTGCAAACACTTGTCAGCCTGATTGCCCTATTGGCCTGTTGCCTTTGCTGATACTCTAAACTTCGTGGGGTCTTAGGTCCCTGAAGTGAACTCTGCAACCTCGCTGCCCACCGGAGACATCATAGTATCCTCGAGCCAACTGACGTACTCAGGAAAAGCCGAAACACTCCCGTAAACCTTTACCCTCTTCACCCCCCTGATGCGTTCAAACAGCCTCAACACCTTGTGATCTGAGCTCCCGAACTGTGCCTGGAAAACCTCAATAACTAACTCCTCAACTCCGGTGAAAGCCTTTTCTGCTTGGTGCGCAGAGAAATTGGGATCACAATCGAGTCGCACCCGTATGTGATACCTCGTCATCAGAGCTATCAAGCTCGTGTTGCTGATTGTATCGTAATAGAGTCGAAGTCGCGGAAGACCGTTAAGGAGATTTGGATGGGCGAGGAAGGTATTACAGCCGTAGAGAATCTGTTTGGCTTCTTCGTAAACTTTGCGGCAAACAGAGAGTATTTCGGGATATATCGGGGGGTCGCCGAGGCGTCTTGGGGTCGAGAGAGACGGTAGGAGAAGGAGTTGTCGGTAGATCTGGTTGCGGATCTCTCCTGGGAGATCAAGAAATGTGAGGCCCGTCATGGTATAGGGAGTACTTGGCTGACTATGAATAGGGTAGGTGAAGCTATTGATACTGATACATTTGTCGAAGTGGCGTTATCATAGCCCAGGAGATAAGATCTCGATAAGATGAATTTAGATAGAGGTTGGCACGTGATATCGCGCCTTCGTAAGAGAGTCAAGGTACCTTAGATGGCACAGGGCAGAAATCCCTTCTCCTTTCCTCCGCAATGACTTGACAATACGCTGTCCAGGCGTATCATGGCGGCTTCATTCCTTGAGATCATATCTAAGGTCTTTGGCTGGATATACACTCTTTGCTGGTCGCTCTCTTTCTACCCTCAACCAATTCTCAACTTCCGGCGCCGGTCTACGAGCGGAACCACCATAGACTTCCCCGCCATCAATACCCTGGGCTTCACTGCATACCTTGCTTCGAATGCGGCATTCTTATACTCGCCTCAAATACGCCGGGAATACGCGTTGCGATATCATGGCCTTACGCCGACTGTGCAACCTAACGATGTGGCTTTTGCCGCCCATGCCATGATCCTAAGCGCGTTGACGCTGTCGCAGTACGTCCCGGCGATTTGGGGTTTCGATAAGGAGGGGAAACGAGGGCCTGGAGCTCGAATCAGCAAGGAAATATTGGGAATAACTGTGGGAAGCTTTATCCTAGTTGGGATTGTGGCTTTAACTGTCGCTGTGAGACATGATGAAGACCCGAAAACTGGCTTTGCTTGGATCGACGTTGTCAGTCTCTTAATACCAACTTTTGCATTATGTGTACTAATTTCGCTCTGGCTCTGCAGATTTATACTGTCTCTTATGTCAAGCTCTTCGTCACTCTGGTCAAATACTTGCCTCAAATCATCACAAACCGCAGAAACCGTTCCACGCAAGGCTGGGCCATAGATCAGATACTCCTCGATTTCGCCGGCGGATTACTCTCGATTGCACAACTTGGAATCGATAGCTATCTGCAGCACGATTGGTCTGGAATAACTGGCAATCCCGTCAAGTTAGCTCTTGGAAATGTGGCCATGTTTTTCGATGTTGTATTCATGGTACAACATTATTGTCTATATCAAGGGAAACGTGAAGGATCTTCCGCAGAATCTGAGGAGGATCCTCTCCTTAGTGAAACTAGCAGCGAGGAAAGGATCTGATAGGCGACACAATCTGTTTTGGGTTATTCCATACCCTCGAATCCCGTTCAGCCCTGCTCGAATGAGTGGTGGCTGGGAAATTTCCACGCATTGTGGCTCGAGACCACAGCAGCAGAATACGGACGACCCTTCAGCGGCAAGACAGGCTCCTCTGACACCAGTACCCAACCCTTAAGTTCATGCGGACTCGGGAGAGGAGACTCAATGCCACATTTACGCCGTCGTAGCGGCTTCAAAGGAGACTGTTCTTTTCTATAGATATTCTTCTCGCGCGCTGTGCTCAGTAGTGGATGTTCTACTTGGGTCCCATGACTGTTGCTTCAGCCGCGATTGACTTTCCGAATCAAGATGTCGAGGGAGGAAATGGCACAGGAATCCTGATAGGACATGGAGTCCTGGATCAGAATACAACTATCAAAGATGTTACTAGAGCTCCCCAAGGCTTGTTTCCAATGATACGGATACATCTGGATTTGCGCCGGCCTTCAATCTACTAGTGGGCCCGGATCGTTAGTAACTGGAATGCTTTCAATCTGCCGAAACATCCAGCCTTGTCACCGCATTTGTGGGCCAGCTATTCTGCCTGGCAGTTTGAATGCTCTTGTACAGAAAATCTCAACTCGATATTTGAGTATCTTGAATATCTGAAAGGCCTGAAGCCAAGGGGCTAGTCGATGTCCGTCTATTTCAGTTCTTGATAATTCGATGGATCGTTTCTTTCAGTTTGGGAGAGCATTGGGGCCTGTAGTGTAGCGCCCATAAGATCATCCTTTCTGAATAATGCTAAGTACATGGCTTCCGGTATGGACCAAATCCGACCATCTGAGCCTTTCTTTACGATCAATCTGGATGTGGGAGCTGTCTACTAAGACGTGGGGTGCATTTCAAAGTCTGAACTTCTCTGAGTATATCATTTAACCGCTTAATCTCATTGATCTGGGGGAATCAAGGTTGTCATACATGGCCGTTCAAGGAGGGCATAGTAGATGGAGTGTGGGGGCTTTACAATTTCACACCAACTCTTAAATATACGTACCTACCTCCTTCCATATATCGCACCTCTTTCTTGCCTAGTAATATTCAGAAAAGGGGACTGTATGCATCAATAATCCTCGTCTGCTGCATCTCCAGAGCGACTCCTCGTTTCTGATGTCTGGATATAGAACTATTTTGCATTGCGCTGTGCTTTGTTCTTCTGCTTCTTCTGTATCGCATTTGAACGCCTCTCGTTAACAAATTCAACTGCCAACATTATCATCAGGCTTAATATGCTCTTCCAGCTCTTTTTCGGAAAGCCACCAATCCTATCCGCTCTTATCCCGATATCTTCTAGTTACCAGGAGGAGTCCGAGTCGCTGCAGAGCATATCGATTGCAAGGAGTGGCATAGTCTGGGAGGCATGTTACGTGGGTAGAAGCCTAGAAGGAGATCGACCATGTCGCCAAGTGGAGACGCCGATCGCCGCAAATGTTGGACGGTTGGACCGTTGATTAGTGGAGAGAGGAGCCGTGATCTGGGAGACGAGATTCTGGGACGTGGATAGGACTACCTTAAACAGCAGTCAATTCCTCGACTCCTTGGCGAATAGCTTGGTATATCAACTAGTTGTAATTGTATACTTCAAAGTTATTCATGTTCCTATAGATCAGTGCGAGATAGTTTCTTTGATTGGGAACCTGTTCACGGTTAGATTTCAACCTCTGGGCACAAAGTATATTGGTGATCGTGTTTCATTGATCTAGCCATTGTGTAGCAAGTTAACATGGGTCAAGGCCCTATGACACGATGAACGCTAAAGCACCTCCGAAAAGCCATCGATTGGTGCCAGAGTGCCCTGTATTCCAGGGGTCTAGCACCGAAAATCCACTAGCAACAAGTATTCCCCAAGCTTTTGTTCATTCGTCCAGCCAGAAGAGATCGAGTCTTAAGACAAGTTCCCGTATTTAGACCGAAGATCCAACCATGCGAATATCGATACTAGCCATATCCTCTTCTGCCTGCTTGAACTCCCGCTCCACAGCAGCCTCCCAAGCCTTCTCAAGGGTGTGCAACTGTTCATTAGCAGCAAGGGCATTCTGATCGAGGTTGCCAGCCAAGACGTCCGCCTCGGTCTTCGCGGTGAGCTGATGCCAGTTATGATTGACGCGCTTGATTCCAGCCTTCAACTTCTCAAAGTTCTTGCCGAATTTCATGCTCACGCTTAAATCGATTTCTGGGGTCTTGTCAGAGTCATTGGTGCCGGACTTCTGGTTCTCGGCAGAACCTTCAGCCTTGTCACGAACTCCTCCCTTGGCCCAGTTGTTGACTGTCTTAATGTCCGCGTTAAACTTCTCACAGCCAGTGGTGGCGATCTGCATGTCCATCTTCAAGCCGAGTCCCCCGATCTTGTCTGAGTCTTTAGTGTTAAGCTCCTGGCTGGTAGAACCCTCGGTATCACCATGAACTCCTGGCTTGGCTTCCGCGAGATGCCCGTCGGTCTTGCCATCGTCGATCTTCTCCTTAAGCATTTCCTCGACGACCAGTGTCAACTTATCAAGCTTCACTCCAAGATCTCCAACACTGTCCAAGACTTTGGCCATCTGTGTGCCACCAGAGCCATGTAGGTTGGAAAAGCATGCTGGGCAATGGCCTTCAAGCTTGTCGATCTTGTTGGTGCAGGAGAGCATCCAAAGGATGCAGTCAGGCTTGTTGCATTTAACGATCAAGGCCAATACTTGATGACCGCATGCCGAGTACTCTCCACGTCGTCCGGTGCACATCGTTGCTGATGATTGTGGGTGCGTGCTTGGTTGGTTTGTGTTGATGTCGGAAGGTGGCTCGAAGTCCTTCCTTCCAATTGTCAGCAGTTGCTTTGAAGACCTTGTATGGCGTTCACTCACCAGAGTCGCTGTAGATATCCGAGATTGTGAGTCCTGATTGTTGCTAATCAGTCTGGATCCTGGAGGTTGGGAGACTGGGAGACTGGGGAGAAAGTTGTTGTGGAGGTGTGGGGGTTGGTGCCGAGAAAGAAGTTAATATCAAGTTGGTCTCGAGGAATGTTCGCACGACACAGCCCAAAGTAGGGTCTCGAACTCAAGACTTAGATTTCCGGACGTTAATATCTTCGAATTCTTTGTACCACAGAGTCTTCGTAGATACACGTTTTATCATTAACCTTAGTTAAAAAGCAAAAGATCCGTTCGACAGGAGTCCTAGGGCCGAGCTCTTGTCTGTATGTGTCCACTACTCACATGACTCCTCTGCATCGCATCATCCACCTAATTGTAAGCACAGTCGAACTTCATGAAATCCCAACTTCACCGATCATTATCAAACTTCTGAGTAGACAAAGAATCAGACTGGATGACCCCCTCAAACGGCAAGAGGGTTTGTCACTCACTGTCAGCTATTATTGAGCAAACATTGACATTGCAGGACCTCAGAGTCTGCATTTTGGAGCTGGAGCTACCTATTACTTTGTCAGCCCTGGGTTGAGTCAAATTCCTTTCATGAAAGAAGATAATTGAAGTCAAGACTTCGTAGTAGTACTACAACCACATAAGATCTTTACATGCGTTGACTCCAGCACACGATGAGTTCCTTGAGTTCCTTGAGCTGCATTCTCGACTCCTATCTTGGCGCTGCAAGTTTGCTTTGCTCCATGAGAGTGATGATGAGCAGTTCAACACACGGCGTTTGTTGCTGCTTGAAGTTTCAGCAGTTACTCACCTCAATGCCGAGGGATAGGGTCCTATGCAGGTGTTTCTACCAGAGGCGCGGGGCGAATCAGCCTTTGAATGGATCCTGGAAAGACTTGGCGATGTCTTCGCACTCCTTTATGAGCTTGTTTTCCCAGTCTTTCGTCATGCGCTCAACATCTCTGTTCCACTGTGCGAGATCCACGTCTCGCTGTGATTTCATAGTAGTAATCATATCGCCGTCAGCGTTGAAACTTGCTTCCACCATCATAAAGTCTTGGGTTTTGAGCATGCCAACCACGTTCTCGTTGACCATTGCAATGCTCTTGCGCAGATTTCCAAAGTGGGACGTAATGAGGGTGGACAGGCTCAGGCCCAACACACTGGTGTTCTCAATCTCTGGCATGTGTGGTCCCGTTTCTTTGCTAGCTTCATTGGATTGGCATCTGGTAGATCTATATGCAGATTTCATTAGTGCCTGAATTGCTTTGTAAACGATGAGGATGAAACTACCGTTTGGACGCGTCTGTCTTACAAATCTTACTAGGTGGGATGTTCACCTCTGACTTCTCCAAAGCAGGGTGAACATCCTCTTCCTTCTTGGCTCCTTTCTTTGCCATCTCTACCTCAGGGGTGCTGGAGACAATACAGACATCCATAGTGGTCTTTCTAGTCTTGTCATTGCTTGAACCGATATTGCAGTTGCAGTGTTTCATCTTCGCCTCTGCTACTTCGAGCTTGGCAGCCTCAAGGGCGGCGATCAGCTTGTCGACCTTCGCTCCTAGCGACCTGACGTAGGCTGGGACCTGGGCATCTGTCAGCTCTTCGGAGAAACTTGGATAAAAGCTACGCATAATCTCCTTGGGGGCGATTCTGACCTCAGTAGGATTGGTTGACCCGCTGTCGCTCGGAGGATTGATAGTGTGTCCACACACAGAATTGCAGTTCTGGTCTCCATTACCCATATCAGGTTCTTCAGGTATTGATGGTAATGTAAGGTTGGGAAGCATGTTGAAGTAAAGGAGATCTCGAGCTGTGTGCTTCTCTGGTTGAAGTGTGGGTTATCATACGGCAAATAATCGAACGGACGTTTGCTTACCTGGATGGTTCCGTCCCTTGATGTCTTTATCGCACTTACCAGAGAGGATTGAAGAGATGAAGAACAGGTTGCAGATTGATGGCTATTGTGCACAAGAAAGAAAATGTGGGCATTAACCGAGTGAAGTATTAAGGGATATGGTAGGAGGGGGGAGAGCTTGCAGGACCCTCTGCCCTCGCCTCTCAAAATCACCAACTATATCCTACGCATAATTGACTCCATCTTTGAACTATGGGTCGGTTAACCCAGCACCAAGATTCAAATCTTCTACCTATCCTCATTGATGCTTGCAAGGACGGAAGTCAATCTGTTATTGTGGACAATGAGCGACGCGCAACAACGAGCTCAGAGATGCTCCGTTCAACCATACTGCTTGTAGATGTATTATATCATGTATCTATTATGAGCATACGGTATCTATAGTCTTATTGCTCCTGTCTGCTTGCTAAATCCCCTCTCTCAGCCCAGATTTCCAATACCCCGCCCTGCCCCTCCTACCCTCCCCTGTTGCTCCTGTCCGAAAACCGGCATTCTATAGGAATCTAAAGCGAAACACATATAGTCTTTCCAGGCACAGCTTATGCATGTATCCTCTGCTTTTGAAGCCTTAGAACACCAGGCTAGCCCTACGAGATCAGGCATTCGCAGAAGCTTTGAAGACCAGACGAGATCTACACTATACCAACTACTTTCCCACTGGAGGCGTTTGAGAACAATTGAAAATCTACAAACATAAATAGAAATATTGAAATAATCTAAGTCATACAGAAAACTATACCATGTTCAATTTTTGCCTCAAATTGTACGATATGATGGCAAAGCTTTCAAAGTTAGAACTTAGCTTGCAGCTCGCGATACAGATCTTATAGAGGAGCTGCTTGGTTCTTCCATTTTCCTATAAGTTTGAACCATTTAAAAGCATCTTTGATTCTAGCCGCTAGTTTCTTACTGCATCCTACACAATGACCTTTGGAACCGTTGCCCACTTGTGCGATTATTTCATCAACTGTCGGTGTTTCGTACATATTGCGGCAAGCAACAAGGAGTGGTGGATAATTTGGAGCAGGCTGGAGGTTCATAAAGGATATCGAGTTTGTTCAATGTGGTATCATGCCGTGTGTAGAGATACTTGACAATAGGTCAGCTATGTGCGGGTCCAGTGGAAGTAGGTACTCGGCCTACCCCAAGTCAGAATAAACCTATAACGAAAAGTTGCAGTAGGAATTGGCTGTTCAATTAGGATGAATTCAGAGTAAGCTATACTACTTGTAATCCTGGAGAAGGAAGTTTGTTGCCGAGGGCCAGACGCGGTCCGACCTGCGTCCTGGCCGCAAGCAGCCCCCTTTTCACAAGTCATAAGCGAGCCCCTTGCTGGAAGCAAATGCAGCAGCAATTCTTGACCTACACCACACATTTCCCCTTCTCAACTAACTCACAAGAATCTTGATGTTTCACTTGTACGCCCCACTTTGAAATGGTTGGAATTACAGAAGTTCAGTCGGAACCAAGTCTGCAGTTACTGCAGCTGCCTCTGCTCTGCAGTTTACTCCAGTGAAACCCCAAGCAACGAAAGTAGACTTGTTTGGTTTCTCGAGAGAAAGATAACTCCAATACTCCTATGTGCATGACCAGATAGCGCGGATGATTCGACCATCTGGCAAGAGGGACTCGAATGTGATCTGCCTCTTGAATTGGGTGTATGAATCTCTAATGGCTGATCTTCTAGCACTTATTATGCCACCAGTCATAAACGTTTCCAGGAAAACCATGTGTTGAGGACCCCTCTCAAACATTGCCGAGTGAGGGACTATAACGATCAGAATTTCGAATGATTGTGGACGTCAAAATGTTTACGTACTTGTGTTTTTTGCAGCCCCAGCATCGGCCTCGTCAGCCCCAGGACTCTGGAGAATGTAATAACCGTACCCAAAATCCTCAGACTCTTCAGACTTTTCGGATTCCTCGTAGTCGTCCTTGGACTCCTCAGACTCTTCCTCGGACTGTTGCAGATCTCGTAGATTACTGGCAACCGCTGGATGACTTGTATCCTCATTCTCATCATCAATCATAGTGATGACTAGTGGACGTGTTGACCTGGGTCGAGCTAGACTCAACCACAGACTTGATTTTAAGCTAGACGGGTCGCTGCACTCAAGTACGGCGTTTGAATGTTTAGCTGGAGCTGACGTAACGGGAGGGTTCGGGGAATCCATTGTGATTAAAGATAATTGAAGGAATGAACAACAGATAGAAGTTTGTCGTAGACCGAAGTGTCGTGTGCGTTGTAGATCGAGGTTGTGTTAAAGGTTCGTGAAGTTTCACCGAACGTGACTGCGTCAATGATTTTACAGATCTGTGTGATCTACCCTGTCCAAACCGGTGGAAGTATACCCGACTCCTAAACTTGATCCAGGAGCTGACTGACCCCTAAGCGACCAAAAAAAAAAAAACATACTTGAACACTAGTGAATAACAAGCTTTATATATAATCAATCACCACTGATCTTGGCATGCCGAAAATACTTCATCCCAACCCATGCTACAACAACCCATACCCAAGCCATCACAGCCGTCAGGATGATTAACGCAGGATAATAGCCCACGATGGGTAGCGTCGGATCATCTTCTAACTCGGGCGGCGCGTAGGGAGTTTCTCCAACATCCCACGCCCAACTCCAAACGCCTAGACAGGAACCCATACCTGTCACGAAAACAACCCATGTTACAATGAGCACTACCCATCCCCACCACTCTGTTTCTGAATAGTCCCACTCCTCATCCGCCACAGGCAGAGGACTGGCGGCAAGCCCTCCAATGGACAAAGGTGATTTGGGTTTTTTGGATGGGCGGGACCTAGCCAAGAGGCCAGAAGGGAAATACGAGTCGGACCTCAATGAGGCTGAAGGTCCTCCTCGAAGTGGAGGGGGATTATGGCTTGAAATACTGAGGATATCTTCCTCGTCGGTAGTAGAGGTATATGCCGCCGCCGACGTAGGTGAGATGACCAATTGATCCTCTGTACCCAACGGATGTGTATTGATGGGAGTTAGAATACGACTGGCACCAGTAGCGTATCCTTGCATTGAAGGACGAGGTGTTGCCTCCGAAACACCTGATGCGAAGGCGGTAGGTAACAGTTCCTTTGCAGAAGCCGAATTTGGTGGAGCATTTCCATGGTAATTGGCATGATGGGCAGTCTCAGGAGGGGATGGTCTGACCTCTTTCTTCTCTCGTTGTGCACCTCGCCCAAGTAATGCGGCTTTTCTCAGGGATCCTTTTCTTCTTCTTGTCTTCTGTTGCTGAACTGCAACTGCCATTGCTCGGCTACTTTTCTTGGGCGATGTCCGGTCATCACCAGGTATGGACTCAGGACTTTGTGGAGTCAGGTCTGTGTGACTCTGGTTATCGTCGGCACTGGCTCGTAGAAATGACAACTTGGAAAGTATGCCACCTGACGAACTTCTTTTGTGTCCTTGGGGACGATCTTCATTGGCCGTAAAATCTTCAATGCTGCCATCGCCGAAATGGCCACTGCCGAAGCTGTTGGGAAATGGAGTAGTCTCCATAGAACAAACCGATGAGCCTCAAATGAGTGAATCACAAGCAGAGCATTCTGAAGAACACAGAATTTAAGTCGTAGGGCAGACAAGATAGCCTAATAATCCCTGCCCGAGAATTTTGAGGGGAAATGCTGTAAACCAAATATATCTCGGAGGCAATTTGACTCGAGAAAATGCTTTGGGGTTTGAGATTCAAATGGGCCTCTTGTATGATCGCTGTAGAAAGAAACGAGCTGGTTGAATTATGTGGATTAGTCCACGCCAGCACAAGCAGTTGATCTCTCACAAAGTGAGGGATGCGCGGATTTCCTGCTTATGGAAACAGAGACTGTGCTGAATAGAATCAGCATGGGAGGATTCCTTGATATAGTTAGGTCAGGTAGTGAGAGACATGGTCAGCTGACTTACTATGGCACAAACTGGCCGTCCTCAAGCCGAAAGATAAACGAGTTGGCAATAATAGTTAGAGTTATCTTGCAGAAGGATGTTGACCAAAAGAATGCGGCAAGGAAAGCGTGTCCAGTCGTGATGGTTTGTTTTCCTGAGAATAAGATAGGTAATGTTGAGCGAGGGACGTGACGGACTTCCTTGGGAAGGTAAATATAAGTAGTCGAGATGGCCAGGACCGCCACAGAAGCTTGGTTCCGAGTATTTAGATATCCGAGTATTATCAAACCTGGAATTGAAGATATCTCCTTTGTGGTGTCAAAAAGGGGGTGTGCTGAAGGAACGTCCTCGAAATAAGCTTTCCCAGGTCAATATCGTCTGCCGCTAAACCATAGCCGCAACGCCTACAGTACAACCCTTGTCAGCCGCAGAGCGCGCCGCAGACCCACGCCTCCTGGGATGTCAAGCGTCAAGACGTTCAATCTTCATGAATCTCACGTCCACAACTCACCCCGGTCCCTTGCAGACCCTCGCATGACACATCGAGGTCATAAACAGCCCCAATGGCTTCGAGCCTGCCTATACCCGCTCCTCCGCGGACCCCCACGCCCCCTACTCCTATCGAAGATGAAGACGCTGCTCTACGACTTCCTCGAACCTTGCACTTGACAACCTCCTTCGACCCGGACTCGTTGTCTCCAATGAAAGAGTTCTTCCCAGCAAGTGCGCGCTTCGGAACAATGAACTCGTCGATAGATTCACCTGCCCGTGCGACCAGTCCAGCGTTGAGCGAGGGGCCTACTCTCGGAGGAGCACGCAATCCTTTCAACTTCCAGACACAGACTATCAAAGATACTCCTGTGATTGCTAAGTCCGTAGGTCAACCCTCTCCTACTATGTTTCGCAGCGATTCGCATACCTCTTTGCATCTCGGTGAGCAAGCAGCAGATCAACAATCATCCAGCAGGGCGCAATCACCCAAGTACACAAAGCTTGACCTCAGACAAGCCCTTGATCTCAGTGAGAATTTGTCAGATTTTGGGTTTGCTGTCTCCATAAACATAGCGGATTCTCCAGGTCTCAGTCATCTCATTGCCGATGACAAGTTAGCAATTCTTGGCCGGAGAAGCAGCCTCTTTCCGAATCTCACACCTCCTACATCAAATTTCCCTTATAAGTTCCCAGCAATTAATTACGATAAGCAGAATATTGGCCAACGACGAGGACATCGCTACAAGCATAGTAGTGTATCGACCCAACATCAAATCTTCCTCGAACCTCCCCCTCGAGCCCCATTAGCCCTGCCTGCCTCGTTACCAATACCAACTTTCCGCGAAGCATGGACCTCGATGTCCCGCGATCAGACGACTCGAATATGCTGGTGCCTCTGCCATTGCCTTATATCTGCCTATGTCCTCTACTCCGCCGCCGGCAGCTTGGCCTTGACCGCCCTCTCACACCTCATATTCTTCGACGCCATATCAGCCACAATCTGTGTCGTGGTAGATGTATTCCACAATTTCGAAGTTTGGAAGCGGTCTTCGATTCGGCATCCATTTGGGCTTGAACGGTCTGAAGTACTGGCAGGCTTTGCCATGTCCGTGTTTCTACTCTTCATGGGTTTCGACCTTATTTCGCACAATTTAAAACACGTTCTTGAGTCCACAGGTTCGCATGCGCCGCACCACCCACACTCGCACCAACGCGTATCACCGGGAAGTGTTGATTCAGCTGCTCTATTATCCATAGTAGCGACGCTCATTTCGGCGCTCGGTCTCAAAAACCACGCACGAATAGGAAGAGTAATGCGCTTCGCCTACCTCTCACATCTTCCATCTGTCCTCTCAAACCCCTCACATTTCCTAACCCTCTCGTGCAGCACCATCATGCTCCTCTTGCCCCTCTTGACAATAACGATGTTTATCTGGCTCGACCGGCTTCTCTGTACCATTATCGCGCTCTCTATGTTTCTGCTCGGAATCCGACTCGCCATCGCCCAAGGCCTCATGCTTCTCATGTCGTATTCCGGCAAAGGCGTGGGCGAGGTTATGCGCGAGGTAGCGAGTGATCCGATGGTGGTGGCAGTCGAAGAAGCTAGGTTCTGGCAGGTGCATTATGGACTTTGCATGGCGAACTTGAAGCTCCGTGTTCGAGGAGCAATCGCGGGTCCGAATGAGGAGATAGCCGTGGCGAAGCTGAGGGAACGGATATGTTTGTTAGTGAGAAATAGACTTGGGGGTGGTTATGGGAAGGGGGCCGGGTTAAAATGGGAGGTTACGGTACAGTTTAGTGGGGAGGGGAAATGATGCTTTTGGGACTAACTTCATTTCTTGTGTACTATGTATACTGGGGAATAGGGACTGTTCGTGCTTCACCTGCATGTAGAGTATGGCGGCGTTTAACGGACCCGGAAACTGAAGGGGCAATATACCATATACTTGTCATGCGCTCACGCTATTCTAGACCGGAAGCATATGAATATGACATTATTACATTGTAATTGAGAACTTGCTTTCGTTGATAAGTCATTGTACCTTTTACTTGAACCTCATGGATATTGGTTCGCTACAAGAAGATTACAGGTCTATCTGGATATGAACTCCTCCTCCCGCTCAGTTGAACACCTATTCGCCTATTCGCTAACCCAGCTCCTTTCTCCCTTCAAAGAAAAGAATCCTAAAACCATCAGAAAAAGTTACAATTTCTGTCTTCCACTCTTGAAGTCTCTCTCTTCTCATTGCATTATCAGCCTGAACAACCTTCATTGGGGACTTAACCGGGATTTTGCTCTGCTCGTCATTCTTTCGGGACCTGCCTTCAATCCAACCCGACCCAAACTCCGTCCTTTCGTATCACTAGCTCTTACGTTTCCAAGTCGTAACTATTCAAACCCCTTCTCGCTTTACAGGGGTTGGTCCAATATCGTACAATCTAGTTCTCGCACAGCGGTAAGGGTTCCGGGGTCATGGATAACGATGGCGGAATGAAGGGCAAGTCGATAGAATCAATAGAATCATGGAGATGAGAGGGGCCGTGGAGGTGATGCTGGCCGAGTCGTTTGCTTTCGTTGGATTGAGAGATTCCGGGGGTGGTGGCAGGACTGAGACTGCGAGAAGATGCATTGCCTCCTTTTTCGTTGGTGACCAGCCCTTTGTCTTGAACGAATTTAGAAGAGCGAGAGTGATAGGGATTGTAGCTGTAGTATTCGTCGATTATAGGGTGCACCATGACGGTTTGTTTGTGGATTGTTAAGGTGGAGTTTGTAGGGACGGTTACCCAAGATTCTGAATTTCGTCAGTACAATGATCGTAAGTCAAGTCGGAGGGTAGTACCTCGTTCAAAAGTTAAGGGTTCGCTGGCAACGAGAACAACATCTGCCCCCTTATCCCGTCGATCCATCTGGTATTCTCCTTTTTTGCTTCTATCCTCCCATGTGGTACCCGATGAATAGTAAAGACTGGCTGCCTCGTCAGTCTTACTACTGACGTACCTCGTGCATACCACACTATGTCCATCTGAAACCGCAAAATTCAGCAAACTCCTAGTATCCACGTTCTCTTCCTCGACAATCTGTGGTGGAATTTCGGCAATGAAATCGTTAATCTGTCTTATTGTCTTCAACATGCACTGCCTGAGAACAGTAGGGCCAAACCCCTCGGGAGGTGGTGAAGACGGATTGTGGCCCATTCTCTCCAGTGTGTCAAGGTACAAGGCGAAAGCCCATTCGCTGTCTGTTCCGCCCTGCACGCCCAGGTACCACTTATCGGCTAGTCGCTCACCGAGACGTCTCTTGATGTATTTCCATCCCCCAAGTCCGCCATTGTGCATCCACATTAGACTTCCGTGGGAAAAGGGATGGCAGTTCGCGTCGCTGAGGGCACCTTCGGTGGTTGCACGAACGTGGGCGAAGATCAAGGGCGAAGCTGTCTTGGAGGCTATTCGTTGCAAATTTATGCAGTTCCAGGCTGGGGTGGTGGAAGTGAAGATGCAGGGCTCTGGGCCAAGTTTGGGGTCGGTGTAGTAACCAATGCCAAAGCCATCACCTGGGGAAGTCAGCAGAAGCTGCGAAATGGGAGAGGAGGTGGCGAACCATTGTGCGGTCTTCGCAAGTCTAGACGGAGACGGGAGTCGAAGGACTGGGTGAGGATTGAATGGGTAGGATCGAGGATCAGCTTCGAGAGCAGGATCTCGTCCGAACCTTTGTAGACCTGCTACGCATTAGACACCATGTGTATCGTATAGATAACATTTTGCAGGCTCACCAGAAAGCGGCACATCGTTGCCACTGCCAACTTCTGTGTTCCAACTGCGTGCTGCGATGGTAACAAGTGACTGGAAGGAAATGTTGTATATTGACCAAGGAAGTTCTGATATTATAGCATGGAATTGTTGTCGGGTGAGTCAGCCATGGGCTCTTCAAATCCACACCGACAAGGCTGAACGAAGGCGGAAGGCGGATGGCGCAATTCTCGCCGCGTACGAGTCAAGGAGAGTGGAGTTTCGGTGAGTATGAACTATAAAACAATCTGCAAGCAGACTTATTGCAACAGCAGAACGCAAAGTAATGATATAAACAGCATAAAATCAAGAGGGCAACTTGCAAATCCAAAATCCACAATGAGACTTGGAAGCGTTCTCCTGTTGTCCAAGGCTGGAAGAAGTTGGTGGCACTACGCTACCTACGCAGATTACTAAGCAGTCACACCAGCCACATCTCACCAGCCACATCTCACCAGCCACGTACGCCACTGACCCAAGTTTCTCGATACCGTCTTGGAAATCATGTGCAGGCCACAACGATATATCAACACGGGCTCTCTTGTCCATCACATTCCATGACTCTCATCACGAGTTTACCTCTGCGTATAATAACCGCCTGGCTACAATGAGTGGACGGCTCATAACAGCCAGGCTTCAGCCCTTGGCTCAACGAGTCTCCACTGGTGCAGCGCGTCATTTCCATCACTACACCTCTTCATCCGCCGGTGGACTCCTCAGATCCGATGCTGCAGTGCGGGCTGCACGCCGGCAGATATGGCCTGTAGGGAATACTCCATTCTCGAATGCCGTGGCCGTTAGGAATGCCTCCTTCATGCGGATCTTACCGCAACTGCTTCTTAAATTTGCGAGGATACCGGCTCTATTCGGAGGAGTTACAATTGCGGGGTTGGCTTATGTGCAATATCAGGCTACGCGTAGGTTACATTCTGACTATTGGAGAGAGTCCGAGCTGATTTCAGATGCAGAGGCTGGCAATTATGCCATGGATGTTTTCTCACGAACTAAGTCGACGTTGACTGGCGTTGCCGGAGGATTATTCGGAGGCGCGAAAGATATCGCCGATCAGACTTGGAGAGGGTGGGAAAACACAAAGGAGCAAGTGGAATTACCAGACTGGATGCAAAAGATTCTTCGAATCCATGAAGAGATTGGTGAAGACAAAGGCCAAGGCGGCGGATCAGGGGGTCCAGAACCACCGAAAGAAAGTAGGGCGGGCGCTGGCGCTGCTGCCGTTGCTGGCAGTGCTGCTGCATATGGATATGATCAATCTTCGGAAGACGATCCGCGGTCTGGCAATGAGGTTGCTAGGGATGATCAAATGATGGTCTTGACAAAGAAGATGATCGAGATTCGGAACATATTACAAACGGTTGGACAATCGAATGCCTTGACTTTACCCTCGATAGTGGTCATTGGTTCCCAGTCATCTGGAAAGAGCTCTGTATTAGAGGCAATTGTTGGGCATGAATTCTTACCAAAAGGATCCAATATGGTTACCCGAAGGCCCATCGAATTGACTCTTGTCAATACCCCGGATTCTCAAGCGGAGTATGGGGAATTTCCTTCCCTTGGTCTAGGAAAGATCACAGACTTCTCGCATATTCAAAGGACTTTGACGGAACTAAACTTGGCTGTTCCAGACTCCGAATGTGTTTCGGACGATCCCATTCAGCTCACGATATCATCACCCCATGTTCCTGACTTGTCGCTCATCGACTTGCCTGGTTACATTCAAGTCGTTGGCCACGGTCAGCCTTTGGAACTGAAGCAGAAAATCTCAGACCTCTGTGATAAATACATTCAACCCCCTAACGTCATCTTGGCAATCTCAGCTGCAGACGTGGATCTGGCGAACTCCACTGCACTGCGAGCAAGTCGAAGGGTTGATCCACGAGGAGAACGAACAATAGGTGTCGTAACGAAAATGGATCTCGTTGACCCCATGCGAGGAGCTTCAATTCTCAATGACAAAAAGTACCCCTTACGACTTGGCTATGTGGGTGTCATATCACGAGTTCCACCACAATCCGCCTCCCTCTGGAAGAAAGGAAGCGACAGCATCTCCTCAGCAATCACAAAGAATGAAAATACATATTTCTCCGCTCATCCTCTAGAATACGGTCCCGAGGCAGGATTGAACGTGGGGACCACCACCTTGCGCAAGAAATTAATGCAAGTACTAGAACAGACTATGGCTGCATCCCTCCAGAGCACAAGCGCAGCCATCCAACAAGAGCTTGAAGAGGCTACCTATGAATTCAAGGTCCAATATAACGACCGACCTCTATCCGCCGAGTCATATCTTGCTGAGTCCCTTGATGCGTTCAAGCATTCCTTCAAAGAATTTGCCGAATCTTTCGGTCGACCACAAGTCCGGGAGATGTTGAAGGAAGAACTAGATCAGCGGGTGCTTGACCTGCTGGCAGCACGATACTGGAATAAACCGATTACATCACTATCGCCCACACCACCTGAACCCGCTTCCCTTGTCGATTTACCCACTGCCCATCCTGATTCTTTATATTGGCATCGCAAACTCGACGCCTCGACGTCTGCGTTAACGAAAATCGGCATTGGCCGCCTAGCTACTACAGCCGTTTCCAACGCTCTCCAGGCACACGTCGATCGCCTGGTAGCACAAAGTACATTTGCATCCCACCCTTTCGCTCGGCAAGCCATCACTGAAGCTGCTTCTGGGATATTAAACGAGAGATTCTACAGTACCAGTGATCAAGTGGAGAATTGCATCAAGCCGTACAAATACGAAATTGACGTCGAGGACGTGGAATGGGCCCGTGGGCGGGAAAATGTAGCGGGTGTCTTGAAGAATGAGTTGAAGGCGGTGGAGGAAGCGACCGAAATGCTGGAGAAGGAGGTCGGGGGACGAAAGAGACTTAAGGAGGTGGTTGGTTTTGTGGAGAAGTGTAGGAAGGGCGAGATAACGGTTGAGGGTGATGGGGCTACGGGTGCGGGTGGATTCAGCAGGGAACTGTTGCAGAAAGGTAAGATTATGAACGTCATATTATTTCACCTCCGAAGATGACTAACACAAATGCTCAACAGGCAAAGAAGCATCTTTCCTCTCCGATCGGGCCGCCCTAATCCGCATGCGAATGGCAGCTGTGAAATCCAAACAGTGCGCCTCTTTGAAAAACAAATACTACTGTCCTGAAATCTTCCTCGACGTAGTATCCAGCAAGCTGACTTCAACCGCCGTCCTATTTCTGAACGTCGAACTTCTCTCCGAATTCTTTTACTCTTTCCCGAGAGAGTTGGATATCAGGCTAGGAAGAGGTTTGAGTAAATATGAGGTGGAGCGCTTCGCGAAAGAAGATCCGAAGATCAAAGCGCATCTCGAAGTTATAAGACGCAAGGAGTTACTGGAGCTGGCGCTGAACAAAATGGAAGGATTGAGAGAATTGGACGTCCAGGAGAAGACGAGGCGGGTTAGGGATATCAAGAAAGAGAAAAACAGGAGTAGTGGCTGGTCTTTATTCTGAGGTCAAGAAATTTGATTCTAATAGGAAGCGTGGATCGTAACCAGGTACGGCAAGCAACCGGGTGTGGCGTTTGGGCTGAGTTTGGAATGTGATATCCCCCTACCTTTGCATCTCCTTATCTATCCCCTCTTCTTGATTTTGCTTCGGCGTGGTGGTAGATTTCGGTGTCTTTCTTTGGTCCTCCTTAACACGAGCGTATGAACTATATGTATATACAACACTCCGAGACTACTTTCCTTACTTCAAAAAAAACTTCACTTGAACTCAATTGTCAATTGTAATATGACTGGCGGGGTGCGCTTGCCACTACGAAATCTGGACACTAGGTAAAGGGAATAAAGGATACCGCGTTTTTCAATCCTTCTCAAACAAAGAAAATAGCCATTGGACGGATTCTCGTGGGGTTGGCCGTTAAGATGCCCCTGGATCATGAGGCATTAGCTACCTTGCAAATAACACTTCAACCGTACTTCTTGATGGTTGCCAAGAGGAAAGGTCAAGATATCCAATTTGTCATATATTTAAGAAGAGATCTCTATAGGGTTTCTCTTTTAAAAACAATATCCATATCTCGTCTCTTGTCAAGGACTAGGGATGGGTGTCTCGATTCAAATCTTGCCCATCTTTCCATCCACCTCTTGATATTGGACAACAGTGTTGTTCTAGGCCCCGACTTCAAAAACTCAAAGAGATGATAGATGATATAGAAGTGAGAGCAGAAAAAGGCTGTTTGTGTTCTTGCAGAATCAAAAAAAAATGCTCGAGGCAAAGAATATGACTGCCGAGGCTCTGCACTTCCTCGACCCAAGAACCCGATACTTCCACGAGGATGTCAACTTCAAATACCTAGACCATGAAAAAAAGAAGTGGTATGAATGGCAACTACCTTATGCCATGATGCTTCGCGGGCAGCGAGCAATAGAAGAAGAGAAGGAACGATGAGCCTTCCTTCTGGGAAGGCAGGTAGGTCACCGAAGGGAAACCATGGGGGGATGTAACTGCATTAACCCCTTCTCCTCATACTGGAGCAGTTCATCAATTGTCATTATCATATTTACATGACCCGCGCTTCATTCGTCACCAAGATGTGTAATTTGATTGTGTGCAGGTTTCAATGTGGCCATTCATGTGAGGAACTATGGCTCTTATTGGAAATTTGATCAAACAGGCTGACGTTTGATAGTAATCTGGAGAAGAGGGTGTGAAGCCCAAAACTCAGACTGCTGCCCAATCAGGGATTGCAATTGCCTATATGGAAGGAGGAGTAGGCCGTGCGAAATATGTGTTGGACGAGAACGACTTGAACAGGCAGCGAGGGACCATGCACAGTTATTGAGTAGTCAGGCAGAGACAAAGACTCCAATCACGACAAATAGAGAAGTCCAGAAAGAAGGTAAGAGATACCAGTGTTTCCAATTTGATGTATTCTTGCTTAACTGGTTTCAGGGGAGGATAGTGACAACAAGGCGGCTGGAAAAGAAATGAGCGCTGCAGACAGGTTAGAGGCGGCGACGGCTATGCTTCAGCTAAACAGCGAAAGTGAAAAAGAAGAAACAGGTGAGCAATCCACAAGTATTCAGTGTGCTGAAGTATCCTGACCTTGTCTATTCCAGTGACTCACGAAACCCAAAGCACCACAGCTCTTGAACTCTTATTACAAGCAACACAAATAGATCAGGCAGAGAGTATATCCCCGGCACAGAAGGACGAATTGGCTGGGACTGTTCAAACTCCATATGACAATCGTGACAAGGAACCTGCTCAGAATTAAGGCATGAAGGGACAAGGTCAATAGACAAATTCGGTGACAGAGGCAAAGAGGATAGGAGAGCTCATGGATAATGAAATTTTTAACCACCATATCAACGTTGGTCGCTCCTGACTTTAGAGAGGAAGCGAAGACAGTGATTCACTTCAGTTGACTATTGAATATTCTCGACGCGTCAAACCCGAAGCCAAACGTTATTCTTTATCAAGTTTAAGGAACCTAATGAAACTGAGATCTTTAAAGAGGCAGATCAGTTGTAGTTCTCAAAGATTTGATAGTCGAAGGCACATCCAGCTACAGCTCGACTCTCTTCTTCCTACCAACAGTCTCTCTTCAACTCCCCACGCAACCGATCTACGTACCCAACGCACATCGTTCAAGCAAAGCACAGACACCCACACACAATCTCCAAGATGTGTTCTGTAGTTGTCTTCGTGTATCAGGTACGTACAACCCAGAGACTAGAGCAAGCTCACGAGTCCTAGTGCTCTCCTCAGAGACGCGCTCTTAGAGTAGAGAATTGTTTGGATCTCGCAACCTATAGCTATGATACAGCAGTTGCTATTTCTATAAAGAAATATGCTAACAAGAATTAAGTGTGGCCACAAGCTTCTAGTGCGACCATACTGCCAGATCAAGAACCCCGAGCTCTGCACCGGCGAGGATATCGAAATCAAGCGAGAGGTCAGAGAGTATGAATGCCCCGAATGTCTCGAACGACTAGAGAATGAAGGCTATCGGAAGTAGAAATGGACACTGGGAATGAAAGGTGCAAGTCTGGCGGATTGAGATCAGGGCGGGGGATCTTGTCTTCTCAGACATAACGTGCTCATACCATCAGCGAGACTTAAAGGTGACTGGTCTAAATGAGCAATGGAAACACTTTAATCACAAACTGAACTTTGATATGTGAGCGTGACTTTTGGAACTATGGCAGCTTTGCTACGAGAGTTGAGCATAGTGAAGGGACAGAAGCCGAGGAAAGTGCTCCTCAAAACCCTACAACATTGAGATCGAAATACCTCGTTATCGTATCATAGAGTGCTGACAACCCTGGGTAGGTACATTAAACAAAGAGGCGATGTTATTGGTTCTTCAACTACTATACCAAATGATGAACGACAGTCTCGATCGAACATAGATAAGTGGAATAAAACCACAATCAAGCGAAAAGGGGGGTGAACATCGCCGCACGCGAAGCACGGACCCCGCATAAAGTTATGCATTTTCTGCCCAAGGCGGTCAGTCGCTAGTGCGAAGCTCCATAGAAAAGTTCCTGCCTCGAAAAATAATATTTTGGATTTCAAGCCGCTGCGCCAAAATCAAAATCCTCTCAATTGGAAAAAGAAAACACCGACACCATGGTTACGAAATCGAAATTAAAGATGGCCCTGGCGGCTGAGAAGCAAATAGACTTTAAGAAGTTGAAGCTGAAGAAGGCGCAGAAGGCGGCGAGGAAGCAGAAAGCGAAAAAGGCTGGTGAGGGGAAGGAAGAGAAGAAGGTTGAGGGGGAGTGGGAGGATGTAGATGGCGGTAGTGATAGCGAGGATGAGAACGCTGAGGTAGATGAGGATGAAGAGGAGAGTGAGGCTGAAGGTCCTAAGAAGGTATGAATTGCTATCTTCATCTCTAATCTTGCAATCCTAACACTACCGCAGATTGATATTGAAGGCATCGACGAAAGCGACAGCGATTCTTCGGCGGGTGAGAATGACCAGGAACAAGATGATGAGGACGATGAAGACGAAGAAGACATCCCTATGTCCGATCTGGAAGATCTAGACGATGAAGAAAAGGAAGATATAATCCCGCACCAGCGCCTGACAATCAACAACACCGTCGCTCTCACCGCAGCACTGAAACGAATTGCGCTCCCCATCTCCAAACTTCCTTTCTCCGACCATCAGTCCATTACCACTTCCGAAAAAGTCTCCATACCCGATGTTTCGGACGATCTGAATCGCGAACTTGCTTTCTACTCACAATCACTCTCCGCTGTCAAGGAGGCCCGCAAACTCTTGAAAGCAGAAGGCGTCCCCTTCACCAGACCCACAGACTACTTCGCAGAGATGGTGAAAGCAGATGAGCATATGGCAAAGATCAAGGCGAAGCTGATCAGCGAGGCGGCGAGTAAGAAAGCCAGCGCCGAGGCGCGGAAACAGCGAGACTTGAAGAAATTCGGCAAGCAGGTCCAGGTTGCGAAACTGCAAGAGCGCGCCAAGGAGACAAAGCAGACGATGGAGAAGATTAAGGTCTTGAAGCGGAGTATGTTTCTTCCCCAATGCCGAATCGATTTTATTTGCGGGGTAATACTAACAGGTCTACGTAACAGAGCGTCAAGGCGCCGATACGGACGCTACAAATGAAGCAGATCTCTTCGACGTAGCTGTCGACGACGAGATCAACAGCGCCAAACCGTCGAGAAAAGACCGCATGGGTCCCAACAAAAGACAAAAGAAAGATGCGAAGTACGGCTACGGAGGCAAGAAGCGCTTTGCGAAGAGCGGGGACGCGATGTCGAGTGGTGATCTGCGCGGCTTCTCAGCCAAGAAGATGAAGGCGGGTGCGAAGCAGCGGCCGGGGAAGTCTAGGCGGGCGGGGGCAAAGAGATGAGTGATCAAGTCGTAATCGTCGTCGTCGTAGTAGTAGCGATATATCTAGTCTTCCTGTCTTGTCAAAAAATTGGAGGGAGGGATGGCGTTTTCACCTGGGATCGGTGGGCAGCATTTTACATATTTGCCCCTTCTGTTATCGTGGTCGGTGCATCAAATGAAGGGTTGTAGATAGATGTACCAAATCAATCTCTTTCCGGATGTCTGTCTGCACACATAACTCATGACAGCAAATAGGAAGAATCTAACTCTCCAGGGCTTCTGTAAATCTGATCCGGGGTTTGATTTCTTTTCTTTAATTCGTTCTTTCTAGATAGTACAATTCTGAGTCACAAGGTAGGTGTAGTATGATGAACCATCCGACTAAACGTTTTTAATCAAGCCCTCCCACGCTCAGTGCTGGATAATGCCCCTTTTCAGACCCTGCTCATGCATCTCTCCACTGCGTTCGTTATTCATACTCGTACAATACTTGATTGAATAGCTTGGATAACGGAAAAGGAGGGGGGAGAGGGAGGAGCTCTCTATTGATTCTTTTTTCCCCGGTCCTTGGCCAAATGATTCGGGCGGGGGGTCCTGATACTCTCTGTATAGCTTGTAAATTATCGAACTTACGAACAGTATGGTGATTCTCTACAGGATATCTTGCGTGTTTCGGGTCTTTATAACATCTCATCATATCCTACTTTCAAACCACACACACTCTACGAAGCCCAGCACCAAATCATCAGCTAAAGACCTCCAACTGAAAAAGGATGGGAGGGAAGGAAGGGGGGTTGGTAATGATGACGAACTAACTCACCTCCCTACGATCCCGAAATTCCTGATAGAGATCAAGCCAGATATCGCGGGCGCGACAATCAGCGATCCGCGGGCCGGCAGTGCCACACTCCGGGATCGCCGCCTCCCAGTCCTTGGGCGGCGACAGCAGCCACGGCTTCTCGAGCGGGTAGTCAGAGAAATGCACCAGCTTGGCTTCGCGGATCGCGGTCTCGGGATCCCAGGGGTGTGGGGAGTCGCGCAGGTAGCGCGCGTGGTCCTTGGAGCGGAATTCGCCCGTCAGGAGTGCGTACTGGCGGTGCGGCAGCACGAGGCAGGAGCCGCCGAAGAGATGGTTCGCGATCTCCATGTCGTAGGTGCCGTAGACGGCGTTTTTGATGGCCTTCTGGACGCGCTTGAAGGAGTGGCTGGAGGGCTCGACGACCATGATGTGAGAGGAGAGGAGGGGCTCTTCGAGCCAGTACGCGCGCGGCATGGCGGCCGCGGTGGAGGGGATGAAGAAGAGCTCGTCCATGGGCTTTAGGATGATGGCGTCGGAGTCGAGAATGAGCAGGCGCGAGTACTGCGTCTGGTTGAAGACGAGGAGCTTGGTGTAGCTGTCAGCCCATATGGCTGTTTTTTTGGTCAGTAAGTCATTATCCTGCCGCGGACGGAGATGGGAGCGGGTGGTTTACGGTAGGCGTTCCAGCGATGCTGGACTTCGATTGGGACTAATTTCGCGCCGTATTTGTCTCTTGCTTGGAGGAGCAGGCGGCCGGAAAAGTCCTCGGAGGTCAGATTGAAGTTGGAGGGGTAGAGCATCAGCCGGTCAGCTTTGCTGCCAAGGCGGTGCAGAGTCTCAAAGATCATGAGGGAGTTGCATAGGTAGTCTGCGTTGGTGACATATTGTGCGTATGCGTAACGTGACCAATCGATATCCTCACGCTCTAAAGAGGATGTAGGTGGTGTGATGGGTTCAGAGAAGAGACAGCGCGGTCCGGAAAACCAACGACGCACGATGAAGGAGCGGGTGATGCTAAACAGGATGAGAAGGATAGCGATCCTGACAGTCCAGGTTATGACGCTCCGAGGCCGTCTTGGGCGCAGTAAGTCAAAGATACTGGCTGGTTTCTGTGGCCCGCGCGGCGCGTCATATCTCCCGTCATACACGGGCAGATAGGGGGAATTTAGAAGGAAGTCAGGAATATCATCTTGCAGAGCGTCTCGCCTCATGATTGATCTCCGCTTTTCAGTAGCTGGACACTGAGAGACGGAGTACCACTCGCTGTGGGGCTATGCTTTGGTAGGTAGTCTTGACTCCGAGACGGGATGATGTATGGAGAGGAATATGAGAGGAATATAGTGCATCTCTCCTTGAGTAGTCCTTCTTCACCATAATTAGTTGAGCTGGCAGAATCAAGCAAGGATTCTTACATGCTCGCACGCAATGAAGTTGGGATATCAAGCCGCCCCGACTTCAGAGCCTCAATTGTATTCAGTTCCCGCTCTGTCGAGGCCCTTGCCTAAACCACGTGGTCTGACCAACCTCAGGCCCAGTGGGCCAGCCACAGAAGGAGATAGGTGATCTAGTAGTAGTAAAGAAAGAATCGAGGTCCGAATAAAACGCGGCAGATGCTAAAACGCGGCAGATGCCAAGAAGATCAGAGCCCCTGAGCCAAACGAAGATGGAACGAACCATGGGTCGTTCGAAAAGCGTGATCCCTAGTAAGGTAGCGAAGATCCGGTCTTCCCGGCAGCGCTAAGCGGCGAACACGAGGACCCCTATTTTGCGATAAGGGGTCGTCTATCTTGACTTTGGCTTTTTTACATATGAGTATAAGCATACTTGAGATCGGTTCAAGAATATCGGGTCCATCCCCAGGAACAATAAAACGTGGAAGGCATGTAGGAGGATCAACGACAGGGTTGAGGGTTTCTCACACTGCTCTGGAACACCACCCCTTCTTTCTCTAACTTTCTCTCACACACCGCGCTGTAGACCCTCCCATAGATAATTCTCTAGTTGCAGAGGCCAAATTGTTTCTGTGATTTTTGACATTTCCTGTTAAAGACTTTTTTCCATTCCTTTTGGGTCGTGATCATGATCTCGTTGCTACAGCTCCGTAGATTCGTAGACATCCCGTATATATCATAACCGTCTGATGGCCCCTCCCCTGATACTCCGTCTATCCCCCATACGCCTTCTGATAACAATATCGATACATTCCCTCCATTCATGTATGCTTCGCGCAAGTTCGTCTTATAAAAGACCTAGCAATACTAAGCTCCCTCCCACGACAACTTCCGTCACCAGCTCCGCAGCGACTCTCTCCGCGCCCGAGGATGCCATCACCTTGCCCCCGCCGTTTGTAGGAGAAGCAGTTGCCTGCACAGAAGCAGCAGAGGCCGCAGAGGCGGCAGATGCGGAGGCTAGCGATAACGAGTAAGATTCGAGCGCGGACATCTGCGCCATGCTTGAGGAGGCCGAGGCGGCTGATTCGGCAGGCGTGAGACCGGTTGCGCTCATGATGGAAGAAGTTGGGGCGGCTTGCCGGGCCTTTGGGAGCAGGTCAGGACATTTGAATGGGAGGGATGTGAGAAGATGCGACTTACATCAACATCTGCGGCCAGGGCGGCGGGGAGGAGGAGGGCGGGGAGGGCAAGAGCGCCGAGTTGGCGGAGAGAGATATACATGTTTGCTATATATCCAGGTGGAGGGGTTTGGATGGGATGGAAGGAAAGGAAGGAAAGGAACAGGGGGTTTCCGAAGGAGGATAAACAGAATAATAAATAAGGAAGGGAGGAACAGGTGAGAATAATACTCTGGTACCTACCTCAGCGGCTGACATCACGACATCGAAGGCCTCCGGTCAACCGTTGCCGTTGAATAATCGCTCTGCCTGAGAAGCCCTGCCGATCATCCGACATCACATCTGATAGACTGACTGATAGTAGTTCTAGATGTTTTTTCTGCAGAGCCAAGTTACATCGGCAGAAAAGGGCTCCAGAGACGCGGTTATGGGGGTCGCTAGGCGGGATTCCATTGGTGTTAAAGTGATAGCGCTCGATTAAGCTCCGGGATCGAAGGAAGAGGCGGAAAAAAGGTTCGCGCTGCCGACGTCACCGACATGTCCCTGCGTCGGAGCTTGATAGGAGAGGAAAAGAGGAAGAAGAATGGAACCACAATAATAAGCATCTGAGGCTGGGGTTGGTTCTCTTGCCTTTCTCCTGGTCTCCTACGGGGGTATATCATACGCCAAAGGTAAAGGTCACGTTTCAGGACCATCGCTAAGCTTCAAGATGATATGAGGTTGGAGTCTTCTGTGGCATCCAGATGAAAAGAATCAAAGCACGTTAAGGCCGCGCGATAAGCGAGACAGTTGTCATTTTACACCTGCAGTAGTAGGACAACGAATATTCCGTAGTTATACATATCGGCGTGGTTCTAGGCCCGACAACAAGGCTGGCAGGAAAAGTTTGTATCGATGGGGCAACGGGTAGGAAGGCCATCTCAGATTCAGAGGAAGAAAAGAAGCCGTATATAAACACCGCAACACTCATTCCTCAATCGATTGATGGCCTTCTGCCTTTAGCACCATGTTAATTTCGAGCTCGCCCAAGAGCACTCAGCCTTGCGATGCACAGACGTGCGCGATGATATCACCCTCATTAACCTAGGATCTTCCCTCGATCTTCACCTTCTATCACCTTACCTATGAACCAATTCCAGTTTGAAGCTCGTCGCTCTAAAATCCAAGTTTCTAGTACTCTTATGCAGACACAGACTTGGACCTTGACTACACGTGAATCATGTGTGATTGCGTCGCCAGCGATGGGTGCAAAAGCATATTAATTATTTTGGACGAAATCAACGAAGAGTTGCATCTCCCTCCTTGTGCTGGCGACTCTTATTCTCGACGGCAACCGCAGTAACGAGGTCATTCCTTTCTTTCTACCGCACGGGGTGGGGTATTCACAGCGCATTTACTAACTAACCGATTTCTTGATTGGACTTGAAAGAGAGGACAAAACTATTATTGAAGATCGGAGTACTCAAAAGTTACTTTCATCCTATCTCTCCTTTCATGTACCTAGTCTCTGCTTTCATATGATTGCAGTTTTCGGACTTTATCTGAAGGTTTAGAACATCTTTTGATCACGAACCAATATCCTTTCTCTCCCTTCCTCCTCTCTAAAAGGGGCTACCAACGCTTCATAGTACTCTACTACAAGAGCAACGTGAAAGACATCTAGAAAAACTTGGGACGCGTTTAATAAAGTTAGGACCAGTCAGATCTGAACAGAAACAATCAGCCCCGCCACAGATGTAGAAGGAATTCAGACCATCCCCCTCCCTATCCGCGAGAGAGCAGGAATCAGCAAAATACAAACAGAAAGCATGCATAGACGGGTAGAAAGCAACAGATTGCCACAAGTTTGCACATACAAACTGAATGTCCGTCTATAACGCATCATTCCTCTCGCTCGGGGGCTCAACACGCAATGAATGATAATCACGTGTGAAGCAAAGCAAACATCAGCAAACAACCCCTTTCCTCCGCAATCTCCCCCATCTCGGAAGCAGACATAGAAATTAACTTTTTTTGGGAACTATTAACCTTAAAGTTTGGAACCCTCGCCACAATGGGGCTAGGAACTGCGATATCAAGATGTGCCGAGAAGGCAATCCCACCCGTGGGTAAATACCGCAAACCCAGACCCAGCGCACGGCAGCTCCGCAAGCCAGCCCAGGAACGGCGCCGCCTTGCTGGGCTCTGGAATGAGTGGGTAGAGATTAGGCACCTTAACCGTTGGCATTTCAGACCCGATGGATCGGATTCGCGCGATGCAGAACCTAGATGGTGAACGGCGGCGTCTTCATGTCATCGGAAGCATTGTTCCCCTAAGGCTGCGAACGGAAGCGTGGCGATCGGCGGATGGGTCTTGATGCGGCGCAAAGGCTGGGAGGCGAGATTCCTCGCCGTGGCGTGCTTGCGTGGGGATTGAGGCGGGAGAAGTGTATTCTGGCATCGATATGTAGGTAGATACCGTACTCTATATGCATGCATGCATGTCTCTGTAAAATAAACATCACGTACCAACAGTATGAAGAAGTCTCACAATCTCTCAGGGACCTGCAAGCAACACCAAAGCGAGATGCCGGGCTCGGCTCCCGCCCCTCGGCATCCCTTCGCGCGTCGGGGATGCCGTGGTGAGGAGGCAAGCGGCAAACAAACCCAGAGCGGACAAGGCAAGGTCATCGACAGCTCAATTGATTGGGGCAGCTGAGGAGAAACATGCAGAGTGGGCGTATACGAGCAACGATTGGGTGGCGGGGCGAGGGATTTGGAACAAGCGCGCGGCGGGAGGGCGCTATGAATAGTAGGTATTGGAGGAAGAGCGCGTGAGGACAGCTGAAGCGTGTAGGTGAAGGCGAAGGTGAAGGGAGGAGAGTTAAGCTGGGCGGGAGAAGAGAAGAGAAGAGAAGAGGAGAGAAGATGAGATGAAATGAGATGAAGTGAGATGAGATGAGATGAGGTGAGGTCTGAGGATGGGGAAAGAGATGGGGATGGTTCAGACGTCGAGTGTCACATCTTAAAGAGGGAAGAAAGAAGTATCTCCGGATGCAGGACTTGAGTCTAGAAAACAATGAGAATAAAGAGAACAAACAGTGGCGGTTCAAGGACGAGAGGATGTATGGCATTCCATGTAGTTGTCCGCTATAGAGAAGAATGTTGCTTCTTCCTGGCTTTCTTTTGCCTCCAGAGCTGTGCATCTGTACGGGGTCTCCTGCGCTTAGTCAGCGCGGTTGCTGAATAATTCCTGAGTACATCTTGGGAGGAAGCAGGCTTCCCGCCTGGACTCGGCACCCTGAGATACAAAGACAACGAACGACACGAGCATTGATCACTGAACCACGCAGAGATACGTAGCTGTAGATTATACAGATCAATGTAGACGCACAGTAGATATATGTACATGTACAGTATGTCAGTAGCAAAGAACGCCCACATCACGCCGTCGACCTGGATCTGAAGACCCGGCGGAGCACGGCCCCGTTTTTTCGCTCTGGCCTCCCTCCCGCCTCCCGTACTCGAGGGATCCGTCATCCATCATCCCCATCGTCCCATCAGCAATTTACCAGCAACGAAAGCCTTCAAATTCCCTCTCTCCCTCCTCCATCACGACCATCTTGCTTTTCATCTTCTTCTTTGCCGCAGTCCTTCTCTTCACTATCGCTACATCCCCCATCTCCCGCGCTCCCCCCCCCC